TGCCGGGGCCCAGGATCTTGTCGACCTTGCTGACGCTCTCCGTGCCGTACGCCATGGCGGCGACCGCCTGGGCACCGCCGGCCAGGACGATGCTCTCGGCGCCGACCTTGTGGGCGACGTAGACAATCTCGGGCGTAATGGTGCCGTCGGCGCGCGGCGGGCTGGCCAGAACAATGGTGCTGCAGCCGGCGACCATGGCGGGGACGCCCAGCATGAGTGCCGTGCTGGGCAGGACGGCGGTGCCGCCGGGCACGTAGAGGCCGACGCGCGCAATGGGCCGCGCGAAGCGGCTGCAGACGACGCCCGGCATGGTCTCGACGGACAGGGGCTTGTCCTCCTTCTGGGCGGCGTGGAACGTGCGGATGTTGTTGAACGACACGTCGATGGCGGCGCGCGTCTCGTCGGACAGCTGCATGAGCTCCGGCGGGAAGGGTGCCTTGAGCACGGGCGACGTCAGCGACGTGGCCTTTTCAAACTTGTGCGTGTACGAGAGCAGCGCCTTGTCCCCGTTGGCGCGGACGTCGTCGATGATGGGCGTGACGATCTTCATGATGGCCTCGGACGACTTTTGCGACGGCCGCCGAAGGGCCTCGTCAATGTCGGCGGCCGAGACCTTGGACGCGTCGATGCGCTTCATCGCGATGCGGTCGTCGACAGACGGCTTGGCAACAGCCACAGCAGCAGCCGGAGCAGCGGCCGGAGCAGCAGCCGGAGCAGGGGCAGCCTTCTCCGTCGCCTTCTCCTCCCACTTGGGCTTGGCGTTGCCCGGGCGGCGCTGGACCTTGAGACCCTTGGCGTCCAGGCTGCGCTCAATGTCGGCCAAGCTGACACCGGCCGCCGTCGCCTTCACGAGCGCAAAGTAAATCAGGTCGGCGGCCTCAAAGGCCACCTCCTGCTGCGTCTTGGCGTCGCACAGCTCCTCCGCCTCCTCCATAATCTTGGCGCGCAGCAGCTTTTCGTCGGAGAACAGGCGCGCCGTGTAGGAACCGGCCGGTGCAGACGCCTTGCGGGCCCGCAGCGTCTGGTCCAGCCGGGCGACACCCTGCAGATCGCCGAAGCAGCCAAACTGGTCCAGGTGGCAGAAGCGGCGGCCCTCCTGGCGCACCACAAAGTGCAGCGCGTCGCGGTCACAGTCGAGGCCGACGCGCAGCAGCGTCTGCGTGTCGCCCGAGGTGGCGCCCTTGTGCCACAGTCCGCGCTTGCGGCTCTGGTAGACGCCCGTCTGCGTGCGCAGCGCCTCCGCCACGCTCGCCACGCTGCTGTAGACCAGGCCCAGCGCGGCGCCCGACTGGTCCGTCACGACGGTCGTCACCAGCTTGTCCGGGCGGTCCGACTGCCACGCCGCCTCCAGCAGGCCGGCCACCGACACCTTGTCTTGGCTGTCCGTCGCCGTCGTCAGGGCTGTCGAGGGCAGGATGGGGATGGCGTGGATGCGCGCCGCCGACTCGGCAAACGTGGAGACGGCCGTGGGGCTGGCAACGGACGCCGGCGCGGGTTGCACGAAGAGGAAGGGGTTCGTCTTGGTCGCGGCGGCGGCTTCGATAAAGGCGCTGCTGGTCGAGGCAGCCACGTCGAGGTCCGTCACGAGCAGGCCGCCCTGCTCGGCGGTGGTCGCGCTGGCAAGGGAGGCCGCGTTGGCATCGGTGGCCGACACAGCAGCCGCAACACGGGCTCCATAGGTGGGCGCCAGCTCGGCGAGCTGCGACGGCTGGACAAAGACACGGCGGGCGCCAAGGTCGAGGAGGGCGACGACGTCGTCGGGCGAGGTCAGGGCAGTGCCATCGACAAAGGGCACGAGCTCGGCGCCGCGGGCGGCCAGGAGCGCCTGCAACTGGGACAGGTTGGCGGGGTTCGCCTGGAGGAAGATGGTTCCCAGCACAGCGATCTCGGCGGGTGTGAGGCCTTCGCCGACGCTGTCGAGGGCAGCTGGGACGCTCACCACGAAGGGCAATGGCAGTGTAGACTCCATGGTTGTGGTGGGCAAGGGAGGTTGTTGGCGTGCACAGAAAGTCACAGAAAATCACAGTGAGGGGATACCAGATGCAACGTTCGGAAGGGAAGCGGGAACACGGAAATAAATAAAAATAGGGCCACTCCGCTTCACGGTCTACAGCGGCAGGTTCGAGTCATAGTCCTGCCGTTCGTGCTTGCCAATCTTGCCAAACTCACTACAACTACTCATTAAATTTCTCTCGTCTAGTTTCTTTTTTCTTTTTTTTTTTTTTTTTTTTTTTTTTTTTTTGGCCGGCATTGAGTCGGTCGTTCCTGCCCACCGCTGGGGAGCCAGCGCATTGGAAAGCTGCATTCTGATTGGCTGCAGCTCTTGTAAGACTCTGGCAGGTGCAGAAGGCCGATTTGCGGATGACGAAAAGTGTGAGACGGAAGAATCCATAAGGCGAATCATTTGATGAAACGTAACTGGATCTGACTGCTATCTCACCATGTCTCAAAAGCCTTGTCTGCAACCGTTTGCCTTGCACAGGTCCATGTCTCTTCGTTTTGGTCGTAAACGCGCCAAGGTCGCTCTTGAGATCAGAGTGGGGCCAGTCACGTGCAGCTCTCCGACTACACAGGGCGTCAGGGCGTTCAGTCAGACACCCCTCACTAGCCTAGTCCCAAAAGAGTGTCCTTTAGGAGGCTGGGCGCTCACTGGTAGGATCGTCCAGGTGGCTTCCATGACAACGGGCGAGTACGTTGCACCGCTGCGGGCCACGCTGCAGGGCAGCCAGCTTGTAATTACAGGACCACTTTGTAGTGCCACAGCGCGCTGAGAGAACACACCTACCCCAAATACGAATCTTCGCTCATCGCCTTGTTTGCTTCTGATCTTCTGATCTTCTGATCCTCCTCTGCTTCTTCACTCCCTCCACCATCACCACGTCTGCACGCGACTAGCTTTCCGCACAACTTGCCATCTCCATCTCGATTCAACTGGTCCCTTTATTTCCACTCGTCCACCCTCTGGTACCGCAGCCATGGATTTCAAGAACATTGGCAAGAGCTTCTCGTATGTTCAACTGTGCTTACAGCGACCCCTCGTATGCTGGTCTTCATCAGCGTGCGGACTGTTTTGTCATACATGGTGGCTTGAGCCGCCGTCTGAATGTGTCGGACTCCTCCGTTGCAAGTAGCGTGCTAACATGATACCCGCCGCAGCAACATCGGGGCGTCCATCACCCCCTTTGCCTCGCGCACCTTCCAGTACACCAAGGAGCAGCTTGGCCAGGTCGACGACAAGGTATGCCGGCCGTCCACCGACCGCGACGATGTGCTCTGTCCCGTGATACAGACTGGAAACTGACAAGGAGCTTCTGCCCCTCTCGTACAGACCCAACTGCCTCCTGACTACATCGACCTCGAGAAGCGTGTCGACGCTCTCAAGCAGGTGCACCAGAAGATGCTCGCCGTGACCTCACAGTACTCCCACGAGCCGTACGACTACCCGCCCAACATCAAGGAGACGTTCAGCGACCTCGGCCGTACCGTCTCCGAGAAGGTCACCCTGCTCTCGTCCGCGTCGTCGCCCGCCGAAGCCCAGGCCGCGCTGACCGCGCCCCCCTCGGCCAAGCCCCAGCCCAAGACATTCGCGCACGCCATTGCCCGTGCCTCGCTCGCCAGCAGCCAGACCCTGCACCAGCAGCACACGGGCGCCGGCGAGGACCCGCTGGCCACGGCCCTCGAGAAGTATGCGCTCGCCCAGGAGCGCATCGGCGAGGCCCGCCTGGCGCAGGACGCGCAGATCCAGAGCCAGTTCCTGGCCGGCTGGAACACGACCCTCAACACCAACCTGCAGTTTGCCACGCGCGCCCGCAAAAACGTGGAAAAGTCGCGCCTGTCGCTCGATGCCGTCAAGACCCGCGTCAAGGGCAACACCTGGAAGCTGCCGGGCAACGCCGGCGCCGGCCAGCAGCACGACGAGGCGGAGCTGAGCCCCGAGGCGCAGGAGGAGATTGAGAAGGCCGAGGACGAGTTTGTGACGCAGACCGAGGAGGCCTTTGGCGTGATGAAGAATGTGAGTCGGGTCCATGGGGCACATTGACACCCTTTGATCGTACGGTAGAGGTAGACTGGCAACTAACGCCCGCAACCAGGTCCTCGACACCCCCGAGCCGCTGCGCAATCTGTCGGAGCTCATCAACGCCCAGATGGAGTACTACAAGAAGTCGTACGAGATCCTGAGCGAGCTGGCGCCTGTCATCGACGGCCTGCAGGTCGAGCAGGAGGCCAACTACCGGAAGAGCCGCGAGAACACGTCGTCGTAGGTCGATGCTCGGGGTATGCTGTCCACTTGATTCGCAAATGAAACGGCCGCGCTCTCCATGATATCCCGTGACCCTGTAAGCCGTTTTGAAGGGAGAGGAGGAATGACGGTCGGCCACAGCTGGCTTTGTTTGTCTTGGTTGCTATTTCTTATATACAGTGTTATGTTTCTTTCTTTTTTTTTCCACGTTCTCCAATGCTACCTCCTTGATGCTTTCCGGAGCTTTTTTTCTGCTTATATATTTTCAAGTGATTTTTGGAAGGGCGGTCGGTCTTACTTTTGTCTTTCGAACTCTCCCTCTGTCTGCCATTACAATGTCAACTTGAACGGCGAAAGTATTACGGGGTCGACAAAACCTGCAAGGCAATATTGGTACTCCTGTGTATTATTTTTCGTTTCTATTTGTCATTGGTGACCTACACATTTTTACAATCCGCTGCGACGTCTGCTATCTGCTATTTAGACATGGCCTGATGATACAGTGAATATCGTCATAGCGGCCTCAGCCCACAAATGCCTGTAACAGCCCCCCCACAACCGCGCTAAAGCCACAATTCTTACAAGGCTGTCAGCGCCACAAATCGCGCGAAATCGGTCGCCCTTGCTCTGTTCCCCGAATAGCGTGCACTTTTGAGGCCTCTTTTTCCGCGACCAACTCGTCGACAACACTCCCCTCTCTCACCGACTTCCTACCCTCTCACCACCTAACGCCTCCTCCTGCGGCGGCCCCTTGGACACCATGGTATGCGCGTCGTCCCCTCTCCTTATTTGCGCATCCTTGCTGACCATCTCACCACAGCTACCCCTCGGCCTCCTCAGCGCCGCACAGGGTCATCCGATGCTAGTCGAGCTCAAGAACGGCGAGACCCTCAACGGCCACCTTGTGCAGTGCGACACGTGGATGAACCTCACCCTCAAGGAGGTTTTGCAGACGAACGCCGTATGCTGCCCCCCTCGTTGCGCGCTCCGCCATTGGCCGCTCTCCCACCTCACCTGTCGCTAACCCTTGTCTCTTCAGGACGGCGACAGCTTTATGCGCATACCCGAAGTCTACGTAAAAGGCAACAATGTAGGCACCCTTTGTTCGCTTTCCATAAACATGTTCGCACGCTGACACCCGCAGATCAAGTACCTCCGCGTCCCCGACGAGATTATCGACACCGTTAAAGAACAGCAGCAGCAGCAACAACAACAACACCAGCATCACTACCAGTCGAACTTCCGTGGCGGCAGCCGCGGCGGCAACAACAACGGTGGCCATCCGCGCGGCGACGGCCAGGGCGGACGCGGCCGGGGCGACCGCGGTCGCGGCGGTTCACGGGGAGGCCGCGGCCGGGGCCGTGGTGACTAGGTACGCACCCAAGACGACAGAAGGTGAATCACGCTTCCGGAGCAAGGGACACTGCGCGACGTGATCGGCAAGCGGACGACTCCCACACTCCACACCGGCTGCTGTACGGCCTCGGCCGGCTCGTCGTTCGGCCTCGGCCACTGTTTGCTCGCCAGCAACGACGAGCACAGCCAACAACCACCATTTTGATTTTTGAGTTTACTGCACGGCCTGTCAAAGAGAAGGAGGATGCCAGGCCGGAAAAATTATTTTTTGAACATACCAAAAAAGAAAAGAAGGGGACGGGACAGCATTTCATTGCCTTCCAAAGGGATGGGTTGGCCTGGCAAGGTACAACCTTACGCGCCAATTAGCGGATGAGCGGCCTCGCTACCATGAGGGAAACTCATAAAAATACAAGGAAAATAGTCATAAACCGCTCAAATTGTCTCCCGACCAGTGACAGTCATGAACTTCCTGCATTGAGAATGCTCAGCGAGTGTTGTCGTTGCCGTAGTTTAGTGCACGTGACCTTCAATTCTATGCGACAGGGATTTTCTGTGCGCAAAAGAGCTATGCGATACAGGCGGAGCTTCCCGCCAATTGGCACCACCAAAAAAGTTGTAAAAAAGTTACCCAACGCATGTCAACATTGGCCACACTCCGACAAGACATATTGGCAGCGACGCATTCCCGTCTGTCACATGGAATCAAGGCCGCCGCTTCCCCTCGCCTCTCGACACACATGATGGGCACCCGGATTGTCGTCGACGGCCTGTGGCGGTGTCTGTGTCCCTCTGTGGATGTCCCGGCATTGCTCCGGGCCGTCAACGGAAGCAGTTATGCACGGCCAACCACACGACGTGGAGCACAGCCAGGGACAGTCAAACCAGCACATCTGGTGCACACACTGACACGCACGCCACGGCCAGGATGCACAGCGATGCCCACCGGGACCGCTGCCGTTCCCTTGCCATCACCAGCCATCCGGCCTCGTTTGAGCTGCCGTGCATCGACGTCGTCCTCTTCCGTTCCTGGCACCGTCCAGCGCGTACACAATGGGGCTGCTACACGTGTCGGTCGCCTAGGCCTTGTGTCGGGCACGGCCAACAGTAACGCGTCGCAACGAGCAAATGGCACGGGCGGTACATTGGAGGGCGATCATCAGCACCAGCTGGCCGTTCTTACGCTTCTCCGGTCGAGACCGCCCTATCGACGTGAACTGGCGAGTGCCACGAACACGGCCATCTACGCAGCACTGCGCCACCTACAGGACACCCCGGCCGCCTTCAACCGCATCAATGCCTTTGCCCAGTACCTGCTCGAGGAGCGGAAAGAACCACTGACGACAGCACTCTGCGAAGCGCTGGTGCGCTCCAACTGCCACGTAAATGGCTCGGCCGATGCCGTGCAGGACATGCTGCATGCGCTCAAGGCGTCCAGCATCGAGGGCACGCCGAGTCTCTTTCACGGCGCGCTGTCGGTTTTGGCTGTCCACCCAGACTACCTCTTGCGCAATGCCGTCCTGCGCGAGATGAAGGAGCGCTGGATCGACCTGGCACCCGACGGCCAGCAGAGCGTCGCGCTGGGCCTGCTGCGCGACGGCCAATACGAGCGCGCTCTCAACCAGCTCGACGAGATGACCGAGGCGGCGGCGACGGCCGGGGCCACGCCTGTGCCGCCATGGCTGCTCGACATTTACGTGTACGTGCTGGGGCAGGAGGGGTTTCTGGACGACGCCCTGCAGATTGTCAACCACCGCCTGCTGCGCGACGGCGATACCGTCTCCCTCAACATCTGGTCGTTCTTGCTAGATGTGTGCTGCCGCGCCGGCCACTTTAGCGGGCTGACCTACGTGTGGAACCGTGTCGTGCGGCCCGGCGGCAACGGGCTCGTGACGCCCTCGGACGCCATGGCGCTCGACGTCCTGAATATGGCGGCGCAGCACGGCGACGCCGACTTGGCGGCGGCCGTGATGCAGATGCTGGCGGCGCGGGGCACGAAACTGAGCATGCCACACTTTGAGGCGATGCTGGACTGCTATGCCCAGGCCGGCGCCATCGACAAGGCGCTGCAGGCGCTGTGCATCATGAACAATGCCGGCATCGTGCCGGACCAGGGCAGCACGCGGTCCATCTTCTTGCGGCTGACGGCGCCTGCGCCCTCTGCGCCGCGCAGTGCGAAAGACGTGCGAGACGCGCAGGCGGCCCAAGCGGCTACCATGGAGTCTGCCGTCGCCGCACTGTTCGACCTCAAGCGCCAGTACGGCAGCGTGCCGGTGGCTGCGTTTAACGTCGTCCTTGAGTCCATGCTCGAGTCGCACAGACAATATGCGACGGCAACCACGGCTGCTGTGGCGAAGAAAGGGACACAGGCACACAGCACAGAAGGCACAGCTGCCGAAGCCGGCCTCGATCTGTACCGCCACGTCCGGCAGCTGTGCCCCGCAGGGCCCAACCGTGCGACTTTCCGCCTCCTCTTCCGCGCCTGCGACGACCCCGTGCACCTCAACTTCCTCGTGCGCGAGATGCGCTCCTTTGCCTTCCGCCCGGACATGGACATGATTGACGACGTCGTGTACGCCAACGCCACCAAGGGCTCGCTCGACCAGGCGCTGCAGTATGTCTTTGACCTCATCGATGAAGAGGCCGCCCGCCGGGTGCAGCAGACCGACGCGACGGCGAGCGACGCGGGTGCCACTGGCGCGGTCGACGAGGCAAGCATTGCGGCGCACGCCGAGAGTCTTCGCCGCCAGCCGTGGATCAGCCGCCGGGCGGCCGCTGCGCTCGCCAGACGGTGCATAGAAGAAGAAAACGAGCGCATCTGGACGGTGGCCGACGCAAGCCGCGACCGCGGCCGGCCCATGGACAACATCCTACGCGAGGCCATGGGCGGTGTTCACCGGCCCACGGCGGCACACAATGCCTACGGCGTGCCCCATGCTGTGGGCGCCGATCAGGAGGAGCCGGAGCCAGAGGAGGGAACCCTGGCGGGGTAGTCTGTATGATATAACAGATCAATTTTGCAATTCACTACAGATTCGGAGAATATGTATGTCTATGTGTTTCATGATTCTTTTATGATTTTTTTGTGGCGCTTTGAAACTGTGGTATAGCTGACTGGTCCCTGCTGTGAGCGGTCCATTTGGTAATCAATATAATACACGGCCGGACGAAAGCCTGAAGATGTAGTAAAAAAGCAAAAAAGAAGTCATCGAAATAGTAGCCCATTGCCAACGCCTATAGCTCCGATTGCTCCAAAAGAAATCAAAACATGGTCCCTCTTGAGACCGCCGTCTGTGGGTCAGAGCGCCGTGGTGCTGGGCCTGTCGAAAGGCAAATACGAGCGTGAGAAATAATCCATTCCATAACGACGGTCATCGGCGACTACGGCCCTGCCGGCTTCGCGTTGCAGCTGACAATCTTGACCTTGTCGACCGTCACCGGCGTGCTGCCGCCCTCCATCTTGAACTGCACGTTGCGAATCAAAAAGGTCCAGACTTCGTCGCAGAAGCGGTAGGTGTCGAGCGAGCCTTTGAATGTCAGACGGGCCTTGACCTGCTGCTGCAGGTTCTCGGCGATGGCGCGGTCAAAGTTGGCCAAGACCTTCATGGCAAGCTGCGGGTCCATGCGGTTTTCGCTGATGAGCTCGTCGAGGGTGTCCGTGAGGGCATAGCCGATGCTGTCATACAGGGACGCCTGTCAGATCCAGGTCATCCTTCAGGCACGTGCAGCAAATCGGAATAAGCTTACCTGCTCCGGCGGTAGAGCTCGTAGAATGACGGTGTGGCCATTGTCAGAATGAAGGCTGGACGCCAATAAGCGGTTGCAGCGACAATGCCGAGGGAAGGGATGCGCGCGACAGAGCTGCTGAGCGACAAAAGAGTCGTTTGTGAGGTCGGCTCTTGAGAGATGGATCACAGAAATGCGCGGCGATCGAAATTCTCGTCAGTCTCGTCGCTCGTAGCGTGCAACTCGTGGGTTGTATGAGGTTGAGTTGCGAGGCAATCAAGGCAAGTTGATATACCTCGTGGATGCGGCTTCACTTTAGGCAGCGCTTTGCGCTGGTTGGTCAGGCTTCCCTGACCCCAGCGGGGAAGGCACGACTTCGCCCCCCTGCTTTAGAATTGCCCAAAATGACTCAGCCGCGCTAGTGAGGCCGTTTGCCGGCAAGACAAGGCTAGCCAATCAGGAGACACTCTTGTCATTTTAAAGCGGTGAGAATTCTGCCAGCACTTTTTGCAGGCTGTATCAACTTTTCTTCTGCCGTCTGTAGGAGGCTTCCTTTTTGCGAGACGATCAACCTTTTCTACAGCAAAGCCAGCACCGCCATAACTCCGCCAAGATGGTTCGCAAACTCAAGCATCATGAGCAGAAGCTCTTGCGTATGTCTCCTCTTTCGTCCTCCGCAACGTCTCGGTCATTCTTCCCCTGCTAACAATTACAGGCAAGGTTGACTTCACCACCTGGAAGCAGGACAACGACCACCGCGCCGCCGCCGTCATCCGCCGCTATATGATCCAGAAACCCGAAGACTACCACTCCTACAACCGGCTGTGCGGCTCTCTGCGCCAGCTTGCCCACCGTCTCAGTCTGCTGCCCCCGGACAGCGCCGTCCGCCGTCGCCACGAGGACCTGCTCCTCGAGAAGCTCCACGACATGGGCATCCTGGGTGTCAAGGACAAGCTCTCGAACGTCGAACACAAAGTGACCGTGTCGGCCTTTGCGCGGCGGCGCCTCCCGATTGTCATGACACGGCTGCACATGGCCGAGTCCGTGCACGCGGCGACAGTGATGATTGAACAGGGCCACGTGCGCGTGGGCACAGAGACGGTGACGGACCCGGCGTTTCTGGTGACGCGCACGCTCGAGGACTTTGTCACGTGGACGGTGGGAAGCAAGATCAAGCGGCACATTATGCAGTACCGCGACGAGCTGGACGACTTTGAGCTGCTGTGAGCTGGGGCGTTGGTCACGGTTAGGAACGAGACGCAAGCAAACGGCTATGTTGCTCTTTTTATTTTGGGGGCCTCGACTCCGCATAGAGTCGCCGACTACCACTTTTATGGTCCAGACACGGCTGCAGCACTGACCCCGAGATGGAGCAATATGACCATGACTTTGGGCCCACGCCCGCCGCTTCAACAAATGAAGAGAAAAGTCAGATCAGGCCGGATGACGACAACCTACACGGACCCGGTTGTCGTACGCCATGAACTCGAAGAAAACTCTTAAACGCTCACGTCAGATACAAAACTGCGAACACGGAGAGCAGTATTTTGGGGTTATTGTTACATCAGCCCTGGGAACAACGTGAGCTTACTGTGCTCCACTTTGGACGGGAATTTTGGAAGGCGTTAGGGCATTTTTCAGCGAATTTATATTTGATAGACCCTTTAAACAATTGTTTACGACATTTCCAACTACATCATTACTACCAATCTTTTCTTTTCGCTTTTCGGTGTGTATTTATTTGGCCTCAAGCAGCTTTTGCCAATTGAAGAAGCACCTCCAATCTCACCGACACCAGTTTAAATCTACCTCTCGCTAACACTCTGAACGATGCACTTACAAACATTACATATGTTGCAAACCATGGTTCTTAGGACTTTGTGGTAGGACTCTTCATTTCCAGGACTCATAAAGCCGTATTAAACGTGTTTCTTGAGCTGCTGCTCTAGCCCACTAAATACGGACTGCGGCGTATCAACTTAGCTGCTAGTGGACGGCCCCTGTACCTGGATTCATTAGGCCGCACTAGGTCCCCAAGAGGGGCATTACGGGACGCCCAGGTACGCGGCCTCGGCTTCTATATATCAGGCAGGTGCGCCCCTCCCGTCCATCGATCCCCTCACCACGGAGCAGTTTGCAAGATACTCCGTTTCGCTGTTGCTGCTACATTTCTTTAGTCAAACGCCGCTTCACCGCCTTGTCTTGCCTTAATACTGTGCAATTGTCCATCCCTCAACCCGAGCGCATTGCTTCAATCATGGCTCCCCTCTCCGCCGCCGAGCTGCTGGCGCTCAGCGAGACCGACGTGACTGTGCGCCTCACGCCAGAGCAGTTTCTTCCCGCATTGTCGCAGGCACCGTTTGTCAACATCGAGGGCACGTTCAATGCACGCGACATTGGCAAGCTGCCGGCAAGCACCGCGAGCCCGTCCGCCGGCACCGTCCGCCCCGGATTCGTGTTCCGCAGCGGTATGCTTGCCCGCCTGACTGACCGCGGCAAAGCCACGCTGGCCAGCGACCTCGGGATTCGTCGTGTTTTTGATTTCCGGTCGCAGAGCGAGCACGCCCAGGCACCAGACCCGACGCCAGCCGACAGCGTCACCCTGGTCTGGCAGGAGACGGCCGAGGAGACGCCGCACGTGTCGCTGGAGCCATTTGCCGAGGGCTTCGGTGAGGCCGGGTTTGCGCAGACGTACTTGGACGTGCTGCGGGCGTACCGGCCGACAGTGAAACATCTTCTCGAGCACGTCCGTGACCGACCGGAGCAGCCGTTCCTATTTCATTGCACGGGTAAGAACAGCCCCCCCTCTTCTCACACCTAGATGTGCGGGTTCTCTGACTGACCTCCTAGCCGGCCGTGATCGGACGGGCGTTCTGGCGGCCCTGCTGCTGACCCTGGCCGGCGCGGCTCCCGACACCATCGCCCTTGATTACATGCTCTCCCGCATTGGCTCGGAGCCCGTGCGCGACGAGCTCGAAAAGTTTGCGCGCATGGGCACCGGTGTGCCGGAGCGCAAACCCGACGACAGCCCCGAGGCGATCGCGGCGGCGGTTGCAGCGACACCGCCCGGCTTCCTAAACCTCATCAACCTGCGCGTGGTGTGCTGGAACGCGTTCCTGGAGGCGCTCGACAAGGAGCACGGCGGGTTCGAGGGCTATGTTACAAAGACGCTGGGCTTCTCCGACGGAGACGTGGCCACGATCAAGAAGAACCTGACGACGGCACCGTGAGGCGGTTGTCTAGCAAGACGATACTAGTCAAAAGCCCCAAGTGGCTTAGCTGAAATCACTCGAGCCTGCGTTGAATTTTCTAGAATATACGACGTACAAAATTCAGAATGCCCAGAAAGTGCTGCTGCCGTCATTGTCTTGGCGATGTCGCATGTCGTGATGACTTGGCGTGACGAAAATAGAATTTCAACACATGAGGACATTAATGTTTACAATATCAAGGAAATATAGCAATGCAACCTTATGACAAGTCGAACATCTGACGGTGGCATCAAGTGGCTTTGCGGTGTGGTGCCTTATTGCGCCGGTTGCCTATGACGTCATTTTACAGTTCAATTAAAATTCTGGGGCACTTAGCGGGTGTTCGGGGCGTGCCACAGGGCTAAGCAAACACTAGAACCCCTGACGCAAGACTTGAGAACATTGCTTTTATGATCTCATTCAACATGACGATTCTTTTGCAAACGTGTGTGGCACCCCCAGCCAATCTGCAGCCAAAGTGGCTCGTCAAAGGATTGCTGCATGAGAACCCTGCAGCCTCCTTGAGTTGCAGGAAGTCATGACGATGCGTTCATACCAAGATGCAGACAACCTTGGTTTGATGTCATGGACGAGTCGACATTGTTTATTGACGTTCGGGTCTTCCCTTTTGTCTATATAATAGTCACACCCTTCGCTTTATGTCGATACGGGAAAGATATCACCACATCAACAATCACAACAAGATAAAAACCAAACTACAAAACCACCAACCCACCTACCCACCTAACCACCAAACAATACACTCAAAACCTCCCCTTCCATCACTATCCTCAAAATGCATTGGCACCACTCAACGCAAACCCGCTCTACCGGCGGTATTCTGTCACCTAAAACACGCACTACCCGCACCACCCATCGCCATCACGGCCATCACGGCCACCACGGCCACACCCATCGCCATGGCCTCGGTCTAAGCACCGCTGGCGCAACTACCACAACAGCCCGACGCAGTCCCGGCACCGGCCTCTTCCACCGCCGTGTCCACACGCCACGCACAAAGGTCCGCACAACACGCACTACGACACGCAGAACCGGCGGCGGCGGCGGCCTCTTTGGCACCAGACACCACCATACCAAGCGGTCGCACGTGCTGCCCGTGGCGACAACAACACGCCGCAAGCCCACGGTGGGCGACCGCATTAGCGGTGCCTTCCACAAGATCAAGGGCTCCATCACCGGCCAGCCGCGTGAAAAGGCTATTGGCGACCGCCGCATGCACGGCACCACCCGCCGGAGAAGATGGTAGATGAGAGAGCGTTTTTGAGGGACAGGAGCGATTTGTACAATAATAGATTTCTTTTGTCGTATATTTCTTTTGCCTGTACGATTATATATTTGTCATAGATGCGGACATGAAATGGATACCCATTTTTAATGTATTTTTTTTTTTTTTTAATTTGCAAATGAAACCTTTCAAGAGCCTCATGAGGATTCGACAGAACTAACAAAGCTCTCTTTCGGTCTGATATATGGGCTTCTGTCCGCCCCATAATTAGGCCTCTTCCCACCCGCAGACTTGCTGTAGCCCAAAAGTGACAGGCCCACCAGTGAACCAAAACAGGAGAAGCACGCAATTGACGGTTGAACGCAGGGCGTCGGAACTCGGAACTCACATTGTATCTCACCACAAGATAAGGGACACTTTCAACGGCATTGACCCTGTTTCAGTTCCGTTCGCAATTGTTGTTGACCATCTCGAACGGGACAGATCTTTTGTTCTCGGGTCCTCTTGTCAATGCTGCATCGCTCTTTCTCTTGTTCCCTGTGCAGATTTTCATGTGCCTCGGGCTCTTTCCTCGCCGCATTACAGTGGAGTGTAAGGACTTATCACAATATATCAGAGTAATACAATCTTGCACTCACGACGGCTGGAGGCCGGCCGTTGCATGGCACATTCGTCCCGTGTCCGCGGGATGCCGCAAAATGCAGATTGGCTAATGTCTTGCACATATTGGATCGCCCGTCGTTGACTGAGTTCCGCTCTTCGTATTGAAAATGCGACTGCCTTATTGGATGGTAGCGCCGGATGCTCCTGCTCACTATGGAAGTTGTTTCCAGCGCAAGTCCATCCGCCTGACAAACCGCCTTTGGCCGCACAGTGATTCCCCAACTCTCCGAACGAGGCCGAACTTGGCCCACGTCCTACGACACTCCAGGCGCTATGGCACAAGAGACAGCGTATCAACTGCCTGGCAAGTCCTCCGCTGAGGCGGGGTTACGCAACATCATCAGCCAGGTGTTTTATCGCCGCACTTTGTAGCGCTCTCGGGCGCTCTTTCCCTGCAAAACCCAGCAGTAGGTTTCGTCGCGGCACCCACCTCCCTCTTTCGGCCGGTCTCGCTAGTCTACTTCGCTCCAAACGGCAACAGCGACTCACAAAGTGTTTCACTCCTGCACACCCCGTTGGCCAATTGCCCGTGCGATAAAGTCGGTTACCTTTGCCACTCAATTTTTTCGCACTTTCCCCTCCGCTCGCATCGCTCTTTCCGTGGCACTCCGTTTTAGTGGCATTCCGGCCTGTCATTCCTCGGCACTCTTTCTAACATCTGCCTCTCCTCTTTTATTTTTTTCCTATTATTTCCCCCCAACCCTTCTTCCAATTCCTCTGCTTCGCCATCGTCGTCGTCGTCGGGTTGTTTCTCGTATTTCGGTCTGTTTTTCGGTTTCCCGTACTGTCCATTTTCCGCCTGTCCCTCTTTTGTCGTTTGTCGGAACAAAAAGACTTTCGCCTCGTCTTCGATTGCTCGCATCGTCAACAGTTGTTTCTTCGCCTCCATCCTCGATTCTTGCCCGCCATGTCGTTCTCCAGCCTTGTCCAGGACCTGTCCATTCGCGACGCCAACGGCAACCCCCGCCGCCGCGCCGAGGTCTCCTTTGACGACTCCGCCTCGCGCTCCTCCCACGTCTCCCGCGCCATGTCCTACACCAGCACCGCCGCCACCAGCGTCAGCATCTCTGGCGAGATCTCCAGCCAGCTGCATGGAGGCTACAGCCACCCCCTCGCGCGCGCGTGGCAGGCCGAGCGCCAGCTCACCAAGTCCATGCTCATCTACCCTCTCTTCGTCTCCGACCAAGACGACGAGGACACCCCCATTGCCGCCCTGCCGGGGCAGCGCCGCTTCGGCCTGAACCGCCTCGTTCCCTTCCTTGAGCCGCTCGTGCACAAGGGCCTGCGCTCCGTCATTCTCTTCGGCGTGCCCCTGAAGCCCGGCACCAAGGACCAGCTCGGCACCGCGGCCGACGACCCAGAGGGCCCTGTCGTCCGCAGCATCCGTCTCCTGCGCCAGCGCTTCCCTCAGCTGTACATTACCGCCGACGTCTGCCTCTGCGAGTACACCTCGCACGGCCACTGCGGCATCCTGCGCGACGACGGCAGCCTCAACAACGCCATGTCCGTCGACCGTATCTCGGACGTCGCCGTTGCCTATGCCCAGGCCGGCGCTCACTGCGTGGCCCCCTCCGACATGAACGACGGCCGCATCCGCGCCATCAAGCTCAAGCTCATCGAGGAGGGCCTGTCGCACCGCACCATGCTCATGTCCTACGCCGCCAAGTTCTCTGGCTGTCTGTACGGCCCCTTCCGCGAGGCGGCTGGCTCCTGCCCGTCCTTTGGCGACCGCAAGTGCTACCAGCTGCCGCCGGGCGGCCGCGGCCTGGCTCGCCGTGCCATTGTGCGCGACATCAACGAGGGTGCCGACGTCATCATGGTCAAGCCGGCCGGCCAGTACCTGGACATAATCAGCGACGCCAAGGAACTCGGCAGGGACCTGCCCATTGCCGCCTACCAGGTCAGCGGCGAGTTTGCCATGCTGCACGCGGCTGCCAAAGCGGGTGTCTTTGACCTCAAGACGGCCGCCCTCGAGGCCCACGACAGCATCCTCCGTGCGGGTGCCACCATCATTGTCAGCTACTTCACGCCGGAGCTGCTGGACTGGCTCGACAACTAAACGAAGAGCTATGGACCGATAACAACGACGACGGAATGACACTCGTGGATTGGAGCTCCACATTAAAAAAAGCAACATAAACAAAACGGATGAACAAAAAGGGACGGCAAAATCTACAATGGCGTTTATTGGTTTTTGGCGCAACACACTATGTACATATAATATGCATTGGTTCTTTGAGTTTGGAAAGTCGTTTGGACCCTGTTGGCGGTTCTACAGCTGGCGTGCATGGAATTTTCTTTCTTTTTGGTTTTCTCGAACAACAGTATTGTACAATTGTCCTTGCACTATATAATATGCTCCATGACTACGCATACACTTACATAAACACATCACATATCAAACACTGGTCCCTTGACGTTGATCACTACTAAAAGTACGACGTGCTCTTTGAGTAATAAAAGGCTTTTGATCGACCGTGGTATGCAGTTGTAAAGAAACAAGATGGTAAAACAAACCATGATCGCAAACATATGAAACACAAAGAAATGTACAGGATGCCGTATGATATGGATGATGCAAATTAACCCCGGCTTTTCCTTCCTGCCCGACTACAATTTGAAGTTGCCGCTCGACAACGCCCGCGAGACCTGCGGCTTGTTGCCCTTCACGTCCTGGAGCTCGCCCTTGCGGCCGATCACCTTGACACCGGCACGCTTCAGCGTTGCGATCGTGTCGGCCTGCGAAGCGTTGGCCGCAGCACCACTGCCAGCAGAGGCTGCGGCAGACGCGCCTCCTGCGGCTGTGCCGTTGCCGTTGGTCATGCCGCTGCCGCTCTTGCGGATGCGTTCCTTGTTGCGCCGCCGGCGCCGCAGCTTCTCCTCGCGCGTCATCTCGTCGCGCGCCACCGGCAGACCGCTCCGCGGCACCACCACAACGTCCTTTTCCTTGTCCTTCTTGTCCGCGCCCGGCTTGTACACCTCCTGCGGCGCCAGCATGCTCGCACCGCCGCTGACACCCTGGGCCGTGGCCGGCTGCGCATCCTCCATCGTGACCGTCGCCACATCGGCCACCACGGACATTTGCGGGGCCGCGGGCCGCGGCTTGTAGTGCCAGTTGCTCAGCGCGTCCAGCTTGGCGCTCACGTCCAGCCACATGCGCTCCACCTCGCGCTCCTCGGCCTGCACGCGCTCGTCCGACTGGCTGACGTACGTGTCCGGGTTGGCCGCCTGCTGGTGCTCCTCCTCGTAGACGGCGGCCAGGCCCTTCTTGGCCTGGCTGTCGTCAATCGCAACCAGGCCACGGCGCGTGCCGTCCGCGTCCTCGCCAAAGCCCGTGCCGTACCGCCGGCGCACCTCGTCAAAGGACTGCTCGAGGATGCGGCGCTTGACGAGCGCCTCAATGTCCTCGGTGATTTCCTGGGTGATCACGGGCACGGGCTTGCCAATGTGCTCAAAGTCCAGGTCCTCCTCCAACAGCGAGTTGACCGGACGCGCCGACGCCGAGGCTTCGCCCGACACCGTCCAGTTCTTCTCCTTGACGGCCTCGGCCTCGAGGCGGCGGATCTCGGCGAGAATCTTGGCCTGGCGCCGCTCGTGGGCGGACCGGCGGCTGCGCACGTCGCCTGCCGAGGCGTCCGACAGCGCATCTATCCCGTCCGAGTCCTCGTCGCCCGATGCGTCGGAGATCTGCTCAAACAGGTCGCGGCGCACGTCCTTGATGGCGCGCTGGACGTCGGCCTCGTCGGGCTGGAAGGGCTTGTTGGCGCTGTCGTCGCCGTTGGTCTTGGCCGATTGGCGTCCCGGCCGGTCGCGGTCGCCACGCTTCTTGGCGGGTGGTGCGAAGAAGTCCTTGTAGAAGATGTCGTTGGCCGTCAGGTCCACGTCGCCAAACCCGCTGGCCAAGCCGCCGTTGGTGGTGTCGTCCATGTCTTCAATGTCGCTCTCACCTGACGGCGCGTCGAGGTCCATGTTGCCAAAGATGGGCGGGCCGTCCTCTTCATCGTCGTCCTCGCCGCCGGCACCATTGTCGTCGTCGTCGTCATCCGAGTCGTGTGGGCCGCGGCCCTTTTTAGACTTGGACTTGGACTTGGACTTGGATGTGGCCGCCTTGCCGTCCTTCTTTGCCTTCTTGCCGCCAACTGGCACTGCAAATGGATCGCTGTGCCAGTCCAGCTCGTCGTCGTCGCTCGCGGCGTCCGTGTTTGGATCTGCGCGGGCGTCTTGTGCCTCAAACCATTGTGATTGCTTGTTGAACTCGTTGATGTCAAAGAAGCCGTCGTTGAGGCCGTCCGCATCCTCGACAAACTCCTTTGCAGGACCGTGGCCTGTATCTTCAACCTCATCATCCTCGGCCTCATCTTCCTCCGCCTCGTCGTCTTCGCCAAAATCATCCTCGCCATCTTCGCCCATGCTCAGGTCATCGTCATCTTCATCCTCCTCGGCCTCTAGAACAGCCAGGTCATCCTCGAGCCGGTTCTCTTCGTCCTCGCCATCCTCCTCGCCGTCGGAGCCGGCGTAGACACCGTTTGTTGGGGTCGCATCGTGATCGTCGTCTGCGTCCGACTCGTCCTCCTGCTCCAATCGGTCGAGTATAGACTGGGATTGCTGTGTGCTGGTGGCAAGGATGCGGTTCGACTGCTGCCAGATCTGAGGAACCTCAAAACCGTCGACGTGCACGCGCCGGATCTTGAGAATAGGGCCGACGGGCCGCACGAACTTGTCGTTCTCGTCGTCGTCGTTGTCGCCATCTGCACGGGCAGCGGTCGCACCCTTGCTGGCCCGCTTGCGCTTTTTCCGCGCCGCCGTCGCAGCGTGCATCTGCCGCAGCCGCTCCTGCTGCTCGTCGCTAATCAGTCCGGCAAACGTGCCGAGGGCCACCTGGGTAATCTCGGACGAGGCGGTCGACAACGCAGCGTTGGGCGTAAGGAACGCCTCGCGGGGTTTCCGGCGCGTCGTGTCACGGAAGGCGAGGGCCGAAGCGATGTCGCCCAGCGAGGGCATGGATCCAGACCCGGGCGCCATGATGCCGTACGGCGCAGCAATGGTGAGGGTGTGGGAGGTGGACGTGAGCGACGATGTGCTCGAGTCGGCCATGTGGGCGGCGATAGAGGGATGGGCCGATGCGGGCAGTTGTCCGTTCGAAATGTACAGTCGTGTTCTCGTTTTGTCGCTACTGTCGGCCCATGCTCCGTGCGCGGCCACGACTGCGATTGACGATATCAAACAAAGGTTGTGAGGGAGCTTTGCGTCGAAGGGCTGCCACTCGAAACTTTTTTTCTGGGAGGCCCACTAAAATTCAATGATATGGCAGATAAGGGGAGAGTTTTTCTGCCGGTTTAGTGAGCCACAGGCCAGGCCCCGCAAGCACTGAAAGGTCGTTGTGGCTGGTAGTGCTAAGCAGTGGACTAGCGGGAACCGAAGGCGGTGAGTTTGACTACGAGCAGCATGTAATGGACCCACATGGATGAGCTTAACGTCTTGTGATTGGCTAGCATTCTACTATACACACTCATGTAAACATTGAGGCCCGTCTCATTCTCAGTTCATGTTTGTCTTGTAGTCACGATTCAATCACGATATTTGGGGCTGTTCATCATGGTGATACTCAATAATAAAAAAATAAAAAAGTCGTTTTAAAACTAGGAAGGCAAACGGGATTTCCACGTCTTGGGGTCTCTCGCGAACAATGAATACGTCGACTTATAGCCTTTCACGTTGTGAATCTCATCGTGAAGAGCGATAAAATCATAGTGAGCAGAGAGAGAGTTTTATGCATCCAAGCGTCAATTGGACAATCACAATGCGTAACTGCAAAGAAATATAACTGCCGAGTCACTAAGGAAAAATTCTCCCATGAAAATGATCAGGATTCGTCCAGAGTTTTTACAAAAAGCATTGTAAAGTACGAAAACAAAACAATGAAATAAAACAAACACGGCTCATCGTCCGGGGCCGATATAGGAAGTTGCCCTCGCCACTCCGATTATTACAGATTTGGCTCCTCTCACCGACGGCCAATTGATGTCTGCAGCCCGGTGATATGTTTTCATCAGTTGACATCGTGATCGTCGCCCTTGTCAACCATACAACGATAAGAACGAATCAACGTTCTGTCACGCAGGGGCGCGTGCGTCGATACCATCACACTGCATCTAGTTTGTGGTCATGTGCACGTCCTTTGCGGGGAGCGAAGATCTCTTTGCAGGGAGGGTCCTCGAAGCAGCATCGGCGGCAGCGTCGATAGGGCCGTGACCGCGGCTACGCAAGCAAGTATGACGAGCATGCAGCTGCATCGTAATATGAAAGCTTCACTCCTCCGTTAAAAAAAGAAACAGAAAAAAACAGAAAAGTGACGAGACCTACTGCGGCAGTTTTGCAATGGGGACGCCGTTACTCGCTGGGGTAACGTCGGCGACTAACGACCTGACAGGGGCTGGGGCTGGTACGGCGGCGGCGACGAGCTGACCATATTTGCAGCAGCCTGGCCCAGGTGGACAATAGCGGTGTACTCCGTGATTACAGTAATACAATGCGACCCTCGAGTCTGCCATTCGTCTGCTCCGAAAGAGGAGAAGGCATAGAAGGCAAAACCGGGCTGTAGAGAAGCCGGTTAATTTGGTTGACGGCGACTCGTGATGCATCGCATTGGGGCCACAATTCTATCACACTACGACCCTGCGAACTTTTGTGTCGCGTGATGTGGAAGCAGTTCTTAACCGGGAGGCGATACTGTGAAAAGCCCACAGAGCGGCGCGCGATCACCAGCTGTGCGGCATGTGTCGAAATGTCTCGTTTCATAAAAATAATCATTCGTTCACTCTGCATTACAATTGCATCCCCAAGTCGGAAGATGTTCATTGTACACATTTGTGCTTGCAGTCGTCGGATTCGGTACTTTGCACACGTTAGCTGAACCCGCCGCATCGGGTTTGACAGCTCGAATGTCTCACCTGCGACGATTCCCGTCGACCTGGAGTGTCTTACCTTGGTAAGTCGTTGCCGCCGGTATGGTTCCATTCCTCCTTCCCCAGATCGGCGGACCGGAGTCTAGCAAGGAACGTCGATCTCAGATAGTCATTGTTGAGCGTCACCTTCCTTGTCTTCTTTTTCTTTTACCCGGATACTTAATACACGCCAGCTGCGTTTAGGATGTCGCTCGTTTCCTTTTGCAAAGACTTCACTTCAGGCCGCGCTGTGTCATGATCTACTGTGTACGAACCCCTCCCGGCAGCGTGCGCATCTGCGGAGTCGACAAAGGTTGTCGATCTCGTCCAACGAATCCAAAATACGATGCAAGTTCAAAAGCGAAAGAAACGAGGTATTCTGCCGACTTGGCGATGTGTCCATACTTCGCAACAAAAACAAGTGTGGCGTACGAACTCCTCCAATGCCAAGGACGGTCCCAACATTATTTTCCCTTTTACGGAAAACGACATACATATGCATCGTCTGTGCCGCGTAGCCGAGTGTCGATTTTCGGAGACCGTTTCCAATCTCCGTAGAAGTTGCCTTTCTTGCATGCAACGTAAAAACACAGCCGACGAGACGTGCAGGATCTTGTGCCTCTACCGGACACACCACAACCGTTCGAATGCCGATCGAGCATGCAACGCTTTTTAGGCGAGCATACGTCGCTGAGGAGTTTGACGAGGTTTTTCCGCCTTTCACGCCTTTCACGCCTCTGAGGAATTATACTCAATGAGGGTTTTCTCCGTGAAGCGGAGTCTCGGTATAAAAGGACCACGGGGCGCAAACGGCCAGCTTCGGAAGTTGAGAAGACGAGAGAAACGAGAGAAGGAACAATGGGCACAAATAGAAACTTGTGAAACAACAAAGAAAGGAAGAAAAGGAGAGAAATGAAGCAAGGAATGAAGTCGCGATGCTCCTTGGCATCGCGACCATAGGCCCGAACAAGGCACATCTGTGATGTACTCCGTATGTCGTATTTTCCAGCGCATTATCAACAGTATTACTCCGGGTTGCAGGGTTGACGTTGGTGGTCCTTCACAATGATGAACGATCTGAGTTCAGCGAGTCGTTGTTGACCAGGGTTGAATTTGATAAGACTTTTGACGAGACAACACGTGTGTGAATGGTGACACAGGATTGGTCAGAATTATTAACAAGCCAGAGGCCACGGACCACGGGCCAAGACAGTAAAACTAGTGACACTTTTTTGGTATATGCAAACGCTTTGTGTGCATTCAAAGAGCGGGTCCAGTTATTGGAGTACGACATACTTCTGTAGTTATTTCGTACATGCTCTGTACTCCGCATGTCGTACATACATTGGAGGACAAGGAAAAGCTTCACACTTTTCACACAGTATAGGTATTGGGCTGGGGCTCTGTGTGTACATCAGTACCTAAACTGAGTAATATGTGGGCAATAACATGCGAACAAGAATAATATTGGGACTGTGCAGATAGGACGTCGAGCCGCCTGCACATAGATGGAGCCAGGTAACAGCGAGTTGCATTTGGGGTTGCGGACGAGTGCGGGCGTTTACGTACATGTCCGACGCAGAGACCAAAAAAAAAAAAAAAAAAAAAAAAAAAAAAAAGAAAAACAAAAGAGAAAGGAGAAGAGGAACAATGAACAATGAACTTTAGCAAAAGCTAGTACGGGTCCGACATATCAAAGTCGGTACGCAGCGGACGGGATTCCTAAACGAGAAATGATGTCTAACCATAAATGTGCAGTTGCTATCGGCGAGAGGCAATACTTTCTGCATCGTATGTGTTGAAGGCCCGCCAAGTGTGGAGGATTAAGGATTAAAGCAGGGGACTGGAGTGAAAAATCGCCGACAGTTACAACGGCCACGCAAACCACGCAGACACTCGTCGTCACGAATTACTTTGTGTTACGTAACGAAAGCGACCAATCAGCTCTGCCTCTCCTCGAACTGACAAAGAAACTTTGTACGAAAATAGAGCAGGTCTGTCGTAGAGAGGAACCTGCAACATAAATATGCCTGGGAGTAAACTTGCAGCGGTTAAAAGCCGGCACAAAAGAGAAACACTCGGACGAACCGTCAACGGCGTTTGTTTTCTTTTCGTTTTCTTTTCTTCGTTGTCAACATGCCGTCCCGGGTAAGAAGACGCCGTACATAGTACAACGTATTCTTCTGGATCAATACTACCCTGTGCATCGTACGTGGGGGTCTTGCATCTCAAACGACAGATGCCATACAAGGCCAACAAAAGTCCAAGGCACTTACAAATCTATATACATATAAATAATATAAATCATATAGAAGTACAACGGTATCGCAGGCCGCAACGCGTGGCGCGGGTACGAACAATGGCAAGGTCACAAGCCAGAGAGAATCGTTAAACTACAACGATTCAAACGGTCGAGACCAAATCTAGGCCGGAAACAGAACGCAACACACTTGTATACGGAAGTATATCGTAGGAACCGAGACCACTGCAGCCGTGTGGAGCCTCTCAAGGTGTATTGCTCCGGACGACGTCGCATGTGAGACGACCAACGCGAGATTTTTGGGGCCGAATGCACAATGCACTCTGTGGGGCAAAATTGTGAGTAGCAAAACACACAAGTATTGACCGGCAGCCTGCCCGTGCCTGCTCTTCGTCCTGTCGTTTATTTTCGTTTAAAAACGCGCTGCAGAACCGAAGGCGAAAAGGGCCTGGCCGCACAAAAAGGGTAGGGCGGTGGCAAGAAACCAAAACGTCGAGACGGCAAGAGTTAACCAAAGTCGGTCAAACGCCGGCCATAATGAGAGTGGAAAAAAATCAACTATCAAGAAATCAAAGCCTTCAGAAGCCCAGAACACGGGCCGGTCCCGCATAGCAATAAGCAAACAGTGGCAACAAAGGCGCTGGGGCAGGCAAAGTGACATGTGCGTTTAGACTACGTTTGGTACGATACATGCTCAGAACGAAGGAAACATAGTATGGATATTAGGGCGCCGTCGAAAAGCTTCTTTTGCAACTGCGCTCATCGGGTCTGTGCTTGTTTGGTCCACTTCAGTGGTAGCAGGGAACCCAAACCCAAGCTGCCAAGCTTGAAAGCAGCCTATGTAGGGGTTGATAGTATCGTGCATTTAGTTTGTAGCTTGCATAAATTGCAGGAGACACCGTCTGCATAAGTCAAGTCCACTGGACCCGGCCGCTGTTGGGGGTTGGGGCAGATCATGATCCTCGGACAGCGTACTGGGTAGTGTTCTGTCCAGACGAATAGACGCGAGTATTTCGTACTTGTAGACAGATCAACACATTGCACATTTCGTATGTCTGGCAGGATCGTTCCGGCGGTCTGTTTTCCTGTTTCAAACGCCCAAGACAGCGAAGAAAGGCACGATGTCGTATTTCCATTTGATACAGTCGCTTAGGCAGTTCTCCAAATTGCGTACATGCGGCGCCATCTGTCCTACTATCGACAGTTTATTTGCTAGGGGCACGCGTCTGCGCACTTGGAACGACAAGTAACGTAACTAAAAAAAGAAGAAGGAAAAGAAAACAACAAAAAAAAAATGATAATATTTCCTACGTTCGACATTCAACATTCAAGGTGGATACATATCCACGGGCAAATTGAAAAGGCGCGACAAGCTCCGGAACGCATTCAGTCTAGGGCCGTTAGGCCCGCTGATGCTGCGTTCTGAGTGGTCCCCAACCGGCTGTTTGTCTGGTGGCGCGCCACTCCTGCCATCGCCGGCGCTGACTTGAGAAGCCCGTCGGTGTTTCTGTCCGCTCGTTCTCTGTTTCTCTGTTTGACCAAGTTCTTTCCAGTTTTTTTGCTTGGCTTTTGCTTTGCTCTCTTCGTTCTTTCCCGTCCGGAATACTGTGCTTCTCCTCTGCTCCTGCCGTCGTTCTGGGACCGATGTTAGCGTGCCCCGCCCGAGTCTCACGCCGTCTCGCCTGTCCCCTGCCCCAAGGCCCATCGACCAGACTCCATTGCAGAATCTGGCAAGGTGCCTTCCACGCAGCGATGAAGCCATGCGGCAGGCCGGGCCTCCAACAGCTGGCGCACGGGAGCCAAACAGCAAAAGCTACAGGTTGGAGCCCTGGAGGCGGGAGCAGTTCTCAGTTGTCTTGTCGACTCGACGACACTAATACCACCTGACAAGGGAAGGAAGGAACAAACACGTTGTCCCCACACGGCAGCCACCACCCTGCATAATTTGCTCTGATTTGCCAATGGCTCTTTCCTCGCTTGTGAAATCGTGCCTTCCTTTCTCCAACTTTTCTTCTGCTGCGTGTACGAGGCGGAGCACCAACGCGGACGCTGTGCGAATTCCTAGGAGTCTTGTTCGGCTAGACCTGGCCCTCGCACAGCGCCGCTTCTCCGCCGTGGCCCAGGCTAGGCCCACTACGCCGCTCGCGCCTTCTCCACCTGCGTGGTCTCCACAATGCATTCTTCCAGTGGCTCCCTCTCTCTTTCCTCCTGCCGCACACGGCCTTATTGTGCACCCCCATCCCCTCCGTCTCCCACTTAAGCCTCTATCTCCGATTGTGTCACTATTCACATCTGCATTCCTCTTCCCCCCACCGCATCTCTGTGTTTTCGCACGTCAAAAACGCATGCAGGTCCTGATCGCCAGCCCTGGATGGCATAAGTGGCTTTATTGTGTCTGTTGCCGCTGAAGACACACTGCCTTTTTCCACTCTCTGCGCATCCCGTTGCATCACTGGCTGGTTCGACTGCGTCGTCTCGTCATCGCGCCTCGATTCGTCTGCCGTTTTCTTTGTCTCCAAAGCTCTCGTCCACGTCGTCGTCCCGTCCATCTCCCATCCGTTCCATCTTTGTCTCCCGACCATCCCCTCTTCGTCTTCTCTCACCCGCTCTCTATCCCGCTCTCTATCGTCTCGCCCTTCTACCATCACTTCATCGAGAGCGTCGGTTGCTCAATCCGTGCTATCTAGTATCTTTCCCTGGTTGCAGCTCTCTCTCATGCCATATCTCTCTTTCCGTGACCGCTTATCTCGAATTGCATCGGGAGTCAACGTTAACACTTCGGCACACCCCCTCCACCCCCCCGGCGTCCATCCCCAATCCACTCGTCTTCCTGTCGGCCCTGTCGACTTGTGGATTAAATACCGAGCTCGTGGCTCTGTTTTCTTTTTTTAAAACCTTTTCGCCCCTCTTCTCTTCTCAAACTCTCGGTGTCCGTTTCTGGCTTGTGCTCACACGACCACTTTCCTTTATTTACCATCGAACCCCCACGGCCCAACTTTAAGCTCATTTCTCTACTTTTCTCCCCTCGTTCGCACGTCGTCATAGTCTCGTCTTTCTTGCGCTATTCTTCTTCCTTGTCGAATCCTGGCGCTCAATCGATCACCAGCATCAAGTCGTATCTCTGGACCCCCATCTTGGACTTCGTCTCAGTAGGGACTCTTTCGCTATCTCACCGGCCCATTGGCGTCTCGCGCCCTCACTCCCGTACTCTTCTCTCCCTACGATGAAATTCGGCCGCCAGTTCGAGTCCGAGTCTGTTCCGGAATGGAGCCTTCATAACATCGACTACAACACTCTCAAGGACTTCATCAAGGTCCACACGACGCGGCACCAGGCCTCGGCCATCACAATCCCCGGCCAAAAGGACACGGCATTACAGCGCTTTGAATCTGAGTTTTACGATGAGCTTTGCCGGCAACACGACCGTGTCGGTCTCTTTGTAGCCACCAAGGCCGATGAGATCAACCGGCGACTGCGTATGTTCTGCCCCTCGTGCTCTGGAACGGGAGACTTCGTCCTTGCTTTCCAGTCTGTTGTGCTCTCTTGTCCTCACTCTCGTATGCTAACGTCGACCTCCAGAACATCTGTCGGACCAAATCCACCGCCTGCTTCTGCGTTCCACGACATCTGCGCGTGGCACAACAGCTCTGAAGCGCCAGCGGCGGTTTGTCAAGTACGAGCGGGCAACGCTGGCGCTGCAAGACGAGACCAAGGACCTGTCTCGCTTTGTCAACGCCCAGGTCGTCGCCTTCCGCAAGATCTTGAAGAAGTACAAGGTATGTTTCGGGCCCCAACCAGATTGCAGCGTTTTCTTTTGCCAATGTCCTTGTCTAACATTCGTTGTGCAGAAATGGACCGGGTCCGGTGCTCTGACGCTTCGCTTCCGCGACAACGTCCTGTCCGATCCCAAGAGCTTCACTCGCCGCCAGTTCGACCACCTGTACGGCCAATGCGACGAGCTGCTTGCCACCCTGCGCGTGTCCACCCCCCTCAGCAGCTCTCCGCAAACACCTCGCGAGGAGCTGTCCTCCCCCGAATTCCCCGAGTCACAATCACACCGGCCCAGCCACGGCCACGCCTTCTCGTCCTCGTCTTCCACCATCCAAGCGCTCTCCTCTTCCGCCGGCTCGTCACACCCCGCACCACCACAACGCCCCGCCTCGCAAGGACGCCGCCTGACGCTGCTTGCATCTGCGCCTGTGCAAACACATTATTGGAACGAATACGATGACGGTAGCGAGGCGGGCGACGTCGGCAACGCCGGGCACGGTGGATATGCCATCTACCTGCACCCCGATGAGGAGGAGGACTTTCCCGGCATGGCTACGCTTGTCTCGTTCTTTACCGTCCCGCTCGAAAAGGCAAAGAAGTGGATGGCGTCCCGCACCTCAAAGGCCAGCGCCGACGGCGGCCCGCTGCTTTCCCAGAGCGGCGGTTTCGCCGACTATGGCACGACACGGCGCGGCAGCGATGACGGTGGCGGCCTCTTTGACGCTCTGCCCCAGCACGAGCGCGACGCGGGCATGCCCAGAGACGAGACGGCCGGGATCCACCATGATGGCGAGGACGACGGCGGAGACGATGCGGACCACGACAGCACGGAAGAGGACGATGCGTTTGCTAGCGACAGCGACTTCCCTCACGGCTACGAGACGTACTACGCCGCTCTGCCGTCCATCGACGACCAGCGCCTCGCGCGCTACCGCGAGACCATGCTCGTCCGGGCCACGATTGGCTGCTTCGCCGGGGCTCTTGTGCTGCTGGGGGTGGCGAGCATCCTCATCTCCACGGGCAAGCACAAGCTGCGCGTGGAGGTTGATGCCGGTGTCATCATGGGCGTCATGGCCAGCTTGGGCTTCACCTGTGCGGCCCTCGGCATGAACATGGCCCGCCGCGGCACCGTCTCCGTAGCTAGTACGGTGGCCGTATGGTCCTCCTTTGCCATCATCTGTGCCCTCAACGGCGCAGTGTTGGTTCTCGTGATGGGCAACACGGTCATTGCGAATATTCCGTCCTAGATGCCAAGTGGTGTTCTTCTTTATTTTCGGTCAACGGGTGGGCAATTGTTTTTTGGGGGCATATATATGTGACACTTGGGCAACTAACATTTTGATCATGGAGAGGGGCATCTCTAGAGCCTCTTGAGTTTTGTCTGTCTTCTTTTGCAGCATTTTCACAGCTATTCTTGGGCGTTTTGGGATTGTTTTGGGCACTTTGGGTTTTTTTCTTGTCTTTTCTTTCTTGGTCTCTCGTTCTGGCTCGTCATCCGTTTGGGATACCCGCATCCAAACCAAGCACTTTTGTCGGCAAAGACTCCTTTATTGGAAGCCTCTTCTGCCTCTTCTGCCTTTTTTGTTTCACTGTAAAGAATGAACATTTACGCTGCATGTCCCCCACTGGATACATGACTGCAGACAGACAATACCTATGTTTGATGACAATACATACTCAAACTGCTCATTCCTCCTCTCCGTTCTCCCCCGACTTCCACTCAGCACAGACACGGCAGATGCAATGACTGGTAATTGCTGCACGTCTTGCCGCTCGGCGTCGCGCTGCCTGTCTGCAGGTACACCTGCCAGAACCCGCCGTCGATCTTGCACACCAAAAAGTTGAGTTCTACCGTGGTTAGTGGTGCGTGTGCGGGCCATACCAAACAAGTACGGTGTCCCAGACAAAAGACGAGCTACAACTTACGCCGCCCATACGTGCTCGCCGTGCTCGTGATGATGGTGTCGCCCTCGAGCTGCCACGCCGTCGTCGACACCGCTGCATCCAGCGTCAGCGTCTTGTACGACGTGCTGTCGCCGCCGATGTTGAGGTACCGGCTGGTGTTGGTCGACTGGATCGAGCCGCCAATGGTAAAGTACTCGCTCGTGGCCTCGGGGCCCAGCACCACCTGCGACGCGTTCTTGGGGTGCGCCTGCAGGTAAAAGTGGAAGACGGGGTCCTGGTCCGAGCGGATCTGCTCGGGCTTGCTGGAGGCGAACGGCACGGCCGACACGCCGGAGACGGCGGCGGCGGCGGCAGCGAGTGCCGTAATGAAAGTGAGGTGCATCTTGTCGGGCACGGTCCTCTTTATTGGCTGAAAAGAACTCCAAGGCAAAACAGGCAGAGAGAAGCAGGGAGAGAGAGAGAGAGAGGAACACACCCGCAGCCCTTTATATCGTCGACCGGTCTGGCCCATCGCTTTCCGCAACCAGAACGGGTAAATTGGCACTGCAGACGACAAAGTAGTGTTATCCACTACGCATGCTGGATAATAACGACACTTTATTTTTCATACTGCGCATTCGTTTTATTACCACTGCGCGGTCTTCGCTCCCCCGCGTGTGTTGGATCTCAGCATCCATGTTGGCAAATAGTTGTGGCATCCTGTTTAATGACTTGGCGTAAACCTATTTATTGTGATTATTTACTTTTGGATTGCATATCATCGAAATCTGTTTACTGTTTTTTTTTTTTTTTAAAAAAAAAAAAAAAAGAAGTAAGAAAAAAAAAAAAAAAAAAAAAAATAATACGTGATTTAATTAGCCAAAAAAACTAAGCAAAAGTCCACAGTAAAGCTACGAACAAATATTATATAAAATAGATGCATTGGGCAGTCAACATGGCACCTTCTTGCCTCAGGGGTCATGATATTACCAAGAATGCAGTTATGCGACGAAGGCTGCTGATCTGCAGCCCACACATACCAGTGCGGCGCCTTCCTTATCGGGACGTCCCCTCCTCACCCGCAGCTCGCCCACAGCTCCTGCCCGGAGCTCCCCACTACGACATCGGACGGTGACTCAAACGAAGACCAACACGCACCTGCCATTTCGACTTGGCACACCACACGGCATCTAATGTGAAGACAGTTTTAGACCTCGTCCGACATCATTGACGCCAACCACAGTACCAGCACCCACCCACACCGACATGGCGCCCGAGACGCGGCCTGGTGGAAACGCAGGCCGGCCGCCGCCTCGTCCGTGGCCTCCGTGGGCAGTGGCAAGCCTCGCGGCCACTGGTGCGCTGGCGCTTGCGGGTTTGTACATGCGAGGCGGCGAGTTATCGTGGCCAGCGCTGTCGTCAAGGCCAGACGCGTCCGCGTCCGCGACATATTGCTATGACAGCGTCACGACCCTCGCAGACGACCCGTCTGGATCAGCAGGTCCCCACTGCTTCAGCGTCAGAAACGGCCGCTTCGCCAGTGTGGGACCGCTCGACACACTGGACCCCGAAGCCGCTGCCTCAGCTTCCGTCTCAAAGGGCCATGTCATCCCCGGCCTCTGGGATGGCCACGGCCACCTCATCCCCTACGGCGAGTTCCTGGCATCCGTCGACCTGTTCGGCTCGTCCGACGACACGGATGTCCGCCACCGCCTGCACACGTACCTGGAGGCACATCCGGATGTCGGCGGGCCCGACAAGTGGCTGCGCGGCTTCGGCTGGGACCAGATGGCCATGGGCGGCATGCCGACGGCCGACCTGCTGGACACGGCCGAGCTGCATGGGCTCTACATCATGCTCGACCGCGTCGACGCGCACTGCATCTGGGTGTCCAAGGCCGTGCTGGGCCTTCTGCCCGACGACCTGGCGGACATCCCCGGCGGCGAGATTGTGCGCGACCCGGGCCTGGGCGTCTTTTGCGACAACGCCATGGATCTGGTCATGACAAAGTACCCGCCGCCCAGCAGGGCGACCAAGACCGAGTACATCCGGCTGGCCATGCGCGAGATGCGCTCCATGGGCCTCGTGGGCATGCACGACGCCGGCGTGGTGCCCGAGGACCTGCGGCTCTACCAGGAGCTCGCCGGCGCCAGCGGCCGCGGGCACGTGGATGAGGGCTGGACGATGCGCGTCTACGCCATGGCCGAGTGCCCGGAGCGCAACACGCTCTGCCTCGACGACGTCGGCGTGCTGCGCCAGCAAGAGGGCCGCAGCGCGTTTTTGTCGGTGCGCAGCGTCAAGCTGTTTGCCGACGGCGCCCTGGGCAGCTGGGGCAGCGCCCTGATCGACCCCTACAGCGACCGCCCCGACACGTCCGGGTCGCTGCTTGTCGACGCCGCCACCCTGGCCCGCCTCACCCACGACTGGGCCGCCGCCGGGTTCCAGGTCAACATCCACGCCATTGGCGACCTCGCCAACCGGTACGCCGTCGACGCCTTCGAGGCCGCCCTCGTGGCGCTGTGCCAGCCGCCCGCGGGACCCGGAGCCCTGGCCGACTGCCAGCGGGACCGCTTCCGCTTCCGCATCGAGCACGCGCAGATTATTCACCCGCTCGACCAGGCGCGCATCCACGCCCTGGGCATTCTGCCGTCCATCCAGCCCACCCATGCCACCTCCGACATGGCCTATGCGGCGCGCCGACTGGGCCCCGCGCGCACGCGCGACGAGGCCTACCGCATGCGCTCCTTCTTCCGAGACGCCCTGCTGCCGCCGCCCGTACTGGGCAGCGACTTCCCCATCGAACCGCCCGACCCGTTCCAGGGCATCTACGCGGCCGTGGCCCGGCGCAGCCCGCACACGGGCCTGAGCGCCAACGGCACCACAGAGCCCTGGTACCCGGCCGAAGCACTGACACTGCACGAAGCGCTGGTGGGCTTCACGCAGGGGCCCGCGTACGGCGCCTTCTTGGACGGCCGCGCGGGTGTGATCCAGCCGGGCGCCTTGGCCGACTGGGTGGTGCTGGACCGGCCGCTGGCCGAGTACGACCTCGAGGAGCTGCGCAGCATGAAGGTCCGCGAGACATGGGTCGGGGGGACGCGGGTCTACCAGCGGGAAACTATCCCAGCTGAGCTGTGAGGGTAATTTTGTATCATGTTGAAGTCTGGAATCCATTTTCATCGCACTCTCCGATGGCCGCGAACTAGAGCCGGTCTATCTAGGCCCCGTTTTATGTACATTTCCAACACGCCACGCATGGTGAAGAGTAGGCCTCGTATTCGGCCCTAGATTCTCCGTGTCAGCGGCTGCGAGTAGTCTACCTTGGAGCCCATGGCCACTTGGCCCGTCGACACGCCGGTAATCAGCGGGTCCCGGCCTGTAAAGTTGTGGGGGAATCCGTAATCGAACGGCTTGACGCTCTCCAGATATTCAATTTGCTTGTCCGTCAGCTTGATCGACAGCGCCTTGATGTTGTCGTCCCAGTGCTCCAACTTGCGACCACCCAGCACAGGGAACACCCGCGGCGCCTTGGACAGCACGTATGCCAGCGCAATCGTCGTCACCGACGTCACGCCGTGCTCGCCGGCCACTTTGGCGAGCGCCTCGCTAAACGCCAGCTCCTCGTCTGACTGCCGTCCGGCCGTCGGCGTGTCAAAGAGCGTCCGCAGGCCCTCGCCCTGGGCCGCGCGCTTCGCCATGGCCTCCTTGGACTGGAACTTGCCGCCGCCGAGCACGTCCCACGGCGCAATCGCCATGCCAAAGTGCCGCGCCATGGGGATAATGTCGCGCTCCATGTCGCGGATCATGACGTTCCACCGGCCCTGGTAGATGCTAAAGGACGTCTTGCCATGCGCCTCGGCATACGTGTTGGCCGCGCTAACCAGCCACGCCGGCGTGTCCGACACGCCCAGATACATCACCTGCCCGGACTGCACGAGCGCATGCAGGCCGTCCATAATCTCGGGGATCGACGTCGAGTAGTCCCACCAGTGCAGGTAAAAGATGTCGACGTAGTCCGTCTGCAGCTTCCGCAGCGAGTCCTTGAGGCTGTTGCGCATGCTGCGCCGGCCGTTGCCCGAATTGTTGGGGCTCTTGTTCTTGCCGACGTCGTAGCAGCGGTAGTCGGACGTGAACTTGGTGGCAAGCACAATCTGGTCGCGGTTCTGGCGCGCCGCCATCCACTCGCCCAGCCACGTCTCCGACTGCTCGTTCTGGTAGTTGTTGGCCGTGTCGATAAAGTTGCCGCCCTTGGCCACATACCCATCCAGCAGCTTGAACGACGCCTCCTTGTCCATGCTGCCCATGAAGTCGTTCCACGCATCGCCAATGGACATGGCGCCCAGCGCCAGCGGCGAAACGCGCAGACTCGAGGTCGTCGACAGGATGCGGAAGTGGCCCAGCTCCGAGACCGGCTCCGGCGCTGGATCAAACAGCTTCGGCATTGTGTCAGTCGGTAGTGTGAGGTGAGAGCTAGTGGGTGAGATTGGGGTCGGTTGCGACAATAGTGGAACAACGCGAGGCTGATGTGCTGTCGCGATGTACGACGATGTTGTATGCTGGCCGGTATTGTTTTATGACGATGGCCTTGCTTTTGGTGATACTTTCAATTGAACGGAAGACGAGTTCTTTGACAACGAGGTGCCCCGAATCATGTCACCGACGTTGCTCTTTTTTGGCCCGCCTGTCGTTCTGTTTTAGTGCGGCCCCAACAGCAGAGATGGGGCATCCGGACATTGACACCCGTTATTTGTGATTGTGAGCCTGTTAAGGCCGGCAGGAATGCCCTCGGTGCTTATCGGCATTAGCATTTTGTAGGAAAAGTGCGGAGGAAGGATCACGGCAATGCCGCTCCGCTTCTGAGTCCGTAAAGCGTGCCACTGACCGACTTGGTCTCCAGCGCCGTGTTTGCTGTCCATTCACTTGAAAGACAATGAACTGAGATGCTAAAGAAGGCGGAGAGAAGCTTGTATTGTGACACCACAGTCAACTGCCCTAACAATTCATAGACACTTTTTTTCGGCAGATACACTTACGGAGGGCCGTGAGAATAAACATGGTCCCTTGTAAAGTCCCGAGAGACTGTGAATTCGTGAAGACGCTTTTGCTAATAAAGAAGTCGAGTCCCTGACCCACAAGACCTGATTAGAAAATGGCAAAATTTGTAAAAATCAATAAAGCATCCTAACCATACGAACCTTGTCGGGACGTCGGAGCCGAACATGCTGCCAACTATTGTTGGCCTTGTTCGTGTGACGATGCCCACGTGCGATGACATCGCTGGTTCGTCTTCAAATGTGCGGTTCCCTCTCTCGCTGACTCGACTTTTTTGATTTGGACACTCAGATTGTTCGAACTGTATCAAACCTCACGGCTTTCAAAATAAAAACAGTGGAAACGGGATGTAATGAAGCAAGCCAATGTTGTCTTGTAGAAATACACGGTGTAGAGGAGGAGTTTGAAATGCGACAACACGAGAGAACATGTCAAGAATTCGCTGGCAGGCGAGACAATCCCGAGCGTATGGTTCCATACTGTCACCGGCATTCAGCCTGCTCCTGCTGGCGCGTCCCTTCGAGGAGGAGGCTGGGCGTGTGGGAAGGAGGTAACTCTACAACGCATGATGGTCGATAATGCAGAGAAATTTGTAACATGACAAGCAATGGGACACGGCCAACTTGGATGAGGTCAATTTGGATAAACAGCCGCAGAAAAAGAAGCTTGCTTTGCCGTCGGACAATTCCCCGATTGATCCTTGTGTCGTGTGTAGCCTCAGCATACCATGCTTATTAAACGACGCAAGACACCGTAATCCGGGTAGCAAGTCGGCTACAATGGGCAAAGTAAAGCCACCACTCCTTTGGCGGGCGTTCGTAAAGATAGCATTTTCACCTGTCGTGTTACCGTAAACCAGCTGAGAGCTCACATCGAGTAGCTTAAAAGTGTCGCCTCTCCTCTGTGCCTTTGTGCGCAGTACATATATAAATGACTGATACATGCAAGCCAGACTGAAAGTATTGAATCTTGCGGTGCATTTTCAAGCAAAAAATTTGCAGAGCATTGTGTCCGTATTATCGTCGCAGGCCACACCGAAGCAGAAAGTCGGCTAGCTGCACGAGTGCTTCATTGAATTCTTCGTTCTTTGCTCTTCCGCGCTTGGCTGGCATTGACGAGCCTCCCCAATCGACTGGCGAAGCTATCCTCGCCATCCTCACCATCGTCTCATGGGTTTTCATATCAACTGTTAAGTATGTCGTCTGCCATTTGTCGTATGCCGTACGTCGTTTTGTGATTCTCCACATCCCAATGTCAGATCGGCACAGTGGTCACCATTGCCGTTCGGCCCTCGCTCATTGGCGGAGAATATTTCGTCCTTCCGGCGAAACTATCAATGTTCTTGGGGGCCTTAGCGTGTGGAGCACTAGGCCAGCCTCGCATGGCTCCGGTTTGGTTTCCTCACAAGGTTGAGGCCATTTGGTCGTTTTGGATTCTTTGGCGTCCCCGGGCATCCCGTTCGGGAAAGGGAACCATCCGACGACGCACTTGACAGTTGCATGGACGGTGCGGAAGACCCAAGCCAGACGCGGGCCAGCATTCCTCGTGTTCCTCAAGAGATTTGGGTCGAAGTGCACCAGCTGGAGTGGGTGAGCCTAGACAAGACACTGATATTAGTGACTTGTATTACCATCAAAAGAAAACTGACATTGATCGCATAGTATGTCCGACGCCATGTGGAACACAAAATGGCGTCAAGCAACTGCACCAAAACTATGCCCAGACAGACACCTGAGCTCTCCACGTAAAGCCGGTAACACAGATGGCTGGAATTCTGCACGATCCCGCATGCTATGACAGGATAGCAATGCCATATCCCCACGGAAGCTCGTATTTGTTCATAGCTGTCCAGGTCCGGATCCCTTGAGCTACCCGTGGCCTGTTTCCCCGTTGCACATCCTGCCCGAGTGTGGTATCACGTCGTTGGCAGAGAATAAGTATCCCGAGTCTTGTTTGGCCTCCGCTTGCAACTGCCTGCATTCGAGCAATTCGTTCTTTCGTAGCAGTAGCAAGGCCCAAGGGAAGGGTTGACCAGACCCCGGCAGATCCAACGGATCTTCGTGCATCTGTGGTGGAACAATTCGGGGCCTTGGGCAAGGACGGAATATGTATCCATGTTGGCGTGTGGTCTTGGATATGATGGATCTTCTGGATTTGCGTGTTTACCATGCGTTACTATCTTTGTGGGCTTCTTATCTTTGGTCTTGCTGTTTTGTGCATGGCCAGGTCGTTCCTGCCCCCATACCATTGCCTGTTTCTCTTGCCTGTTTCGGCAGCAATTGGAGCATGTTTCCGTCGTCGCTACTTCCTTGGAGAGCAAACCAGGCCCACAGACACCTGGCCCCAATCCCCTCTCCTCTCTATTTCTGCGGGGTGAGGAACAGCTGGCTTTAAGTGGAACGCGCCTTCTCCGGGGAATGGCCTCCTTCCAGAATTGCCACTGCTAAAGTACGCGCAGTGGGAACCTGTGAGCCTGTCCAGTAGCGCCCCAAAAGATCGACGGTCGCTGCTTCCTCCAATTGCAGGTGTTTAACCGGCGGCACTCAGCAAGAGCGATGGACAAGCATTAGTCGTTAAAGAGTGCGAGGAAGGACCAGCCAAGCAACCTGATCCCTACTACGTGACATGAGCTGTGCGCAAAAAGATTGGCCTTCCGTCGCCGGAATATTTTGGTACCCCAATACAAACCATTCCCTATGCGCAATTCCAGACAACGGCGGTCGGTTGATTGATGTTCTCTTTCCTCGACGTATCTACCACCTCCTAATGCTCTAGACCAGCAACGATGCCAGCTATGAGTCGTCTACTCCCCTGCGCCACGTGAAAGAACAGGACTGGAAGGAACGAGCGATCGTGAACTGCAGCCAGACGGGCCTTCCTTGGAAGCGACACAGCGACACGCTTTCCTCAGACCGTATCTGTCCCTGTAGGAAAGTGCGTCCGACAGATGATTGGCGTCTTTTCTGCGACTGCTGCAAGTGAAGTACATCCCATAATCGGAAACAACGATCTTGTTGCGGGCCCCTTGGCTTGCCATACCATCGTGCTCTCATCGTCTTTGGCTCCATACATAATCACCGAGTATCGTCAGACTTCAAGCACACCTAGCCAGCTGATATTGACGACTGTTGGCGACCACGTCGAAGTGCCGAGATCAACGTCTTGACTTACGCTTGACACATCCTATCCTTGTCGACAAAGTGGTGCGCTTGGCCTCCTCGCCTTGGCCTTCCTCTCGCCTGCGGAAACCAAATACTGCGTACGGCCGCGATATTCGCCGAGCTTATTCAACTCCTGGAAACAATTCCTCCTGCTACCATCACATGTGCACCACGCCCCTCAGCGTGTCCACATTGCACCGAATCGACTTGCACCACTAAGACTCTCTTCCGTTCGTCTTTCCTGTCCTCTTTCCTCTTCCCCGGCCCCGCCGTCAATCATCCTCGCCCAGCCTTCGTCCTGCCCTGGCCCCCTGGCCGATTTTCTCCCTTTTGGCTCTCATCCGCCTGTCCCCTTCCTCGCGGCGTCTCCTGCATCACTGGCTGCTCCGCCTCTCGCGGCACCGTTGCGCCTTGTCTGCTGGCCGACGAAGCAAACGTCCCTACGAAGGCGGAATATCTTGCCAGTTGTCCAGGCCAGGCCCCATACCATCAAAGCGCTTATTCCATCGACCCGCTCCACTCCCTCCTTCTGTGTGCTATCGTTTTGCTTTCCCCTTCTTTTCTGGTTGTCAAAGTCTCCTGCGCTGCTGTTTCGCCGCTCGCTGCGTTGCCATTTCAATACTTGCACCTACCCAGCTCATTCACCTAACAGTCTGCATTGCATTGCTCTCATATACGTTTCTCTGCCCACTCGTTTCAGTCATATGGTGTGTGCAGCATTCTTCGGCTCTCATTTTTGACCTCGTTCTCCAATATCAAAATCACTTCAAACTCCGGCTGTGTCAAATATTTCACTTACAACCCAATTCCCCCCCGGGCCATTCCATCTTTTCTTGCACAAATCCCGCCTTCTTTTCGAGACATCCTGTCAATTGACGGCTGGTCTTCTATCCTGGTATCCTCTTGTTCCTTGTTAAGGTACTTTATATCCTGATGGGGATTGTGTTGGTTATTTCATAAAACAAACGACAACAAAATCACACCAAAATTTGACGGCAGGATATGCATTTATATCCTATCACGAAACCGGCTTATTGTCTCACAAAACTATAACATCCGGTCGTTGATCATAACGGGCGACTCCAACGAACACCAGCAACAAACCAGGCAACTGGCAGTGCCATTTGGTATACCTCACCGGTGACACATACAGATTGGCCGGCCAGAAGCATGGCTGCCGTTCAGCAAATGCCTTCTGTGCCGACGGGTGTGCCACGGCAGGCTGCCGCGGCAAGCGACGTACTGGACATCAGACAGGCGGAGAGCGCGTCGAGTGGATCAGATACCGCGGACACAGCTCTGGATACCCCGGTTCGCATGTCCGGACTTGCCATCGGCAGCAAATTTGGCAGCGGTCCGCAGCGAGGGGACACACGCATCGTCGTTATTGTCTATGGGCGTGACCAAGAGGAGATTATCTCTGTCTTTGCGGAAGTACTTGGGAAACCATACTGCAAACGGCCAAACTTCGAGGCTATATCAATAGCAGACAAGGAACGGGTTATAGGAATCTACGCAGACAACGCCAAGGCAGACATCGGCTCAAGGAACACAGATCTGGTGGTCGCCATCAATGCTCACTGCGTGAGTTTGGGTATGCCTCCTGACAGCGCACTCTCTGAGCAGTGCGACTACGAGTTCCTCTACACAAACACACCCTTCTTCCGCCGTGACCTCTCGCGGCTTATCTCCTTCACTCTTGGCCAGATCAACCATCATCAGACACTGATGGACAAGCCACGGACATACTTCATCTCCACCACGTTCCCCGATGTTCGAGTTGCGCTTCCCAATATCGACATCCTGACTGTTGGTTCCGACGCTGTCGAAATCCGGGTTGACTTACTGAAAGAACCCCTGGCCGATGGGGCTTTTGCGGCAGTTCCCAGTCTCAGTTACGTGGGTGAACAGGTTATGACGTTGCGCCAGCGTACCGAGCTCCCTATCATCTTCACGACGCGTTGCCAGCGTGAGAATGGCCGTTTCCCCATGGACAATCCCGATTTGTATTATCAGTATCTGTACCGTGCCATTCAGTGGGGTGTGGAGTACATTGATGTTGAGCTGTGGCTTCCCGAGACCATCCGGAAGCGTTTATATGAACGGCGCGGCAACAGCCGCATCATGTCCGCATACCACGACTTCTCTTCCACTTTGAAATGGCCAACTCCGGAGGCACAAGCTATCTACGCCGAGTCTTGCAAGTATGCTGATATTGTGAAGATGATTACCTACATCAACGACCGAAACGAGAACTTTGAGCTGGAGTACTTCCGCTCCAAGATACGTGCAGAGTACCCGAATGGGCCCCCACTATCAGCTGTCAACATGGGCGAGATGGGCCAGTTCTCGAGGACCCAAAACCATGTCTTTTCTCCGATCACGCACCCACTGCTCCCCGTGATTGCGGCCCCTGGACAAATGAGTGCCGCCGAAACGAATGCCGCGCTGTCGATGCTTGGGCAGCTCCCGAAGAAGATTATATACGGCATCACAAGCCCTTCGAGTCGCAGCGGGACACCACAGGCGCCGTTTTACGTCAAATGTTTCAATGAGCTCGGACTCCCTCACCAGTTCGCCGTCGTGGAACAGCAACCAAAAGGACCGAACCGTGTGGAGACCTGGTGCAACCAGAAGAATTTTGGCGGCGCGTATCTTCACCCACCTCTGTCCTACGCCAGCCTTATTTCCAAAAGTGCCTTTTTCTCTTCTCTGGGAGACGGAGCAGGGCCAATTCTGACAGGTGCGGCTCGCGTCATCGGCAATTTCGACACTATTATTGTACGATCATTATCCTCACCTCCACAATCGACTGAGGTTTCCGAACCTTCGAGCCCATACCATCACCAGAACGACAACGGCAATGGTAGCAGTCATTCAGTTGTCAGTGGCAGCGGGACCTTGTCGCCAAACACGCAACTTGTTTTCGACAACGCCTCTTGGCGCGGTATTTTGAGCACGCTTACCCGTGATTTGGCCCCCTCTGCCTACTTTGGTCGCACCGCCGTCGTTCTTGCGTCTTCCTCGGACGATGCCGCAAGCGCCGTATTTGCACTGGGCGCGCTCCGTATCAGCAAAGTCTATACCGTCGGCTTCAAGACGCCGTCTGCTCTGGCTGGTGACATGATCATTGAGCCTTTCAACTCGCTGGAAAGCCTGCAGAAGGCGCGTACCGTCGGCGCTCACGATGACTTTGCGTCTCCGTTTGTGATCATCAGTGCACTTGCACCCGAAAAGGGAAATTTGGTTGGTCTATTGCTCCGTGTTTTCGGATCCAGCAAATCGCCACCGCCAGATACCACGGAGACATCTATCAACGCAAGCAGCACACGGAAAGTGTTCCTCGACCTTGCTGCCGACTCGGGCAGCGGCTCGTTTGCGTCGCGGAAGGCCGACCCTGGTCTCGTGGCAGAGCAAAGCGGATTTGCGGTCTACGGTTCGTCGGATGTTAACGCATTCACAACGGTCGAGACTTTGAGGCTACTTGTTGGACAAAACGTCCCTTATAGCTTCGTGCGCCTTGCCGGCGGCAGGAGTCCATTCTAGGAGCGAGTTTACTTTTTGCCTTGTTTTGAATATATATTCTCATGTGTTGGGCATATAGCTGCTGTCAGTTTCTCAGGTATCTCTACATAATAGACACATACACTACACGCCGTCAAGACGGTTTGTCTGCAATTTCGGGCACCTAGCGCAATGTCATGATTTAACTTTATCTTTTAGGTATTCGGAGGTGAAAAATCCAGACGCGTGTCAACAATACCATTGAGCTTCACGAATTTCGTCTGAATGTCGGCCCTTCTTCTACAATGTCGACGGTCTCTGCCAGCATTTTACCCCAAACTCCATCGTAGCCAACATCAGGCTAGTCCCCAGCCTAATGATGGGGAGCTATGGGGAATTGACGAAGCAAAGCTGAGTTTCATGACTGGTGGAAAATCGTAATTTTTCCGGGACTTTTCCTGTTTAAGGAGCGCGATCTCCATGCTCACCTCCACACCTCAGACGGAGCGTGGTATTAGAGCTGGAGAAGGCGTTCCTGCTGGACTCCAAATACATTCCAAAACCCGGTTTTCTTCTGGCAACTCACAACTGGGGTGCGTTGGTCGCTCATCATGGTGTAGCTTCATGCTCGACCCTCGTCTTTTTGACCCTCGTTTTATGCGATGACTGCATCTTGAATTGGAGTCCATGTGCGCGTCTGTATTTTTCTTCTATGTTTCTTTTTTCTACCCGTGCGTGTATTTAGCCGCTTGTCGTTCCTTATGTCGGTGCACATCGACACAGAGAAACTTTTTTTTTACTCCTCGGTTTCAAAACGAGGCCACCGAAACTACGAGGAATGCAGCAATACATCCGATAGACGAAATGGCATTGGTGGCCTGCAATAAACAATATGTTAATATATGTTCATATGTTTTGCATGCGCACCTGGTTGCTGTCCACATGGCATGGCGTCAAGCGACACCAACAATAGCCAGCACACGCACTGCCCTCGTCTCGACGAGTGGCCGTGTTGTGTAAGGCCTATTTATCTCATCACAGTCGTACAAGCCTTCTTGTCTCTCATTGGGCTTGCAGTGGCCCGAAGCCAGTAGCAGCGTGACAAATACCTGTGGCAGGGTCAAACTGTAGGAAAGGCTGTGGGAAAGGCTGTAGGGAAAAAAAAAAAAAACACAAGGAATCTCCAAGATTATACCCGACTCGGATCTCGTTTGCGATACCCAGAGACCGACGCCCATGACAAAGCCTTACGTGTGGTCGGATATGAAACGAGGAATCACATAAGTTTAAGGTTTTTCAGAGACAAGAGAGCATTTGAAAGCGAGACAGCATGTACAGAAACGCGGGATACAATCAGAACCGCGGGTTGTACTTACACAACATGTCAGGGCGGTGACACAGCATGGGAAGGGAGAGGAAATGTACCTTGCCCACGTTCGAAGGACGAAGAAAGGCACAGGACAACGAGTTTGACACACACCGTACGGTGTGAACAAGGAAGCCTCGTTTATATGGCGAGCGCCTATCGTCTATCCGTATCATCACTGCCCCCTTCCCCCAGCATCTGATGTGCCGCCAAACACAGCAAGTCTCCGGTCTGAGATAGATGGGCGTCGGGGGCTTGGTCGAGATCGGCATATGTGTGAAACAGATGAGGTCAACGCCATCTACGTCGTAAGGCGAGCAGGACACCAGAGGAGTCCCTGGGTGGTCGCGATGTGGCGGCCACCTGGAGGCATTCTGGAGGCATTCTCTGGTTGTTGTGCTGTTTCTTGTGCGACCACAACGTGCGGCACAGGAAAACGCCACAAGCGGACCCGACCCGTTTGAACAAACGAACGACGTAGGCAGGCGAGGCCTTTTGGTGCCGCACTGTTTCCATCTTGATGATGCTTGAAGTACTGTATAGTTTGGTAATACTGATGTCGGGCCATCGGCGAGCAACGGGGTGCCCTTGCCTATTACGGCATGCTTTGAATATCCAAAACAAGAATGAGCATTCGAGGTCTTGCTTGCCGAAATCAGCAGTGATTTTGCAATTGATAGGGAAAGAATAACCATGCACTCTATTGGCGGTCGACATTCCAAACAAAATAGAATTACCCAACGTGGAAGGAACTATCGGGCAGAGACTTACTACCACCCCCTGAGTTCCCAAATACTTCATATTTGTGAATGGACTCGTAAACACGTTTGTATCATATCCATCATTCAGCGGTCCTGACTACCAGCTCCCCGAGCACCAAATTCGGTTACAACGCATCCGAAAAGGGCAATCTATCATTTTCCAGCCTCATCCAGGGTGAGCTCGACGGCCGCAGTTGGTTAATTGAGCAACTTTTGCCGCAAGGAGACCTACTCAAAATCAAAGATGTGTTGTGCCGTTAAATTCGCACATGGAAGAAGAGCATCTCCGGCCTTGCTCAAAAAGAACACATGTCCGTCGCGCCTATATTGAAAAAAACCGCCATCTCCATTCTGGCTATTGTTTCCGGGCTACAAGAAACAAGGCGCGTGAGTGCGACACACACCACGGCTCTCCTCACCAGACATGCAACAACGGTCAAAGTTGGTATTATCATTTCTGAAATACGGTATTCCACCCAAGTTAGCAGGCCAGGCACTGCGAATACGAGAAGCCAAAGAAGTCATATGGCCAGAGAGCCATACTAATCAGCGAGACCGACGAGACCGACGCCGCTGCCAGTAAATCCCCAGTCCTGCTGCAAGTCAACAGGGCCATTCTGATCAGACAGGGCTCTCGGCACGTTTTACTGAACATTTCCTTTGGACGTCGTGCGCCTCACAAAGAAACCAAAGCTTGATGCGGGTCAGCGGAGCAACTGAAAGACGTCACGACAGCCGGCAACGTGCAAACAAAGCCAAACCAGACCACACCACACGAAGCGGGCCACTCCCTTGTTCCCTTGCACGGACTCACAGATGCCGATGGCCTGTTCCACTGGTGCTCCTTGGACCCCTTTTGCTGCAACGGCGCTAACTCGACGACTCTGGGCTTTCCAGAACAGAGACGTCTTGCCCAGTGTCCCCAGTGCCCCCATATCTGTTTAGCGTTCGCCACGGCCCTAGACCCAACAAACTGGCCAGGCCTCCGTTGTCTCCTCGTCTTCCAATCCTCCAAGTCCCATGTTTCCGTTTTGATTGTCCTCGTGCCCGCTGCTGTTCGTTTACCTCCGGCAACCTAATTACGTCCCTTCTTTCTTTTTGTCTTCTTTTTTCATTCTTTCGCGGAGATCCCCAGCAGTCACGGTAAACCTTCGTGGCCGTCTTTATGACAGACTGTCACTCGATTTGCTTTCCGGCCGGCACCCTTCTCATGTTTGTCCCCGCCTTCTCACCGACGGAATACACCGCACGAGGCTTTTCATGTCTTTTTTGTTCATAGCAGTAGGCCCACAGGTGCATACAACGGTCCGCCCACTACTGCCCTCCACTCGGTTATTCTTTGCATCTGTCTTTCCCCTCCTCCACCGCAGCCACTACCTCCGTCTCCTGTTCATCCGTCTGCATTCGGCGTCTCGTCTTCTTTTCTCCACACACTTTTGAACGCATCCTAGCGTTGCGCCTTGTGCTCGAGCGCAGCCGAGAAAATCTAAAGCGGGACGCCCAACTTGAACAACTCCCCTCTCAAGTGTACAGAGTACTTGCTCAGACACTCGCTTCTCCCTGGCCACTTCAGAGGCATCTTGCTCCCCTGCTCGTCCCAACGTCTGTCCAGCCAAAGGAACGACAGACCCTGGGGCTTGTCTGTCTCTCTCTACATCCCTGGTGTTCTCCTGTCCATTGCTTTGCCTTGCCTTGCCTTGCCACCACACATCCTTCCCCCGGATGTAAGGCGCGACCTCTTCTCTTTATCCTAGCCTTTTCCCGCTTAGGTTCACCTTCTCGCAACGACCCCATTACCAAAACATTGGGGAAGCACCTACCCGACGCTGTTTGAACCTTTCAAGCTCCATAAGTGGTCGGCCGTCCTTGCATCTGTTACTCCCCCGTCATTATCTTCCCTCACTTCTCAACTTCCACGACCGCACATCCGAGACGCCTTCCCGCCGCCAACACAGCTCCCGTTCCCAAACGCCACACCCACGGTGCCCGCAACCAATCCTGTGCAGCTCTCAACGGTTCTCATTTGTCTTCGGCGCGCATCTATCCCCACCCCGAAAGGTCTGCTGTATGTTCCACGAGCATGGCTACCGGCAGCGAGGCGTCGAGTCCAAACAGCCAGTAACAGATGTCCGCTTCGCTTCAGAGAATCCGGAGCTTTATATACCAATCCTCCAAGGGTATTTGCCATTTCGAAGTATTCGTGCGTTTCAGCGTTTGAAAGGCTTTTCATTCAAGCTTTGCAGCCAACAACTCTCACTCTGCCCCTCGCCTTTGATTCTTGATCCCAGCGGCTCACAGTACCTCATCGGGTGCTAGACATCCATGAGGCCAAACCCAATTTGAAGGCAGGCCTTCTTCCATATGCTGGAGCTGGGATATCCAACTACGCTGCTTCTTTGCGAGGTTGCCAGAGAACCGCTACAGCAAAGCGCCACTCAAATCACCTATTGACTTCCCTCTCATCAATTTTTATCCACCCTTTCCTCACGCTCCTCACCATCGCCCACTCACGTAACTGAGCAGCGTCACATATCGCATTCACCGAACGATCTGACGGACTCCTGCCTCTACATCGCACGTCCGGATGCGCCGCCGGTTCAATCCATTATCCACATGACCTCGGGCATGTCAGTCTCAGTTGTCGAACACCCACCGGTGGCGCCTTTCTCGTCTCACAGCGCACGGCCCGTCGTCATGTCTCGACCTCAGGTGGGCATCGAGCGACTCCCGGCTCGTCGTCTCACGAACGAACCGCGGGAGTCCATGAACTGCAAATCTTGTCGAAAGCGCAAGGTAAGTTGTGCTGCCAGGCATTGTTCGAAATGTGCCTCTTACCGTACTGCTCGTCCTAACAACACAATTTCCCCTCTCGTCTAGATAAAATGTAACAGATTGCGGCCTGCTTGCGAAGCTTGCCAGGTGTTTCAATGCGCTTGCATCTACGGTGAGTTCCTGCGCAAGTCCAGAGTTGTGTTCGTTGCCAAGCTCGTATACACATTGTCAATGCGCACGCAAAGAACACCCCATGTAAGAGTAATGCACGTCTGACCAGGTGACCGTATTCTAGATGCTGTCCCAAAGAAGCGGGGTCCGAAAACAGATATTCTGGAGGCTTTATTGAAGCGCGTTGATGGCCTTGAGCAAAAGCTCAAGGAAAAGGGAGGCGATGAAGCAGGAGCCGAGGGCAGTGAAGCCGGCGGCGCCGGATCTGGAAGTGGCAGCGGCATTTCACCGAGCTCGGATGAGTCGCCAGGGGCGGCGGCGACAACAACAGCACTTTCTGGAGATTCCTCGACAGCCTCACGCTCAAAGGCTGCTGCTGCGGATGATCCGGCAACAGAGAAGCCAAGGAAACAGTCGACCACAAATGGCCCTGAAATGCCTGCACCGGCAGTCCCAATGAAACCCGATACAGAGCTCAGCTCTTTCCAGCAGCAACAACACAAGACACCTCCGGTGCAAGTCGATACTCTACTTCACACATACTTTACTCGCTCACATGCAAAGCCTTTCCACATTCTCGATGAATCGTCATTTCGCCAACGATTGCAGCTTGGTCAGATTCCATCCCATTTGCTGGGGTCTGTCTGTGCCTTGGCATCACGGTAAGTCTGGTGTCCAGACTGTTTCTGTCATAATTTCTAGGGAACCAGAACTTAACAGTAACCACAGATATACACCTCATCCAAACGGCTACCAAGCAGCAGTCCGTCTTGGCGAAGACTACGCCTTACGCGCCCGCGCGGAAATTGACGTTGATGAACCATCAATAGACTGCCTCCAAACCTTGTTGCTTCTTGCCCTCGCCTTCGTTGCCTCCGGCAAGGGAAAGAAAGCTTACATGTTATTATGTACGGCCTTCTCTCTGCTGCTGTAACTGCGAATCTCATCTTTCATCTTTCACGAGCAACAGCTGACCATTACTAGCAAATGCCATTGGCATGGCCGTGGCCCTGGAGCTCCACCGTGAGATGGATGCCAACGCCAGTGTCACACCTGTAGAGCGTGAAATGCGGAGGCGTCTATTCTGGACATGCTACCTCCTGGACCGCTTCATGGCCTGTGGCTCGAAAAGACCGTCACTCATTCATGACAGCACAATTTTCCTCCGACTACCGAGTTGGCTGAACAGCTCCACCTCGATGCCTGTAAATGGCGACTTCTTCCAGACCGCATCTAATCTGCAGTACCTTCAAAACGGAGCAGGGAAACGGCTGCAAGGCGGAAGCGGTATGCTCATCGACATCAGCCGGATCCTCGGCATCACGAATCGCTATCTCGCCGCTGGCGGCGTCAAAGGCGACTCCCACTTTCCCTGGCACTCACTATCGAATCTATCCAAAATTCGCCAAGACCTGGACCTGTGGGCAACGGGTGCACAGGACATCTTCTCGAGCGTCGAGACGCTCTTTAGCCAACCGGACGCAACCGTTTTAGTCATGAGCAAACTCATTTATCACCTCATACACTGTCTCATCTACCGACCTTTCCTGCCCGTCGATCTTGCCGAGCTCTCCGGTACAGGGCAGCATCAGTCCTGGCAAATCGAGGCGACAAACATGTGCTTCCTGCATGCCAACGCCATTGCAGAGCTTACGGAACTTGGCAGGCAGATGCCCCAAATCGAGTGGCCTGGCTTTGTCGGCTACTGTATCTGCACCGCCGGCACGGTCCATATCCATGGAGCGCATTATAACAAGAATGCCGCAGGCAACGAGATGGGTATCTTTGCAACATCAGCCGAGTTCTTGTCCCGGGAGATGCAGCACATGGCCGAAATGCGCCATGCCTGGGCGTGTGTCGAGCACCACCGCCAAACACTGCAAAGCATCTACAGTGCGCATACGGAGCTTGTCAAGAATGTCTCCAACAGCCCCATGCGGTACTCGCCAGTGTTCCAATTGGAAGATTTTTTCGATCGGTATTTGAACATTGGCGGGCCTGGCGGCTCATCGTTCAACTTTGACGCCTCCAACCTTATATTGGCAGATGTTCTCGTTGACTTTAAGCCAGATAGCTATGCAGGCCACAACCTGTATACTACAAAGGTCGACTACAGAGACCCGTCTGGCGACACATGCAACAGTGCCAACTGTGCTAGCAGTGCCAACAATGGTGGAGCGAATTCGGCCAGTGGAGATAGTGCCATGGATGTGGTCATCCCTGAGCGGCCGAGTTTGAAGCGTCGGAAGACGGTCCCGGCGATAGCGCTTCCAGGCGGTCCCGGGGCCAATAACCCTGTTGGTGGAATGCAAACCCCTCGCAGCACGCAAACACCGGTACTGCAGCGGGGACCCTATTCAGCTGCCCCATTTTCAACGCACAACAACCCAGGCCTCCTTACATCACCAAGCTCGATGGCGCGCTCGATTCCACACCCCACCGGTAGTATCGACGACCAAATGCTAGGCAACGACAAGCAGTCTAACATGGGCGATATGCCTGGCTTGTCATTTGGCTCGCAGATGGGTCTACACGGCCAACCCCAGGAACAACAGCAGCACCCGATGCAACAACAGCAGCACCAGCCATTGCCTTCCTCGGGAACACCCTTTAGCCCAGGCTTTACCTTTTCCACTCTTGCTGGAAATGTCGCCGTGCCGGGTTCTGGATCAGCTACTCTACCTGGCGCCCATCGGGACATGGGCCACGCTGGTATGGTCCAAGGCGACGGCCAGGTCGCGCTCAGCGGCTACGACCCTATGTTTACAACAATGCCGACCAATTCCTTCGCAAGCCCTTCGCCCTGGATTGCCGATCAATCCTCCGGTGCGGGCAAGCCAACACCTGGTGTCGCTCTTCAGAACAGTCCTGACGGCCGCAGCAACGACGGCAGCACCGGAGGCACCGCGGCAGGAGATGAAAAGGATCCGTTCCTAAGTCTACTCGAGCAGCTGGCGGAGAATGAATACGCCCGGGGTCCTGGAAATGAACTGGACTTTTTCCTGGCCAGCAACGCGGGTTCGGTTTAATAGCGGTTTACCTCGGGCTGGATGTCGCCGACATATCTACAACTCTCTTATCGCGTAGATACAGCAAGTCAATTTTTGTCCTGGGTCTTGATATGTCATCGTTCAATGCACGCATCTATCGCAGCTCACAATTGCTCGGGATCCCGTCCCGAGCGTAGCTGTAACTTCGTCTTGTGTCAACGGTGAAAGCATCTCATTATACAAGCTATTAAGCACATGCATTAAGTTACGTGCATTAACAGCTTTAACCACGAATTTTACCGTTGCATTCATTTAGATGGGGCTGGAAATAACTCGCCATTTCGATAGGAATGAGAGTCGCCGGATCGAGGGTAAGTTCCTAGTTCAAGAAAGCACTTCGAAAGAGAGGAATTTACTCTATTTGTCGTTGACAGCTTTCATGCCCGGCACCGACATGGCTGTTTCTTGAAAGTGTGGTGCCATGAAGGGTCGGCCAGGGATATAAAGATACAAACCTCATGAGAGACGGACGGCAAACGCTTCCACAATCTCATCTCGGATGCGGGAGCCTAAATAGTTCTTACCCGAACAGGAAATAAAATCGTGGAAAGAGCAAAGCAAAACAAACTTTGCTCTTGCCAGTGTCGAAATAGGACGTAGCTGCCACACATTGCTCACTGCCAAAATCGGCAGGCCCGCCTTTTCCATGGTACCGCTCGTCCGATCGCAGTTTCCTGTACGAAATAAGGCATGGGATTGGAGTTGCCGGTTTGGGTAAATTTATGAACCTGTCCAGAATCCCAGCCCCTGAGCTTTATCCACGACAGTCTACAAAAACATTGCCGCAAATATTCAATGACAACAGTTCGCGACGCTTCACTGAGACCGCCGAAGCTGCGAATGAATTTGTCTCTCGCTGCGCGCGCCCCGCATCCCCGCAATCTAGGGCGTTGACGAACGCCAAGTCACTGTCGATCAATGGGGTTGCAGCCAGATCCGGTCCTCTCCAGCTGAGCCCACAGAGCCACGCGAGCGGCCAAAGAGCCATTGTGTTGGGAGCATCAGACGAAACAATAGCAGATCAGATCAGCGCCCGGCATATGGCAGCAGGCCGGTCCATTCAGACAATCGCCCAAGAACGAAACAAATACGACAAAACGAAGCAGGTTAGTTAGCCTTGTCTGTCGTGCGATGTCTTGTCCCTAGTGCCTCAAATGGCTAACCAACATCGTTAACCTACGCGTAAATTAGGGAGCTATTTTTACACGCAAGTCGGTACTTTTTGATGAACGACGGGTCCATCCAGCTGGCGGCCGTGGCTACCGATGGCTTGTTTGCTCTCTGTTCTTTCGACCCGGCGAGCTGAGCAGAACCAACAAATTTGGTAGAGCACGGGCTCCTCTGTTCGGAGAATGGCCGAGACCGTTCGGTCGATGCAGAACAGTCCAAGCATCGAAACACAGTTCTACGGGATACGTCTTCTGTCATTCGCCATTGGCTGGCCTCGTTCTCCCACGGCAGCGCAACCAAACTATGGCCTCCTTTCCCCGCCGAGCTACCAAAGCTAGTGCCATGAACAAGCATAATCAGCACAAGCATAATCAGCCCGACTCTTCCCCAGACCTGGGACATTTTCGTCATCCCCCGCTTCCCTTGCTTTCTTTGTTGGAGCTTACAACTCACCACGTTTTCTTGACCTCTTGGCCATCGCCTTGTTTTGTCTTACCGATCTTCCTATTGACTTTTGCAGCAGTCAAAGCAACTCCTCCACAGGATCTTTCTTCGCCGGCCAGCTGTTCTGCCCATTGAATCCCACGGCTTCTCTTTGGAGTCCTTTCTCAAGACCCAAACTCCACTCCAACGGCGTAAAACGGAGCACCAGTTGAATGCACTCTTATATCACCGGTGATCTCTGTCAAACAAGACAGATTTATCTACTGTACGGCCATTGCGTTTCGCTTCGCGCACACGCGACTTGGAATTGAGTGCTGCCGTCACATTCTCCACAAGTTGTTTATTTTCCCCGTTAATTGGAGACTTTCGCTACAAGGCCCCGACTTCCCTCCTTCCTCAAGCCGCACCGCTGTTGTTAACATATATAACCCTTGTTGACGGATGCGCCTTGCACTGCTCGGCGCTTCTCTTAACAGCTGGCGGAATTCGCTTTTGCGAAATTGCGCGACCAGAATTCACATGGCCTGAGAATCCGCTTTCCTCAAAATAGCGCCCCATGCATGCTTTGGCTTCCTCTTTGCGTGCAAATCCGACCTTCATTTTCTTTTTTACATATTGACTCTTAACACCTACCCGAGAAACGTGCGTGGCCTAATACATCAATTCCTTCAACTGGGCCAAATTCTTACAAAAGACGCCAATGAGCAGTGCTAGTTGCCTTGTCTCCTACCATTTGGCCACTTACTCCCTACACTACCGGCTGCTGCCAAACGACTCCGGTAGCCAAAAAGCCAACGTTCGTGGGCCAGGCCCTGTCATTCGGTAATACATGCGATCCTACGTCAATGCTTAGCCTGCTCTGTCGCATCTCTCGTCTCTGCCTCTCCACTGGGCCAAGCCTCGATTTTTTTTTCTTTGCTTTACCGCTACCTTTTTATTTCTCACTACCACGATTCTCGACATTGCCTCTCTCCTCCGTCGAACTTTGGAATGCCAAATACTATCGACGTATAATTGGCTTTTGGCCATACTCACCGAGACGAACGACGGAATTTGGCGTCCGATAGCTCGGTTCGCACGTCGCTTGGCAAAAGATGACGGAATAACGAACTTACAAGCACAAATGTCTCCGCCTGCTCCCCACACGCAATCCGAGAAACGTGGACGGTGTCCGAGGTAGCACAACCTTTCGCGTACGATTTGAGAAGGGGCGCACAAGCAACGAAGAGACATTTGTGTCCCCTGTCCGCGGTGTGCACGGGGGTGCCCGACTTGACAATGGACGCGACGGGCTCCACGATAGGGCCGGACCGGGGCCCGGCTGTCCTTGCAGTCACAGTATCAACACTAGTCCTGTGCTCTGTTTTTGTCTTTTCTCGGATGGTGTGCCGTCTCGGAATTGTACATCGCGTCGGATGGGACGACTTCTTCATCGTACTCGCTTGGCTGATTGCCTTTGGTCTCAGTCTCTCCATTATCTTGGGAACTCTGACGGGGCTCGGGAAACATGACGAAAACGTCGCGCATGACCAGCGGGCACGCCTACGGATACGCGAATATGTCTTCTCTATTCTCTATGTATGTCTTTCCGAGATGTAAAGATTTGCGACCACGGTATCTGCCTTTTTCGGCCTTACTGACCAAGCTTCTAGAACCCTGCTCTCATGGCCACAAAAACATCCATTCTCATATTTTACCTCCGGCTGTCCAAAAACACAATCCAGGTCCTTCGCCTAGGATCCTATATTGTTCTCATTGTTGTCAACGTTGCTGGCATTGTCCTTACTTTCCTCAACATCTTTCAGTGCCGGCCTGTCGATGCCGCGTTCAAAGACAACACTGGACAGTGTATCCCTCTATTAACCGAGTTCATCTGCTCTGCGCCCGTCAACATCGTCACTGACTTGGCCATCTTGGCTCTTCCAATTCCAGTTCTGACTGGCATGCACCTCCCTTCTCGACAAAAGACGATCCTCGTTGTGACATTTGCTCTCGGTATCTTCGTGGCTATTGTTGATGTCGTTCGCATTTATTATCTGCAGCAAGCGATCAACGTTGTCCACCCCAGCAGCTCCTCTGACCCCAACTCGATATTCGGAAACGGACCTGATTTTGCCTGGAATGCGTCTTTTTCTTTCATGTGGTCCGCCGTTGAGGTCAACGTCGGCATCACTTGCGCGTGCATCCCAACCCTGAAACCTCTGATGATTAAAATCTTCCCGGCTTTGGTGATTGACCCAGACGGCCCCAGCTATGGCTCTTCTTCTTACGCGAGAGGCCATGAAACGTCAAACTCCTCTTCGCGGCGTGACGCACTTCAGAACACCCGTCCTACGGTAATGGGCCACAACAGACCAGCCACCGAACCATCGCAGCCAAATCTCGCCAAGGAAACGCGGGCAGGAGGAGAGGCGACAGCCACAAGTGGTGAAGTTGTGCGTTTGGCTGGTCGAGATGGAAGCGGAGCCCAGATGATTCTTGATGAGAGCGACTCTGCTGCCCAGGGACAAAACGCGAGCCTTGGTTCTGTTGCTCCTCCTTGCCAGCCGGTTATGGCATCGGACCAGATTTCTACTGCCGATCGTGCACGGGGCGTACAACTTAGTAATCCAATTTCCGGCCAGAATGTCGGCGATTCTGCCAACCCGAATTCAAAAAGATCTCGCTCCTTCTTATCAGGAATCGCATCCACCACCCGCCACGCAATTGCCGCGATCGCCCCCAGACCTCATTCCACAAAATCTCAACCATCCAAGTCTTCCAGCCACCGAAAAGGCGTATATTTTGGGTTCGTCAAGGTCAATATGCCAAAGAACATGCTTGAAGCATCTGCATCTGAATCTTGGAGGTATTGCACCATCGTGTCCATTCTGTTCTTTCTCTGGGGGTTTTCCTATGGGCTGCTAAACACACTAAACGATGCGGTGGCCGTCGTGGCCAACATGACAACTGCCCAAACGCTTGGCCTGACAAGCGCCTATTTCGGAGGAGGATATCTCTTTGGGCCTCTTGTGGTCGGCGAGTGGGTTCTACGTCACGATGAACACCACCGCAGGCGGCCATCCGTGCCATACCGTCAAACTTCGCATCGCGAAAAGCGTCAGCGCAGTAGGCAGGCCAGTGGCTTAGCAACAATACCTGCAACGGCAGCCACCGTCGCCTCGGTCGCTACATCGGCCGTGACAAAGCATTCACGCTACTCAGACTCAAGCGAAAATCAAATCGGCGGCTTCAAGGCAACCTTTATGGTGGGCCTCTGTTTCTATGGTATTGGTACCATCATGTTCTGGCCTAGTGCTGTGCTGGCTTCGTTTCCTGGGTTTCTCATCAGCAGCTTCGTTGTTGGTTTTGGCCTCAGCATTCTCGAAACGGCTGCAAACCCGTTCATTGTCTTATGCGGTCCCATGGAGTATGCGGAGATGCGACTGCTCCTTGCGCAGGGGACGCAAGGAGTTGGAAGTGTCCTCAGCGGCCTTCTCGCTGACAACGTATTCTTCAATAAAGTCAATGCAATGGAAGACACCAAGGCGGCCGCACTGCTCGACGTTCAGTGGACCTACCTAGCAATCACACTCTTTTGCGTGGTCTTGATTTTGTTCTTCTACTATATGCCTCTTCCCGAACTGCACGACGCCGAACTCGAGTTTGCCGCAAGCCGAATGCCGGTGGACGGCCAGAAGCGCACAATTTTTGGTCTGCAGTTGCGCACTGTCTGCCTCATCTTGGCAGTCTTTGCACAATGGACGTACGTCGCGTCACAGGAAAGCATGAGCATCTACTTCCAACGTCTCGTCACGTCGTGGCTACCAGGCCCGTCAACAGCAAACGGAAACATGGCCACATTTCGTGTCGGTATCCGGGACCTACCGGCAATAGCTCTTAGCATGGCTATGGCCACCTCAAGGTCCGATTCCAATACCGGCTCTGACGCTCCGGATAGTCTGGCCGTCTCCGTCCCGAACTATTTGCTGATTGCCCACACGTCGTTCTCGGTGTCACGATTTTTCACCGCATACGTTGTGTACCTAGGAGTCCAGCACCCAAAGAACCGCTTGTTGCCAACACCACGGACTATCCTAACTATCTCGACGGCATTGGCGACGTTGTTTACTCTTCTCACCGTCGTTCTTCACCCGAGCCAAAATGCCAACCTAATCATGGTGCCCGTGGCCTTGTTCTTCTTCGCCGAAGGCCCAATATGGCCGCTTATCTTTGCCATAGGACTGCGCGGCCAAGGCGCACGCACGAAGCGTGCCGCGGCGTACATCACCATGGGCGCGTCCGGCCCGCTGTTTTGGCCTTTTGTCATGTACGCAGTCATGAGGCAGGGTGGTACCATTCAAATTGCATTCATCATTGTGGTGGCCTTGATGGCGGCATGCACGGTCTACCCACTATTCTTGACCTTTTTCCGCGATGCGCGCGAGCTGACCAAAGTGGCGCCATATGACTTTCAGCCAGGACAGGCGGGAGGGCAACATCCGGCGCGGGGCTTTGTTGGTGAGCTCGACATGACAATACTGGGCGGAGGTCCGGACGTTGGCAGTCCAGACCACAACCGGGCTCCCAAAACGCAGCCGGAGCAAGACATCGCCAGACAGCAGGACTAGGAAAAGGACACACCAGAAGTGAACGTGCCTTCTGTTCCTACAGAACTGGTAACAGCGGCTCGGCTAGCTGCAAGCCGCTCATTAGCACCGAGAGGGAATGAAGCGAGACTGCAACCGTCTGTTCAGGTTTGAACATGTGCACGCACAATACGCTCTCTCATGCTTGTAATTTCATCGACTGCGAATGGGGGCCCGTTGGTTTTATTGCGACGATACCATTTGTTGAATCTGTTTTTATTTCACATACATATATATGTTGTTGTATATTTTACATCTAAGAATAAAATAAAAGTAGCGTCTCACGACATTATCATATTTTGAACATTTTGTTTCTCGATTCGAAGTATTTTGCAACATGCCCTTTAAGTCCAACTTGAGAAACGTTCTTATCGTCCTTTTCTCTGTCTATCGCGGTGCCAGGAAATATATGCCTTGTAAAGGTATGGATAAACAATGGTGTAGATGTAAATAACGTAGATGATAGGTGCATAGACATGGTGTTGGCTCACCGGCAAGATTATGCTTCCATGGTAGTGTCGTGCTCTGCAAACGCCTCGAGGATCTCCTCTTCTTCGTCCTCGTCGCCGAAGACAGCACTACCTTCAGCCGTGTCAACAGCTGGCAGAGGCTTCGGTGCCGTCCAGCCGGTGCCAGCCTGGACAAGAATGACCACCAGAGCTACGATAGCAGCCCAGCGGTAGAGCTCGCCCAGTGCCGACTCGTAGCCCGATACGGCCACCCGACGCTCCGCGTCGTTGAGCACTGCGTGGCCCTGTCGGTCGTTGCCAAACACGAGCGCGGGGCTGCCGGCCAGCTGCGTGATGAGCGTGCGGCGAGCGCTGCTCAGGTTGCCGCCGTCCAGCTGCGCGAACCCATCGGCCAGCTGGATGGCCAGGCGGCGCATAAAGAAGCCGCCACCAATGGATGTTCCAAAGCTTCCAGCGAAGCCGCGAAAGGTGGCGAGCAGGCTCGTAATGATAAAGTGCGTCGAGGGCCGCGTTAGGTGCAGCACGTGGGCCAGGGTGTAGTTGAGGTATGCGCCCGTGCAGAAGCCATTGGCAAACAGGGCCAGGACGTAGGCGGCCGTACTGAGGCCGGACGCGTCGGCGCGGCTGAGAAGGCCGACCGCGGCGAGCGAGCCGGCAAACAAGAAGAGAGACACGACGCAGGGCAGCCAGAAGGCGCCGGAGCGGCGCACATGGAGCCACCCAATAACAAGGCCGCCAATGCCGAACCCGACATTGGTCGGGATCAGGGCCGAGCCCGAGGTGGCGGCCGAGAAGCCGCGCACGGCCAACACGTAGATGGGCGCATAGTAGAGAACGGTCCAGCGGGCGGACATGACACCGAGCTGTGCGAGACAGGAAAACAGGACGCCGCGCGACCGGAGCACCTCGACCGGGACAATGGGCTCGCCACCCGTGACACGGGGCACGTACCAGACGTCAGTGGCAATGAACAGCAGCAGGCTGACGCCCGATAGCAGTATATACTTGGGATGAACGGTGCCGGACAGGCCGTACAAGAACAAGAGGATGGTGAGCGCCAGCAGTGCGGCGCCGAGGTAGTCAATGCGGGCCAGTTTCTGCCACACGGTGAGCTCGCGACCATGCTTGTCGACCGGCGTCGCGCCGCCACCGAGCTCATGGGCACCGAGTTTCGGCATGCTGAGCAGGACGCCGACACCGGCCAGCAGGGCAAAGGGGGCCTGCATCAAAAACAGCACGCGCCAGCCCACGGCCGCCTGCAGGGCGCCGTACACGATGGCACCCGACGACAGGCCAATGGTGAAGCCAGCGTTGGCGAGGCCGACAAAGAGACCCCGGCGGCGCTTGCTGGTAAACTGCAGCACCGCAATCAGCGTCAGGGACATGGTGCCCGCAGCGCCCAAGCCGACAATGACACGTCCCAGCAAGAAGATGGGGAGAGATTGGGCGTAGGCCGTCACGACGGCACCCACGGCAAAGCACAAGCTGGAGGCGGCGATGAGGTGCGAGGGCGCAAACACGGTGGCCAGGCGGCCGATGACGGGCGCAAACGACGCGGACGAGATGAGGTAGGCGCTCGTGAACCACATGGCGTGCTCGTAGGCGTCGAGGTCGGCGGCGACGGCAGACTGGGCCATGGTCATGCCGCTCACGTTGCTGGCCTGGAGGAAGATGAGCACCCACATGCTGAAGACAATGGCGTAGGTGCGGCCTGGGGTCAGGAGGTGCGAGTTGGCCGCCGAGGAGGCGTCGGACAGGCGCCTGCGAGCGCTGCTTCGGCTGGCGGCATCGTCGTTGTCGGTTGCGTTGGCAGTATCACCGGGCACGCCGGTCGTCGAGCTGCTAGACGAGCCATTCGAAAAGCCGTTGGAAAAGCCGCTGGAAAAGCCGTTGGAGTAGCCGATGGTGCGTTGGCCGCCGGCCGCCGGCGGCAGGAGCGGGTCGATCTCGGAGCCGGTCTGGCGGCTGTTTGTTACTTGCGCCATGGGTAGACGTTGTATAGGATTCTGCAGACAAGAGAAGAAAAAGGAGGCCGGAAAGTCTCAACCCGTGGGATACATTGCAGATCGACGACGCGAAGCCGCCAGGCAACTGATCGACCGATACGCGGAGTGCCTTATCGCCAAGTGGGATAGAGCCGTTGTCGATGGGATCTGATTAGACAGCCAAATCGTCGATGGTGGACAGATTGGAAACGCTGGCCATCTTTGAATGATGGAAACGTGTGAAAAGGATGGAGAAACTGAAAAGGGAGACAAAAATACAAATAGGAAAATGCTCAGGGGATGGCAGGAAGGCACGGATAATGATCGCTCCTGCTCGGGGAAAGTTCGACGGGCGTGGTCGGCCAGTTCTTGCCCTGTCTGGAGAATGGTTGCTGACGCCAGAATAAGAAGGAAGCACGTCTCCGGCGATGCAGTTCGGCGTCTCGGTAAGACGGGGAAACGTTTTCAACTGCGCTAACCTGCCGAGCCCGCACAGGCCATAGCCTCACAAGGATCGCTCATCGGCGAACCAGCGTTCCCAAAACATCGCCTTCGGTGTCTCTACAAATTACTGCTCTGTCATACTCGTCCCAAACAGGCAGGCCCTGTCGTGCCCATAAAAAGTGGATCCATTCCTACGCTCTTTCCCAACCTTTGCTAATTGACAGCCATGGAGAGATAGTGTCGCATCGTTCGGTGCAGCCCGAAATCGGAGCATATTGTTCGGCTTCAATGCCGGTGCCATGGACCACCGGGGGCCGCAACGACGCCCCATGTAGGATATACTGTTCGTGTTCATTGTGCTGTTCTATTGCTATGCTTTTCGCTTGCCGTGTGGTGCCATCCAAAGCAGACGACACATGCTCCATATTCTACGCCGGCCTACCGAGAATCCTGTCAAACACGTCCACGCCGTGAATGCCCAGCCCCGTGCCAACACCCACCGCATAGGCCCCCACGCTCTTCATCCGCCCAAACCCTGCTGCGTCTGACACGCCGCCTGCGCCTACGATCTGAATGTGGCCCAGTGCGGCCGGCTCGGCGTCGAGACGCTTGCGCAGCGTCGCCACATTGCCCAACGCAATCGGGTGCAGCGGCGCGCCAGCCATGCCGCCAATACCGCCACCTGGCAGAGCCGGTGTCGGGCCCGACTCTCCAGCCGTCATGACGAGGCACGAGCCGAGCGTGTTCGTTGACGTCAGGAAGCTGATGGGGCACACGCCGGTGCGGCTGCTGGTGGCCGAGGCCCGCAACGCATCGATGAGGACGTCGAATTGGCCGGCGTGTGTATACGGCGGCGTCTTGAAGCCGAACGGGATGGTAGTGCCGTCGGCCGCGCACACAGTCGCAGCTGCGCCCCGGATGGCTGTCAGATACGACAGCAACGCCTTCCCATCGTATGCCGGCGGCGGTGCGTTGGGAATGTTGGGGCAGCTGAGGTTGACTTCCATTGCCAGCGGGACGCCGCTGGGATCCGGCAGTCCGCGTTGCGCGGCGGCGATGCACGTGTAGCACTCGGCCACGTCGTCGGGCCCGCCCGTGACAGACACCAGGAACCCTTTCGGCTTGGTGGTGGACGGCGTTGAAGACACCGACGCGGCGCGCGACTCGGCAATTGTCTGGATAAAGCCCAGGTATTCGCCGAGCGTCAGCGGGCTGTATCCGAGCGTGTTGAGGCTGGCGCTGTTGGCTTGTGCTCCGGATGCGGCAGTCACTGCTGGGTCGTGCGTGGCGGCGTCGAAGAAGGTAAACTGGTGCAGCTCTGGATGATGCCCGAACCCAGCCAGCAGCGAAGTGCGCGTGGTGACAGCGCCGGTATGCGGACAGTTGTAGAGCCTTGTCAAGTCGGCCAGGTCCGTTGCCCACGGGTTGGCCGTGTTGAGCAGCGGCGGGTCGATTGTGAGCGGTGGAGGTGGGAGGGCCATGTTGCGACTGTAAAGGCGTATGTATTGAAGACACAAGCATACACACAACAACAAAGAAAAAGTAAAAAAAGACAAACAAAGCCAGGCTGGCTGTCGTCGATTTGTGTGCGGCTCTATGAAACGGTAATATGTTGTGTCGAACTTGATATGAGAGGCGGGGTTGGCCGATGGTTGGAGAGATAAGATAATGCCCGTTGGTGCTGCTGTCAAAGGCTTCCCAATGGGAACCACGCCTGGCAGCAAAACCATCCTGACAACCGGGCTGCGCTTATACGTTAACAGTTTTCTTCTTCTTCTTCATTTGGTTGGATGCCGCCTTTCGGCGTCGTCCTTGGTTGCTGCCGGGTCTCCAGCAGCGGGCCGCATTTAAAAGAGGTCGTCAATGGCCTTGTCAGAGTCCTTGCGAATCAAATCCACCATACCCTGTTCTTGTCAGTATTACGCGCCTAATTGAAAGCCAATCGAACGTCGACCGTTGCTGCTTCGGATGCAATATCCATACCTCGGGCATGATGGGCTTGCCGTCGTCGCCCTGAACATAGCGGAAAGGCATTTCCGTGCTTTCGTGCTCGTTGAACTTGAGCTCGGGGAAATCGAGGTACGGGATGTCGTCCAGGGCGACTGTGCCTTGTTAGCAGCTGGTCGGCAGTATGAACCACCCTCGGAGCATGTTGATTTAACGCACTCTTCTGTTCGACCACAATACGTGTCACACGGGCCGCCGTGTCCGTTGTCATCTGCTTGGGGCCAAGGCGGCGCCCGGTGAAGCCCTTTGCGCGGAGTTCGGACGTGCGGTCTACCACGTTGGTCAGCAAGGCCTCATATGCCCACCGGAGAAGCCAGCACGGTTTCAAGCTCACCTCTCGGCGGGTTGTCGCCCAGAATGCCGCCAAACAGAAACACGTCAAACAGTTCGCCGTCCTCGGGCGACAGCTCCTGTGCGGCCGCGGGATCCAGCAGGCACACGCGCGCCTTCTTGGCCGGATCTTGGCCGTAGATCTCCTCCACGCCCCGCGTCTCTGCCACAAAGCCCGGCATGTCCTTCAGCTCCTGGGGCAGGGCCAGAGTTGCCGGGATCGACGACAGGCAAAAGTCGCCCGTCTCGCGCGCAATCGTAATGTACTCGAGCTCAGACCATTGACCCAATTCCTCGTCGAGGTGCTCAACAATGTATGTTTTGCCCATTTTCGTATCGTGTGGCGAGAGTTCGAGGCTATTGCCTGGCAAGTTCGACTGGTCGGCCGAAAAAAGACGGTATTTTGGCTCTGCAATATTGCTTCAATGTCTCCCTATAAAGAGAGCTCCAATTTCCTATCAGCTATATCTTTTTTTTTTTTTTTTTTTTAGCCCCTCACCTACTGTCATTGCCGAATCTCGCCTTACCTAATATAAAGTGGGTCGTCTAATGTCCATCGAAACGGGAGCAACGATCCTCGCCGCTCCTGCCCCTGGCTCGTCTCGAATTGCCCAGATAAAACGAACGCAACAATGTAAAACGCATCAAATACGGAAGGCAAGCACGATGGCAAAGGGGCGCGTGTGGTCTGCCCCCTTCTTTTCTTCTTTCTGTGCAGTATTATTATTTATTCTTTCTTCCCTCTCTCTCCATTTCCTCTTGTCAGCCGGAACGGCACCTATTCATGCCTCTTTTCGGCGATACGTCTGTTGGTCTACAACGTATCTTGGTTTAAGATAAGATTACAACATTGGCTAAGCCCGACAGCTGTTGACTGCCCACTGACAGACCGTTGTCTTCCACTGTAATCCGCCCTGTAGTGCTAGCGCGGGTTTGGCAACGCCTAGACTTGCGACGCCTGCTTCCGGAGCTCACGGATCCACTATTTTGCCCCAATTTGAAGTTTGGTCCACTGCGCTGAGTGGGAAGGGGCAACTGATCCAGCCTCAGCGGTGCACAGAGCCTCTAGTGACTGCTAATTCTCCGTATAGAGTCACATTACAGGGCACAAGGCACCCGCATTTTTCAGTGCTCGTATTATCACTATCGCTCAGGCTGCGTCAGCTCCCCAGAGGCAAGCTTAGCATCTAGGGAATCCACATTGACCTCGTCTTGTGCTCCTTCCCGCTCCCCACGCGCAAGGACACCTACTTCATATTGAAGATCCGAACCGCCCTCTCCATCTGTCGCTCTCTCTATTCTATCTACCTCGACGGATTGCGCACATCGACATATTCCCGCCCCCTTCTCTTCCCTTCCCTTTCTTGGCTTTATATTTCGTCATTCCTGCATGTGTGCTCTTGACGAGCCTGCCGTGCACCAGACGAAGCCTACGGGGATTGGTTCCAGATCCATCCAGGCGGTGTTTTCGTTTTCTGTTTTCGTTTCAGAATTTCCTTCACTTTGGCCTTTGCACTGTGTTTCTTTTTCGGCTGCGATCATCTCCCAGTCTTGACGTATTCTCGCTTCTCTTGGCTTGAACTTGTCCCTTCTTGCCGACCTCATCCATCGATCTTAGACAAGGCGACCATCTCCACGACAAGCCTCCCTATCGTTTCCTCTCGGCCACCACCAGCGTCTACCTCATTACGTCCCCCCGCAGTCGCGCCTCGTAGCGACGTCTACGACCGGCGCACGTGGCCGATTGACTCCTCTCTGCTTCACCCGGCACGAACGGCCCGAGCACATACTCTTACAGACCGACTACGATGGCTGCTGCCACGCGACCGTCATCATGGCGGAGGTGGCCGGCTATCGCTGCCGTAGCGGCTGCGGCCGTCTCTCTCTTTACGAGCGGCGCACAGGCTGCGTCGGCCGGCGACTACTTTGTGCACTCGCTGCCGGGCGCGCCGCCAGGACCGTTGCTGAAGATGCATGCAGGGTGAGTAGGCCAGAAACAAGAGCATGAATACAATGCCTCGCAGCGTCTGTGATATAAAGAGTACAGGACAAGCTAACATGCTTACAGCCACATTGAAGTCACACCAGAACACAACGGCAACATGTTCTTCTGGCACTTCCAAAACAAGCACATTGCGAACCGGCAACGGACCGTCATCTGGCTCAACGGCGGCCCGGGCTGTAGCTCAGAAGACGGCGCCATGATGGAGGTGGGCCCGTACCGCCTCAAGGACGAGAACACGCTGGTGTACAACGACGGCGCGTGGAACGAGTTTGCCAACGTCATGTTCGTCGACAACCCCGTCGGCACGGGCTTTAGTTACGTCGACACCGACAGCTACATCCACGAGCTAGACGAGATGGCCGCACAGTTTATGACGTTTTTGGAGAAGTGGTTCGCGCTGTTCCCCGAGTACGAGCACGACGATGTAAGCCGCGCTCCCCGTAGACGAATGCGGCTATGACTTGAATGAAACGAATGCTAACTGGCGCAGCTGTACCTCGCGGGCGAGTCGTTTGCGGGCCAGCACATCCCTTACATCGCCAAGTACATCCTCGCACGCAACAAGAAGCCCGAAACGAAGACCAAGTGGGAGCTCAAGGGCATGCTCATCGGCAACGGCTGGATCTCGCCGCCCGAGCAGTACGAGGCCTACCTCGACTTCGCCTACGAAAAGAACCTCATCGCCAAAGACTCCGTTGCTGCGCAAGCGCTGGAGCAGCAGCGCCGCATCTGCCTGAAGGACTTGGCCGCCGGGACCATACGCAGCGTGGACATGCCGTCGTGCGAGAGCATCCTGCAGCAGCTGCTCCTCAAGACCAACCTCAACAAGGGCGGCGACCAGGACTGCATCAACATGTACGACGTGCGCCTGCGCGACAGCTACCCGAGCTGCGGCATGAACTGGCCGCCCGACCTCAAGCACCTGACGCCCTACCTGCGGCGCCCTGAAGTCGTCACCGCCCTGCACATCAACCCCAACAAGAACACGGGCTGGTCCGAGTGCAACGGCAACGTCGGCTCGCAGTTCCGCGACCGCCAGTCGCAGGCATCGATTACGTTCCTGCCGGACCTGTTGGCCGAGGTGCCCGTCATTCTGTTCTCGGGCGCCGAAGACCTGATCTGCAACCACCGGGGCACCGAGGCACTCATTAGCAACATGCAGTGGAACGGCGGCAAAGGCTTCGAACTGAGCCCGGGCAACTGGGCCCCGCGGCGCGAGTGGACGTTTGAGGGCGAGAACGCCGGGTTCTGGCAGGAGGCGCGCAACCTCACGTACGTGCTGTTCTACAACTCGTCGCACATGGTGCCCTTTGACTTCCCGCGGCGCACGCGCGACATGCTCGACCGCTTCATGGGCGTGGACATTAGCAGCATCGGCGGCACGCCGACGGACTCGCGCCTAGACGGCGAAAAGGGTGCCGAGACGTCGGTGGGTGGCGCCGCCGGCAACAGCACGTCGCAGCAGGCGGCGGAAAAGGCCAAGCTGGACGCGGCCAAGTGGCAGGCGTACCGCAAGAGCGGCGAGGTCGTGCTGGTGATTGTGGCCGTCGCCGCCACGGCGTGGGGCTACTATGTCTGGCGCGAGCGCCGCAAGGCCCGCCGCGCCGGCTACCGCAACGTGGCCAACGGCCCGTCGTCGTCGGACACGCGGCTCCCTATGATGCAGGGCGCCCGCAGCAGCTGGCATGGCAACAGAAATGGCCATGGCAGCGGCGGCGGCGGCGGCTCGCGTCTCGAGAGCTTCGGCCGGCGGCGGTCCAACCGCGACCTCGAGGCGGGCGATTTTGACGAGAACGAGCTGGACGACCTGCACGCGACATCGCCGACAAACGAGGACCGGCGGTACAGCCTGGGCGGTGACAGCGACGACGACGGTGGCAATGCAGGCGGCGACAACAAGGCGGCGACAAAACCGGCTGGCAACGGCGTGGACGCAAAAAAGGACAGCAACAAGTAGAACAGGGGAGGGACCGTGTGAAAAGAGGGGTGGGGTACAGAGAGAGGAGAAGGGATATTTCATGAAACTGAAATACGTAAAAACAAAGGAGGGATAAGCCGAAAGGCTCCAATCTCCACGCGTCCATATGGATGTTCCAAGACAATATTTTGTTTAGTCATAGCCAGTCGTTTCTTTTGTTGTCTCTTTCTATTGCTCCTTTTCTGTTTCTTGGGGTCCAGGCCTGCACATGTTGTTATCATTTGGGTAGTTCTTGCTTTTGCCTACTTGTACATAGCAAACCATTTGCAGATATCCCATCAGCTGTATCTGACGTTGTCATTTTCGGGGTGTTCTTTACAACACGACGTCCTTACCTGGTATCGCCACACCAAGGCAGCTGTCCAAGGGAAGCGTATTCGTGGACATGACAAGATTGTTGAGTGCGGTCTTTCAGCAGACCTAGAAAAGGCAGCAATGAGGCAAATCCCCCGGTGTAAGGGATGTATTGCCTTTGTGACAGTGTCCACTACCTGCCCTCCTTCAGACATATCCGTTCACCGCGGTCTATCAGACTCTCGGGCAGTTTTCTCGCTTCTGGACTGGTCCGCCTCGGGATGACGCGGCGATATCGGTGTGCAATGGCTCATCTGCTGTCTCATAATTCCGCGTCGATCTTGTCGCGACACTCGTCGAAGAGGCGCCTAGACCTGCTTGGCCTGGCAACTCGTTTCCGATATCGGTACACGTCTGGCAGGAGCTGGGGGTTCGAACGAAGCAGTCGATTGCAGTTGCCAACAGAACCCTTATGTCATAGTGGAGATGCAGTTGTCCATCGTGGGCCGATACGAGGGCCCGCTTTGTGAGCGCAGAGTAAACAGTCAGCCGCTGCCGAGACCAGGACCCTCTCGCCTGCAGAAGCTTTTATCGGCGTGCAGGGGTTTGCGATAAAGCTGTCTTGTCCTCTTTCTGGACCGACGCAGCTTGTGCGATGCCTTGTCCTAGGTCGTGTAACACACTTTGTATGCCGTGCAGTGTTTTGTTGCGTCTTTGTGCTTTCTCCGTCGTCGAAAACATCACGCCACAATTTCTGGAGTATTTCCAGTGTTGCCAAGCCATCGTGACACACAACGGGAGTAGGGAGAACGGAAGCCAATGGGGGATCGGTGAGAAGGGCATTGCAAGACAGTGGCTAAGAGCTGTGTCAAGACAAAATCCCCGAAATTGGTCCTTTTTGTCTCGGCGTGCTTGTGGTTTGTCGGGGTAAAGACAACTCTGATTTTACGAAGACAGCTGTCGACGTCATCGCGTGATGTCCAGCCCCATTTCGTTCCTTCCTGTCTCGACAAACTTGGGACCTTGGCAGAGAGAACAGGCAAGAGCAAACGACAACAAAAGGTCCTGTGACCTGTTGACTCACTCTGGGTGGAGATCAGAGCCTCCAAGAACGAGCGGAGGGATGGGAAGAAACAAAACAAACAAAACATCGTCGCCGTTGCAGCTCGCCATTCTGCCAATTCTGGCAGCTTCTAGGCCTGTGGACCCTGACGGAGCTGTTCTCTTCTAGTTACTCTCTACTTCCTACGTCGTAGTTGCTCAGCTTTGCGCTGCACTGCAGTCGCAGCCTGCGGTGGGGTGTGTGCGGCAGTAGCGCCTGCCCTGTGTTCTAACTGTGAACTGCTTCGGGCGGGTGGGACTGACGGGGCGTCCTGCGCGTGATCGCGTGCTGTGTATCTGAAAGTGGAGAGGGACCCGTTTTGTGGGATGAAGAAGCAACGACGTAATAGGACGTCGTTGTCTGTAGGGACAGCCCTGCCCTCTCAACACCTTTGTTCCTGAATTGACTTTTTGCAACTGGAAATCCCTCTTCAAGCTTGCCAGCTTAGCAAGGAACAGTTAAGGGGTGCAAGAGAACAGAAAGGGGAAAAGCCGAGAGGTGGGAGAGTGGGGGGAGTGGGAGAAGAGGAGAATGGCTGAGAATGGCAGAATGGGTAGTATGGCCACGGGAAGACGTGGGATTCAACTTGACCGTCATCCAGTGTCTTGGCCACCTGGCTTCTGGGCCACGATTGCCTCAGCGAACGATGCGTACGATACGGATGAGACAGAGCGAACAGAAATAGGGAGACAGCATGTCCTCATAACTGGCGCAGGCGAAAAGGTCACTTGGCCGGACTACATACGAGCCCAGGCTGGAGGAGAGCAAAAAAAGAACCAAGTTATAAAACAATGGATAAACTACCTCAGAGGGCAAAAGGGCGGTAATGCTGAGACGGCGTCTGGCATCGTCCGTCCTTGTTCTTTGTTCTTTGTGATCACTGTGATCACTGTGATCACTGCTCACGAGGGCAGTTTACGGTGGGGGTGAGAAAGGCCCGAAGGGCAGCGGTGGAATGGATGCTCTGGTGGTAGTGTTCTTCTGGAAACAGCGAGAAAGAGAGGGACACGTACGACGATTACAGCGCTGCAAACGCCTTGCACTGCCCTGTAATTACCTTCGACCTTTGCCAGCGCAGGAATGCCAGCAGCCAGGACCCACATTTACCAGAGAACAACAAAGGATCCACCCTCTCAGGCGACGCTAGCAAGGGCCAGTTTTGCGGGGTATTGCATGGTGGCGCATGGTGTGGTAACTGTTTGGGTTTGTGAGCACCAGAGCACCTTCGTCGGGCCACCCTTCTCTGTCTCCGCCTCTCACTCCAACGCTTTTATCCTCTCATTTCGTCTCCCACCTGTCTCATTTGCCCTCCTCCGGTGCCATCTCCGAGAATGTCAGCGCCCTCTACAACATACTCCGTACGTTTGGCACTTGTCGGGGTGCAGGAAGAATCTCCCGGTTGCAGATTTTGGGATCAACGAGGTGGATGGAGAAACAAGAGGCAGGAGCGGTCGGAACGAAAGAGCTAGAGTGGGTCGGCTGATGTCACAGAACGGACAGGACAGCAAACATTTATGGGTCCTTTCTGAGAAAACGAGAGCAGGGACACTCTCGACACTGTTTCTGCTTGCCACCGTCATCTGCTTGGTGTTTGTCAACTGGGTACGATTGCAGGATATCAACTGGATTCGTGGATGTAGAATGCAAGGCACCATGGAAACAGAGACATTGACAAACGTCTCTCGACAGGCCCAGGAACAGCCCCGAGCAAGAGCAACGAGCAGCCAGCAGCCGTTGGAAGGACCATTTGCGCGGGAGCGTACTGTACGGACATTGGAGCATGTTACTGGGGCTTGCTTGCAGGCATCAGAGGGAAGTGCATTCCATTCGGAGGCCACACAACCATTCGCCGATCGCGTGAGATGACGGATAACGAGGAACGGGCAAGACAGAATCTACGAGAAAATGACAAAGTGGGCGATAGGGAGAGGAGAACAGAGAGAGGAGGCAGAGAGCCAAGGTGGGAAGGCGGTATCCTCTTGGATGTTTTGTTGGGGAAAAGGTGAGCGAGTGACCGATAGCAAACAAACGAAGAGGATCTGGCTCGAGGCGTGGAAAAAGAATTACACTAGTCGTCTACACGGCGAGTACACCGTCCGCTCTGTTTCGCCGGCCATATTGTGTGTACGAAATACTGCCAAAGGCGTAGCAGGGGGGTGCGCGAATGTGTCAATCGTGCTTTCCCGCCCCTGGTTGCGTCAGGTCACGCGACTCTGATTCGGGGACGTCCCAATGGGAGACGTCACCACAGCGTAGCTCGCCTGACCTTGTGTGGGGTGGGGGAACAGGAGAGGAAAGGGAAAGAACGACCGGAGAAAGAAAGGGAAAGAGCGACACTGGAGCTCTTGGAAGCAAACGGGAATGGCGGCTGGTTGAACAGACCAAGGCAGTAGGGGGCAGGAACGGATTGCCGTATGAGTGGCCTGTTCGTGAGGTTGCTTCCTTCCCCCATCTACTCTTTCCTGCTCGCCTGCCTCACTGTAACTGTCCCCGATTCCACCATCGCTTTAAAAGAGACCATCCCGTCCACACTCTGCATCTCCCATTTCCTTCTCCTCTCCCTCTGCATCTCTGCTTCACACCATCACAAACCACGCAACAACCAAAGACATCCGAACAACGTCAGCTTGCAGGAGCTCTCCAACACAGCCAACCACACTCTTCGCCCTCTCTCTGCTACTCTATCGCTCCCCCTTTCTCTCGCTACATCGTATCACTTAAACCGCTCATCTTGTCATCCAACCAACCATCCATCCATCCATCTTCCACTTCTGCCATCGAGCCAGCACGTAGCTCAACCGCCGAGGCCAATCACAATCGTCTCCGCCCACGCTTGCTTTTCTAAACTCATTGGACTGTCGGCCTGGACTACCCACTTGTCACTGCACATCCGCGTCGTCCTTTGTTCCTCGCCTCGTCTCTGATAGCCGACTTTCGAAAGCCTTCTAGTTTTCTCCCTTGTCTCGTTTCTCTTCGCTGCTGCTCTTGTCTTGTCTTCCATTTCACCTTATCGTCCTATTTCCCTTGGCTTTCATTCAAACGTTTGACGACAATCCCCTATCTTCCTTCGTCATCTCTATCAACATCCCGTCTCTTATCACGCAAACGCCCCAGCCGGTTCATCTATCAACCATCCACGAGCGTCACACGGGTATCACTTGGCAGCGTATTCAGCACCATTTTTTATCAACTTCGCCAACAGTAAGTTTTATCTACTCCTTGGCTATATCGCGGTATTTTGCCCGTCGATTGCCTCTGCTTTGTCAGACTAGCCCTTGGCGACCATCGGAAGTACATCCCCAATTCCCTTTGCCTATCATACTCTGCTCAGCACTGGACCTCTTGGTGCGTCTCAGTTGTCCTGCTACTCCTCAACACTGTTCGGAACCTACGTTATTTAGATGACCCCGCACTACATCGTCGTTTATAAGGGCGTCCTCCCCCTAACACATCTCACAGGAATTTCCCTGGCGTTTCATCTTTCTTTTTTCCTTCCCTTCCACCTTTCCGTTCCACATTCCATCCTTCAACAGTCAGTATTTCATGCATCCATCTCCGGGCTGTCTCTACATTCATCATAGTGTGATGTTTGTTGGTGCTGTGGATATTTTGATGCATATATATACATATATATACATATATATACATATATATACATATGTATCAAATGCTATTGTCTAGAGCAACTTCTAACAGCATGCAGTGACTCGCTCTCACAAGTTCAACGACCGTCCGCGTGGCGACATGGCCGATGCCTACTCGCCTGACGACAACATGCCCAAGTTCTTTGCCAAGAACGGGTTTGCCGACGCCGACCCCAAGAAGACCAAGAAGAACGGCAATGGCAAGGGCAACTGGGGCAGCATGGGCGACGAGGTCAATGACCAGCCCTTCAACTTTGCCAACCCTCGCCGCCGCTCCAACAGCAGCTCCATGACCACCGACATCAAGAACTTCAAGACCAAGTTTGACGTCAACGAGCCTGAGCCCGTCTTCGAGGAGGGCATCCACGGTCCCCTCGAGGACGACGAGGACATGCTCCGCTCCATGGACTCGAACTCGACCGAGGGCTCCGAGGACATGAAGAACTAGGTAGACTGTATCTCTATTCTTCCAACATGATGGGCATATGAGCACGTCTACGCGAAATGGCCTTGTCTTTCTTCATTCATTTCTGTCTCAACATTTTTATTTTCCACGCCCGCTTTTGTCTGCACAGCCATTTCTCATGTCATCATTGCCTTATCTCTTTTGCTTCTTACTTTCCCTTTACTTGTGTACGGAATTATGGGAAATTTTCATGTGTATGTATGATTCGACTTTCATCGGTTTGGAACGGGACGGACGGTTTTATCGGTACGGAGACAACGAAACGCTTAACGAAACTCAACTTACGGCGACGCGAATGTATTCATACCTGACGATATATTGCGCGGCTCGCAGCATATAACGAAACATTACTATTATCTCTATTCTGTTTGCATTGCACTAGACGACGGGGCTCTGCCTCTGGCTCTGGCCATGCGATCCAGGTGTACCATATAATTAGCTAGCAACGAAAACAAAACAAACATGCTCATAGGATCATTCATATTCACGATCGTGACTGTCATGAAACCCATCAACCACGCAAGGCGACGTCCCAGGAAATGTCCTTGGCAAACGCGGTCGTACGTGAAAAAGCCCCAACGGCCCGCGCAGCGGGTTTTGTGCCGTAGCCCTCAATCTTAATAGAGCCGATCCGCAGACAGGCGTGTCCATTGTCCAGGTCTGTGCGATCCACGCCCACGGGCACGACAATGCTCGTCCCGTCTACGACAAAGGGGAGCGTCACCCGCTGTTGCTGTTGCTGTTGCTGATGCTGTTGCTGTTCTTGTTGTCCTGCCGCATCTTGCACAAACGTCAGCGCCTTCACACCGTCACCTGGCCATTCGCCGCCCTGGTCTGCCACCAACGCAGTCCGCAACGCTTCGCGGAGAGCAGTCGGACACGATACGAGGCCCATGTTGTCGAGGATGGCCCGCTTCCGTTGACCGCCAGGAGCGTTGGACGACGACGGTCGTGTCTCCAAGTGTGTCCACAGTGCACCCAACGCCCTCGCCCGGCGGTCAATGTCGGCGGACGTCGTTTGGGCCGCGTTCACTGCGCTCACCGCGCTCACCTCCGGCACGTGACGCCACACCACCTGCCGGTCGGCCTTGCTCAGTTTCGGCGCGGCTGCGGGAGGGAATGGCGGGGTGTACGTGACAGGCGTCTCCGACGCACGCTCGGGCAGGTAGAGACCCCTCCGCAGCACGTCGCTCAGCAAGTGTGCGCCGATGGGGGCCAGCCTCTCGTGCAGGTCGGCCGCCGTCACGCGGTCTGGGAGGGCGATGCCAAAGGGGTGCTCGGCATTGACCTTGTCGTGGCCCTCGACGGGGCCCTCGACGGGACCCTGCAGCAGCCGCCGTCCGCCGTCAAAGGTCGTTTCGTGCAGCGTCTGCACGGTCACGCCCGTGCGCGTCCGGCCCAGCAGCACCGCGTGCTCGATCGGGGCGGCGCCGTGCAGGTCGGGCAGCAGCGACGGGTGCACGTTCAGGCCACCGAAGCGCGCAGCGCGCAGCAGCCGCGGAGGCACAAACAAGCCAAACGAGACGGCCACGACAAGGTTGATGCCGCGACCGGACGCGGCAGGCGGCGGCGTCCAGCCGGTAAACGTGTCGCGCTCGTGGATGGGGAGGCCCAGCTGCGTGGCCAGAACTTTGACGGGGCCTGCTCAGTGGTCAGCGGCAAAAGATGCAAACCGTCGGTTCATTTTTTTCCTCGGTCCATCCGTAGACGCGGGCACATACTGTCTACGGCCTGCTTCATCCCACGGCCACTCCGCTTGGCGGGGCGGACGACAACATCAAGAGAAGCAATGCGGCCGGGCCGGTCCGGGGACACAGCCATTCCGTCGGTCTTTTGCTGCAGCATGACATCGTAGAGCGCCTGCAGGGACGCGCAGCTAAAGGCGTCGGAGCCGCAGAAGAGAATCCGGAGCGGCTCGTGGTATGGCGTGTCTGAGTACTGTCGGATGAGGCGCGGGCTGCTGGTCGAAGGAGCTCGCCTGGTCCGGAGCAAGGGAGACACAGCCGGCTTAATTGGTATACATTTGGACGTGTATGCCAGAGGCCGCCATAAGGAGGGCCCGGCAGCCATTCTTGTCGATTTCCTATCCTGGGTCGTCGTGGGACGCACCGGCCATTTGGGAGTTGACGTCGGGCGTAGCGTGTTTTCTTCTGCGCACCCAAAATATCAAATATCACCAGGCAAAAAGTCGTGCAAGGCATGAGGGTCCACTTTGATTGGCCGTACGTACGACAACTCCACTCCACTGACAGCCTCGCCGGCAGAATTGCGCAACGAACAGATCAATCACAACGTGTAATATCTTTCATTTAATCGTTTTTGTCACATTCAGAAACATCATTAAGCTCATGCGTCTCGTAGTTCCTCGTGCAAGCACCAGTCGCTGGCAACGATCCACGACTGGCCAGCCAGAGGGATTTCCCATGCCGGATGGGATATGGACACGACAGTCTGTTTTGGTGGTTCTGCATTCCCAGAGGGGCCGTCAGATACATCGCTCATACCGTCCACAGCGCTGTGTCCAGCTTTCAGGTCTGTCGTCCACGGTCTTCCCGCACCGGCCAACAATAGCCGAGCAGGTGGCATTGCCTCTGTAGTTTCTGTGTCGTCTCTTTTCGAAGCAGGTTTCTGTTGCCTCCGGCCGACGGCAAGGCGCACCATCCCAGGCATCTGCCGTGTCTCATCGATAACAAATCGACCCAGGCCACCTGCAGCCGTAGGCATCGATGTCGCCGTGTGCATCCCACCACCGCTCTTGACTTGCAGCAGCCAGTCTCGCAGCGACGCTGCCAGTCCACCAGGCACGTACTGTTCGGGGGCCGTAATGGCCGCGGCAGCCGTAGCACTCGGGCTCGCCAGCCCATCCAGGCCGTCCATTTCATCGTCGTTGCTGTGCCTGCTGTGTCGAGGCCGCTTCTGCTTCCGGCGGCGCTTCTTCTGGGGCGAGAAAAAGTCGGGCGGCGGTTGGTGGAGAACCGCATCGTAATAGTGCTGCTGCCGAGCGGGTGTCGTCAAGTCTTGGTCAGACGTGTGTTCGCCACCGTTATTTGTGTATTCACCGTCAGGCAGGCTCTCGCCCTCGGCAGCATCCGCATCGTCCCCGGCCAGATCGGTCGACTTTCGTGTCATGAACAGCCTAGCCCGTTGAAATGTAGGCAGGCGCTGTCTTTGACTATGCAGTCGTTTCTGCTCTTGTTGCTGCTGTTGCTCCTGTTCCTGTTCCTGTTCCTTTTCTTGCTGCCTCTGTCTTGCACGACGGATGCGCGGCGGTGTTTGGTCCAACATCATGTCCTCGTCGTAGTCGTCCTCTCGTCGGTCCTCATCGTGATCGTCGTCCATCATAGCGTCGTCCTCGTAAGTGTCGCTGTTTTCGTTGTCCACTTTGTTCGCGGCATGGCCATGACCATCGTCATCGGACGAGTCCGCATACTCGAACAGCTCGCCATAGTCGACAATGTCTCGTATCTCTTCGTTGCCGTATCGTCCTCCATCATCGCCACTGCCGCTGCTACTCTCCGCGTCCACAATGTCGTCACCGTCCCAGCCGTGGCGTAGCTTGTTTCCCGTCTTGATTTTGAATAAAGGGACAAACGAAGGACGGCCATCATTTCTCGCTTCGTGGCCGTCGTCCACGTCCACGTCCACGTCCACATCCCCGCCTCCGCCTCCGCTTTCACCGTCGTCTTGATCAGATCCTGCAATCGGTGGCGAGCTCGTAATCAGGCCCGGCGACACAAACAGGCGCCGCCGTTTCAAGGGCTGTATCGACGACAAGAGACGCGCCGCCGATGTTTTTTGCCCTGCGAGTGGCGGTCGACCGGGAGGCACAGATGTGGCGGCGCTTCTTGGGGTAGTGTTGGCCGCACAAATCGCACTCTCCCCGCTATTGTCCTCGCCCTCGCCGGCACCCTCGCCCTCGCTTCCCGAATGGCTCCTGCTGGGTGCCACATCTTCAATCTCGTCCTCCAGTTCCAAACGCTGCTTCCGCCGCCGAGCACCAGCGGAGACTGAGAAAATCCCTGGCCGTGGTAGGTGCAGTGGTTGCGCAGGCTGTTTCGTCCGCGTTGCCGTCGGTGATTCCCGGACAACCAATGGTGACCCATCGTCTTCCTCATCAAGGCGCCGCTGTGGCGTCTGTGGCGTCTGCGGCGGTCCTTGTATGGGGGAGCTGCCGTCCTCAATCGCATCGCCGCCGCCCTCAAACGGGTCTTGGTGGTTGCGGTTCTGCAGCAGCAAGGGCGCATGACTGTGGAACCGCCGGCCGACCACACTAGCACTTCGGCTGCCAGTGTTGATCGCGCCGTCAACACGAAACTTGCGGGCGGCTGGCTGCGATGCCGGCGTCGGCACATTACTCGTGTGTGATCGACTCTGCCACGACGGCGCAAACCGCGGAGTCGGCCGCACCGTCGCACCGCTGGCAGGTGTCAAGCCTGCATCAGTCCCGCCTTTGCTGCCGCTGCGCTTGGACTTGGGCAATCGAAAGCGAGAGGCATCCGGTGTCTTGATGCCGTGCGTTGTCAGTTTTTCTAGTTGTTCTAGTTCCCAGCTCGAGCACACCTCCTGGGATGGACATACAGAAAACGGCGCCGACAGTGAGGCCTGCGAGGCCGCCGGTGGTTGAGGCAGAGGCATGGGCCTGTATCTGCACAAGCCGATTTTATCTAAATATTGTATCCATTGTTCATCCAATGGCACGGTGGGTGTGCAGTCATAGTGGTGGCCTCGCGTGTTGAGAGAGAGACGCGCTATTTGCGTTTGACGCGTTAAGTGGTGTCGGATTTAGCAGACGACAAGTTGCCATTTTAGGTCAGCATCCCCCGTGACACAAGGCTGTCACCACCACAGATTAGCATGCCAGTCCAGACTCAACCGCTGGACGTCTACTCCCTGCCGCACTCGCACTTTATTCTTCATGTTCCGCAAAATTGTAAATCATTCGTCTATCATGCTGTAGTCATGCTGCCGAATTCCCTAATATGCCAGTCAAAGCAGGTATGTAATGTCACCCTCCCCTATTGCATTCCCGTAATCCAATGCAACCCAACTCGCCCTTTTGCAAGTCAATCAGCCCCGATTCAGCGTGTTGCCTGCGCCCCTGGGGTTCGCCTCCGTAAATTCGTCCCAGGCACGCTGCTTCATCGTCTCGGCGTCGGCCTTTTCGTAGTTGTCCTCGTCTGGCACCGGCGGGATGCCGCTGCTGGGCCCGCCGCCCTCAATGATGCCGCCGCGCTTGCGCTCTTCTTCGAGGTACTCGTCGATGGACATGGTCGGCAGGTTGTGGCCCGGGCGGAACACGTTCTTGGCCATCTCGGCACGGCTGCCCAGGATGGTAAAGGGCTGCTTGGGCTTGCCGTCCTTGGACAACAAGGGGCCGCTGCCGCCCGGGTTGACGGAGCCAGCCCACGTGGGCGAACCGGCCAGGGCGCTTTGGAGGCGGCGCAGCACGGGAGTGGAGCCCATGTTGCGGAGGTCGTCGACGCGGGTGAGGTCACCGCCACCCCTTTCGGTGGCCCCAGCCGGTCGCTGCCGGTTGTCGCCGAGCCCGCCCGCCGACGGGCCATGGCTGCCGTGTGGCATCAGCGGAACAGGTGCTTTGGCCAGAATGTCGTCCTCCACATTGATGCCCTCCAGGCCCTGGAAGGCCATGTGTGCACTGTAGAAGAGCGCCGCGAGGTGAAGCTTGCGGGCCTCCTCTTCGTCGTCGTCGCCTTCGTCGTCGTCACCGTCATCCTCTTCATCATCCTCGTCGTGGACGCCCGCTTCCGCGTTCAGGCTTGAGCTACCCTCCACCGGCGCGTCGCCCGTCTTGTCCTCGCTGCCGTCGACAACCCGCAGCCGCTGCCGCCGCCGCCGCGACAACTCCCGCCGCTGCTGCTGCCGCTGCCGCAGCACGTCCAGCTTGTCTCGCAGCTCCTTTTCCGCGCGGAACGCGGCAATCTTGGCGTTGCGTCGCGCCGCCGGGTCGGCCAGGCCGGCCAACCCACTCCCCGCTCCGCCGCTCGAGGCAGTCGACGTCCCGATCCCACCCGTCGGGCCCAGTGTGCTAAAGTGCGTGGGGTCCTCCGTGTACGCCTGCAGCAGCCGCGCGTACGGCGTCGTCAGCAAGCCGTACCCATCCAGGTGGTGCAGGAACCGTTCGTAGGCCTCGCGGGCCTGCTTCAGCACGGCACGGCGTTCGGGGGGGCCCGGCTGGGCGGTAGGCAGCTTGAGAGACAGCTCGGCGATGCGGTAGGGCACCAGCAGGTAGGGCAGGTGGGCGGTCGAAATGTCCTCGACGGACTCGTTGGTACTGAAGAGGGCCAGGTCCTGGACGCGGCGGCCGCACTCGACGTAGGACGCGAGGGCTTCGCGGACGGCCTCGCCATAGGACAGAGGCGTTCCGGCGCTGTTGTTGCCGTTTCGCGACGCCAGACCGGCGCCGCCTGGGTGAAAGGCACCGCGCTCAATGGCGTCGCGCAGACGCTCGGCTGCAAGATACGTCACCTTGACCGAGCGCGGCTCGCGCTGTTGTGGCTCTGCCGAGCTCATTCTGTGTCGTGTTTTTGGTCCTGGATTTGCCTTTGTCCCTTTCAACGCGGAGAGGCCGGCGCCGGGATGAGGATGTGTTCGACCTTTGTATACGACGATCGGTCTTGCTCGTCTCGATTATCGTAACTCCTAAACGGTCGTGATCGTAGCGTCTGAACTGCGTGCGTGGTCTTGTCGTCGAGGTTACGGCCGGAACTGAAGCTGTGCCCAGCAAAGGCTGACAATAAATTCAGGGCCTAGTCGTCTTTGTCAGCCAGTTGGGTCTCTGGCGGCAAACAATGATTTGGTCCCATAAGGCCCCTCCACTGGCCAATGACGTATGGCCGGGAAAGGGGAAAGACAAGTCCCCTAAAAGTATTCTGATGCCGTGTTAATACGGAGCAATAGGGGAGAGCGGGCGCTCACAGCGCACCAATGGCCGCCCTGGCCGCCTAACGGGATCCAGAAATTTTGCTTTAGTGCGGTGGTTGAAAAGGAAGGTGCTCTCGTGTTGGTAACTAAGTGGTGGAGAGGTCACGAACGACGAAAACCTCGGCTTAGGTATCTTAGGGGCAGAGGATCTTGCCGTAGTAATTACAGCGCCTTCCAGCGCCCCGTAGGGTCTCAGGTGTGTCAGTACCAGCCCGTAGGCCACGTAAGACAGGGAAAACCCTTGGAGCCACAGCACACCTGTCAGCGCTTTCCAGCGTTCGTACTGTACTCTGACTCTCGGTATTAGCAAATGTGCCCCTTTTACAGCCCCGTAAATTAGTCGCCAACTTTTTTACAGCCCTTTTTTCTCCTTTATTCTCGTTTTTGCTGAATCGAGGCGCGAATAGGCAAAAGGTCTCAATTGTACACGGTAAATACCATCATGGCCAGAAACCATAAAAGAAGCGAAATGGCACCAAAAATGCCAATTTTGCCTCTTCCTCTCTTGCTCTCCTTTTTTCGTTTCTTTGTTGAAATGGTGAAAAAAAGGTAAAAGACAACAATTGCGCAGTCAAATTGCTATTTATTTATGTTTTGTTTTATTTTATTTACTTTCCATACAGTCGCTCGCTCCTTCCACCACCAAGCATCACCACAGTTGCATGTGACCGCGGCCACCCAATTATCGCGGCAGTGACCCGTCACGATTGTCATTGAAGCTGCCAGTCTCACAAACACATCCCCACCACAATTGACTCCTCCACTTGACAATGGCGGCGTTCTCGTCGGCCCTGGCTCCGAGCGTGCGCTCCGTGGCCGCCATGCTGCCCGGCACCTTCCTCCGCCAGTCGGTCCGGCCTGTCTCCTGCCGTCTCTCGGCCCCACTTTTGTCTTCGCCGTTGCCACCTTCTGTTTCTTCTCCCCTGTCGCCCGTGTCTCCGTCCCTCTCTTCCTCCGCCACACACGTTCGCTATAGCTCCCATTCACCCCTGGGCACGGCACAAGCCAACCCGCGCAAAAAGGTCACCGTCGGCACGTTGCGCTCGCTCTACGCCAAGAACGAGCCCATCGCCGTCATCACCGCCCATGACTTCCCCTCGGCCCTCGCCGCCGACCAGAGCGGCATGGACATGATCCTTGTGGGCGACAGCCTCGCCATGGTCGCGCTCGGCATGGAGGACACCAGCGAGGTGCTCGTCGAGGAGATGCTGCTGCACTGCCGCTCCGTGGCCCGCGCCACCAAGTCGGCCTTTGTCGTCGGCGACCTGCCCATGGGCTCGTACGAGATTGGGCCCGAGCAGGCGCTCGCCACCGCCATACAATTCGTCAAAGAGGGCCGCGTGCAGGCCGTCAAGCTCGAGGGCGGCCGCGAGATGGCCGCCACCATCCACAAGATCACCTCCGCCGGCATTCCCGTCCTGGGCCACGTCGGCCTGACGCCGCAGCGCCAGAACGCCCTGGGCGGCTTCAAGGTGCAGGGCAAGACCGCCGGCGGCGCGCTGCGCGTGCTCGAGGACGCCCTGGCGGTGCAGGACGCCGGCGCCTTTGCCGTCGTGCTGGAGGCCGTCCCCGCCGAGATTGCGGGCATCGTGACGGACAAGCTCGACATCCCGACCATTGGCATTGGTGCCGGCAGCGCATGCTCTGGCCAGGTCCTCGTGCAGGTCGACATGACCGGCAACTTCCCGCCCGGCCGCTTCCTGCCCAAGTTTGTCAAGAAGTACGGCGACGTCTGGGCCGAGGCTTCGCGAGCGATCGAGGCCTACCGCGCCGACGTCAAGAGCCGCGCGTACCCGGCAACCGAGCACACGTACCCGATACCGCAGGAAGAGCTCGACATGTTTGCCAATGCTGTCGAACAGAGCACTCATTTGCATAAGCAGAAGCAGCCGTTCTAGGCAGTGAGACAGAGAAGAGGGGGATGCCGGCCGGGGAAACGGGAGTCGGAGGGTGGTGTATAGCGTTGCCATTTCCATCGTCTCGTACGACGTCACAGTTTTCCATATTGAGCATTGCATTGTGTCGCATTGGCGTGGCGTTGTTTTTGTATAGTTTAGCTCTTTCCGCCCTTTTTCACATCTGGTTAGAATGCTTATAGCACATATTGATGATTTTATGCTTGTCTGTATTGCAGAATCGAATTCGAGGTGTAGGTGGGGGCATAGACAATCGTCGTCGTGGTTATATCATCGTGCTTGTTGTCGTGCTTGTCGTCGCGCTTGTTTCTTCACCCAAATGCCGGTGTCAGCGAGTATGACACGTTCAGCTGGTCGTGCGAGTCCTTGAAGCACTGCAGCACAGTGTTAGTTGTTTGAGAGGCATCTGGTGTTCCAGTTCGAAGGCACCGCATCATACCTGGTGTAGATTGCCCACCACTTCGTCCAGGGCCGGCGCAAACGCCGAGTTGACGTACAAGAAGACGCTCTCTGACTCCTTGACCCGCAATGCCCGCCGTACAAACGCCACCACCACCTCGAACTTTTGTGTCGAGCTGATCTTGCGCCGCACGTCGGCCACCGCCCCGCCGCCGGCACCACCGCCAGACAGTGGCGGCGCCGACCCCACCGGCTTGAAGCGCACAACGACCTTGTCCTTGGCGAAGCGGCCGGCCGTGGCCAGCGCAGCCGTGGCATCGCGGGGGAGATTGAGCAGCACCGTGGAGGCGGTCATCGTGAGGGGGATGTCCTGGCTGTCCGGGTGGCCGTAGTCGTCGTCATCCTCCTGCTCGTCCACCGCGCCGTCACCACTCGTGAGAACACTCTCTTCATCGGACGGTGCGAGTGGCGCGGGTGAAGCGGGAGACAAAGGAGATGGGGAGGCCAAGGGCGATGGCGATGCTGGTGAAGAGGCAGCAGCAGCAGCAGCAGCGGCCGCGGCCGCGGCCGCCGGCGGGAGTCGACTGCTCTCCCGCACCCGCGGTGGTGGTGATTGTGAGGGCGGTGGCATGTTTATGTGTTTTGCGGCTACTGGCTTGCGTGTTTCTTTTCGTGTGGCACAGGCCGTAACTCAGCAAAGATGTACGCGAAGGCGTGTTGTTGAGAATGAGAGAAGAAGTTGAAGACACAGAGTCAAGTCGCACAAGGCAACATCAATCGAACTGGTGTGGACCCCTGTCGAAGAGCTCCACGTGCGGGGCACAATGGCCTGTTTCTTCCAGCTGCTTAATGCACTAAGCGGCCAAATCTACTTCTTAATACTATACGCTAACACCGCTCTCCCGCCTTTTGTGTTATCAAGTTATGAAGCTACACAGTCTCAACAGTATCAAGGCTCGTTTGTTATGGCGTGAGACAATTGATATAGACGTTTTCATTAGTCTTTCCAAGAGGCTAACTGTGCCTACTTCCGCGGGATGAGATATGTTTTGTGTCTAAATAGAAAAATCATCGAACGACTGGGGGACTCTTCCGAACAAAGCAAAAATAGCATAATAAAAGAAAAGGACAAAGTAAACGGGGAAACGCCCTGGGTTATGCCATGGTAGAACACCTTCCCGTGGTCACTTCTTGGATTTGTGTAGAAAAGTGAACGGGAGACAAAAACAAGACAAAGAAACGCTCAAGTCCAACGAGGACATGCATTACAAAAATGATGAGAGATAGACGGACAAAAAGACCAGCTGCAGTACGAGTAAACGATCCAGATAATAGATAATGCAAGTATGCTCCGTAAACCAGAAAAGAAAAACAAATGATTCGCATACCGCAGCCATTTTTCTTTCCTTTTCTTTGTCTATTCGCGGTTTCCTGGGATTCCTGTTGGCACACAAAAAAAGACGACAAGAAAGTAGAAGAGAGTAGGAGTAGTAGTGTAGGAGAGGGAGACAAGAGGAGAAGTAAAATGTACTAAGAGAGACAAAGGAGAAAGTGGGTGTTCGTAAAGTTGGGCCAAGAGAGAGAAGACGGAAATGGGGTTGAACGGTTTAATCCTTCTTCGGCGCACTGTCAGACCGGCCACGCTCGACGGCTGTCTCAGTGGTATCGTTCGTGTTGTTCGTCACAGCTGTGAGAGACGTCGAATGTGTACCATCCGTGCCATCCGTGTTGTCGCGCAGAAGACGCGCGGTACTCGACTCCCGGGTCGGTGTCTGCGAGGAACCGTTCGGAGCAGGAGATGGTGACGCAGCACGGCCAGTGTAGGACGAGCCAAAGTCCACGTTGGAGGTGGTACTGTTGCCCGCGCCGTTGTTGTTGTTGTTGTTGTTGTTGTTGCTGTTGTTGCTGTTGTCGCTGTTGTCGCTGTTGTTGTTGGTATGCTGACCGTACAGACTAGAGCTGCTGTTGCTGCGATCGATTGGAGACCAGCCCACTGCCACACTGCCGGCAATGATACCTGCCATGACGGTTGGTGCACCAAGAGCGGAGTTGGACCGCGAGCGCATCGAGCGCATCGAGCGCGACCGTCTGCGCGAGTCAGGCGAGGCCGAGGGCGTCATGAGGGTGGCACCGAGTCCGCCCGCCAGGCCGGGGCCGTTGGTCGAGCCAAAGCTATCTTCGCGCGTTGGCGTATGCGGCCGAGGACCGGTAGACATGTTGAACGAGTTTGAGCGGGAATTGGGCAGCGAGTGCGAATTGGACCGGGAGTTGGAACGAGAGTGAGACGGGGACAGGGACGCGGGCAGTGCGAAGGTCTCGCGCGGGTGCTGGATGGCAAACTTGAGGTTGTTAAGGCGGCCGCCCTTGAGGCGCTTGAGCCAGGCCAGCTCATCACGGACGTCGGCCAGCGCCACGGGATAAAAGTCAAAGCGCTCGTCGTGGGTGTAGGGGTCGGACACGGTAACATCAGGCACCTGCTCGTTCTTCTTCTTGCGGTTGGCAAACCACCGCTTGACGAATGCGGGCACCAGCTTCTCGAACCATGCGTCAGGAATCAACCGAATCAGAGCACCAATGGGAATCGAAATAAACCCGAAACCGACAGCGTAGCCCCACATGGTAGGCGACTGGCCTTCCGAGGCAATGTTGAACGCCAGGCCACCGACCTGGACAATGAGGACCTGACCGCCAACCATGATGATGCTGATGCCAATAAAGAACCAGTTCTGCGTGAGGCCCTCGAAGATGTTGAACTTGTTGTCGAGGCGGCGGTTGTTCCACTGGTTGAAGATCTGCATCCAGACAAACGTGTTGAACACGAGGGTTTGCACCTGATCAACAGTGGCATGCTCCCGCTGAGGCAAGACCTTCTGACCGCCAAAGAAGAGAAGGAACGTTATTGCCAGCTGGTAAAGGGCCTGGCCAATAATCATCTTCCACATGGTCGTCGAGATAATGGAGGCACCCTTGCGCTCGGGCAAGCGGTCCAAGACACTCGGTTGCGGGGGGTCAGTGGCCAGGGCCAGCGCGGCGAGCGTGTCCATGATCAGGTTGACCCACAGCAGCTGCACGGCAGTAAGCACGCTGCTCTCGTCCGTGCTCGACACGGCCGACACAAACGTGAGCACGACAGCCGTCACGTTGACAGTGAGCTGGAACTGCAGGAACCGCTTGACGGCATCGTTGACGGCACGGCCCCACTTCAAGGCCTTGACAATCGAGGCAAAGTTGTCGTCCATGAGAATGATAGCAGACGCTTCCTTGGCGACCTCGGTTCCAGAGATGCCCATGGAGAAACCGACATCCGCCAGCTTGAGAGCGGGCGCATCGTTCGTGCCGTCACCAGTTACCGCAACCGTCTCGTTCTGCTCCTTCAGGCGCTGTACAAGCACACGCTTGTCCTCGGGACTGGACCGCGCCAGAACGTGAAGCCGGGGGATAATTTCAAGCTGCTCCTCCTTGGTCATGTTGCGAAAGACGGGACCTTCCATGACTTCGCTGTCGTCCTGCAGAATGCCGCAGTCCCGGGCAATGGCCTGAGCCGTTAGGCGGTTGTCACCCGTGACCATACGAACGACGACGCCGGCACGTTGGCAATCGGCAACGGCGTCACGCACACCGTCGCGGAGCGGGTCCTTGATGCCGACGAGGCTGATAAAACCCATGTTCTTGAATACATCCTCAAACACGACGTCGTCATTGGCGCCCTCGTTACGGCGAGCGTAGGCCGGAGGCCACTGGTGGAAGTCGCGGTAAACCAGGCTGATGCAGCGCAGCGAGTGCGAGGCGTAGTTCTCGATGAGCGAGGAGAGCGAGTCGCGGTTTTCGTCGGTCATCGGGGAGAGGGCAACGTCGCGCGTCGGGTCGCGCAGGATCTGGGTGCACTGCGACAGCAGAATCTCGGATGCACCCTTCACGAAAAGACGAGCGCCGCGGCCGTTGGGCAGCTCCACCACGACACCACTGCACTTGCGGCCGGAATCAAAGGGAATCAGCTGTAGCGTCTTGGGAGCGTTAGCCCGCTCCTCGCTCACAGGGCCCATGGCGAGGTGGTCACGCGCAAAACTAAGCAGGGCAGACTCGGTCTTGGAGCCAATATACTCAGGCTTGCCGTGGACCTCACCCTCAAAAGCCGTGGAGTTGATGGTGATCGACTTGAGCAGTATGTCGCGAACGTCTTTGCCAAGGCCGGAAATCGCCTCCTGGGCCGTGAGCTCGCGGTTCTCGGCGGCGCTGTTGGAAGCTACCGTCGTGTCTTTGGCTTTGTTGTTGTCCCCGCCAGAAGAGCTGGGGCTTCCGACGCCATCGACGTCAGCGAGGCCCTGCTCGCCAAACCGTTGGCCAGTACCGACAGTGCCGGCAACCACACGCATGCGGTTCTGTGTGAGAGTGCCCGTCTTGTCGGAGCAGATTGTTGTTGCATTGCCCATCACTTCACAAGCCTTGAGCTGACGCACCAAGTTGTTCTCTTTGACCATCTTGGCGGTTGCATAGCTGAGAGCAAGTGTCACGGCGAGTGGAAGACCCTCGGGGACGGCCACGACAATGATCGTGACGACGACAATGAAAATGTTGAGGAAATCTTGGCCCTTCTGGGCGGGCGTGACGTATGGGGGCAGCTTCGGGAGGCGGACGAGGAACTCGATGAAGAGAACAACAAACAGCAAGAGCGCCGCAGCACCACCAAGCTTCGCAATGTAGTCGGCAATGACGTTGAGCTTTGCCTGCAGAGGGGTGATCTCGGGGTCGTCCTGGAGGGACATCATCGTCTTGCCGTAGGTGGAGTTGACGCCGGTGGCGGTAACCATAAAGGTACCGAGGCCTTCCATAACACGGGCGCCAGACTGGATGAATGGATCCATCTTCTTCAGATCCTCGTGGCTCTCGATAGCAGCGTAGACTTCGTCGGCGGGGCGCTTGCGAATCAGGTCGGATTCGCCCGTCGCTTGTGATTCGTCGCATTTGATGCTGTGGCCTTCGATAAGCACGCCGTCCACGGGGATCATGTCGCCCGTCTCGAGGTGGACGACGTCACCGACCAGGATTTCCCAAATCGAAATCTCTTGCAGGCGGCCAGAACGGACCACCTTGACCAGGCGATCAGTCTTCTTCCGGTTCAGCTTGGCGAACTGCCGCTCCTTTTGCCAGTCGTTGAGGGATCCGACAATAACGACAATCAGGATCGCAACAATGATAGCCACGCCCTCGATCCACTCAACAGCCGGGTGCTCTGCATTATGGTCCTGGCCAAAGGTCTGGTACAGACCAACGGCCAGTGACACCACGGCGGCGATGGACAGCATAATCAGAATCTTGTCGTTGAAGGTAATCCAGATCAGCTGCAACAGCGACTTGGCCTTCTTTTCCGGCAGACGGTTGTCTTTGAAGACGCGCTTCCGGTCGAAAAAGCCCTCATCTTTACGGTCGTGACGGCCACCTGCTGCGGCAGAAGCAGACTGCCCTTGGCTGCCCACAACGGCACTCCCGTGGCCGGACACAGCCTTTCCGTGGTCCTTTGCTGCTACTGCGCTATCAAAAGAGATGGCACCGTCGAGTGAGGTTTCTTCAACACTTAACCCAGCTTTCCGATCAGTGCGCAGGCCCTTTTCGAGGCCCGCCAAACCACCGAGGCTGTAAAAGGCAGACAAGCTCTTTGGGTCGAACATTTTGCTGAGTTGGCCGGGGCTGAAGGCGAACGGGTTGTTGTCGACGTGGAAGGTGGCTTCGGTGCCACGGTCTGGCTTGAGCGCATCGGGGTCGTTCATGATCATGTCGTTGGAGCCATCCACAGACGTCGACCGAGTAACGTGCTGGACGCCACTCGCGGCGCTGCCGATAACGGTTTCGCCCTGTGAGATGGCGACGGATCGGGAGCCGTCTTCTGAGTCGACCGAGTTCTGGCGCGACCGGTGGGAGTGCGGGACGGCGAGGAAGCCATGGGTGCGGTCGCCGCTTCGCGACATGACAGGGCTCGACACGTTGTGCGAACTTGTTGGACGGCTGTCTCTGCTTTCGAAGGAGGTTGTCGTTTGCAGCTGTGGCCTGCTGCCGCTCGTACTCGCGTTGGAGCTGGTGCTATTTCCTCGTCTTGACGTAGACGCGCCGGGCCCTAATGGCGGATGTTGTGGTGCGAGGGAGTTATTGTTTGTGGATAGTGATGGTGGTTCGGTGGCAGCCGGGCTGTGTGCTGCGTCGTCCGACACAGATATGGGGGAGTTGGTGTACAGGGGGATGCCGTCTTCCGACATGATGGGATTTTGCGGAGCGCTGACCGCTGTGGTGTCTATTGTTATCGTTGGGCTGTCATCGGTGAAGATTGTGTTAGCCTCTTGTCAAGGTCTTGTCAAGGTGTGCGGGATGTCGGATTATATAAGATCTGGCAAGCAATAAACCTTCGAACAGTGGACCAGACATTCGGGACTGCTTCGAAGGGGGAGGGAGGGCAGGAAGGAAAGGTATATAAAGATCAGAGAGATTAACTTACGCCCGTGGCCTCCGTAAGGGGCCGTCTGTATCACCGCTCTGCGCCATCTTGTTTTGGAATCGGAACGTGCTCAGCGGTTACCAAGATCTGGGGTACGATCTACAATTCTGTGCTTCGCCTTCTTTTTGGTGCTGAGGTGCCGGATCGATGTGCTCTTTTATTTTCCTCGCCTATTTTGTGCTGAGTGGTGTGTCAGTGACCAAATGTTTCCGTTTCGTTCGCCTTTGCCCGACAGCTCGTCGAGTTGCGGTGGCACATCATACTAAGCGCCGGGCTTAGACTTTTAGACTCTTGGGCGGGTATCTTGGCTTAGGGGGAGAGAGGCAAAAAGTACGCTCGGCCAGGCGGCCAGGCCAAACACGGAGGAGGCTATGTTCGGGCGACTTTTTGCTCGGGCGACTGAGCAAAGCACCTCAACAAAAATAAAACAAAAACAAGAGCAAAAAAAAAATCGAAACAAAGGAGAGAAAGAGCACGCTCTCCAAATGTGAGAATAAAATACCGCAAAAGAAAATCAAAGGGAAATATGCACTTACAGAATAAGACACAAAGCTTCACAGCGGTTCTTTGAGGGTGCTGCAAAACAAAGGTCGACGAGAAAGTGGACGTTTCCGAGTTCAAACGAGTGCGCAAAGCAACTCGTTTTTGGAACCGGATAGTCGTCTTGGCTGCGCAATGGATTCGCAGGTGATCGTTCCTTCTTCCTTTACCTTCCTAGCAGGCGGCACCTGTTGCCTTGAACCGCACAGCCCGTTGCAGTTGCAGCCTTGTGAGTGGCCAGACCGGGCGCGGAGGCAGGGTGAGAAGGCAACCGAAGGGTCATGGGCGAAAGACGACAAGTGCGAATCGAAAAGACAACACAGTAAGAAGCTGAAGATGCTATCGAAATGGCTATCGTGGGTGGTGAATGTATGCGGTGTGCCCGGAAGTTCGTATGCAAAGCCAAGCTGCCGAGAGTAGTCGACTCGTCTCGCAAAGTGTAAGCCGCAAAAAAAGCCGACGTGAGTCTCGATCTTTCGTATGAGCCTCCTTTTCTCACAGCGTGAGCTGAGAAACGAGACGAGGGAAGCTACTAGCCGGTCCAGTACAGGATCGGGAGAGCAGCGAGGAAACAAAGCGAAGAGAGGAAGAAACAATGAGGGTATTGGAGTATGGAGCGTGCGGTAAAGGAGCGCGACAAGATGGAAAAGTAGAGCAAAGGACAGCGACAGGGGGTTGTGAGAGCAAGAGCAGGTCAATAATACAGAGTGGACACCGAGCGGAAAGGAGCTGTCAGTGGTCTGGGAGTTGCATCGAAAGGCTGAGCAAAGCTGGACAGGAGGCCGAGCGGGAGTGCTGGTGCACTTTATGTGTGAGCCCTACAGTCCTTGCGTTGAGGCTTGAACTGAGGAGGAAGAGCTGGTCAAAGAGAGTCGAGCAAGAGAGAGGGAGGCAACAAACGGACGACGTCGGGCTCGGCGGGAGACAGCAGCTGATATCTGCCTCGTCCTGTCGTGTGCAGAGTGCTTTGTGTGGGTATGGGTTGCAGGTCCTTTGCATGGCGTTTGTGGTTTGGCCTTGGTTGTCCGTCGACGCTTTGGGCCTGGGCAAGCTGCAAGCTGCCAGACTCCTTGTTGTCAAAGTGTATGGTGTAGAGTTGTAATTAATGTGCACGGGAATTGGCATCCAAACAATGAGCGCCAGGGAGAGCAAACTGGGGATCACTGGAAAGCTTCTTCCAAGAAGCAGGCCAGAAGCATAAGAAAGACAGGTCGAGTTTGGCGCGAAGACGACGTCCGTCACGTCCGCGCTGTTTATTTGTTGTACTGTTGTGGTGTTCGGAGCGTCATGGGGGTAGACGCAAAAAAGGAGACGGCAAGGGGGCGTGTTGTGTGCAAACTTGGTGTTGATGGCAAGGGGGAGAAAAGAGAGGGAAAGGGGCAACAGAGACGCAAAAGCCCGGCCAGAGAATACAAGAGCCAAAGGAAGGCGCGACCAGCACCAAACGATGTTCACGGAAGGTGCCTCGGTGCGTTCGCGAGTCTTGAGCAGCAGCGGGCCATTGCCCTGAGGTTTTTCAGGGCACGAATTTCCTTCATTTGTTCTTTCGTTTCCAGTCACGTCTTTTGCTCACAGGTGTTTGCCAAGAAGTCAATCACGCAGAAATGCAACAACACCAAGAGGCCCCCAAAGGGGCTGTGCAAATGGGCGTCGAGCCAATCACAGCGTGCAATATATCAAAATGTGGATATGGGGCGTGAAACTAAAGGGTGTGTCGTTATAAGATGTGCAGTCGGTACCCAGAGGGAAGGGTAAGAGCGAAGAGCGAGCGATTTGCTGGGGCGGATTTCCATTTTGTTCGCGAAACAGTCTCGACCGTGCCTTCCTGATTATCTTTTATCTCTTCATAATGATACGGCGAGTACAGAATACGGAGTACGACATACAGAGCACAAGTCGCAAAAGGGGGGTTGAGGCAGGCGCGTTTGGCTGGTTGGATCGGTCGGTGCCTTCCCTATTTGAACCTGATTCGATTTTGACAGCCCAATGCAAGGCGGAAGGCGCTTGGGGAAGCCGTCCCACACACCATCTCGCCTATCGTTCCATGTTGAAAAACTACGAGAGACCGCACTGTTTTATTGTCAAGTTGGCATCTCATACGTTTGGTCGTCAGAGCATTTTCAAAACTTTGCATCGTTCGACCTGTTTTTTCATTGACTTTCTCCTCGTATGGGGATGAAAGCCACATGCCTCGCGAGCCTGTCTTTCGAGCTCCCCTTGTCCCCATACCAAGCACCGCCCAAAGGGTACATGTAAGATACTGGACGCTATTGCCTGGCCTACGGGATACTACCTTCGCGGGTCTGGGCACTGGAGTCGCGAAAGCTTGACGGCAACCTAGACCACGGTGCGAACTACAGTGTACGTTTAGCAGCATATCGTTTGCTGGCACTGTATATAACAACCGCAAAAAGCCAGCAGCACCAGATGCAATGCCGCATGATTGGACCTTGTACAGTCTACGATGTATTCTTTGTGTTTTCCATCCAAGCGATTGCTATATCGGGGACACGCACGGGAGCGTGCATCAGGAAACGTCCCGGGCCCCCGGCATGGCAAACAAGTGATTGGCTGTCGACACAAGATGAGACGAGGCGCAGGACGGATGGTGAAAGAGACGTCGAATGGCCGTCTTAGCCGTTGATTTTTTTCAATCGACTTGCTTCAAGATATGCTGACAGCGGTTGGCCTCTTGTGGCGCAAACGGAGAGCCTGCACCACAGCGACACAGTGCACGCACTGTGCGCTGATATTTGTAGCCATGCGCTGAGAGCTTCAAAGTAGTGGGTCTGGCTGCGACTCCACAGCCCGCTAGACACCCGCAAGCTAGGGGTTATAAACGCATTTCATGAACAGTCTCGAAGCATTTAGCTGCATTCGGCTCGATTGGCAAAGGCGCTGCGTTGTGATTCGCTAGCTGCCTATTGAGCAACCTCTGTCCCGCGAAGAGGTCCTGTGTCCACTGAATCTCTGCCGGCTGCCTCTTTGGTAAGTGTACTGGGTGTTTTCATGGCCCCAGCTACTCCTGTTCGCCGTCTTCCGTCTCCATGACACCACTATGGCGTCTGCCAAGGCTGCCGAAGGGACAGTGCTGTAATGGAAGCTGGAAGGCTGTGAGTCGGGCAGTGCCAGCCATGGCAGAAGGCAAGGGGAAAGCGACGGCCAAGGAGGCAATTCGCACGTGCCAGACGATCTACATACATATTCTTCACTTTGGCATCGATGCTCCATGCCGGTCTTCATTTTTATTTGTTTTGCTTTGTTTTCTTGACAAAGCCTCGCCAACGCGCGGCCTCTTTTCTTTGGCTGCCGTTCACCTTTGTTCCTTTTCTCTTGTCTACGGTGTCTCAGCGGATTGGACAAGGCTGTGCATGGAACGGCGCAGGAGGCAACACGGCCAAGCAAGCGCGTGAGGCAAAAATGTGCAACAGCCGGGACATGATTCGTCGAACAATACGAGAAGCCGGCTTGACCAGGGACATGGTCACGATGATACGCGACAGACAAGACAACGTAGCACAGACGGCCATTCCAATGGGCAGGGGGCAGCGAGCATCGTGGCATCCGGTTTGTCTCGGACTTGGCGCTGACGAGGCAGCCAGCCCAAGCCATAACCTAAAGTCAGATGCTCCGTAATGTAGAAGGACGGAGAAGACATTGGCGTTCTGGAGTTAGCTGAGGAATGCAGCCTGCAAATATTATTTGCAAATGTCACCGCCATTGCCATAGTGACAGCAGATTACAATATTTCAGACATCAATGGCACGGCAGAGTATGTCGTAACGGCGTAGCCTTGCATGCGATACAGCAGTGCCCAGACGAGGTAGTCAGGTAGTTGAGGCAGTCATACGGGTCCTACCCAGAGGTACGGTGTGTCGCTTTCGTGCATGAAAAGGGCACAGTACTGATTCGCAGCTGCTCGCAGGAAGAGAAGTGTCGCCACGACGAGAGACACAGCAAAGACGAAAATGGAAGGTCACATAATGAAACAAGACATTGTCTCGACAAACCAGCTGCCTTGACAGGAAGGTCGAGGCCAATGCCTTGAGGCGAAAGCCAAGAAAGCGTGCACATCCGTTGTCGATTCCGGTTTAGATAATGTCGCACGAACATGCGGAGTATATCGTGCCAGTATATGCTATTGGACAAGTAAATTACACTCCATTGAATTGTGTAGGTTTGTCGCCCTTTTTCCTTGATTGTGTATAAACGATGTAGTACGGAGTATTTGCACAGTTGTCTTGCTTGCCAAATTATGTGCTTATACGGGCGTACGGCATTCTTAGTCATTCACTGGTTGCGGTCTGCCAAGATCTTGGAAAGCGTGGCATTTCGGCAGTGCAAAGCCACTTTGTACTCAATAAACTCACACTAAAGCTCTCAACCCCAAAAATCGTCGGAATTGAGACTAGATTTGTCTGTGTGGACCGTGGGCGATTGTATTTCGGTGTTGTCGGATAAATTTTTGTATATACGGAAGACTGTTTCGTTTGTGTAAGAGGTCTAAAAGGCAATGGTTGTTCTCTCTTGACATTTTAAATTTTTCTTTTTTTTTTTTTTTTTTTTTTTTTTTTTTTTTCTTACATGGATATTCAGTGACAGCATAATTCCACTGAGCCGGAATAAAATACTATTTGAGAATCAAAAGTGCAACCATGCTATTGATTTAGCATATTCTTGTTGGAGAAAATACAGACACAGTTATTGAAACCGGGGGTCCGTACGGTAAAAATGCCGCTTTGGGGAGACGGTCAACCCGACCCGAAAACTCTGAAAGTCGCCTGATACCATGCACCGGCTGCTCCGTGCCATTCGACAAACCACCATGCACCACGAGGACGACAGAGTTCAGAAAAAACAGCAAAGCATGTACACGTGCTCCCTATTGCTCACCGACGCATATGTTGCGCTTTAGGCACCGCGGCCCAACGAAGACCAAAACGATCCTCAAAAAATCGAATGCCAGACTGCCAGACTGGGCCGGTCGGGCAATGATTGGAAAACGGGGGGATTTCCCAATTCGGTTCCTGCAGGAGACCGTTCTGTGTCTGTAAGTGAGGGTGACAGTAGCGGCCGGAGCGAACGCCACCATGTGGCAGTGCAGGCTTTCAGGAACGAAAACGACTACCGAACACGACCACCGAAAACTCTCACGCCACTGACGACTTGACGAGTGGAATAATCACGTGAAGAAACAGGTTGACACCACTCTTGCTGCCGTAGACCTGTTGATGCTGATTTGGCGTTTTGCCGAACGGTCCCGTCTGAAGTCAACCTGGAGAGTGAACCCTTCTGCCGACGGTGTCGCGTGGTGGTGGCTGGGCGGCCGTTCACAAAACGGGAAACAGGGGAGCTCGTGTTTGTTCGCTAAGCGGGAAAAAAAGGACGACGTGGGGGAACGATGCACCTGCTTGTTCTAGACGAGTCGGATGTACACTTTACGAGAAGGAAAGGGGGGGAAACGACAATACTCACGCATCGGAAAATATACGGCAGGAAATGTGATGGCAAAACGGCGATCGACGCAAGCACAGCCTCGTTGTGCCATCCAGTGTTATCAACATTTTGTAGCGCAACGGGCGTTTGGGAAAAAAGACTCTTATATTGCCAAGGAGTCGAACAAAAGGCGACGGCAAAGGAGGGGAAAGGAGAAGAAAGGAAGGTGGAAATCAAACATTTGACCAAACGACATGAGAAAGATGGAGATCATGTGTATAATATGGGCTGCTGACGGAACCGATGCCAATAGGAGCATGCGACACACACCATGAACAACCAACACACCCCACCTCATGATCTCTTCACCTCTTGATGACTTGATAAGTTGATAACTTAATGTCCTCCTTCCGTTCGCGGAGAGGCCACTTCCGATGGCCCGCCCTCGTACCGTCCTGCTGGGACGCAGAATGCAACATCGGGCGTGGCTGTGCAGGCCGGGACGCAGAAGGACAACGAGATGTTGAGACACTGTTGAGGGGGAGAAGGGAGGAGCGCCCGTCTTTGCCCGTCGTTTGCTTTGATTTTTTTTTTTTGGAGATCTCGGAAATCTCGGGAAAAGCATATATCTCCTAGAAAATCAAACAATAAAGTGCCGGACAAGTACTGGCAAACACGGTTCGCAGAAAGCAGCCTCGTCCGTTTCATCATGAAATTGTGATAAAAACGAAATCAAATATATGTTCCGTCAGAAAATCAGGACGTCCAACGGCTAGAACTTTCCAATATACAAATTCAAGGGGAAAAAAAGAAAGCAAAACTGTATAACGTGGTGCGACTGAATAGTGCGACTGAATAGTGCGACTTAAGCTTCTGTAGGTTGCACTTTCGTTCTCAGAGCCCGCTTCCGCTCCGACCTTCCCATTCGACCCGGCCTTCTCGGCGTAGAGGGGGCAGTAATAGTCTGTGGTCGTCAAGCTTCTTTGACTGTGTCTGCTCCTTCTCTTCTGCTCTGACAAGACCATTGATGCGCACAAATAAAAGAAGCCATGGCTTAAACAAAAGCTGAGCGGCTCCCACATCCACACAGTCTGGCGTGGGTCGAAAGGGGAAGCCAAGAAAAGTGCAAATGCAACGCTCTTGGCACCGTTTGCCTCCCTTGGCGCCGAGATTCATCTTATCAAATTGCACATGAGGTATCGAACTATGAAGCAATGAACGAAAGTACGGCATACCGAGGAAAAATCGGACGCATCTTGTGAAAGGCGCAAATCAGCCTACTCGTCTACAAAAATGAGCCCCAGGAACATTCAGATGAGTAGTACTTAATTACAACATACAAGGAATGGATGTTGGGTGTTGAATTCTCCCATTGTACTCAAAAACATAGGCTCCACCAACATTGTAATTACCATGCTTCGTCTATAAAGTTTATGAAATAAACGCTCACACAAATGCTTCTTTACAAATTCACCGTTTCCCACCCGGATCTGTACAACATATATCACCACACACCGACAAAGCAGGGCATTTGAAGGTCTTTTATTTTGAATTGTGAATGGTGGTCGTTGTCCGTTATCGACAAAGTGGAGTTGGAGCGTGGCAGTGCCGGCCCAAACAGCCCGTTTTACTCCTTTTTTCCCCATCTCCATCTGTCCGTCCTCGCGTCTCGTTTCCACACTCTAGCTCGAAATGGCTCGAAATGGCTCGAAACATATACTACTTTAAGTATATGACGATTGCACATGGACGACTGACGCAGGCTTTTTCAGTCCGCCTTTGCTGTGCATTGTTGAAATCTATCGTGGTAATTTGTCGATTCTGCGGTTTTGTAATGCTCACTTTTTTTTACATCACGCAACTGCCAAGACAGTTACCGGCTCGTGAGTTGAGCGATTCGAAAAGGTCTGCTCTCAGGGAGCTGCGGGAGATGAGTAAGAAGTATGCCTGTCAATGAACTGGGGCCAGGCCCGCGAGGACATCATCTCCGTTTTGCCCAGCTTGTTTTCTTTTAAGGGACCCCTAAGAACTACAACTAACAAGGAGAAGATAAGTGCATATGGCCAGGCCGTGGTTGACCTTGCCCTGGGCCATTCCAACCCTGACTCAAGCAGCGATCATGTTTTCTTCTCTGGCTCTCTCCCAAACTTCTCCTTGGCTTGTTTCTCTATTTCCCCCTTCTTCCGGATCTACTTCATTTCCTTCTTCCATGGAACAGTTCTTTTTTCCCTCATTTTCTTGCAACTTTTGATGAATGATGAAATGATAAAATGATTAAACATGCCACGGTTCGGCAGCGGCTCCACCGGCAGAGTGGGCGAGAAGGATTTCTGCTGCTTCTAAAGGTCTCCCATTCGCATTTCATTTTCATTTTCCATTTTTTCCATTTTGCTCTTCCCCAATTTCCGTCAGTCACGGAACTTGGCCAGTGCCAATATGAATACATAACAAGCGTCGACACGTCGACAATCGCAAATCTCCTTATGGCTGCGTAGAAAAGGCAGTACGAATACGGCGCAAGCGACGGCAACGAGAGAAATTGCAATGATGTTCGACGCCCGACAACCTGCTGCACACACGACTTCAAACTCCGCTGCGGCGTCACTATCTGACAATCAATCGAGACGCCATGGAATGTTGTCGATGAGGTAAAACAGGTTGGGCCGATACAGCAGACGCTTGGCTGCATCTTCAATGCCTTTGGATCGATCGCCTTTCTTAAGTTTTCCTTCTTGCACAGCCCTTACTTCTGGAGACAAATGGAGTAAGAAATACGTCGTACTTCCATTGCGTGTGTCGGTGGTTGGGCTCGTCGTACGTCAGTTTGTCGCCGTCAGGGCCTGGGAACCAAGCCCGACTTCAATGCCCTGATCGCCTCAGACAAGCAGTACTTACGTGAAGCGGTTAACGTCGGCACCCGCATGATACATGGCCAACAAAACAGGATCCAAAGTCTTGATTAAATTTTCTCTAAACCTAAACCAAACGCCCTGCAGCGCAACAAACGCCTGCCCATTCCGTGCCCTGTTCTCCAAATGCCATCTCCCGTGACGCGTGTCGCAAACCATGTTTCTGCGGGCGGAGCACTCTGTGCTTTTATCGCCTGCCAAGTGACACGTCCTTGACCAACACCAGCCCCCCGAGATCGCTGGCCGTCTCACCTTGGTCATCATGACCATCGTTACCACTTCCTCTTCCAAACACCTGGCGTCGTACCACGAGGCGCAGCGTGTCTTGCCAGAACTGCGCCACCACGTCCTGGAGTCCGGTGCCTGTCTGGCGGAAGTCGGGGAACGCGTTGACCTCGAGCAGCCAGGCCGTCGGCGATGGGGATGGCGATGCGTCCGTCGACGACGAGGCACTCACGAGAAAGTCGAGACCGTAGACTTCAAAGGCATGGCCCAGAGGCTGGAAGTGGATGGGCGCGGCCACGGCAGCGGCCTCAAAGATTTCGCCGGTGACCCGGCAAATCTGGTCAAAGATGGCGTCTTTGATGGCATCGTTGACGCTGCTGCCCGCCGGCTCCTCCAGATCCCAGAACCGCCGTACCGAGTCGCCCTTGTCGGCCTCGTCCTGTAGACACGTATTGGTCAGGTGCGCCGCCAGATCGGGGCTGCCCTCGTGGCCCTCCTCACCCCCTCCTGCACCGCCCTCCGTCTCCCAGGGCGGCGTGTACGCCTTGGCCGCAAACAGCGCCAGCATGTCCCGGTGCACGTACACGCGCAGCGCGCCCACGCACAGCACATAGACGCGGATGTGGAACTTGCGCCCGTCCGTGCCCGGCAGCAGCAGCGGTGGGTGGATGTACGGCTGCGCCACAAAGTGCCGTAGGTCGGCGGCCGCCACCGCATCGTTGTGGTCGTCGTCGTCGTCGCCGTAGCCCTCCTCGCCGGCCTCCTCCTGCTCAGCCTCCCAGCCGTCAAAGATGCCCTGCAGGTCCTCCATAGTGCTGAAGAGCCGGATGCCCTGGCCGCGGTCGCTCATGCTGGGCTTGAGGATCCACCACTGGCGTCTGGCTTCGTCCTCGCAGTCTTCGTTGGCCGCGAGGCTCGCGCGCAGGTCAAACGCCTCGACCAGCGCGTCGTCCAGGAACTCGGCGTAGTCGACCTCGAACGTCTCCGTGCGCTGGACGTGCCGGGCGAGCACCGACTGCGGGCGCTTGGCCACCCACTGCTCCACTGTATTGGCCAAAAAGTGCTTGCGAATCAGGGCCTTGCGGATGATGTAGCTGTTGATCACAGTCGATGCGGCGTGGCGGGCGGCGTAGTCAAAGTCGATGACTTCGTACGGCGTGATTTGCAGCACCTTTGGGGTCGCCTCTGTCTTGCGAACGACGTCGTCCACAAGTCCCTGCAGGGAGACCGGCTCGGCAGCCGTCGGCAGTGTGGCTCCCGGCGCTGCCTCCAACAGATGTAACTGACTTTCCGGGATGGCAGCCTTGAGCGCGTCCAAGATGATGGGCTGGACGTAGGGGTCCTCGTAGGCGACGAGGGCATAGAGTGTCTCGTTGGATGCAATGGGTACTGATGGTGTTGGCGTTTTTCCCTCTGGTTCCTTCTCTGCTATGGACAAACTTTCTATCGGTACACTTGCGACACTGGTTGACTCCTGTGATGCGGGAGGGTCCCTGAAGGTTGGCTGTTAGTGATACGATCCGCTTGAAAAACAAAACAAGGCAGGGAAAATAAAAATGCAATGCAGCTCGGTTATCAACAGCACTCCGGAGGAGAGAACCTGAGAGAGAGAAGAGGTAAAGGGAAAAAAAATCAAAAAAATCGATTGCGTCTATATCTGTCTATAGAGCTAGAGCCTCCACACGATACGTGTTGTTCCGCTCTCCGGTCTGTGACCTGTATCCAAGTTGATATATACACAAAAGCGTGCTCCAAGAAGACTTGGGCTCAAATAAATGAAACGGTATATAGGAGAGGTCATGACGCAGCCAAATAAGGAAACAAATACAATAGAAAACAAATGAACCTCAACATAACGAATGGCCGGGGGAAAGAAGCTGGTATACTCACAGGCGGAACTCGGTCTGGTGCAGCTTGGTTGCCGTCTGAAAGAAGTTTGCTTTGAGTGGTGTTATGCTGCTGGCGTTAGTCGACTGCAAGTTCATATAAAAACAGGACTATCTAGCAACCGGAGACGTACCTTGTCAGACCTTCCCGCACGGCCCAGCCGTCGTTGCCGGGCGGCGCTTCGTCCACACTGCGGTAGACATCAGAGAATTGCGGCTGCCACTTGAAGTGGCGGTGCGTGATGGGTGCCGTATGGCCGTGGCCGGAGCTAGCACCGGAGGCTGCTGCTGCTGCTGCTGCTGCTGTTGTTGTTGTTGCTGCGTTTGATGTTTGCGTAGCTACGTCTGGTCTTTCTGATGCCGACGCCGCCTTTTTGGCGGCCTCACCATGGGTCTGGCTGGTGCGGAGCCGCTCCTCTTCCACATCCGTGGCGCCGCTGGCCGCGTCCTCGACCACGTCCTCGACCACGTCCTCGACCACGTCCTCGACCACGTCCTCGACCACGTCCTCGACCACGTCCTCGACCACGTCCTCGGCCACGAAGCACCCGCCCTCGCTCCAGTAGTTCTGCAGGATGCCCGCGTACACCGTCTTGTGCGTCGACACACCCGCGACCAGCGGCACATTGACGCTGTACAGGTCGACACTGTCGGCGCTGTCCCGCGGCACGTCCTTGGGCCACTGGCGGTAGAGCGCCTCAATGACGCGCACGGCATGGCGGCTGGCCTCGGCAATGATGTCGCGGTCGTGATTGCGGCTGAAAAACGCGTAGCTCAGTGCAATGGCGGGCTTGTTGCAGGTGGCGGCTTCGAGCGCGCCGCCGAGCGTGCCGGAGCTCAGGGCAAAGACGGCCGTCGTGTTGCGGCCGTAGTTTGGCCCCGAAACAACCAGGTCAATGGGCGGGCGCTCTTTGAAGACGTGGAACAGGCCAATCTGGACGCACGATGCCGGGGTGCCGTTGACGAGGACCCATTCCTCGGGCGCCTCGTCCGAGCTGCCGTTGGTGCCGGCGTTGCTATTGCCGTTTTGGCGGAACGGCCGCGTGTGCACGGTGCCGGCATTGCCGGGCTCGCCTTCCGCTTGGGAGATCCCTGCCGGTAGACTTGACCATGGCGGCGGGCGGTAGTAGGTGGGCTCGACGGTCTGGCCGATGATGTGTGCCTTGCCGATCCAGGAACGCTGCGTGTGCGGCAGGCAAACAGACACCAGGTGGCCGGCCTGCTGCAGCTCGCGCACGAGGCTGTGGACGTACGGCGACGAGTGCGTCGACGGTGGACCGTCGTCGTTGACGATGAGGATATGCATGGCGAAGCCGAACTTTGCGACGTGAGGCTCCGATGCTCGGGACGGAGAGAGAACGTGGCGACAGAGGCTCGAGGGGAGGACTGGAGGAGAAAGCGGGAAACGAGAGAACGAAAGGGCAGAAAAGAAAGCCAAAAGAGAAAGGCAAAAGAGAAAGCGGAAGGCGATCGGATGGTAGTTGTACGAAAATAGCAGTCCCGGACGCAGCCACAGGGTCACAATGGCACGCGGTCGCGTTGGGCTTCTGATGAAAGTCGCAAGTGTTGGATGTGCTGTTGGAGGAGTATGAAAAAAAATTGGAGAGCAACGAAAAGAGGTCCAATGCCGAGATGCTAGCTCCGGTCTAGGAGCGGAACTCGCGCCAGGCAAGCAGCGCCATAAGCTACGTGAGCAGTTACTGGAGGCCACTGCAAACCGTGCCTAAGCAGTAAAATAGCGCCCTGTTGGTTGCCTTGGGTAGGCTCAAGATGCAAATACGGAAGCAACGGCAGCTTCACGGGGAGTAGAAAATCGGGGCATGTATTCCGGGGCGGGGCAACAGAGGGCGGAAGGCGCGATTCACTTCAATAAAACGGGAAGGAGCTTGAGACGGAAGGGGCAACCAGCAAGGGACATGCGTACCTGCCCGGACCCGAGCATCGGGAAATGACAATATCTACGGCGAATATGGCAAGGTGGGAAAGAGGGGACGGACCCTCTCCATGGACCAAAAGAGGAATTTCAAGCCACCCTTTGAACGCCATTCAAGGCTTCATTTTCATGGATTCTACATCCGCGTACGTACTTGGCGGCCACAGTGAGACACCATCGGAAGAGGAACCTACCTTGGCCTGGCCAATGCGATGAGCCGAATACTACTCCCCATGAGAGAACCGATGCTCAAATGGATTGTCTGTGCAAGGCGGCTTTTTTATTCCAGATGGGAACATTCCAGACAGTTGCCTTGCTTGATATATCCGACTTGGACGCCCGCTACAAGCTCGCGGCTGTAGATGGACGCGCTCTGAACCCGGTCCACAGCTGCCAAGATGATACCAGCATGGCTCGATCCTCGGCCTCGTCACACCGTCCACCGTCCACCGTCCAATCAAAGTTTGCAATCATTCTCTTGATACTATGTACACAGGTGCATGCACGGCATGACTGTTGCCTTGCTGCTCCGACTTACAACTTGGCCTTGTCTGTCTCGTTGGCCCGCTCGAGGATCTTGGTGTCCCACCACGGCCACTCCACGGGGCCGTCCTCCTCCATTGTCCCCTGGAAGTTCGGTGCCCGCTTCTCCAGGAAGCTCGCCATGCCCTCCTTCAGGTCCCGGTTCTGGAACCGCTGGAACAGCAGGCTGCTCTCCAGAAGGTGCGCCTCTTCCGGCGTGCTCCCGCCGTGGTGCAGCATGTCCTTCATCACGCGCGTGCTTACCGGGCTCGTGTTGGCCGCAATGTCCTCGGCCAGGCCCAGCGCCGTCGGCAGCACCTTGTCCGGGTCAACAATCTCGGCGAACAGCGGCGACAGCATCTTGTGGGACGCCGGCAGCACACTGCCCGTGGTCGTCAAGTAGGCGGCGGCTGCGTGACCCACCAGGCGCGGCAGAAAATACGACGAGCAGGCCTCCATGACCAGGCCGCGGCGCGCAAAGACAAACCCATACTTGCCCTTGTTGCTGGCCACCCGAATGTCGGCGGGCAGCGTCATGGTGATGCCGACGCCGACGCCGCTGCCGTTCATGGCGGCAATGACGGGCTTGCGGCAGTGGTGGATGGCGAGCGACACGGCACCGCCCAAGTCGCGGTGGTTGGAGCGGGTGTCGCCGCCCGTGTTGAAGCCAATGTCGAGGTCGGCGCCGGCGCAGAACGTGCGGTTGTTTGTCATGTCGCTGCCGGTAAGGACAACGCAGCGGACGCGCGCATCGCGCGACAGCAGACCGAACGCTGTGATCAGCGAGCGGGCCATGTCCGCGCTGAAGGCATTATGGGCCTTGGGGCGATCGAGGACCACGAGAACAATGGGTGTGACGGCCGGGCTGTTTGCAGGGTGGTGCTGGAATCGAATATCTGGGAGGTGGAAGGTCTCATAGTTGTCTGGCAGTGGAATGTCAGCTACCGGCGTCGTGTTTTTGCGCTCGTAACTCATTTTGTGTGTTGTTATTGTGACAGATCTCAGCTGCTTGGTTCAATGCATCAGTTCGCTTCCTTCTTTCGCAATTCTCGTCTGTTCTTTTTGTCAGTCGTAAATGTCTGGCGCGTTGCGAGCTGTCAGGCGAAGCTCACCAGCTCACCTTATGAGGCACCATGAATTCCCCCAGACCGGCACAGCCTAGCTTCCCCGCGAGACGCTAACTATTCCTGCCGAGGTCATTTCTCCACCAGCACGCTGACTCGGTGTCAAGGTTGATGATTCTGATCAACTTTCGTGATTAGTATTACAAAATAAGCATCATACGTCGGCTAGGGTGAAGGCGCGGTCAGGCTAAATTTAATGTGTCATGTGAATATTCAATGTCTGTTATCCATGGTGACGAGTATTGCAGTCCAATTCTTTTGACAATTGACAATTTCTATTGTTTAATGACAAAACATAATTTTTTTATTGCTTCGCTCTGCTCTCGAGACAGTGCTCTGCACAGAATGCAACATTGCTGCACTACTTACGTTGTCACCTTTACATGAACTTGCTCGCCATACCCAGCAGGCTGCCCATGCCGCCCGAGCCGCCCGAGCCGCCCGAGCCGCCCTGGCTCTTCATGTACATCTTCAGGGCCATCTCACCGGCCTTTTGCACGGCTGACTCCTTGCTGGCACCCGAGGCCACGTTGCCCTGCGAGCTCTGGCTATCAAACAGCTTGCTGGCCTGGCTCATGGCCATGCCGATGAACTGGCTCTGGCTGCTGCCACCGCCGCCGCCGCCGCCGCCGCCGCCCCCCGAAGTGAACGTCTTGAGCGCCTGGATGGCCGCGGCGCTGCCCATACCGCCAGCGGTCGCCTGGCCGCCGCCGCCGCCGCCGCCGCCGCCACCGCCACCGCCACCGTAGTACTGCTGGTGGTGCTGAACAGCCGCTGGACAAGAAGTGTTAGTATTATGTGTGCTTCAGAAGAAGTTGCAGTGTGTAGCCACGTAGGGATGTTACATACCGCCCTCGTCGAGGTCCTCGTTGGCGAGGCCGTTCTTGTTGCCGCCAATCTTGTTGAGGATGTCGGCGAAGAAGTTGGGGCTGTCGCCGTCGCCGCTGTGCTGGGCTGCGGCGTGGGCCGCGCCCTTCAGGTCGTCGTCGTCATCATGGTTGTAGTTGCCTCCGCCGCCACCGTACTGCTGTTGGCCACCGCCGTAGTCCTGGCGGCCGTACTCCTGCTGACCGCCGCCGTAGCCGCTGCCCTGCTGGCCACCGTACCCGCCCTGCTGGCCACCGTACCCGCCTTGCTGGCCACCGTATCCACCCTGCTGGCCACCGTACCCGCCTTGCTGGCCACCGTATCCACCCTGCTGTCCGCCGTATTCACCCTGGCCGCCCTGGTGGTGGCCGCCGTGATGACCGCCGTGGCCTATGTGTGACGAGACACGTATTAGAATATGTCGACGAAGAAGTCTTTTGGATGCTCACATGGAGAGCTGTCAATAGTTGTATTGAGTGTAATGGGAGAGCTTTAAACTAACCGCCGCCGTATTCTGCAAAGCACGGTGTTAGCAGCGCATCAGACAATAAACGCCAGCCGCAAGACGACGGAGCAGACAATACGAGTATAGGAGTCGAGCATGGACGCTGTCTTCTCCTCCATGTCCAAACCTCTCTTCAGGAAGTTGCTTTTAGGGCGAAGGCAAGAATACTTACGCTGGCGTCCGTTGTTGTTGTCGTCACCGCCCCACATTTTCAGAGAGATCGATCGGGGGAGTTTCTGGTAGATTGGAAGATGGAATGCTGCAGGTGTTGAGGATTCGTTGCAAGAGACGGAGCAGCTTGAAACGAGAAGAGGAGATAGAGTGAAAGTTAGCAACGAAACAAAAGGAAAACAAAAGGAGGTTCAAAGCAAGAGGGGCAATTCGAGAAAGGGCGCGATGGGCGACATTAATACTGTTGGGTCCCTCCTTCCCTTTGGTTTTCTTTTTGCGACTTCCTTCATCATTGGGCTGTCCATAAGCGCCCCTTCCCCACCTCATTCGGCATGGCTGATCGCTCCTGCCATGGAAAACAAATGCTCGGAAAACTAAGCTACCCAGTGGGAGCTTCGAGCTACGAGCTACGACGGTACCTCATTGGAGAAGGACCGTAGGGGAATGTGACTAGGTGGGTTTCGAAGGTAGGGAAGAGAAACAAATCTGTATGGAGGCAGCGAGGGGCGGCCAATTGGCTCTGGACTCTGGATGGGGCTGAAACGAACTGGGAAGACGCGGCATCGACCATGGAATAATGACGTCTGCGGGGCTCCCTCCCTTTGTTTTCGACTCCCCCAAGGGCGGGCTGTTAAGGTGCATTACCTGGAAGCCATGAAGCCAACGAAGCCAATGAAGCCGTTCGAACACGACGAGTGAGCAGAGCTCTTTGACTTCACCCTCGTGCTTCGTGCAGTTGCCTCTCCGAGGAGTGACGGCGCGGAGACTGAGGAGCGCAATGTGACAAGGTAGCATTCGATGTGTCCCGTCGCCCATGGTTTGCTGCCCGTCCATCTGACCTCTAGGGATTCGCTGGCACAAAGTGTCTTGGCAAAGACGCAAGTTGATGAGCCATAGCAGTTGAGTGGACGAGTCGAGCGAGCCGGACGAGTGCAGAGGCGAGACGGTGGGCAGGAGGAGACGGGCGGATCCTGGTCGAGCTGAAAGGTTCGGCAAGGAGCTAGGCCAAGCTGTGTGCTCCAAGGTTCCAAGTGGATTAACCAAAAAGAACGATGAATGAGGGGCACGTTCAGATCCGAAGGGCGGAAAAGAGCTGGCAAGCTGCAAGACGCCGCGTATACACTTTTCGGTCAAGGGTGCCACAAGTTGATAATTGTGGTCACTGGAAGCACCCCATCACATTCAAGGTTCGCAAAATGCACAATTTATAAAAGGCATTCAGAAAGAGGAAGCCGGAGGTGCGGAACAGAACTTAGAAATTTGAAAAAAAGAAATAAGAAAGGACGAAACCTTGTTGTATGCTAAAACCAACATCGTGTTCTCTTGATCCGGCCGTTCCATATTTCCCAGGCCATTGGGTGTAACAAACATGAGAAAAAAACAACCAAAACGTCCGTGTATGTATATGAGTCGCAAAACAAAGCAGAAGCAAAATGTCAAACCAAAACCAATTTAGCAAAGCCAAAACCAAAAAATGACGAACCCGCACCGAACCAATGACCTTGTATCGTGTACCCAAGGCTTCCGTATGCAAATAAAATACAAAATGTCAGCAGACAAAAAAAAAAAAAAAAAAAAAAAAAAAAAACAAAAGAACATGAGGAAAACATGTCATCTCGTAACGTGACACTTTTATACATTACTCCGCGCGTCGTGGCGACCCGCCGCCGGAAGCGTTGACGGGCTCTGCCGCGTTTGCCACGCCGACGCCTCCTACCACACCAGCCGCCGCCGCCGCCTTTTTCTTTTCGCGCTTTTCCTTCTTGGCCCAGCGCAGACCGCAGGCATTGCACAGCGTCTTGGGGCCGCTGGGGCCCTTGCGCCATTCTGGCGACTCCAGCGTGCCTGGGAAACAATGTTAGCTGTGCTCAACTATCGATAAGCTTATACAAGGAGAGTACCTACCACAGTCGGTGCAAACATATTCTTCGGCGAGACGCGCCTTCTTCTTCTTGTCACCTGCCCGCTGGTCGCGGTTCGCCGAAAAAGCAATGCCTGCATCGCCCTTGATGAGCCGCGGGCTGCGGTTGCCCGTGGACAAGCCGCGACTGCGCTCGCCTTCCTGGTACCGCAGGCCCGTGAGCATTTCAATCGTGTCGGCCGTCGAGGACATGGGCAGTCCGGCTGCGGCAGCAGCATTGCTACCGCTGGACGGCCCAGCCACACCAGCGCCTGCCAGTCTGCCGCCACCGGACAACGGTCCGCTATCCGCACTCGTGGAGGCTCCCGCCGCCATCGAGCCAGGCGCTGCTGCTGTGCTCCCTGCGCCGGTCGTGGCCTTGCCTGTGCCCGGTGAACCCTCGTAGCGAGCCATCTTATCTCCCAACGAGTCGGCTGGCCGGGCGGCAATGCCTTCGAGGTTCTCGCGCGTCAGTGCGGCATTGTTTGGCCCGCCTCCTGGCATCATGGCGAGCTTGAGTGGCGTCATTGGTGGCGGCATGGACATGCTGTCGTTGTTGATGTTGTTGTTGTTATTGTTGTTGTTGGCGCCGTAGACAGAATTGTTTGCTATAGCACTAGCCATGGCGGATCCCATCACAGCGGCGGCCGCGGCGCCAGACGTGGCCATATAGGACGGTGCATCCATGTTCTGTCGCCAGACCCAGCTCTGGCTCTGCGTGTGCGATTCGTCGTCGTGGTCTTCAGACGCCTCCTCGCGCCGCAAGTCGTCGATTCGACGTCGTAACCGCTCGTTCTCCATCTTGTGCTCGAGGAACGAGTCCAGTAGGTTGGAGTTCTTCGTCGGGTACTCCCGGCACATGAGGAACACGGCCTGGCAAAAGGGGGTCTTGTTGGACGGGTTGGACGCAAAGCGCGAGGTGGCAATGTGGGCGTGGCCGGCCATGTCGACAATGACGTAGTCGCCGTCCTTTTTGCGCAGGCGCACAAACATGCGCAGGCTGCTTGCATTGGCGATGCATGCGTTGAGGTCGGCGATGAACACAGAGCGGTCGTCTGGGTGCGTCAGCTCGGTCAGCGACTGGCCCGCAATCTCGTCGGGCGTGTAGCCCAGGATCGAGGCGACATTGGGCGAAGCATAGCGGATGCGGCCGTTGGGCTCGATGATCTGCAGCAGGTCGGTGAGCTCCTCGACGACCTTGGCCGGCCAGTTCTTGCGCCGTGTGAACTCGGTCAAAGCGCCACCCCCGGCCGGCCCGGCACCAGCGGCACCGCCTGCTGCACTGCTGGGCCCGCCGCTCGTAAAGCTGTCGAGAGGCAGCGGGCCGCCACCAGGCTCGTTGACGCCGCCCATGACGACGTTGCCATCGACACCGTCTCTGTCTTGTTGCTGTGAGGGACTGTCGTCGGTTGTATTGCCGTTGATTTGCATGCCGTTGTTGATGTTGATATGGTCACCATTGGCAGCTGCGCGCATCGAGCCATAGTCGAAAGGCAGCGATGCTGTGGTGGACTGTGATGGTAGAGCCTGTGATGGTGGAGGCGGAGGGAACATGGATCCTGGCTGGTGCGGCGCAAGGCCGGAGGACATGTCCTCGAAGCTGTCGAAGAAGGTGGCCGGCTGCTCATTGAAAAACATCATCATGGCATTGTCCGTTGCTTGTTGTAGTTGTTGCTGCTGCTGCTGCTGCTGCTGCTGTAGTTGCTGCTGTAGTTGCTGCTGTAGTTGCTGCTGTAGTTGCTGCTGTTGTTGCTGTTGATGCTGTTGCTGTTGTTGCTGCTGAAATTGCGCGGCCACTGTTGCCATGGCAGCCGCGGCCTGATCGTTGGTCATCACGGACGGTCCGCCATCGCCTCCGGTCTGGCCGTTGAAGGCGAAGAAGTCGCTGGCGAGTGGCGGTGGTCCGTGTGACATGGCTGTGCGAGTGGAGGCGGAACGAACCTACGCCGTACGGGCAGGCGAAGAGTGAGAAGGGTAACGCAAGGGACCACGCTGGGAGTGGTCTCTCAGTACGGCGAGGGGTGATGCAACTGTGCCGATGCAGAACGCCAGAGCCGGTGACTGAACGAGGGCACGAAGCGGGGCCGGCACATGCTATGCGGCATCGAGACGTGGGGTAGAGACCCCAGGGCAGTGACGGCCAGACGAGCCGGTGACAGATGACGTTGGACTTGGGCGCGTGCAGACGACAGACCGGTCGTGATCTCCAATTGGGCGTTGATAGCTTGCTGCCCGTGACCCGTTCCTCAGAGATTAATGCCGTCAACGGTGGCGATGAGGTGGACGAATGAAGAAGAGGGGAAACCAAGAATCATTTAAATAAAAGAAAAAAAGAGAAACATATGAATAGAAAAGAGGAAAAAAAAAGGGATCCGACAAGAGAAAACTGATCAAAGGTCGTTGTTTTGAAAATCATGGTCCATTGAGCATACATCCACTTCGCCCTTTGGTCTGGGGTCTGGTCTTTGGGAAGGTGCTGTGTGGGGGGAGGGGCGGAAAGTTCCCCTCCCTCTTCTCATTGGCTGCAGGAGCTCACGCAGCGAATAGGCACAAAGAATATCGAGGAACCAGAGAGCCCAGAACCAGACCCTGGCGCGCCTCTCCCGTCTCGGGCTAGGGAGCTTGTGAGATCATCCAAGGATAGTTGCTGCTTGGCGTAGTGCGTGGGTGGTGACCCTGCGTTGTGCGTTTTCGGTGGACTCGCCTGACGCAGTCTCGGAACGAGCGACTGATGTACGTCCTATTTCCTTGGTTCTGCAGGCTTTTGGCGTGTGGATTGCGCAGTAATTATTATTTCATAGTGCTGTGAAGGCTGTGTCACCGAGCATTTTTGCCCCCAAGACAGGTACTAGCGCACCTTGCTGTGGGTGCCGTACAGAATACAACATACAGCGGTGGTAATTGCACAGCAGTGCACTGGAGATGCCTAGTGGGGTGTGACCCTGGAGCAAATGAACCGAGCCGGTGACTGCTAGGCTCGTTCTTGCCAGAGTAAAAGTCGACGGGGTTCTTTCTTATGTCATAATCGACTACGGCTTTCGATGTCGCTGCTCCTGCCTAGTCGACTTTTCTTCGTCCGAAGAATTCGAATGAGCAAGTGGGGTCTCCGAGTCTTTAGGCCGTTCTTTCCTCGAGTGGAGGAAGGCGTCGCCGAATACACAAAACCGGAGAAACGGCGGAGACTCGCCCTATCAAAGAGCATCACCTAAACGCCGACCGTACTGAGGTGGCCCGTACGTCACAGCATGTTGAAAAATGAGACGGTGAGATACGAGCAAAACCGTATTTGTACAGTTGTACACCAAAGAAACAGCTGCCGCCGTTGATCCGGCTTCTTGATCCGGGTCCCTGTTGGGTTCCCTCTTCAAACTCCAGGATCTACCTTTTTGCTTCCGAGTGGCGAGGACCCTGGATGTTGTGACGCATGACGAAGGGCTGAAGCTATCTGAAGTCGGTCACGGGAGCCCCGAACGTCTGACGTCAATGGCATGCGCTTATGACTTCATGGCGGGTTGGAAACTTGGCACATAGCATCGGTTATCTAGCCCCACTGTTTCGACAATGAGACAGTGTTCATACAGTATATATACTGTACTAACACTATGTTCCTGCCAAAGTGGTCACAAAGCCCCGCAAATTAGGAGCGCTGGTCCCGTGAGCCCGCGCTTTCCTCCTTTCCTCGCTAGGCAGACAACGCGCTCACTGTCACTGGTCGCGCGTCGGCACTTTATGCGTGTGTTGCACAATCACCATTTTTCGTGCCTCCAACGGCCCCGGCCTCGACGTCCATAACGACCACGACACCGGGTCTCGGCTTACTCTATAGGTGCTCGTTCTGTCTTCGGCTCGGTCCCCTATCGTTGATGCTGCTGGATGGGGCGGTCTTTCTTACTCTCGTGAAGAGTGACGGTCGATCCAGCTCGCCACAATGTATGTTTATGTTTCCCGCTTCATCCCCGTTACCGTACACTGTAGATTCTTATTCTCATGCTGACACATATCCTCTCAGGTGTGCGTTCCTATACTCCACGCTGTTCGACTTCGCAGCTATCCACGATTGTGGCTAACATCCATGCGTCGACCCCTAGCGAAGATCGAGAAGCTCGGAATCCGGGGGTGAGTGTCATTCTCTGCCTCCCACACGGCGCGGAACGACTTGCTAACAGCCCTTCAGCATCCGGTCCTTCAGTCCGGCCAGCCAAGAGTCTATGCTGTTTAACACGCCGCTGACTCTGATTGTCGGCTACAACGGTTCTGGAAAGACGGTGCGTTTGGCGTGCACCCACGGCCGATGACGCCCATGGACGGCGATTGTCTCGCAGCCACTGCAAAATATCTACATCTATACTGACGCCCACAGACCATCATCGAGACTCTCAAGTATGCCACCACCGGCGAACAGCCGCCGAACAGCAAAGGTGGCGCCTTTATCCACGATCCCAAGGTCCGTTGCTGTCCCCTCCTTTCGGTGTGCCTCTCGCGGCCAACAAACACGTTCTTATACATGTGCACGTTTTAGTTATGCGGCGAAAAAGAGGTCCTGGCACAGGTCCGCCTGTCCTTCCAGTCTACCGTCGGGCAGAAACTGGTCGTCACCCGCAGCCTGCAACTCACCATGAAAAAGACGCAGCGCTCCATGAAGACGCTCGACGGCTCGCTCGTCATCTACAACAACGGCGAGCGCACCGGCCTCTCCACCAAAGTCGGCGAACTCGACGAACTCGTGCCCAACTACCTCGGCGTCTCGTCCGCCATCCTCGACGCCGTCATATTTTGCCACCAGGACGAGTCGCTCTGGCCCATGAGCGAACCGGCCGCACTGAAGAAGCGCTTTGATGAGATTTTCGAGGCCATGAAGTACACCAAGGCCATCGACAACCTCAAGGTCGTCCGGAAGAAGCAGGGCGAGGAGCTGCAGAAGCTCAAGATGCTCGAGGCCACAAACAAGGAGGCCAAAGAAAAGGGCCAGCGTGCCGAGAAGCACCTGGCCTCCCTCCAAGCCCAGATCGAGGACCTACGCGAACAGGGCGAGGACTTGACCCGGCAGATGGACGACGTGCAGGCGGCCGCCAAAGAGCGCCGCGAACAGGCCACGTCCTTCTTTGGCATTGTGCAGGAGCTCAAGAGCAAGCAGGACCAGTTCGAGGTGCGCAGCGAGACCATGGCCGAGCTCAAGGCGAGCATCGTCAAAATGCGCACCGAGTCGGACGCGTGGCTCGACGAGCACCTACAGCAGTACGAGGCGACCCTGGCGCGCCTCCAAAACGACAAGGAGGAGCAGACGGCTCGGTTCCGCCAGCTGCAGGCGGGCCTCGCAACCTCGCGCAGTGCGCTCGGCGCCCAGCAGGCCGAGCAGGGCAAGCACCAGTCGGACAAGGAAAAGTACGAGCGGCAGCTGCAGACCCGCATCGACATGATCCACGAGGCCGCCGCGCGCCACGAAATCCGCGGCTTCGAGAGCGACGACCTGCGCGACAGCCACATTCGGGCGTTCCGGGAGCGCATCCAGAAGCTGCTGCAGGACAAGCGGCGCGATCTGGAACGACTGCAGCGGGAGAACGCCAAGGAGCTGGAAAAGGACACGGCCGTCATCAGCGGGCTGGAAACGCAAAAGGCCACCCGCACACAGGACCGCGTCGCGGCCAAGCAGCGCATTGCCGCCATTGACAAGCGCATGGCCGTCCTGCAGCGCGACATCCAGAAACTGGATGTCGATGAGGGTGCCCAGGCGATCCTCGAATCGACGTACGCCGACCTGGAGGCCCGCCTGAAGCGGGCCACAGACGACGCTCACGCGGCCGGCATCGACGGGCAGATTGAGCAGGAGAACAACCAGATCTGGCAGCTCGAGAACGAGAGCGAAAAGCTGGGCCGCGAGATGGTCGAGTGTATGCGGCGCGCGTCGGACCGGGCCCAGCTCGATCTGCGGAAAAAGGAAGCCGTCGAGCGCAAACGCCGCTTGGACACTCTGACATCGACGTGGCGCGGCAAGCTCGGTGCCATTGTCGGCCAAGGGTGGACCGCCGAGTCCGTGGATGCCGACTTCCAATCGGTCCTCCAGGGTCTCGTCACAACGGCCGGCGACGCGCGCAAACAGGTCGACGCCAGCCAGCAGGAGCTGAAGCAGGTCGAGTACAAGCTGTCCACGATCCGCGACCGGCAAAAGAAGGCGGTCGCGCAGTCGGCCACGTGCCAAGCGACCGTGCTCGAGGTGCTCCGGGCGGTCAAGGCCGGCGGCGAGGAGGGTGCCAGCGCCTCGGAATCCGTGTCGATCGAAGAGTACCAAGAAGAGCTGGACAATCTGGAGTCGGAGATTCTCACGGCCGAGAAGGACATTAGTCTGTTTGATCATTTGAAGGACTACTATTCCAAGTCCCAAAAGGTCCTGAACCGCTTTAACAAGTGCTCGCATTGCGACCGGTCGTTTGCCGACCAGCCGCGGGAGCGCTCCAAGCTGCTTGAAAAGATTGCCAAGAACCTCGACGACAAGCAGAAGAAGGAGCTGGAGCAGGAAAAGGACATGCTCGAACAAAACCTGGGCCAGCTGCGCGCCGTCCGCACACAGTACGAGACCTATACACGCCTCGAGTCGGAGCTGCCCGGTCTGCGGGACGAGCTCAAGGCGGCCGAGGGGCAGCGCGATGCCCTGGTGCGCCGGCTCGAGGACCAGGACGCCTCGTTCAAGGAGGTCGACGAGAAGCGGATGGACGTCGAGTCGATGGCCAAGACGGTGGCAAGCATCTCGCAGGCGGTCAAGGACGTTGCCGCGTCGGACGAGCAAATTGAGAAGCTAGCCTCGCAGCAGCAGTCGGCGGGCTCGTCCCGCAGCTCCGAGGAGATCCAGGAATTGCAAGCCACCTGCGCTGACCAGCTGCGTGCGGCCAAACAGCGCCTCGCCAAGCTGTCCGACGACCGGCAGCGCATGCGGGATGCCGTCAGCACGCTGGAGCTGGAGCGGAGCGAGCTGAAGAACAAGATTGCGCACGCAGCGCGGCAGGTCGAGCGGAAAGCGGACCTCGTCAACCAGATCCAGGCGTTCAAGGACGAGTCGACGCAGCAGCGCGAACTGATCCAGCAGACGGACCGCGACCTCGAGGCCCTCGAGCCCGAGATCGCCAAGGCGCGCACCATCCGGCAGGACACCGTGCAGCGGGGGCAAGAAAAGGAGCGCGTGGGAGCCCAGGAGCGCGATGCGGTGGCGCACACGGTGAGCGAGCTGCGGATGGTCGAGAAGGACATTGACGACTACGTCGACCGCGGGGGGCCGGCGCAGCTTCTGGCCAATGCGCGCGCCATTGCGACGCTGGAGCAGGCCATTGCTGGCCAGGAGCGCGAGGCGGACGAGCTGGCGGCACAGGTCAACAAGATGAAGGCGGAGATTGACAACAGCGACCGCGAAAAGAAGAACATTGCGGACAACCTGAGCTACCGGCGCAACTCGCGGCTGCTGAACGAGCTGCAGCGCGACATTCGGGACCTGGAGGCGCGCAATGCCGAGGACGACTACGACCGGCTGGTGGGGGAGGCCAAGCGGTTCGAGGTGCAGCACAGCAAGCTGCTGGCGGAGCGCAGCGCGATCTGGGGCAGCATGAAGACGAAGGACGAGGAGCTGCTGCGGCTGCTGGACGAGTACGAACAGGAGTACAAGGAGGCCGAGTTCCGCTACCGCGAGTCGCACATCCGCGTCGAGACGACCAAGGCGGCGATTGACGACCTGGGCCGCTACTCGGCGGCGCTCGACAAGGCCATTATGGAGTACCACGGCCTCAAGATGGAGGAGGTCAACCGCATCGCGGGCGAGCTGTGGCGCGCGACGTACCAGGGCACCGACATTGACACGATCCTGATCCGGTCCGACAACGAGACGGCGACGGGCAAGCGCAACTACAACTACCGCGTGTGCATGGTCAAGCAGGACACGGAGATGGACATGCGCGGGCGGTGCTCGGCGGGCCAAAAGGTGCTGGCGAGCATCATCATCCGGCTGGCGCTGGCCGAGTCGTTTGGCGTCAACTGCGGGCTGATTGCGCTGGACGAGCCGACGACGAACCTGGACAGCGACAACATCCGGTCGCTGGCGGTGGCGTTGCACGCCATCATCAAGGCGCGGCAGGCGCAGGCCAACTTCCAGCTGATTGTGATTACGCACGACGAGGAGTTTCTGCGGCACATGCGCTGCTCGGACTTTTGCTACACCTTCTACCGCGTGTCGCGTGATGACCGGCAAAACAGCGTCATTACGCGGGAGCCCATTACGCGGTTGATGGAGGGATAGTTTGGCTGAGATCTGGGATGGTAGCGTGACATAAAGCACGGCGTTTTTTGGATTCTAGCGAGCTTTTGTTTTGACGTTCATTCATATTCATTTTCAATGGTCATATTCATAATGTACTCCATGATATACACTATGACAGATATAATACAAGGCACTATTTTGAGATTCTTTCGAGAATATAGGGCTTCGAAATGCCACACCTCACTTCTTCATCGCCACAACGTGCCGCAGTGTGCCGAAGCTCAGGCAGTCGGCAATTCGCCGCGCACCCGCAAAGAGCATCACCAGCCGCTCGACGCCACAGCCCCAGCCGCCGGTTGGGGGCAAGCCGGACTCCAGAGCCGCAATGTAGTTATCGTCAACGGTGTTGTTGGATGCACCGGCCGTGTCCTCGACCTGCTGGGCCATTTTCCGGCGTTGCTCTGCCGGATCGTTCTCCTCTTCGTACATGTTGGCCAGCTCGCGGCCGTCGACAAACAGCTCGGCGCGAGCGGCGACCAGCTGGCCGGTTTGCGGGCAGACAAAGCTCTTGGCCAGGGGCGACATGCACGCCGGATGATGGGTAATGAAAAGGGGCCCGTCGACGTTGGCAAACGAGCGCGGCTCCAGGTGGTCGCCGGCCAGGCGGTCCAGCAGCCTGGCAAGGCGGCCCCCGTCGGCATCGCTAGTATCCTGTTCGCCGTTGTTGTTGCCCAACTGCGCGCGTAGTTGGTCATAGGCATCGGGCGCCGACAGGTCGGGGAAGGTGATGCCCAAGGCGGCCTCGAGAGAGGGTATGAACTCGAGCTGCACAAACGGACCGCCCGCGGCACAACGCGCAACAGAGTCTACTGATGCGCTCGAGACTGTGCCTGCCGCGCCCGCGTCCGCTTCTGCCTCGTCCCCCGCCTCAGCAGCGGACTGTAGGCCTGCGCCAGCCGGCGTCTCTTTGAACTGCAGCGCCGCCTGTGCCAGCTGGGCCATGAGCCGCTCCGTCTCGGCCATTAACCGGGGCAACGTCCAGTACGCAGCGTAAAACTCGCACGTGCTGAACTCGGGATTGTGTGTCGCATCGATGCCCTCGTTGCGGAAGGACGGGCCAATCTCAAACACTCGGTCGAGGCCGCCCACGACGAGTCGCTTCAGCCACAGCTCCGGGGCGATGCGCAGGCTGAGGGGGCGCGATCCCGCCGACGTTCCCGCCGAGGCAGCCGCACCGGCCTCGCCCTCGTCACCGGCCTGAGCATGGGCCGTCATAAACGGACGTGCTACGGCACCGCCCGACAGATCCGCCAGAATGGGCGTCTGCACCTCGACAAACTGCTGGTCCTCAAAAAAGGCGCGCATTTCGCGCAGAATGCGCGACCGGAGGCGCAGCGTGGCGGCCGCGCTAGGGTTGACGAGCAGATCAATGTGGCGACGCAGCGCCCGCTTTTCGGAGTCGAGCAAATGCGTCGGTAGCGGTGCCAGCGCGGGCGAGTACACGCGGGGCAGCGCATCGGCCGCCAGCGTGAGCTCGCCCGTGCCCGTGCGCATGGCACGGCCCGTCACGGCCACGTGGTCGCCGCGGTTCAGCAGGCGAGCGGCCTCTTTGAAGACTGCGGGTTCGACCGCTGTTGATGGCGAGTTGGCGTCCGCAGGCGTCCGCAGCTGGCGCAGATTGCACATAACCTGCACCTGCTCGCCTTCGTCCACTAGCTTGAGAAAGACCAGCTTCGCTCCGAGGCGCTGGACCGACAGCACGCGGCCAGAGAGCTCGACGCGCCGGCCCGGGACTTCATCGCCGACAGCGACGGAATCAAATTCGGCGCGAAACTGCGGCACGGAAAGCCTGTCGCCGCGGGGCTGGTACCGAGGGTAATGCAGAGCATCGGCGTCGGCCAGCTCCTTGACACGCAGGGCTACCGCCGATCGGTCCTCGACGACACTGGAGTCAGAGGAAGCCTCGATGCTGTCAGCTTTGGCCTTGTTACCGGCTTTGGAAGATGACAGCCTGGCGCCACACAGCCTCATTGTTTGTCCCCTTGGCGGGGAGCTCCTTTTCGAAGTGGCTTCTGTCAGGCCGCACGCAGTCTGGTAGAACCGCAGGTACGCCCTCTTGGCCGACGGCGAGCACGAGCGTGCTGCCGTGGACTGGATGTGCCGTGCCGCATACGGTCGGAGAAATAAGAGGCCCGGCAGGGCGGCGGAGACGGCGGCGCTCATGGCGGCGGGCAGCAAGACGTCATGCCGTGCAAGCAGCAGCCGGTCATCTTTTCGACGTGTTAGCAGGAACAACACTCGGCACAAGTTTGGGAAGACATGTGAGGCGGTGTAGGTAGTGTAACAAAAACTGGCAGCAGCAGGCCCAACTGTCAGAATATTGGCATTTGTGATCACGCCGCAAGCCGAAGCTGCAGTCAGTCGCAACGGTTCTAAGGTTTAATGCTTGTTCATCATAGTAGACGATCTGCTGCTGCTCAATTGTTTTTAAAAACGTGTAGATGGTGGAAGGGGATCTTACCAGAAAAAGGGGCGTGCTCAATGTGGTTGGGCGGCTGGTTTGTTGACGTTTAGAGATATGAAGCTCTGGAGCTTGTGCTGTTGGAGAGAAAAATTTGGCAGGCAGGACACGCCTCGAAAACGGCAGGGACCCACATCTATCAAATCGACCAATGACGGTGCAGATTATCCATCATGGACAATGTGCTCCATAAAAATGCAAAATAGACGAATCAGATGCCAGAGTCTGACTGGAGCATCGGGAAAAGGCCTAAAAAACGTCACTGGTTTTTCAAGATCCAACAACACGACAAAGCAGCACACACGACCTTCCCACGACGACTGCCTGACGACCGACCACGATCGCTTTGCGTTTCGGCCATTTGATACACAGCATCTTGTCCCTGACAGACCCGCCACAACCGCCATCATGTCGTTCTTTGGTATGGGCCGCCCGCAGCTCTCGTCGGCCGAGAAGATTGCGTCCGTCGAGGCCGAGATGAAGATGATGTCCGACATGCACAACCGGTACGTGCTGGACAGGCAGTGACAGGCAGTGGAACACGAACATGTGTGCTGAAATATACTAACCCTTCCCAGCCTCATCAAGGCCTGCGCCGCCAAGTGCGTGCCCACCGACTACCGCGAGAGCGAGCTCAACAAGGGCGAGAGCGTCTGCCTGGACCGCTGCGCGGCCAAGTTCTTTGCCGTGCACATGAACGTGTCGGAGCACATGCAGCAAGAGGCGGCAAAGCGCAATGCCGGCGGCGGCGGCGGCATGTTCTAAGGAGATGAACGGTTATGAAAATTCCAAAATAACAAAGAAAGCCACGTGAAAATGGGCCACATGAAAAAAAAAAAAAAAAAAAAAACGAACCCAACGACGAGGGCGATGATGACGACGCCATCTGTACATTAGAACACACACACACATTTCTCCTCTACTTCCATTCCTTTCTTTCGGGTCATAGGGTTGCAACACGGACGGGGTACGCGGCGAGCGATAGACATGGAAACAGACGAAAGATATGGGTATCGAAGCAGGCATATACTTTTGGGCGCAAAGAACAAGTAAGATATGACACGGCCAGCATGGCCCCAGGATACGAATGAAAACGAATAGAATGCGCCATACATATAGAGTGCGAGTACGCCCATGTACAGAAGAAAACTGGTGGAAATGAGAGCTGTCAAGCAAATGTAAGAAACGCCGTCGCTATCGCAAATGCGGTGCCGTGTATGTGCTTCAAGTCTGCTCTCACGTGTCTGTCCAACTCTTGGTGTTCCCCCTGTTCCCCCTCTCCCCCGTCGCCTACTGCCGACGGGGGCCGGCTTCGACAATGTTGGGCCCTGTGCCAATACCTGTCAGGCTGCGCACCGCCCAGTGCAGCCAGCTCTCCGTCTCCAGGTGGCTCTTGAGCTCTTTGGCCCGCCGTTCCACGTGTTCGACCTGCCGCGTAAACTGCCGCACGCCTTCCTCGACGTCTTGCACCTTGGACGCCAGCGACCCGATCTCGTACTCGACCTTGGCCATGAGCATCTCGACCTCGCGCACGGCTTCGGTCGTCTGCGCGCGCTCGATCCCCAAGAGGTCCTGGCTGTTGGCCTGGACGTGCTCGTAGGCGCCCGACAGCTGGAAGAAGACGCTCTGGACCTCTTCGATCTGCGTCTCGTACACGGCGTCGAGCGACTCGAGGGCCAGCACGCGGTCGACGACAACGGGGCCCACAACGTCCTTGAGTGCCAGAACATCTTGGTAGAGCCCCCGCTCCAGCGTCTGGGCCGTTACGAACCGGGACGACGCCGCGAGCAAGATCGCCTGGTCGTGGCTCTCGCCGGCCACGCTCCCAAGCCCACCCTCTTCGCTGTTCTTGTCGTCTTGGCCGTCTTTGCCATCTTTGCCGTCTTTGCCGTCTTCACCGTCCCCATCGTCCTCGTCACCGACCGAGGGGAAGTCGACAATCTCGTCCCAGCCAAGCACGGCCTCTTCGGCAGCGCTGAATGACAGCCGCCGTGGCCATACGAGCTCAAAGGGCAGCTTTTGTGGAAGCTGTTGCTGCTGTTCTTCTCGCTGGAGTGGCTGTTGCAGCATGTCTCGGCTGCATTCGCCGCCCGCTATACTGTGTCGACGGAGCAGGCCGACGACGCCCGGGCCCACATCGCGTTCGGCCTCGAGAATGGGGCCTTCCAGGTCGGAGCCGCCCGCCACGCTGCCCGCCACTGACGTGTCGGCTGTGGAGATGGCCATGTCCTTGCGCAGATGGCTGGCACGGCCGTTGGCCTGCGTGGAATACCCGGGAAGTCTTGCTGCCAACTGGGTCTCGAGGGCCGCCGTGGCGGCGGCTGCGATCGCGTCTGCGTCGGGATTGGGCCCTTGGGTGCCGTGTATTGTGCCGGGCATGCCAGCGTTGCGAAACAGCTTTTCGCCCATCTCGCGCTCCCTCTGAATGTTTCGGAGATACTCCTCCGGCTTGTTCTTCCACGTAAACGCACGGCCCACCATCACGGGGCTGTTAAGCGAAGCCTGTGCTAGGCCAGCAATGCCTGGATAAGCCATCGCGGAACCCGGGGCCATGGACGAGCCAGCACTTGACAATGCCGCCGAGGACGGGTCGGGGCTGAGAACACCACCCCCGCTGCCAAGCACACCGCCATCGTCGCGTGAGGGCCTGCTTGCATGGCCACGCAAGCCACCGCCGACAGCGTCGCGAATGCGTCCCAGTCCTGATCTTGCATCGTTCACCCGGCCTGCGACGCTTTTGAAAACGGTCCGCTTGCGCGGGTCCCGGTCACCGTCCCTATACTTTTCCCTGTCTCGATCGTTCGGGCTGTCATTGACACTAACAGCAGACCCGGGTGGGGCCGCCGAATAAACGGGCGTCTTTGTCTCCTTTTTGAATGGAGCCACGTCAGCAGATTCCGTCGTTGCACCAGTGGTCGCACTTGTCGTAAGAGCCTCGCCGATGGGCGGTTCCTCGCTGTCCAGGGGGACGGACTGCGCTCGTCGGCTGCTACCAATTGCCGCCGGGGTTGCTGGCTCTTCTCTGTTGGGCTCGGACGCTGGTGCCGCTGATGCAGGCGTCGCTGAAGCCGCCCCTTGTGCCCTGTCTTGGAAATGGTCCGCCAAGCCACCCAGTGGCAGGGTCGACGTCTGTGACCGGCGAGGCTTGCCGAACCACAGCCACTTGGGCCTCTCGCCGTAAATGTGGCTGATGAACTTGTCAATGTCCAGCGTCTCGATGTCGCCAATGTTTCCCTTGTCCTTGCCGCCCACCATGCCAAACACAAGCTCGCCGCGTTTTCCGCCGAACCCTTCGACTGTGGACTTGATTGCCTTTTGCACGCCCCAGCCGCCCTCGCCCGCGGCTGCCTTGGTCGTGACGCTGTGCAGGCGCCGCAGTGTCTGGTGGTCCAGCCGCCGCGTCCGCTCCAGTTTCACGTCCTTTTGAAAGGACCCGATGCCCTTCTTCATATTGTCCACGTCAAAGACGTCCTTGGACACGGATGCGCCGTACCACGCCAGACGGCTGCGCGCGCCCATCAGCATGCCCAGAAGCGCCGCCACGGTCGCAGGGCCCAGGATGCCGTCGGTCGGCTCCGCATTGTAGTACTCGGCGCCGACCTCGGTCCACCAGTCGCCCACGGCCGTCTCCGTCACGTCACACAGCAGGCCGTCAATGTACTGCGACTCGAGCATGCCAAAGATGAAAAGCGCCGTCTGGCACTGCTTGATGAGCTCCACGACAGACTCGGAAAACGGAATCTTCTCGCTGGTCTTGTACAGCGACTGGAACTTTTCCTGCGTGGCGCGTGTCGGTTCCGAGAGTGTCAGACCGGAGCGGCCCGAGCAGCCCAGCCGCTTCAGGTCCTCGTTGACGATGAAGTCCTGGCGATGCCTGCGGATGTCGCCGTCGCGAACAGCAATCACGGTCAGCGCCGACGGGAAGCTGCTGAGGTTCGTGGCCATAATCTCGCCAAACGGAGAGTCCTTGGGCCGCGCGTGGTACTGCTGCATCGTCTTGAAGTACATCTTGAGGCGGGCCGACCACTCGTTGTCGTTCGCGGGGATGGAGAGCACGCCGACGACGACGGCATGATTCGGGTCGCCCGTGTAGGTGGCAATCACGATGGTCGGCGACTGGCGCGAACACACCCACTGCTCGACGAGGTACAGCTCGTAGCCGACGAGGCTGGCGCGGCGGTCGACCACACTGATGCAGGGGTCTTGTTCGAGATACCGGAAGGACACAGGGTCCGGGGTCACCACATGCCGCCGATTGGGCGCGGGGGCCGACGAGGCCATGCCGGTGGTCTCCACTCTTGTCGGCATAATGGCTGAAAGGGCGGTCAAGTTGTGCGGGTCGAAGTTGCTGTTGCTGCTGTACGGGTAGGTGTCGTCAACAATGCCGGGCCGCGAGTGTCTCTGCCGGGCAGCTATGATCTCCTCCTCGCGCTCGCGGTGACCACGGCTGTCCGGCTGGACCATCGGCATACCGAATCGAAACGACATGGCTGTATGTAGAGCGTCTGTCTATATGTGTCGAGTCTCTCAACAGTGTGAAGCCGAAGTCGTCTGTCCTCGAGGCGGCTGGGGATCGTCAGAGCTGCAGCTGTCAATGGGGCCAAGCTCTCTGCATCGTCGACAGTGCACCGGCGCTTCTAGCAGGATCGCAGTCAGGCGGGGTGTGTTCCCAGGTCCAGTTCGAGGAGCGTCGTCGATAGGAGACTGCACATTGGATGTATCGGTTGGAACAGCTCGACGGCGTAGTTTGTGTTGTGTTGGTTCGATCGGACGGAGGCCTGGGAGAAGGAAGGACCAGGAGGTTAATTATGACGAAAGAGTCCAGGCTGCGGTTGAACGGAGCAATAACGCCCGGTATTAGGCCTGTGCTACAGGGGGGCTTAGCGCATTCAACACGTTCAGCACCACGGCGCAACCCCACCAGCGTTCCGCCCTGGTTTCTCCTTAGCGGCAGTTTCGCATGTGACTTGGCAAATTGAATGGCTGCAATTATTGGCATGTGCCCCACATCCTACTTGAGCTAGAGACGGAAGGAGCGATACAGAAAAAAACTACGGATAAGAAAAAAAAGTTGAGCTTCGTCGACATCACGGTGAGCATAGAAAAGAGTATAAGCAGTCGGCAAGAAAGCGAACAAAGGCGAAAAGCCGGGAAGTGAACGGCATATTTAAAAGTACATTCAAGAGTACATTGACCTTCCTTTTTTCATATATGTGTTGCACGACGGCACTCCTTCCAAATTGAAGCCACATTTCTTCGACAGCCCAGGAACAGGGAAAGAGCGAATCGATCAACAGGGGAAGGTGCATTTTGATCAGCAACGTCCTTACCAGTCGCGACCGGGAGCACCTCCGAGACACCTCCTAATAGCCTCTCGCCACAAACTTCCGTCATGCTCTCCGAAGACTTTTTCGCCGCCGTCTGCGGCCCGCCATTGACCAGCAACACGGCCATTGCGCGCGACGTCAACATCTACCACCAGACACTCAGCCCTGCCCACTCCGTCCAGGCCACCTTCAAGAAAAGCGCCACACCCGTCGGCGGCCTCGCCGTCAGCACAGCTCACGTCTTTGCCGCGCAGCAGGACCGCGCGTATGTGCACGTCTACTCGCGGCTGCGCGGCGGCCAGGAGACGTTTGTGCCCATGCCGGACAAGGTGCGGTGTGTGACGCTCGCGGGTGACGACCAGGGTGTCCTGGTGGCCGGCACAGTCGAGGGTCGACTCATTCTGTGGGAGACGCGGACAGGGCGGCTGGTCACGACGCCGCCATGCCATGTGCAGGCGGTGACGACCCTGGCCTCGACACCATACCACATTCTGTCCGGCTCCGAAGACTCCAATGTGCACGTCTGGTCGCTACCGCAGCTTCTGGCGTTGGGGGCCAAGGAGGGCGAAGGGGCAGACGAGGCAGAGCCGGAGCGGACGTTGGCGCGGCACCGGACCGCAGTCACGAGCCTGGCGGTGGGCGGCAGCAGCGGCCATCTGGACACGAACCTGTGCGTGTCGGCGAGCCGCGACAAGACGCTTGTGCTGTGGAACTACCAGACGGGTGTGGCCCTGCGCACGCTCCTGTTACCGGCGGTGCCGCTGTGCGTAGTGCTGGACCCAGTGGCGCGAGCGCTCTACGTGTCCACGGACGACGAGTCGACATCGGGTGCCTCCGCCAGTGGTGGCTCGCTGTTTGCCGTTGAGCTGTTTGGCGACCGGCCACTGCTGGGGGCGCGCGCCGCCGAGGCGTCGTCGACGGCTGTGTCCGTGTCGACGCCGTTCGGCACAGTACCCAGCGACGCCGGCCCGGCATCGTGCCTGACGGTGAGCTACGACGGTGCCACGCTGCTGTCGGGCCATCCCAAGGGCCGTATCATGCAGTGGAACCTGGGCGATGCGGGTGAGGAGAAGACGACGCTGCCGGTGGAGCTCTCCAACCTCAACGCAGCCGTGACCAACGTGATGTTTGTCCCGCCAGCATTGCCTTCGGCTGCGTCTGTGGTGCCGCCGCAGACGAGCATCCAGACTGTAGTCAAGCCGTCGCAGATGGGTCGCGACTACACCGTGACGGCGCGGTTCGACGAGGTGGCCTTTGATGGCCTGGGTGGCGACGCCGACGCCGACGTGACTGCACAGGAGACGGCTGCCTTTGACGCGCTCATCAATCAGCCCGGGTTTCCAGCCGACACATTGGACAAGGCCATCCTTGCCTTCCAGCAGCAGCTGGGCGAAGGTGCTGGCAGTGGCAGTGGTGCCATCAGCAGCAGCCGCAAGCCGGCCGCTGCAGAAACGACAATTTCAAACAGCGACGCCGCCGAGGCCGACCTCCGGCGGCAGAACGCGGAGCTGCTGGAAATTGTCAACGAGCAGCAGGCGCTCTACCAAGAGGCCATCCAGCGCTATACCGAGCTCAAGGCCTCCCGGTCATGAATGCACGCGCGATAAGCAAAGCATCTACAAGATCCATGGCGATGCAAAAAGGCGTGCCTCACACAGCCACATAGCCTCACATCGTTTCTCCTATCCGTACATCCGAGTCGGGGAAACAAACCGGGGAAATCGGAGAAATATTGCTTCCAAAGCATCTCAAAGCAGCACAGAAACACGACGCAAGGTTCAATTCTTCAAATCTTGCTATCGAACCCCCGTTCGAACACAATCTCTCTGTTGGTAGGTGACAGAAAAGGGAGCTGAAGCCTCGTTTCTTCTCTCATTTGGTCAAGAACGGCCTCAACCGTTTTCACCTGATTATTCAAACAATCTGGATTCTGTTCTTTACGACATCCTTTCTGTGCTTTTTTCTGACATTGTCGACATTCAACAGCTTGCGTTTCTATTCTGGTGGGGCCTAGCCCTGAGGCGGTTTCAGAATGGAGCGGGCCGGGGTTGCAGGAACAGGCGAAGAAGCAGGAACACGCAGAGGCGGCCGTAGAATTCGAAAAATCGAAAACTACGGAATATTACCAGACACTATGCAGAACCCCTGTGCCTGAACGCACGGCCCCGAACGGCAATTAAGACGACAGGAATGCAACACTTTGAACTGGAGAGCGACAGCACAGGCCAGAAGTCAAAAAAGAATAGAAACACTGCTACCCAGTCAGCTGCGGCAAAACACCTTTGCATACGAATGAATGCAAGTGCATACGACACAGACCCTCTTATCTGGTGCGATGCGAACGACACATTCAGAGCAGTATTTTAACTCCACGGGACCGCTGTTTCTATTTTTGTAGGCCCCCTGTCGCCGTCACCCTAGCCGCCCAAGACGAATTGCGTACCCTGCTTCAGATTTCGACTAGCTGACGACGAAGGATACCCTGTTGGACGTCAACGAGCACTCACATTAGTAGAGAAACAATGACAGGCCCAGGCATAGAATATAAAAGTGGCACAGGTAGAGGGAATTCAGGAAGAATTCAAGGGAAATAAAGGAGACCGGGATCAGACTTTCAGGCGAAAATAAGCGGAAAAACTGCATCGAAAAGAAAACTGCATCCAATCCAGCCACAAAAACAATCTATGTGAAAAGAACGACATGCATCGCACGAAGTTCACTGTAGATGCGAGCCATGGCAAACCCGATGCACGTTATCTGCTCATATTGCGCATGATAGACCGCCTTGTCGCTCAAGAAAACGCGGCTCGGGCTGGGTTTGATGCGCCGCATCGCCAAAATGCAACCTCCTTTTCCGTCCTCTGTCTTTACTTCGTCTCTCTCTCTCTCTCTTCGTGCCTCTCTCTCGTCTTCTCTTCCTAGCCTTCTACTCCGAGTTTCGTGCTCGTTCCTCCAGTTCTCTTCCACCTGTCGATCTCTCTTCATCCATTTTGCCTCGTGCCATCGGTTTGTGCCTTTTGTGCCTTTTTGGTCATTCTTGCCTGTTAATTTGCTCCCGGCCCCTTACCTCCGTCTTCCGTTCGCCGGCTTTGACTCTCCGGCCTCTGCCAAGGGTCTTTGGCTGCGTTGTCTCTTGCTTTTCTTGCCATCAGGCGTTTCTTCCTCATCACCCACGCTGCACATCTTGAGCATCCTGTGAATCCATCATCTATCTAGAACCGATATTTCCTTGTTTTCTTCACCCTCCCATCCTCCTTTATCTTGGCAAAATGGCCCATTCTAGATCGTACTGAGCGTGACCTTTTTTGGCAGAAACTTACAAGATGGAGATCAGATACTTTGTGCTTCGCAGTGAGCACAGCGACGCCTCCCTTTTGCTCTCCAATATCCACTATCATTCTATTCTTCACCGTCAATATTGCAGCCGCGTTTTTTATCATTTTCTCCCAGCGCGCTGAAACCCGTTTCACAACGCCCAAGAAAGAAAGTGGACACACGTCTGCCCGGGAGAACATCTTCCAAGTGGCTCTCTCGCCTCGTCCCAATTGCCAATTCGTACCTCCCATTCTCAAGCCAATGTCTATATCCATGCTCGTTATTATTTTTTTCTGCTTTTTTTTTCTTGGTCTTCCGGGTGGGGGCAGTGCCGGCATCGTGCACAGGCGCCGCGACCCTCTTCCAAACAAAGGCGAGCGGAGGATCTCAAACACTCCCCCCAGAGATTGCCCATGATAGGAGACGTCCTTACATGAGGCGTAGCCAAGACGAACGTAGCAAGCTTAGTGCAGTGTGCAGTGTACAGTGTGCAGTGTGCCGTAGCTGTAAGAAGTAGATATGCTTGTCGCATAGAGAATAGATCCACCTTTGAATATCATAAGCCCATGTCACCACCATGGGTTGGCTGCATGTGGACGAGGTTTCCTCATTCGTCTTATTTTCCGTTCCTTTCTTCCTTTTGTTTACCTCTCTCTTCTTTTTCCTTTCCTTTTTTGGCTTTCTTCCCTTCTCTCTCTTTGAATCTATTTCTTTCTGCTCTCTCTTTCGTTGTCGTCGTCGCCATTCGCTTTGGCTTTTGTTTGTTTTCTTGCCTTCTTCCCTTCTTTCTCTTAACATTCTCTCTTTTCCTTTTCTTCGTTCCTTTCTCTTCGTTCCTTTTCTTCTCTTTTCTCCTTTCGTTTATCATATTGGGACTCTGGTAAGGCCAGGTGCCATCGCCTTCCCACTGTCTTTCATTTTCGTCTCTCCTTTTGTTGATCGTCTTTCTCATATACACTCATTTTTTGTTTGTTTGTTACGTCCGATTTTCTATTTTCCTGTACATAGTGCTTCTTCGATCCCTCTTTCATCATGAAGTTCGACCTCCTTGCTGCCGTCCTGGCTACCCTGGCGGTAGCCGAGGGTGCCACCACGGGCGGCGGCCGATTCCGCTCTCGCCATGTTGTCCACGAAAGCCGCGCCGTCGCCAACTCACACACCTGGAAAAAGGCGGCACGCCTGCACCACAAGACCATATTGCCCGTCCGGATTGGTTTGACCCAGAGGAACCTGCACCGTGCCGAGGAGTTCATCCACGACGTCTCGCACCCAGACTCGCCCAACTACGGCCGCCACTGGACGCAGGAAGAAGTTGCCGACATGTTTGCGCCGCCACAAGAGGCCATTGACGCTGTGACGGCGTGGGTGGCCAGTGAGACGGGGCTGCTGCGGGACGCCATTGCACTGTCCCGGGGACGCAACTGGGTGCAGTTCAACGCCAGCGTGTCGCAGCTCGAGTCTCTGCTGAAGACCGAGTACCACGTGTACCAGCACGCGAACCACGGCGGACACCACGTGGCGTGCGACCAGTACCACGTGCCGGAGCACCTGCAGGAGCACATTGACATTGTGATGCCGACGGTGCATTTCGACGGGCGGCAGGGCGCCGGGCGGACGACCAAGACGGAGGCGCTGGCAGACGAGCACCAGACCGAGCTCAAGCGGCGGGCCATTTCGCAGCGGTGGACGGACGCTACGGGAGGAGCCGCTGCCGCCCGCCCGCGGTTCCACGCCCGCGGCAAGCAGTCGTCGTCAGTCGCGGCAGCCCCCACGTCGTCTCCGGCACCTAAAGACAACAGCGCGCCTTCCACACGCCCGCAGCGCGGCATTATGGGCGCGCCCACCGACGCGTCGCTCACCAAGCAGGGCGCCGTCATCAAGAACGCGCTGATGGACCTCAGCCAGTGCGACACAATGATCACGCCCGCCTGCCTCCAGGCGCTCTACAATACGCCGGCCGGCACGCTCGCGGCCAGCAACAACTCGCTCGGCATCGTCGAGTACACGCCGCAGGCCATCCTGCAGTCGGACCTCGACCTCTACTTCTCGCAGTTCCAGCCCAAGCTGCAGGGCACGAGCCCCATCATCAAGCTGCTCGACAACGCCGTCGTCCAGACCACCAACCAGAGCTTCAGCTTCAACGGCGAGTCGGCGCTCGACCTCGAGTTCGCCATGGCCCTCATTTTCCCGCAGCGGGCCACGCTCTTCCAGGTCGGCGACCTCGTGCAGGGCGGCAGCTTCAACAACCTGCTGGACTCGCTCGACGGCAGCTACTGCGCGTTTGAGGGCGGCGGCAGCACCAACGCCAACATCGACGGCCAGTACAGCGCCGAGGTCAACTGCGGCACCGCCGCGCCCACCAACGTCATTTCGACGAGCTACTCGTACAACGAGGGCGACCTGACCGCGGCCTACGAGCAGCGCCAGTGCAACGAGTACATGAAGCTGGGCCTGCAGGGCGTCACTGTCATCTACTCGTCGGGCGACTTTGGCGTGGCCGGCAACGGCGACGCGTGCATTGACGCCACCACCGGCGCCTACAACAACGGCACCTCGGGCCTCTTCAACCCGTCCTTCCCGGGCACCTGCCCCTACGTCACGTCCGTCGGCGCCACCGAGCTCGTCAACGGCACGTCCGTGCGCGGCGCCGAGTCTGCCTGCCAAAAGGTCATCTTTTCCGGCGGCGGCTTCTCCAACGTCTTCGGCATGCCCTCGTACCAGCAAAAGGCCGTCCAGAGCTACATGACCAACGCGGCCCCGCCCTACGGCGCCAACCGCTTCAACAACTCGGGCAACGTCCGCGGCTATCCCGACGTCTCGGCCAACGGCGCCAACTACGTCACCGCCGTCAACGGCAACTTTACGCTGTCCTTTGGCACCTCCGCCTCGGCGCCCGTCTTTGCCGCCATCATCAACCTCATCAACGAGAAGCGCATCGAGGCCGGCAAGGGCCCGGTCGGCTTCGTCAATCCGGCGCTGTATGCCAACCCCAGTGTCCTCAACGACATCACGTCCGGCAACAACCCGGGTTGCGGCACCAACGGATTCACGGCTGTGCCTGGCTGGGACCCGCTGACCGGCCTCGGCACGCCCAACTACCCTGCCATGGAGAAGATGTTCTTGAGTCTGCAGTGAACGAACAAACAACGGGCAAAGGGATTGGCTGGGGTTAGGGATTAGAGTTCCGGGCTTTCTTTTCCGGCCAGCATCGTCACAGGAACAAGGACGTACTGGACTGGCTGGTTTCATTTATTATTTTCGTTTCTTATTTCTTTTTATATGGTCTGCATTTCTACATATTTGCATATTCCGCTTCAACTACGTATGAACTCATCACTTTGATATGAAATATTACGCTGTATTTGTGTCACAGTCCGACATGCCAGTTTCGCTCCCGTGAATCGATAAACCGTGAGGCCTGCACGTTTATGACCTACGATCAGCAACTTTGTTATTAAAGCGTTGATAGTGGCAAGTCATGGAACAGGATACAATAAGCAAAACAGGATTGGTCAATTCAGAAAAATGCCCCCTCAACAAGATGTGAGCGCAGAGCTGCCAGAAAATAATTGAAAAGGATTCCAATACCAATATCAATATCAATACCAAACCAAAGTCAGAATGAAAAACGAACAATAATAATAGTAGTAGTAGTAAAATAAATAAACCACAAGAGCGGATGATCGCTGTGACCCGTGATCCACAGCCATTCTACGGCCAGCAAAATGCAGGACAAGAACAAAACGCCCTTTTCCCTGCAGCAACCGTTTTAAATACTGAAAATCCCGCCAAATAATGCATCCCGCTCTCGCCCCACGGTGAGGTGGTTCAGAGATGACAGCCTTTGCCAAGCAAAAAAGTGTAACACGTGAGACAAAGTGAGAAACCCAGCCAATGATGAGATAACTTCCAAAAACCCCCAGGCCAAAACGATGAAGGAAAAAAAAGAAGCCAAAATAATTGAGCCAAAAATGGGTAAACAAAGGTAAACAAAAAGGTATCCCCCTATGCAATGCGACCCAAGAAGTGCAGAGTAATATAAAGGGGACGAATCAAATAGACCACCTAGACATGGAAATAAGAAAATAGCGCAGTGACCCATGAAGAACAGGGTGAAAAATCGGAGATGCCCAAAATGTGACAAGACAGTCGCTGTTGCATGCCCATGCCGTCGCAAAATGCCAGATAGGACAGATCCATTCAACCCAGAGTGAGAGCAGTGACACCAAGGTAAATGCAACGAGGGAGACATCCCCAACACAGCAAAACGCTCCCCCGGGAAATGTGAGAACAAAAAAAATCAAGGAAACAGTGGTAGTGGACAAAACAAACTGCAAAATAAAACCTGAATAAAGGGCAAGGAGGAAAGCAGTGGGATAAAGAACATGATAAGACTCAAAAACAAACAAAAGCCAAGTTTCCTTCCAAAGTGTAGGAGTCCCATAAAAAAAGACGAAATGACAAAATAGCAAGTATGAACCATTGTACGTACAGACGGTCTTGACAAAACGTCGCAGAATTATGGTCTCATGTGCTGGTGTAGACGGGGAAGTGAACTACCTTCGCTCTAAACAAAACTTTCTGAAAGAGACAGCCGGTAAACATAAATGAAGATGGACGCAGAAGGGTATTTGAACAGACGCCAGAACGTTGAAGCCAACGCCACCAAATTATTGCGCCACATAAAAAAAAGCAAACCAAGCCCCAGCATGCTCATATAGCGAAGCGAAACAAGGTACAGGACGCTTCTGCCAAAGACTGATGTGCATACAAAATATAACAACGGTAGGCGGCCAGTGTAGGGCGAGAAAAAAAAAAGAGGAAATAAGATGAAGGGAAAAAACTCATAGACCAAAAAAAAAAAAAAAAAAAAAAAATAGAAAAAAATGAAAATGAAAAATAAAATAAAAAATAAACATGATTGGGGAATCTAAAGATAAGGAGCAGTAGTAAGGGCGGGGCCAACAGAGTCAACCCCAAAGACGAAGTACTCATTGGCAGTAGGAATGAAAATCCTAATTGCCCATCATGGAAGACTGTGCAGCAGCTGCATACGGGCTCGTTGACCACGAGTGCAAACCATTATGGTTCCCATTGAAAGAAGCCTGATGTTGCGGTGTGTTCGCCCACGCATTGCTGGCAGGATGGTCAGCAAAGTAGTTGTGCTGCTGGCTTCCAGGGTGCGAAAGACCCAGGCCGGTTCCGTGGTTTGTGTGGATACTGGAAAGACCAGGAGGAGGGGAGACCACTGTCGGAGACGGGCCAAACGCATTGGGGCTGGTCATGTGGGAAACATTGTTGCGCTGTGTCAGGGGATTCGGGTTCGGCTGACTTCTAACCCCCAGAGGGTTCTTTGAAAAGCTCAGACGAATACCGCCCTTGACGCTGTTGTGCAAGGGCCGGCCATATAGGTCCAACAACGCTTTAGTCGCTGTCGTGATGTTTTCAAACTCGACAAAACACATGGGGCCATTCGGCTTGTTGCGGAAGCACATTCTCTTGTAACCACGCTGCCTGGAAAACATGGCCTTGAGCTCTTCTTCTGCAGCACCTGCGGGAAGGTTGCCAACGTAAAGTGTGTTGCAAGGGGGATTCTGGTCGGCGAGGTTGATGGGTGGCAATTTGGCGCGGTATCCACCCGGTCCGCCCGTTGTATTTCCAAAGTGTGGTAGCATGCTGTTGAGCTCCATGGATGGCATGCCCATGGAATGTGCCGACAGCGGTGTAGTGGCGTACGAGCCGTATGCCGAGCCGTTGATCGAATTGCTCATGGAATTGCTCATGGAATTGCTCATGGTATTACCTGTGGCACCACTCATGGAGGCACTTCTGGAGCCGTTCATAGGACTGTTCACGTGGCCGTTCACACCATCGTTGAAGACATCCGCAGTATTTAAACTGAGGCTGGCAAGGCGCTGGGCGATCGAGGCTTGAGAGGGTTGGTTTGGCGGTGGCATGGCGGCTGGGTTGGAACTGGTCGAGCGGGCATCTCTGATAGCGGCGGTCAGGTTAGAGATACTATCGTATGCCATAGGCATATTCCGAGTGTCGCTGGGATACACAACATCATCCTCCAGTAGTTCCTTGTTCGCTGGGCGGCTACGGTGAACTCCAATCGGCGACTGGGTCGAAAAGGCTTGGAACTGATTCGTAGGGCCAATAGGTTCTGAATTGGCCAAATCTGATGCGGCGGCCAGGCTTGCACTAGCACCAGCTCCGAAAAACCCGCCGGCGGACGACGTGCCCATGCTGTCGTAAGGCTGGAAAGGCATGCGCACCGAACCCCTGGACGAAGACACCGATGAACCAGGTGTTGCGTTGGAGGCCATGTCGACGGTGGGCCGGCGCAAGCCTCCATTTATGATTTCGACAATCATCTTTGAGTCCTGGTTCAGGTTGTTTCTGCCATCCAGATTCTTCTGCGCCTCGAGCGCGCCGTCCGGAGAAGAGAACGAAACGATCGCAGAGCGGTGGCTTGGGTCTTCGGAGCCATCGGGTGACAGGAGTTCAATGCCGGTGTAGTCGTTTGAGAAAGAAAGCATTGCGCGAATGATGTCAACCGTGGTATCTAGGGACAGGCGGCGGATAAGTACCGAAGGCTTCGGGGAGGCGGTCGCAGACGACAAGGCCGTTACCGAATTGCTAGTGGTTGAAAGGGGGTCTCTATTGAAGCCGTTTGTCGAGGGCGCAGTGCCGATGGGCAGCGGAAACGCGCCGCCATTGGCACCTGGAGGCCGAATAGGCTGCGGATTCGAGAGGAAACCGGACGACATGGTTCCGTTTTGTGACGCGACGTTTGTGAACGACTCGCCTCGTTTCAACGGCGGTGATGTGGTGTACGCGAGGCCGGAAATCGAAGGCGTGCGCCCGCTGTTTTGATTGCCAAATGCGGCCATCAGAAAGAAATCGCGTTCGGTCGGATGACGCGCGAGGATCAGGCAAAGTCGGAAGGTTCGAAATGTATCGTAGTAGTTCGGTGAGGCGCAATCAAGATCGCGGTCGATTCGGCGAGCGGCGATGGCAACTGGCGGAAGTGAAGCGACGTGTCTCTATTCCACATATAGGCGCTTTGCCGGAAATCGGTGGCAAAGTTGCGCAAGAGAGCGAAGATTAGAATGTGCGCGTTCGAAGATGCAGGGGCGCCTCTTCTGTTGCTGTTTTCTGACTCGGAGAGGCTGTCGCAAAACGCAGTGGAGAAACAGAAATGACGCGATCGGTTTGTCGAGGCGAAAATGGGCACCTGAAGCGATGTAAAGGGTATGTCAAGCGATGGACAGGAAGGTAAAGAAAGATGGGCGAAAAGTAAAAGATATTTCGCGAGCGATGGTGGAAAAGAAGGGATTGCAAGAGTGCGGTTGTGTCGTTGGGATATCGAAGGGGAGGGATAGAGTTCAGAAATGTTGCGTCGCGAATTGGGAAATTTGGGGGGAGGGGAGGATGAAAGGTGAGTGGGAGGAGTGGACGCGGCGGAAAAAGGTGGGAAGATAGAGGAGCGGGAGTGGGCTGCAGACGGGTGTGGTTTGGTTTTGTTGGAGAAATTATGGAGGGTGTGGGAATTTGTGGGTTTGGCCTTCGTTCTGGCCACTCGCCTCGGAGTGACAAGTATCAGTACTTTGTCGCAAGACAGCACGGTAGGTTTGTTTTGCCCTTGTTTGCAGCATCCAAATGGTGTAATGAGACAGACGTGACAGAGAGACCGACAATGAGGGATAAGGATGAGACGGCTCTGTTGCAGGGGGGGGGGGGGTGCCGAGGAATGGCTCGAACGAAGAATGGATCCAAGGGTCGAATGCGGGCGAGTGCTGAGGGTGTCGAGGACTTGCAAGTACCTGTACAAGTACTCCGGAGGGTCTGATTAACGGGCGGGGGTGCAGCTGGTGTTTTAATGGCAGTCGCGAAAAGGAGCGCGACGAGACAGTGCAGAGAAACACGCGCTCGCACTGTTATTTAATGGCGTGTTCAGGGGGCTCAGTTTGCGAAACCCTCAAGTGTAGTTCTACTGTCTGGGCCAACGTGAGCCACACCCAACTTTTGTTAGTAACGTGGTGACAGCCGTGCATTTTCGCGGAGCTGCATGGAACACGACATACACTTGGAGATGACTGGACGTCACACGCCTTAATGAAGAAAGATACTTTGAAGAAAGATAACAATGCGCCGGGACAGGGCGTTTTCAGCCGAAGATCGCACGGCAAGCGACAGGCGGTGAGCGCTGAGTGTAAAAAGCAGGTCGCAATGCCCGATTTGTGAGCTTATGGCATATCGAGCTGGTGCATCTGCGGTCAATTTTCAACGGTTAGCATGGGGCTCTGGAATGCAATGTGGTTTGGGGAGGAATTTGTAGAGGTGGTCTAGTGGGTCTGCGATGGCAAAGGTGTGTTGTCCCAAATGGTGTCTGGTGTGTGTCGAACTGCGCTAGTTCTATCCTCCAGGAAGACTAGCGCGATGAGGCAAGTCGGGCGCAGTTGGCGAAGACGGAGACAGAAACACAAGAGACGCAGAACGGCAGAGAGGAGGCCAGCGAGCACAGGCCAAGGAAGCAGGGGGAGCATGGGGCAGAAGACGGAACGCGGCCTGGTATCTGCCCTCATCTCGTATCTCATTGTTCGGCTCACCGTGCTAGCGTGCAACTCGCGTGCTGCAAGGACGGCAGGCTGTTCCATTTAGCGCAATGCACAATCCACCAGGCAGCGCTCTCCACCGTCAGGAAGTCCGCCTGCGAACCGACTCCACAATGCATCTCACTCCCATGGGGGGGGGGGGCCAGGGAGTGGGAATCCACTGCCGGGCATGTGGCCTGCTGAGTGGGCTTGTGGCTGCTCTTGGCAACGTCCGCCGCGATGCTGGGCCAGGCCTGCCGACCAACTTTGGTGATGATTCGAGTGTGGAGTGGGCTTCTATCAACCGTGCATCCATCACAGGGACAAACATCAACTTGGTGACCGGGGACTGGCGATTGACAAGACAGTAGGGGCGACCCGTCGTCCAGAAGCAGAAGACCTTTGCCAGTTGAGATCGGCAGGCTGGTTTCCTCGCTCGCAGCTCCGGATCACTCTCTGGTTGTTCTGTTTGCTCTGTTTGCTCTGTTTGCTCTGCCCTGTCTGCTCTGCCCTGTCTGCTCTACCCTGTCGTTCGGCAATGTGCCTTCGATGGCATGGCCGCATCCGAAATCAAAGGAATACAACACTTTGTTGTAGGACGTTCTTACCTGGGGTCTTGCGCAGGCACCTGTACCTGTCTCGTAGTGGATGCTGGAAATTATGATGCGGCGTGTGTGATGAAGCAAAGGAAGAAAAATAAAATAAAAACAAACATCGCATACTATCAAAAAGGCACAATTGTCACAGTTCCAATAAAAAAGGGGTAAACATAACCCGCTTTCGGAAAGAGCGGCCCTGTACTAGAAACTGCTTATGAAGGGAGGCTATGGGCGAGGCGCCAAGAAGGCACGATGGACGTGGAAGCCAGCCTGGCGGTTGAGCAGAAGACGTGGAAGGAGCGACAGAGATAGGGGGGCCAGTAAGTCCTCGTTTGGCAAAGTTGCAGTAGAGGGATTGGTCGACGATACTAAGATGTGCAACGGCGAAAATAGTTATGGAAACATGGCTGGCTAAATATGTTCACGAAAATCGTCCAAACACATTAAAAACAAAAGTCGAAACACGCACTCTCCCCTGTCTCTTCCCACTATCATGCGTGGCCATGGCAGCAGACACTCTGTTGGCAACGACAGAAAACCAACCTACAGAACAAAGGGTGCGACTGTGAGAGCCGATGAAGGAATAAAAACCCAAACAAACGTTACATCTTTGCTTGTCGACTTCTTTGCAACTACCCACGCCTCCATCTGCCCACCAGTCCCAATCATTGACAGAATTCAACCAGGACACATTACAAGACTCCCCCGTGGCCAGCAGTTCCCTGCGCTCGTGGTGACACAAGGCGGAAACCTAGACTTGACATGAATATTCAAATAAGAGGTAGTCTTTGAGAGCGCAACACGTGTAGTCGATCCTAGGATCCAGTGAAAGCACGACTCGAATCAAATATCTCTGCATTTTTGTGGTGCGCCCCAAAATTGTACCCCCAAAATTGCGCCCCCAAACTTTGTCTGAGATGCCTCTCCACGGGATAAAAGAGGACCTGGTCCAGCAGTTGGCCCCATCTTGAGCAGAGGTCTCGCGCGAGCGCTCCAGTTGCGTGGCCAGAACACAGGTAACCGGCCAGGCCTGGTCCCGAAAGGCCCATCCCACCGCCAAGGCTGTGGGACAGTGCCCTGTTTCTTCGGACACAACCCAAAAACAGGGTGTGTCTTTACACCATTCCGCCTTCCCCATGAAATACGGCACTAATTGGGCTACAAAGGGAACAGTCCTCCATAGACACGTCAGTTGCGCCAGCGCCAGTAAGATAATATGGAGACGCGCACAGGACACACGGATGGAGGGCCACATTTTCTATCTTACCCATCGCCCCTCAGAACGGCGATGCTGATGAGCATTGATATGTACAGAGGAAAGCACGAGCGCGACAAGCTGTCGCGCACTAAAATCGACGAGAAAACAATATGATAATAATAATGACGACTGGAAAGTCAGTACGTCGGTACAACTTAATAACACGCAGAGGGTCAAAAAAAGACAAAATATTCGTCCTCCAGTATCAACAGCAGTCAGCCCTAGCACTGTGTTGCATATGGAGGACGACTGTACGTCGTACCTTGCAAGTACCCATCCGACAGCGTGAAGTGGAGAATTCAAGGCTTTCCCTTGAAAGGTACATGCCTAGGACATTCTCTCAAACGGCCCACTCTTAAATATCCATGACCCGCTTTTATATTTTAGCGCAACTTCTCCCTCCTTTTTCGTCTCCTCTTTTTATCTCAGTCGCGTCCGCCCATTTCTGTTTTCTGGAGTGCCTCCCCTAGTGGATTTCACCTTCGATATGCGCAACCAATGAGAGGATGCGACGGGCAATTGTGCATCGACGCTACGAGCCATGCCAGTCCTTCGTTCTCTCGTTCTGCGATTATGCAAGGACCCGCGATGAAAAGCAAAACCGCCCTAGAAAAGGAAATGCTGCTTCGGATTGCGAGTGAGACAAGACATTCAAATAAGGGGCTTACAGCCGGCGACTTGTGACCCATAGCGACTCTTCTAGCGCTGCGAGGGCGCACTGCACGCAAGGAATGCACCTTCCCTAGGCAGGGTTGACAAAGAGAGGGTTGGCAACAAATAAGGCGAAACGGCAAAAATGGCAACAGGGTGACGATCAATAGAAACGGGTGCTCTCCGCTGCCATATGCAGCACGGAATATGCAGACGGGCGCACCTTCCCTCACCGACCGCAATGGTGGGCAGTTCATTTACGGAACAATACGCCAAGTCCTGCGTGGACTTGCACACCTATACAAGTCGACGAACGGGATATTTCTGACAAGCTGCTTTACTCTTGCCTACATACTTGCAGGAATGCCGTTACCACCTGTCGCCCCTTCCCGTTCGCTGTGCCAGAGTCTCAAACAGGAAATTGCACTTGGAGCCTTGCGACGGAAGGCACGTCTAGCTGGCACATCGATGCTGCATCGCAGCTTCTCTGTCTGTCTTCAGTCGGCAGCTCTTAACATTCCATGATCGACCCCCTGTATCGATTTTCTGGCCTTTTATATCCCCAACTTCGTTTTGTACATATTGCCAATTTCCCGACTGTTCTTTCGTGAGAAACGCTTTGGTGTATCACGTTTTGAGGATCTGCCAAGCTGCGACTGCTCGGTATCATGCGCCCGGGCATCCGCTCTCTTCTTGTCCTGTGCTTCGGCGCCCCCTGTTCTACCGGTCGATCTTGTGTGCTGCCCTGCACCTAGAACACATTTCGCACTCGATGCAAGCGCCCTCGCTTTGGGAGCAGTCACATTCCCCCCTGCCTCGCTCACATCCCTGCCCGCCGTTGGTCGCGCACAGCGTCCCTCGGTCCCTTGCAAACGCACAAAATATATCAATCATCAAAAGGCGACAAGGGTTTAGAGAAGGGAAAGGAAGTGATTTGCCCTTCATGCCAAGACGACAACGAACCCTAAATCTCAATATATGTGCGTGGAAGACACATCATGCAGAGCACACATCAAGCCTCATACTTCCAGATGGATCTTCCCGTGTAATTACGGAGTACACAACCCGAATCACGCACACCTACTAGTAACCGGAGTGGGCGAGTGGCCAAAAACGGCTTCCTGCGTTACCACAAGGAGCCAAATTATAACGGTTAACGGGGCTTTCGGCTGTGGGCAGTTTACAATGCTATTGTGTTCATTGTCTGTCCACAGAGTGAAGCTCATACCTTTCCGACGGAGACACAACTCATCCACGAGTATGCTGTACACTTTTTCTTGTCATCCCCCCCCCCCCCCCCCAAAAAGAGATAATACAATAACACGCCCACAAACGAATACACACACGACGCATGGCTTCACAATCCCCTGCAAGTGCCTACCACTTCAACATCATGTCCTCCCCACTCAAGGCTCTCCGCGAACAAGGTGATGTAGGCGAACGACGACCAAACGGATTGAGATGGTGTGCACGGCTTTTACTAGTCCGCCCGATATCCGATTTCTCACTTCTGTCGAGTCTTTTGTTTATCACCTTTCTCCTCGCCAAGGTGTGACGATCTGCTGCGACTTCCCATGCAAGCACGAGAATCCACTCGTATGATGATTTTCCATTCGTGGTTGGTCAGCTTGCCTGAGTGCATAGCGCCGATGCGACTGTATATCCTCTGCCTCACAAGTGGTGGGAGAGCCCTGAAACGAGCCCGGATACAATCAATATGCAGAACGGGTAAAGGTGAGAATGAAAAACGCAGAAGGAAACAGTGAAAAGAAGGGGGACACAGAATCCCGGCCAAAAGCCAAAAGGCCCAAGAAAAGGTCCGTGGGCCAGGCCTAGCTGCTGAAAGGTATGAGTCCAACGGTTCTGGTTGTCCGAGAGCCTGTCCGTCTGGGATCCTATCCTGGAACGGCACATCTGCAAAGGCGGCAGACAAGAGGTGACATGGAAAGTTCCGGCCTGGCCTTACAGCGTAGGTCCAAATCAAAGGTCTGTGCGTCTCCAATCTGACCTTGTCCCATCATTCACTGATTGCTCAATTCGAGACACGATCTGTCCAGTTCAAATGTCGCCGTGTAGTATTTCGTTGACGTGCGTGAAATTCAAAGAGGCAAAGAAACAGATCAAGGTCATACAGGTAAACAGAAGCACGGAGAGATCAAGGGCACGGGGAGGGGACGGGCAAATGGAAAATAATATGTGTGATGAACCAAGGAACATTGGGTTGTGTTGTTCGACTTTTCCCGCATCAACCCCTCTTTGAAGTCCCTTGGTTCGGGCGTCTCTTCCATGGCGAAAGGGTGTGATGTGGCACCGTTTCGGTGAGTGACGTGCTTTGCACTCCATCGCGATGCAGTCTCAACGGCAGTTTTGTCGTTTCGGTGTTGCCAAGGCTCGTTCCCATCCTAGCATCCCATGTTTTCATGTTTTCATCTTGTTTTTCTGTTTCCGTCCGGCTTCCTCGTCTTGTTCTTTTTCTGCCACAGCACATTCGGGTCAGGGACTTTCATCTTCAACAAGCCTCGTTGATGTACCCTTCCAGCTTTGACAGCCATCGCAGCCGTAAGTTACTTCCCTTTTGCCTTTCTTTTGTTTCTTTCCTATTTCTTTCCTCTTTACATGCAGCCCTATCCGATCAATGCCTTAAAATCTTCTCCTGTCATATCTCTTTCCTGCCTTGGTAAACCTCTCAGACGCTATTTTCGTATTCGGTCACAAGTGGACGCCGAAAATGGGGTGGAGGGACGGCCTTACAAAAGAACCCACAATCGCGATGCAGACAATGGTGAGTCTGCTTATCAAGAACACATGCATGAGTTGGGTAGCACGGAGAATGGATACATGGGGACAGGCAGGTCAAAGGTAGGACAATGAAACTCCAGCCAAAAAGTCAAACGAAGAGCGACTAGAAGGGCAAAACATTCGTATTGCATGTGGAAAAAAGGCACATTGTGCTCTTTGGTCTCGAGCTGCCTTATCCTTTGCTTCCGGAGTCAAGATGCACTGTCGACTGTGGTGTGTATGCACATATGCAGGCTGCAATGCAATGCAATGCACTACAAATGTGCTTCTTTACAGGAAAATGCGCTGCAGTGCAGTACAGTATATGCACATTGCAGACTGTTCAGTGCGGTTTGTTTCAGAGCGATGGAGGGAGCAGAGACAGAAAAGACGTGCAGAAAAAGAGCGGTGGGACGAGACTCGACTGCATGCATGATGTTGCGCAAGGGATGGGAAAGGAGTGCAGCAGCGCAAAGGCAAAGCTGCAACATCTTTGAACCAAAGAATGAACAGCATCTTCCCTCCTCTCTCGCTCTCTCTCTGTTGTACAACAACGGTCATTCGTCACAAGCCGAGTCTTTGTCAGACAAGGTGGAAGAAGAAATCATAGGATAGGGCTTTCGTGTCTGTCGCACCGGTGCCATCGGAGTTCACTGAGAAACGACTCACGTGCATCAATGCGCTTCTTTTGTGGTCACTGCGTTCGAACGTCACTCCTACTCCTTTATATCGGAAGTGCAGACGTCGTTATCTCACTCACCAGGCACAGAGAATTTAAACGTGGTCGACTTTCCAAAGGAAACTTTTGAATGCTATAAAACGCCTTTTGAAAAGTATGGGTATGCAAGGGGCGACGAGAGCTGCGGAGTTGACATATGTGTCGAACCAATGAGACACAAAATAATCCAAAATCACTCTCCATATATCATTTCTATTGTTCACAGTTCTTAGTTCCGTCATCATTCCTAGATGACAGCTTAGATGTAACCCTTGAGGACGGCGGCTTCAGCGTTCAAGATGGACGAGCCAGCGGCACCAATGACAGCTGTGGTTGCGTTAGCCAAAAGGAAACAAAAGAAGACGTAAAAGCAAGGAGCCAGGAACAGGGAGCAAGAAATAAGGAAAGAAGCAAGAAGCAAGGAGAATGGAGACTGGAGCAAGGGGAGGGCACGTACTGTTGTGGCTCAGCGCCACGTATTTGATGTCGAATATGCCCGACTCGTCCTCACGCACACGGCCCACGGACACAGCATAGCCGCCAGCCAGGTCGCGGTCCAGGCGCGGCTGCGGGCGGTCGGGCTCATCCATGACCACAATGGCCGGACTCGGCGCACTCGGGCAGCCCAGGGCCTCGGCCTCGGTCTTGTAGGCACGCAGGGCCTCGCGGACCTGGTCGGCCGACGGCGGCGGGCGCTTCACGAAGCGCAGCGACACACAGGCGGTGTGGCCGTCGAGAACGGGGACGCGGTTGCAGGCAGCCGAGACGCGCAGCTCGTTGCGCTCGGTGAAGCCCGTGCCCTCGGCGTTGAGCGAGCCCAGGATCTTGCGGGCCTCGGTCTCGAGCTTGTCTTCCTCGCCGGCAATGAAGGGCACGACGTTGTCCAGAATGTCCATGCTGCTGACGCCTGGGTAGCCGGCGCCCGAGACGGCCTGCATGGTGACGACGGACACGGCGTCAATGGGGCCAAACGCAGCGACCATGGCGGCAAAGGGGATGACCAGGCCGATGACGGCGCAATTGCTGTTGCAGACCAGGAAGCCGCGGTCGATGGGGGCGGTGGCCAGCGAGGTGGCCGTGGGGTGGGCTTTCCGCTGATGGGGGATGAGGGCAAGGTGGTCGAGGTTGACGGTCGGCACGACGAGCGGGACGAGGGGATCGCGGCGGTGGTTCTTGGCGTTGGAGAAGACGGGGATGTTGGCGGCGAAGAAGGCGGTCTCGATCTCGCCAGCGACGTCCGAGTCGAGGCCGCTGAAGACGACGTCGCAGTCGGCAAACGCAGCAGCCGTGCACTCGCGCACAACCAGGTCGCCGATGCGCTTGGTCATGGGCGTGGCCTGTTTCCAGCGGACGGCCTCGCGGTAGGGCTTGCCGGCCGAGCGGGCAGAGGCGCCGACGGCATGGAGGACGAAGGAGGGGTGGTTCTGAAGAAGCAGAATGAAGCGCTGGCCGACAGAGCCTGTTGCGCCGAGGACGCCTATACGGAGGGGAAGACAAGTCAGCAAAAGGTCAATGCTCGGATGAAGTCGCTGAAGCATGGCGACATCGGAAGATGGCGATGTCTACGTACCGCACTTCTTGGTGGGGAATTGAGTGGCCATGGTGGGGGGTATGGGAGGGATTGGGGAGAGGGAAGGGGACGATTGGAAGAAGGAAAGCAGAGGTCGAGGTCGAGGTCGAGGTCGACGGTCTATTCTGTTGTGCTTTTTGTATGTGATGTTGTCGAGCTGGAGCGAGGCTGTCTCTAGTGACTCAACTTTTTTTATTCCTTCTATTTTTTTTATTCGCTAGAGCCTCGAATTGCTGCCGAACCATCGGCTGCCACAGCCTCGAACCCCCACCAAGACTTCGCTACAATTGAGCTATTTAGGGGAAGCAAGCGAAATTTGCCCCGCAATCGGAGGCGGTTCTGGCCTTGGCCGCAAGGCTGTTGTCATTTGCCAGTCACCGGCCGTCAAAATGGAGCTGGCTGTCGAATTTCTTGTTCATCTTGTTTATTCGTACTAGAACTATTGTGAATATCTTCACCTTGCACGTCACAGCTTTGATTTGTTTCTCTTTGGTGCTTTGGCGATGTTTAAGAAAGCAAAATTATAGTCATAGCCTTTCGATATGTCCAACATTTTTATTTTTTTAAAAAATACTTTAAATTATCAAGAACTTTACCATATTTTTCAAGTTGGTATTCGAATAAATTCCCGGCTACTCAACTAACCATGAAGAAACAGAATGACTTGTATATCGTATATACACCTCTTGTCCTTAGATATTCGACCACCTCCTCCCTTCCACCTCTTCCCTCCTTAATCCATATGCTCGTACCTCCCCAGCCAGCTCGGTGACCACAGCCGTCCCACCGTTGGCTACTTTGTCAGTGGAATGCCTCTTCTCTTTCTTCTCTTCTCTGCTGTGTCGCTCCCGCCTCATACTCGGTGGGACAGGTGTGTGGGGCCTGTCAAAATAAAGACCAGGCCAGCCGGCCCCCTATCATGCAAGCTACTAGTAAGTACTCTGTACGCCGACTGCGACAACTATGACCGAAATAACCTCACGTTTGTACGACAGTCGATGGTGCAAGCCATCCCTGCTACCTCAATTCCTCACCCAACCTGATTATGAGGCCTAGAAGGACACGGCACACACTTTTCTTGCGAACAGCCATCCATCGTCATGACGTCTTGCTCGAGGCCGTCGCGGCTACCATCCCGCCTGTCCCCACTCGCCAACACATCTCGCCAACACATCTCGCCTATTCGGAAGATACAGGTCTTACGGCCACGGTTGTCCATCCGGCTGGCAAACAGTTAGGCCATTCCCGCTGCACCCGTTCGGTTGTTGCCAGGTCGTCCGAGCATCCACGGACACGGTGATGCATTGACGGGAAGGGCAAAGTCGGGTGATTGGGGCGCCTGGCTGGGAAAATAATGCAAAGGATGAAAGTTGAAAGGTACAGGATGCACATTTATCCTCTCTTGCAGTTGCCATGACCCGTGTCTGGCTCGCAGCCCTGTCAGGAAAATAAGGTGAGCATGATATGGGCTTTATGCCGCCCCACTTTGAGTGTCCTGGTAGAAGGCACAGCCAGGCCCATACTTGAGGATCCCCAAGTCGAGCTATTCTGATTCCTCATACCTCTCGAGGGCCAAAAGCGTTGGCAACGTTCTCTGAGTTCTGAACTCGTGCGAGAAATAGAGGCCGAATGCCTGACAAGGTTCGCGTTGCAGCACTGATGGCAACATCTCGGCTACGCAGAACTCCCTTTGCAACAATAATATCTCACTGGCAGCCTTACTTCATATTCCGTCGTGTCCAAGTGCGGGTCAAAGCTCCAATAATGGTTTCTCCTTTGGGAAACACGGCGTCAAGAATTTCGCCAGCGGAGGCTCTGTGGATTCAACGGTGTTCATGGCGGAACACAAGAAAAGTGCGATATCGACAAACTTTGCGACGTACTGTAATTGCCAGCAAAGCTTGAAGAGCTCCTGCCGACGTGATCCAGCCATGACGGTGTATATATAGTTCATAGTTTGCTCCTGCTACAATTGTCCGAGGACGTCCTTTCTAGAGTATACTCACAAATTGCCTTTCGTGTCCTCCCACCTTCCTGCCATCCGCCGCTGGCTGTCTCGCTCGTTCTTGCCGCTGTGCCGTTGTGCCCCCATCGTTGTGCTTGCCGATTTAAATGCCCTGGATTGGGAAGAGGGCAAAACGCATTTATATGGGCAATCCTTCTCTTTTCAATTCGATGCTTTCTCGTCCATCACCTTCTCACACGCGCCCACACCAATCTTCGTCGGGCTTCTTTTGTGGCTGTCAACCCCGACCCATCCTGTTGCCTCCCATTCTCTCCCTTCCTCTTTTCAGTCTACTGTTCCGTCCATAGAATCGTCTTGTGGCGTATTCTAGGCCCTCCACCGCTTTTCTTGGTCCGACTTTTCTGGTTCTTTTCCCCTTTCTTCTGGGACAGCTGGGGCAGGACAGCATATAGTCGACATCGTCTCGCACCTATCAACTCCCCGTCCCAAACAGATATAAAGTTTTAAGTAATTTAGCGCCCGCCGTTTCTTGTTCTTTTTCTTGTTCTTTTTCTTGTTTTTTGTCTTGTTCTTCAGTTCCTTGTGTCCATTTCGGTTCTAGACCAAGACGAATACGCCATCTCTAGCATCTCCAACATCTCCAATTACAGGTAGAACCCCATTGCTTGAAGCTTAGTTTCACGGCCGAGTTACTCTTCACATTCAATTTCCCCTCAATTTGGAGCTTGCTGTTCCTCGGCAAGTCTCCAGTCGTTCCGGCTGGTCTTTGGGCATAACAACAAGTAGAGAAGTCGCATTCAACTTATTTATTTTGAAGCATCTGACATCACCAATCTCACCCGTCTCAACCAACTCTCGCTTTGTTGTCAGTGACTAAACTTGTCCCTGCACGACGTATCAGCACAATCCAGCCTCCCTCTGTATGCTCATCAACACAACAACACAATGACCTTCGGCGAGTTCAACCCCATCCGGGAGGCTGTCCGCCAGTCGCCGCCCCTTGACACTTCGGCACCTTATGATACGGCCAGCATGGCCGGTAAGACGATTTTAATCACCGGTGGTGCCGCTGGCTTCGGAGCCGCCTTTGCCCGCCGCTGGGCGAGCCTCGGTGCCCACATAGCAATTGGGGATGTCAACGACACAGCCGGCGAGGCGATTGTTGCTGAGCTGCGCGCCACCACCCCAGGCGGCAAGTACCACTTTTACCAGCACTGCGACGTCACGAGCTGGGACAGCCAGGCGGCCTTTTTCAAGGCCGCCGTTGAACACAGTGCCACCGGCTCCATTCACGTCGTCGTGCCCAATGCGGGCGTGGCCGACCGCGACTCTCCCGCAAACCAGCGTGGCTTTGAGAACCCGGCCCCTCTGGACGCCGCCGACGAGCGCGCCGGTCCCAGGGCCCCGCGCATGCCCGTCGCAGACATTAACGTGACGGGCGTCCTGTACTCGGTGCACCTTGCCATGTACTGGCTGCCGCGCAACGACGGCAAGGACCGTGCCATTCTGTTCCTCTCGTCCATTGCCGGTCTCCTTTCGCTGCCCGGACAGGCTCTGTACACCATGTCCAAGCATGCCGTGACAGGCCTGTTCCGTGCGCTGCGCGGCACCTCGCACGTCCACAACGGCTTGCGTGTCAACATGCTCTGTCCCTACTTTGCCGTGACCAACATTCTGCCGACGTCGGGCGTCGCCATGTTGGCTGGAGCGGGCAAGACCAGGGTGGATGATGTCGTCGAGGCCGGCACGCGTTTCGTGGCCGATCAGTCGATTGCCGGCCGGGCTGTCGTGATCGGTCCCCGGATGCTGTTGAAAGAGGGCGGCACGAGCGTCGGCGGCACCGTGGACCTGGTCGCTGCGGCCGACGGCAGCATCACAGTGGCCGGTGAGCCGGCCGAGGGGGTGGGTGATGCACGCCAGGCTGTGTGGGAGTGCTATGGGCACGACTACGAGAACTGTGAGGTGTTTGTCGACCGCTACGTGCGCCTGCTCAACCTCTTGACCCTCATACGCGGCTGGACGGGTTTCTTCTTGGATCTGCTGAGTGTCTTTTGGAGGGGCCAGCCGGCACCCAAGATGAAGCAGGTATAATGGCGAGCCATGGGAAGGAAGGAGGGGGGGTTGCAGGCGACGACGAAATGGCAACGCGTTGGTCTCGTTCTGGTCTCTTGGATGTGATACCACTCTTCTGATTTGTTTTGCTTTGCTTTGGTGTTCGGGCTCGACCCTGGTCTGATTTTTTCATTGCATTCGTTGACAAGGAAATAAGGAATACAGCCCCTCACTTCGTCAGTTGGGCATACCGCGTAAACTAGGGAACCACGTGGATATTGTGAAACCGCCCCCTCTCATGTCATCAGATCACCAACAAATGCGGAAAACCAGAGGCGTTGTGCTCGCCTAATAAACATGTTTTTGTCAACGATTCAACACAGCACGGGCTTTTGTCAAATAATACCTGCGAGGATCTAACCCATTTCTTTCTTCTTCGGGACCGTCGTTTCGTTCTCAATGCTTGAGTAATGTCCTGCCGCCACATCGTCTCGGATGTCCCGTGTTTCCGGGTTTTTCTTTTTCGTTCCCGCATACCCGTCAACCATTAACGTCAATACGACAAAAAGGGATGTCATTGTGAAGATCCACACCCAGACTGCCGATCCTTCGCGCAAAGCACACCTCGCCCCTATTCCGACACATTTCGGGTCTCCACTTGGACCGAGTGCACAGGCGAGACAAGGTCCCCCCAGGTCCCTTACTCTCTGATGGACAAGTAAAAATAGAACCTGGCCACCTGGCCAGCTGGCATCAGCCCTTTCGATGCCGTTTGGCGACATGTTCCTCGAGTTACCATATTCCATTTGTGGTAGAGGTCGAAATGGCGAACAGACGTTGTCAAGGGGGGACACTTGAACAAAGTAAACTTTATCGACACCCTCTCCAGGGTTGCTTTGCTTAACAAGGCATTGCTGGACCAGATTTGCGATCGAGTATTGCTTTCTCTAGTTTACCCTAGTTTACCGCCTCGGGTTTCCACGATCATGGACGGCAACCGCAGCCCTCCCTTCAGACCACACACCATTTCAAGATGTCTGTGCTCATTCTGGCAGCCAAGGGCTCTCAGATCCATCTGTCACCTGCCATTGGCACGCGTGAAGGCCACAGGCAACCGAGGCTCACGTACTGCTGCTTTGGACGATCGTGGACGATACGAGGATGCCAATTGTGCTTTGTCTCGTTACCGTAATATTTGTTTACTCCGGCAGCCAACAAAGCCATGATAAACTGTACTACATCTCCGTATAATAAACCGATTCAGGCAGAAGCCAAATGGCCTCCAGACTGCCTACATCAGCCACGACGACTCGCCAGCTCTGACGCAATGATGGGGCGATTGCGCTGGCAGCAAAGCTTAGCGCACTCTATAGGGCGATCCAGTGGTGCACGCCACGCCGAGTTCAGCATCGCGCCCGCTGTGGCCGCTCCCTCCTTACCTCTTTCCAACGCCCGCGGGCGCATAATCCCGCCAATGTTTCATCCAAAAAACCAGGAACAGAAGGGGCAGAGAGGGGAGGGGCTCCAGCGCCCAATCCAGGACGGAAAGCGCCCCCCGGAAAACAGGAAAAGCCACTGGCGCCAACGCACAAAATCGTCCCGACGCCAAATGGAAGGCGCGCCTGCAGTGGTCGCCGTCGAACAAAAGTCCTCGAACAAGCAAGGAAGGAGCGCTGCAACGTATTGAACGTCATTGCTTTATTTAACCCTCATTGAATCATTTTACCTGATTTCGGTTTGTGCATGTCGATTCAGGCCCACCGTCCGGTCCTTCCCTTTTCGCTGTCTGGACTTCGCCTCCTGCCTGTGCTGGCCGTCGAGGATTGGTTCCCTGCTACGCCGCGCTTACCTCTCTTTCTTCTAGGGGCAACTTAATTTTTGCCAATTCTCACGACGTCGTGTCTCCTCTTCCTAGTCATCCTCGCCAATCTCTCCAACCCTTCCTCCACCATCGCCCTCGCCTCTCCCCATCCGCGACCACGGGAAGCGCATCCGTCCTCTTGTACGACACTCAAAAAACCAACAACACGAAAACTGCGAGCTTCCCCCGCTCGACACACGCAGCTGACAGGCCTTCTCTCGTTTCCGCGTTTCCTCGTCGCCTCTTTTTTTTTTCACCGCATCTTGTCCCCCCAGCGCTACACAAGCACAAGACATTTGTGCTGCGCCATTGCTGTCTTCGATTTTTCGACTTTTGTTCTTGGGCTGTCTCTCAGTCGTCGCTTGCGCCCTTCCGTTCTTCCCGCGAAAAAGAGACCACCGTTTCGTGCTCCTGTTTTTGTCCTTGCGCGCCGGTTTTCTCGCTTCACTCTTGTCTCGATACTCCCAAAGCAATACCCCATCACGATTGCAGCGTGTCCTTGACGGCCTCGGATACTACTCTTCTTGTCTTTGGGGAACGACGCAAGTTCTCATTCCTTCCTTCTCCTTTCCCATCCCCACTCGCACCCATGGCGGCCGCTTCGGACTACCCGAACGCCGCCTCTGGCATGTCCCCGGACGACCAGCGAGGCAGCCTGCAGTTCCAGACCTCCCCGACAACGGCGTCCATGCCACCGAGCACATTTGGCGAGCTCGATGGCACGTCTGTAGCAGATACGCTCGCAGTGGGCGGGGCACCTGCGACGGGACCTGGAGCTGTTGGCGGCGATGCGTCGCCTGTTGCCCTCCCGACACAGGCGACGAATGGCCACGAGGTGCCGCCACAAGTGCAGGAGGTGCTTCAGTCTGAGATTGGTATCGTGACGATGCTCAATCGCTTGAAACAGAGCATTGGCACAGCAAAGGTAAGCGAGAAGCGAGAACCCAGATCAGGCCTGTTACACCCGGTGCATTGACGAAGATGTGCTAACCCGCCATCCCTCTCCACAGGAATTCGCTCTTTTCCTCAAGAAACGCGCCCAGCTCGAAGAAGATTACTCTGCCGGCATGCGTAAGCTTGCCCGCTCGACGCAGGACAGCATATCTCGTACGGACCCGGGACAGGGCAGCAGCACCTTTGGTGGTGCCTTTGGCGAGATGATGGACATCCATAGTCGCATGGCCGACAACGGCTACCAGTTCTCCACGTCCCTGCACCAGATGCACGAGGACCTGCTGGAGCTGGCCATGATTGCCGAGAAGAACCGCAAAGGCTGGAAGCAGACTGGCCTGGCGGCTGAGCAGCGCGTCGCTGACCTCGAGACCGCCACCCGCAAATCCAAGGCCAAATACGACTCCCTCGCCGAAGAGTACGACCGCGCACGCACCGGCGATGCGAGCAGCCGCCGCGGTGGTTTCGGCTTCAAGGGCCCCAAGTCTGCCGCCCAGCTGGAAGAGGACCTGTTGCGCAAAGTGCAGGCTTCTGACGAGGACTACCACAGCCGTGTCGATACGCTGTCGCGTGAGCGTGCCGAGCTTCTGGCAACCGGCCGCCCGGAGATTATCAAGGCGCTGCAGGACCTCGTGCGTGAGTGTGATGGCGGCATGGTTCTGCAGGTTCAAAAATACGGTAAGCTGGCCTTTGTCGCTCCTCTCTGCATTCTATGACAGTGCCCTCCAAGACTAACCATGTCCCGTCATCTCTACAGCGTCCTTCAGCGAGAAGCTTCTTCTTAGCAATGGCTTGAGCATCAGCCCGATCAAGTCCGCCCAAAAACCCGACGCCCGCAGCCTGCGTGAAGTGGTCACCTCGATCGACACCGAGCGCGACCTCAACAACTACCTCAGCGGCTTCCAATCCAAGGTACCCGCAAAGACGGGCGAGCCCAAGTACGAGCGGCACGCGGTGCTGGGCGGCTCCGCATCGACCGCATCGCAGGTCCCCGCATTGTCAGCAAGGACACACACGTTCTCGCAGTCTGTCTCGCAACCTGCCGCCGCTGGAAGCCAACAACCGGCCTATTCCGACTCGCTGCACTCGCCGCAAGCCCCAGCAACAGCCAACAGCCAGATGTACGGCTCCGTCGGCCAGTCGGGCTTCCGCGCCAGCGCAGGACCGGTAGCGGGTTCCAGCCACGAGCGCAGCTTTAGTTACAGCAGTGGCTATGGCCCCAATAACGGTGCTCCCCAGCTCGGCGGCCAGTCAGCACTCGAGACGCCGCAGCAACCTCTGCAGGTCCGCAACTCTGTCGCCAACACTGGCGGCGTTGTCCCTCCTCCTGGCAGCGAAAATGTGGCCCCGTACTCGCCGGCTTCGGCTGGTGCTGGTATTCCGCCCTCTCGGTTCTATACACCTCCGACCGCTTCCAACCCCCCCTACGGCGGCGGGGCACCAGCGTCCCAAGGCCCACCACAGCTGGGTGCGCTGCCTTTCCAGACTGGTCCCAGCTTGACATCGCCGGACACCACGGGCAGCCTCCCTTCACAGCAGCAGCACCAGCACATGCCGCAGGGTGCGAATGGTCCACCGAACCCGCTGATGCAGCATCCGCCAGCAAGCAACACTGTGGCTGCGGTTCCCGGCGGTGCTCCAGGTGCTGGCTCCATGGTCAGCCAGGGCCAACCGTCGCGGCCCATGTTTGGCGTTTCGCTGGATACCCTGTACGAGCGCGACAGTGTGGCCGTTCCCTTGGTGGTGTACCAGTGCATCCAGGCCGTGGATCTGTTCGGCCTGACCGTCGAGGGCATCTACCGCCTGTCGGGCTCGCTGCCCCATGTGAACAAGCTCAAGTCCATGTTCGACACCGACTCGTCCTCACCTAAACTCGACTTCCGCAACCCCGAGAACTTCTTCCACGACGTCAACAGCGTGGCTGGCCTGCTCAAGCAGTTCTTCCGCGATCTGCCCGACCCGCTGCTCACCCGCCAACAGTACGACCGCCTGATCGAGGCCGCCCAGCACGAAGACGACACGGTGCGCCGTGACTCGCTGCACGCCGTCATCAACGACCTTCCCGACCCCAACTACGCCACGCTGCGCGCGCTCATCCTGCACCTGAACCGGGTTGTCGAGAACGCTCCCGTGACCCGCATGACGTCGCAGAACCTGGCCATTGTATTTGGCCCAACGCTGATGGGTGCCGGCATGGGCGATCCGGAGAAGGCGCGGTGGCACGTGCGGGTCATCGACACCATCCTGCAGAACACGTACCAGATCTTTGACGAGGACTAGAGAGAGAGAGGCCCAGGGAGCGCCTGCACGTGGATGTGCTGTGCTTGCTCGGCCGTTTTACGATGGATCTTACTGCGTTTGTTTCACCCCACGCCTCCCGTCCATGCCATCAAGCAAACTGGATTTGTATTACTATTGTTTCTGCTTTACTTTTTTTCTCTCCTTTTTCTTCTCCTTCATTTTGCCCTCTCATTCACCGCGTTTGTCGTGTCTTGCCTTGCGATTTTCATGCCAAAAATAGGCTACCGGGTGCTGTCATGTGCACGCATCGTACTCTAGCTAGGAAACCCGTTCTTAATCTGATATCCTCTTTCGTAATCTACACGACCAGCCGTGACTTATGCCATTGATATCCAGCAGTCTCCCGTCCACTCGGCCAAGCGAAGTCTCCCTTTGCTCTCTGTGCATTCACTTACGGCTCAGGAAGAAACAAGTCCTCGCCTGTGGGTCCCATTCAACTTCCTGCTCTTCATTATCTGCCCCGTTTAGGACATGCGTCTTCGATCACCAACTCCAAATTCACGAAGCGAACAATAACTCCACGGCGACAAAAGAGTGCCCTCTCAACGTGAGCAATTTGTCTCTCCTCCGAAGCGGTGACAAGAACCTGACGCGTCTGCCTATTTTCCGTGCTTGGAGTGGAAGCTTTACCTTGCCGTTTGTCCTGGTATCGCCAGAAAGGGAAGGCACGCGTAACCACGAGGTCGTTCTTTCCTCTGTTGGAAATACACCAACCTCCTCTTGCCGTTTTGAAAACTTTGCGTACAGCCCAAAAGGATTGAAAAAAATTCAATCTGCTCTTCCGTTGCCAAACCATTTCTTCCCTCCTTTCCTCTTTTCTCTTCTCTCAAGCAACCATCACCATCCCCCCTCTGTGTTTTGCTCCATTGCATCAAGAGCGGAAAGATCTGGCCTTCACTATTCTTTCTTACTTTCTCCCGTTGCCCTTTGGCAGCTCCCGCCTATTCCTTTCCATTAGCCTCTTGCCTGCTGCGTCCTCCTTCTTCCTTTCTCACCTTTTATTTTTACGATTTTCACACTCTTTCGCTCTCAATACTGTTTTTGACACTCGAGACATGCTTTGAGCTACCTCAGACCTTCCTTTCTCTTTCTCTCTTATTGTCCCTGGCGGTGTGGAGTTCTCGGTGTTGTTCTTGTCGCTTCTTCCTCTTTTGATACCATCGTTTTGCATTGGCCAATTCTTTGTCATTCTCGTCTCTCCTTTCGTTCATTGCTTTGTACTTTTCACCATGGCTCCTGTGGACAACATCTCCGTCACCAGCCTTGAAAATGAGCCGGCCTGGGGTTCTCACGATATTGATGATCCGAACAATATCGATCAGATTTTCTCTGCTATGGAAGCATTCCTGGCTAAGAACTCTATTGGCGGTAGGCTCCAAGTATGTAACAAACATTTTAGACCCTGATTGTTTTAAAGCCCCTAGCTGACGTCGTCTCTTTCCTCGCAGTTTGAGCTGGATGGGCACAACCACAACGTCTCCCAGATACCGCAGCGCCTCGTCCAGCAAGACGAGCCCTCCAAGTCAGACATTGTTGTGCGGTTCGAATCCATCGAGCATTTCAAAACGATCCACAAGCAGGCGTCTGAGTATGAGGATGCCCTCGAGACGAAGGATGTCGATGATTTCAACAAGGAAGGCAACTCTTTCAAGGCTTGGCCCCTTATTTCCATCCCCGAAGGCGACGACATCACGACTTGGATGATTCTGGTTGAACCGAGACAGATTATTGAGGCCCGCATTCCCAATGTCGGAGAGAGCTGTTTGCTCCGTCTTGTCAACCCAAATTCGGATGAAGGTGTCTCGGCCTGGTGGAACGCGCGGCGTGCTCAGAACAACTTTGCCGAGGTCAACAAGGGCAAAGAGTCCTGGTCCAAGCTCATTGTCTTCAACGTCAGGCTTGTCAAGTCAGAGGACGAGTCCAACTGCGTGATTCATGCTCTGATTCCCAGTGACGGCAAACAACATGAAAATCTCGAAAAGCTGGAACTTACCAAGGACAACGCAGTCAGCGTTGGCCTGTTCTTCATCAAGTCGGATGCCACATTCGAGGCCGAAATGAAATCGTTGAGCAAGCTTGTTAAAGCGTCGAACATTCCTCCCGTCACCCCACTGGCCACAATCAATCGTGACGCAGAGTCCGAGCAGGTCACAAAGGTTGGTGACTGGCTGGACTTGGCCCCAGAGCTCCTTCCCGAGCAAAAACCAATTGTCGTCAAGAAGCCGACCAATCCTCGCGCAGTGCAGGCACAGCAAGTTGAAGCGTTCAAGTACCTCCTGGATTTCCACGATCCCGAGTCCTTTGTCAATATCTTTGACATCTACCCTCATATGCGCGAGCCTAACCGGCCTGGCCTGGGCATTCCTTCAGCCATTCTCAAGAAATATGCTCGAATGAACGAGCATCAACGGAACGCCTACAATGGCCTGCTTTCGAAGATGCCCTACGGCATCGCCATGCTTCCTGGTGGCCCCGGTGGCGGCAAGACAGACTGGGTCATGACTGTCATTGGCTTGATGCAGAGCAAGTCCCGTGCCAAGGTCCTTTACCTCCTTGACATCAATGGTCCACTGGACGATGCAACCGCAAAATACATCTGGCTGATGCAGAACGCTGGGCTCCCGAAACGAGCGATTCGGATGAAAAATTTCGGCACCGAGTTCAAGCGCAGTGTTCGAGTTGGAGCCATGGATACCCGTACCAAAGGCAGCGAAGAACCAGAAGTGGACTTTTCGAGAAACTTTTTGAGCTTGTACACTCAACACGCGGCGGGTACGGCCCCAGATCCAACACGCACCCGCCACCAGCATATTCTCCCGAGCCTCGACGAAGCAGCCTGGGAACATTACGACAAGCACCGCGATGAATTTGAGACACTCACCGATGCCATTGCGACCTGCAATGGCAGTCCGCTCCAGAACCGCCAGCTTCGGCGCGAAATTTACGTCCTCTACTCGGCTGTTCTCCGCCTGGCAGATTTCATCGCCACCACGCCTTGTGTTGCGGCATCCGCCTTCAGTCGCATGTTTATTCCCGACCTGGTTGTTTTTGATGAGGCGGCACACGCGCGCGAGTTGTCCACGCTGATTTCTATTGCCAATTTCTGCCCCAAGGCTGGTTGGATTTTCATTGGCGACCACCGCCAGACTCAGCCGACGGTGAAAAGCAACAACACCAACCCTCATGGCCGGCAGCTTGCAACCTCGGCCATGGAGCGCGCTTACCTCGCTGGTGTGTTGAATCACCAACTGCTCATCAATCACCGCGCATTTGGACGACTAGAGCGCTTGCCATCGAAGCTCATCTATGGCGGCAAGATGGTTTCTGGAATCCCGCACATGGACCGCTTTCCCCGGTGGGCGAAGTTTGTCCGCGGCTACCTTGATGGCCTCGCTGGTCTTCGCTGTAGCACCCCTCGTCTGATTGTGCACCTCAATGGTGTTGGCCGTCCCACGAAGGTTGGCACAAGCTGGTTCCACCAACAACACATGCAATGGACCATGGAAAGAGTGTGGGAGCTGATCAACAACCCCCGTTTCCGCAGCGCAGAAAATGAAGCCAACAAGGGTACTATCCTGCTCCTCGCCCCATACAAGGCTGCAGTCACAAAGTACCAGGAAGCGATTGAAGCGCTCGCCAAGGCCCATCCGAATCATCGCATTCCCCAGCGTGTTGAAGCTCGCACATGGGACAGCTCTCAGGGCCACGAGGCCGACATAGTCGCCATCGACTATGTTCGCGAGTATCCGACTGGCTTCATGGACGGCATGTACCGTTTCAATGTTGGCCTGACTCGCGCGCGCCAGGGCGAATGGCACCTTATGCATCCAAATATGCCAAAGGCCGAGACATTCCAAAAGACAAACTATCTCCGCAAGCTGTACAGCGCTTGCGAGAAAGGACTAGATGGCCTGGGTGAAGGGCGCATCGCCAACATCACCTGGGGTGCTCAGCCGATTGCAATTGTGCATGACGTGCCTGATAAGGTGCTGGTCAAGGAAGAGGCTGTCAAGAATGCGCCCACCAAGCACGAGATCGTCAAGGGAGAGAACACCAAGGATGATTCTGCAGGGGAACCGTCCGGCGAGGAGCTACCTGCGCAAGACTTTGACGCTCCAGTCCTCGTTCTGTCCGACATCGAGCCCGAAGAGGACGGCAATGAGATGCCCAAGACACCGCACTTTGGGTACACGCATTCTTCGGCCGCAAATTCGCAGGCGTCGCTGAGGCAGGAGACGACCACTGTTGTGGTTGATGGACATAAGTTGGACCTTGGCTGTGAGTTGCCTGTCAACTACGACAACATCGTGTGGTAGTTGCACCACAACGCACCCCCTTCACTTTGTCACCCGGTCACTTGGTGACTTGCACTTTTTTACCTTTGCCCAACAACTTGGCTTGTTCCAACCAGTGTGCCACTGAGGTTGCTACGCGGGTAAAGGGCTGTGACACGGGCGTTTGCTTGCTGAGACGAGATTTTTGCCATCCGAAGGGGGAAGAGATGGCAGATGGATTGTTGTTGCCACGAAGTCTTGCCTGAATATGTGCATCTATTTATTCTGTCTAGGACTTTTTCTTTTTCTTTTTTAGATTCTGCTTGGCTTGGCAAGGGGCATTGTCGAAGTTGTTGTTTCGCTACAGAGCAATGCCTTCGGACGGAAGAGAGACGTGCAAGACGTACGACGAAAGAGAAGCTGTGCGAGTATCTGATGGGACCGCGAGCAAGGTTGGTTGCCAAGAAGGGAAATTATAAAACAGCCGATACACTCCACAGCAGAGAGAATTCTCTACCTTTATACATCACTGCGACGGTGTTTCAAATTGTAGGAGCTCAAGTGTAACTGTGACAGAGCCAAATGCGATATAAAGTTTTGCCAATGTAATTGCCATTTGCGAGATGTGAGCCGCCATGACAAGACCAAGGAAGTCTTGCCTATTGTGTGTTCCCTATTTAGTTGTCTAGAGTGCCAGTTCGTTATTGGATTGCCATCGTATCCCCTAGACGTTACGTTCCAGCTCGTGTCTCATGCGAGACCACGTTTAAAACTTGTCCTCCACCTTTCCCAGCTTGTACGTGCGCGGCACCACAAACAGGCCGCGAGCCTCGACGCACCGCTGGCCGTCCAGCGTGTCCAGCGCCGCCTCGCACCACAGCTTGCGCAGCTCCTTGCCGTTGCTGTCGACGCCGTCCTTGTTGTTCTTGTACTCGTCGGGGACCAGCGGATTGCAGGTCACAATGTAAAAGTTGTTGACCGTGACGGGCTTGCGGTACTGCAGCTCGAGGCGCGCCGTCACGCCGGTCCGGGCGGGGAACGACAGGATGGCACAGCGGCCGAGCGCCTCGTCCAAGATGGTGGCAATGGCGCCGCCGTGCACGACCCTGGGCCAGCCAGCCAGGGCGTCGCCGATGCGCAGGATGCTAATGATCTGGCCCGTGCTGGGGTTGTGGAAGATGCGGTGGTAGGCTCCTATGCCGCGGAGGCCACCCAGTGCGCCCGTGGTCAGGCGCGTACGCTGGGGCGTCGGGGCCGGGATGGCGTTGCCGCTGCCACTGGCATTGTCGTTGTCGTTGCCGTCACGACTGGAGGGGTACACCGTCTGTGGCAATCGCAGCGACGACGACAGCGGCGTCACGTCGGCCGAGACGTCGGCCACATCCACCACCTCCCCACCGGGCACGTCACTATTGGACGGCGCGCCGCCCGTCTTCTGCGCGGCGGCTTCGGCGGCTTCCCTAGCTTCGGCGGCTTCCCTAGCCTCGGCAGCCTCAATCTCCCGCCACCGCTGGCCGACATCCCATTCATCCCAGTCCGGGTCCTCCTGCAGCTGCTTCACCAACGGAATCGTCTCGTCGGCCACGCGGCCAATGTCTTCTTTGGCCTTGCGCTCGGCTTCGGAGCCGCGGACAAATTTACCCCTTGGCGGGCTAGGCTTTGCGTAGACAAAGAAGGTAGTGAAGCAACCGAGAAAGCCACCAAAGGCCAAAAGAACAAAGGTCGACCGGCGGATGCGGAATGTCCACTTGCGCGACGGCGGTGGTTGCTGCGGCGGAAAGTATTGCGGCAGGGGACCTTGCGATTGCTGCTGCTGCGGCAGCGGTCGGCCGAAACGGTCGTACGATGGACCTGTCGAGTAGAGGCGGCCGCTGTCTGCGAGCAGAGGCTGGTGGTTGCGAGCGAGGACGATGGCACGGGCTCTTGCTACAGCTGCAAAGGGACACGCTGCCGATGCCATTGGCGCGGCCGGGCAAGTAGCTACGCCAGGCGGTATCCGCAGAACCATGCTCGGGGATGTGTGGTGATCGCTGGCTGGTCGAGAGGGGGCCGCGGCGATGTTGGTCGGAGCGGTGATGTTGGCTTGAAATGTTGCTCAATGGGAAGTGGAGGTTAAGCGCGATCCGTCGTTATCCTGATGTTGAATTATCGGCAGTTGGGTCTATCACGTGCGGTTTCGGCCAACGGGAGAGCCCCACTACAGGTCCCCACAGTCACCGAGCAGAGTCAACCCTCAGTGAGCTGACGGTGTCAGTGTTACATTGACAGTCAAATCTTATGATGCCCTGGACAATCGACCCAAAATACGTCAGAACTGTAATCCAATGTAAAGTTCGATATGAATGGCGTTTCTTTGGGGGATGTCCGTTTCGGGTTTATGATACTAGAAACATAGGTGACAATAGTAATATAAAGATTCAGATACCATCCTGTCTAATACATTTAGTGGTACAGCTACAGTCTTACACACGCATCATATTCTGGCCTTGGGGGTTCCCTTATGCTCGTCGTCCTTTAACCGCATAATTCCCTGTTGAGAACGAGTTAGCAAAGTGGTTGACGACAATCGCGAAGAAAAGAGGGGAGGAGGTGACCGGGAGAAGGAGAAATGAGATAAATGAAAAGAGATAAAAGAAAAGAGAAGGAAAACTCACTTCTTGGATGCACGTCACCAGCAGGGTGCCGTCCTTGCTAAAGATGCGCTGCGTCACCACGCCGCGGCCCTCGCCCGCCCAGGGGCTGTCCATTACCGCCAGCATCCACTCGTCGGCCCGCACCAGATCCGGCTCGTGGAAGTAGATGGTGTGGTCCAGGCTCACCACCATACCCACCTCGGGCTGGCCCAGGAACGACTCGAGCGTGGCGCCGCCCGTCTCAAAGGCCACCAGGTCCCGCATCGCCTGCACCTGCTCCGGCGCAAACATGTTGTCGCCGTCGTGGCCCAGCAGGCCCGCCACCGGGATCGGGAACCGCCACATTCGGTGGATCCGCGTAATCGTGCCGATGAAGTAGTTGTCCGTCACGTAGCTCAGCGCATTGAGGTGCGCCGCGCGCCCGCCCTCTTTGGAGATGCTGCCGCGCACGCGCACCCAGTGCATCGTCTGCTTGAGGTGCGGCGCGTCGTCGGAGCCCGTGATCATCATCGGGCCCGACAGAATCGGCTGCACTGCGGATTTCGGGCTGCCAAAGGCCCGGCCCAGGCGAATGTACACGCTGTCGACAGCATCGTGCTCTTCGTAGCCGGGCGGCGGGACCGGCGGGCGCACGTCCGGCAAGGCGGCCGCGTGGTGGCCTACGCCGGCGATCCGCGCGGGCAAGCCCCGGGACGGCGGTGGCGTCAGGCTGGCGGTCGCCGTGGCGGCCGTGGATGTGTTGGGGAGAACGGTAAAGGACATGGTCACCGTGAAGATGCAGCGCCCGCGCTGGCGCGCCTGCACGGTGCGCGTCACGAACGAGCGGCCGTCGCGCACCCGCTCGACGTGGAACAGGATGGGCACGTCGGCGTTGCCGGCGAGCAAGAAGTAGCAGTGGCAGCTGTGCAGCGCGAATTCAGGCGACACCGTCCGCTGGCCGGCGGCAAGGCACATGCCGACGACCGAGCCGCCATAGATACCGCGGGCGCCTGGCGGGTGCCACGGCGGGCGGGTATTTGTGAAGATGTCCTGGCATGTTAGAGACGCATGGCACGGGGAGAAAGGCAAAGAGGAAGTGGATGGACGAATTGCATTATTCCACGATGTCTTGGGTTCTTACCTCGCCCAAAACGCCGAGAGCCGTGACGTCGAGGTCGTTTTCCAGCGCCGACAACGCCGGGTTCGGCGGCGGCGGCCGGAGAATCGTAGGATGCGACTGAGGCATTGTTGAGATTTGCTGAATGTGTATGTATGCGTTGGCGTCTGATGGCGATAAGAGCGGTAAAAGAGAGTGGGAAATGGAAGGGCGCGAAACCATATAAATGAAAAAGGTTAATTAATGGGACCGGCATAATGTGTGTAGGACCGAGGTATCTACCTGAAAGGGCAAGCGCGCGTGTCACGGCCTACTGAAAAGGCTACGCAAAACGGCGTACTAGAACAAACCCACTGTAATTTGCGTGGAGGAAGAGGCGCAATTGTTAACAGGAAAACATGCCGAATGGGGAAATTTGGCATTGCCGGGGCATGCACGCACCCCAAGGCGATGCGACAGGAACGGAAGGAACTGAACTTCTGGTTCTGAAGGCGCTAAGATGCTGGGAGAGAACACTAAGCCCAGGGGAAGTTGGCCGTGTTCCGGGATGTATTACAGAGAGAAGGAACGATCCTAGCGATAACTACGAGACGGCCAACCAATTCTCCACTAACCTCGGCACTCCGTGACCCAGCAGCATGGCCACGGACCAGGCTTCGTGGATTGGTGGATATTGATGACAGAAAAATCAATATGAGGAGTTGCCTGCTATTTTATTGGAACAGATGCCGACAGTTACCACGGCATTAGACTTTGACACGCCTTGCACTGGGACAGGTGGTGGGCTTACACCTGCGCGGCTGGTGTTTATATTTAACAGTGGCAATGCAGTATGTATATGATGGTTTATCTGTCTCCTGTACACCTCTAGTCCTTATGGTACAAAACATAACAAAACGGAAACAAAAAAGCTAGCAAAGGAAAAGCAGTTACAATGTAAACAAAAAAAGCAAAGAATGGCAAAGATGCCGACGTCAAGAATGGTGGAATCGAAATTGCGCAGCTGAGAGCAATAACGACATCGCTTCGTAAATGTAGCATAGCCTTCTTACCACCGCACCAAAAAGACAGCAGAAGTCTCTACTGGTTCTGTTCCACAAAGATGGGCTCCAAATGGTCCCACACGCTGCGGTCGCCCCGGCCGGCCCGGTCCCGCATGTCCCAGTATTTGCCGTTGAACTGCCAGTACGCCTCGCCCGTGATTGGGCACTTGGCCTTTTCGAACCATGCCGGCACAAACTCCTCGCCCAACGTCTCGCGGTCGCGCCGCCGCGACCGCTGCTCGTTCTCGAGGCGGTTCTTCTCTGTGGCCGCAAAATCGTAGTTGCCCTCCTCCATGGCACGCTGGTCCGGCCGCAGCCGCGAGTCGGTGGGCGCGATCCAGGGCCGCAGTTGTTCGTTGATGTCGTTGAACGTGAGCACAAACGGCGTGAGGTTGAACGGGATGCCCTTGGGCCGCTCGTTGGCCTGCCAGATCAAGTACACGCGGTTGGGGTCCGCCATCGGCCCGCTGATCTGGCCCGTGGCCGCGTCAATGTCGCTCGTGCCGTTGCCGCTGGGCGAGCTCTTGCCAGTGAGCTCCGTGACGCTCGCCTGGTAGCCAGGGGTCATGCGCGCGTACATCTTGGAGTTCCAGCGGCCGCCGAGTGAGACGCGGACGCGGCCCGTGGCGTCCACAATCTTGCCCGAGATGACGTAGGCCGACGCGGCCGTCCAGCCACGCGGCTTGAAGTCGACGTACGCAATCTCGCCTGTCGTCCAGTTCTTGATTTCCATGACGCCGTAGTTGTCGACCGTAGGGCTGCCCGTGATGATGCCAATGACGGACGAGGTGACCTTCTTCCACGTGAAGAAGTCTTCCTTGCCGCCATGCTTCGGCCGCAGCTTCAGGAACCAGGTGCCCAGCGGGTTGATGTCAAAGGACTTGCCATAAAACTTGGATTTGACGGCAGACTCGCCGTAGTAGGTCCAGTACGGCGATTCAGCCCACGCGGCACCAACAGGTGGGTGGTGGCTGACTTGCTCAATGAAGAAGCGGTAGTTCTTGTCTGGGCGCACGTACTCGAACGTCTCGCCCAAAAGCGGATTGAAGGGTTTGGCGACACGACCAATCGTAGATGCGTATTCGCTGGCTGCGAAGGCCGCCACGTAGATGAGACGCTCGATGGAGTCGGAGCGCTCGACCGCACGGTCCAGAAGGTCGGCGTATTCCATGTCCTCGCCGCAACGGTACAGCAGCGACGTTGGCTCGTTAAACGTGACAGGCAACGTCATCTTGGTCATGTCCTTGCCCACCATGGACTTCAAAATGCTCTATTGTCGTGGGTCAGTCGTGTCGCGCGAGAAAGGAACATGGAAAATTTGTCAATGCAGTTGGAAACTCACCCAGAGTGACAGTTTCGGCCGGTTGTCAGCGTCAATCTTCAGCCGATGGCGGATGCCGTTCTCGTAACCCTTGAAGGACTTGCTGATATCGACGCCAGGCGACACGACAATTTTACCGCCACTACCGTCGCCGACAGTGGCCGCTTCCTTTTCGGCCGTCAAGCTGGCAGCGTCCTCAGCTGTCTCATCAACAGCAGCCTCTGCTTTTGTGCTGCTCAGTGTAGCGGTCTTGGTCTCGGACGGCAATCTTGACTCGACAACCACCTCCCCAGCATCAACCGCATCAAAGAATTCGTCGTCGTCGTCATCGTCCGAGTCGGACAGGCCCGCCGCGGCCACCTGGTCCAACACGGTCTGCCGTCTCGATGTGTTTGTCGTATAGATTGAGGGCGACTTGGCACCTGTACTGCTTGGGATGATGAGATCATGGTGGCTGTCGGCGCCGGCCATGGCCGTAGTTGCCGTTGTTTTGTTGACTGCCACCGCACCAGCTGCAGCAACTGCAGCTGATGCAGTGGCACCGGCCAGGATGCCGCTGTTGCCCAGGTGCGGGGATGCAGCAGCGCTACCCGCCGGCTGTTCGTCGAGCATGCCGTTGTTTATAACCTCCTTAAGGATGCGCTTGGCCGACTTCTTCTTCTCTTCCGCCTCGCCAACGCGCGCCTCCAGCGCTTCCTGCTCCCGCGCAACCTGTGCCATGCTCTCCTCCCACATGCGGCGCATCTCGACCTCACGGTCCAAGCGGTACTGCCAAAATGCGTCACGGTCACGCGAAATGCGCATCAAGTCGCCAATAAGGCCTGTCAGCGAGCGAATGGCGGCATCGTAGGTAGAGAGCGCGGCGGTCGTCTTGGTATCGGCCAAAGTCAATGCCGGGTTGCGCGAGACCTCGGCGACGAGGGCCTGGTTGACCTGTGCCATGGTCTCGAGTTGGAGGCGTGCGGACTGTGCGGTGATGTTGAGTGCGTCGCGTGTGGCAGATGGTGCGTCACGGTCGTGGCCACTGGACGCATCGAGGTCGTCGTCATCACCAAGATCGTCGTCATCGCCGCCATTGTCGTAATTAGCACCACGGCCCTTGCCCTCAACCGCATCAGCATAATCGTTGACACCCAGTCCGGTGCCCGTGTCATCGTCGATGCTGCCAGCGGTACTGGCGCCGACACCACCGGCCGTGACAATGGCCTTGTGGGACACGGACCGCTGCGCGGCGGACTGAATCCGGGAAAGTTGTGCGCTGTTGCGGCGACCCGAGTCACCATGAATGCCGGCGGCAGCGGCGGCGGGACTGGCACTGGCACTCTCTGCATCGTTGTTGATGGACGTCGTCTGCGAAAGGGAAAGGTGGGACTGGTGCGAGGCCTGCGGCTGCAAACTGTGGTCGGCCTTAGCCTGGCGCAGCAGCTCGGCACTGCGGGCGCGCTGGCGTTCCTCTTCCTTGGCCTGGTCCTTGGTCCACTGGATGGAGTTGTTGAGCGCCCAGAACCAGCGCTTGGCCTCGACCTCGTGGTTGGCCTTGAGCGTATACTTGACGGATGACTTGCCAATAATTTCAAATTTGGTCTTTTCGTCGGCGCTCATGTTGAGGCGCGCAATGCGCATGTTGATGGCGCCACGACAGGCAGACCCGGCGTCATCCTGGTGCTTGTAGTAACTGAGAACTCCATCTTCAAGCACAAACCAGCGCAGTTGGTAACCCTTGCGGTAATTGGTCCACTTCTTCAGGTAGCCCTTCATCTCGCGGGCTTCACGGCCAGCGAGCGGATCGGGCGGGCCACCCGCACCACTGCCGGTTGTGCTTCCGGCACCGCTGGCACTACCACCAGCACCACCGGCAGTACCACCGCCCAGGGCGGAGCTCGAGGCGCCGCCGCCGCCGAGGTTGCTACCGTAGCCAAGACCACCTTGTGCGGCGGCACCAAGAACCGCCTTTTCTTGGATGCCGCGCTGGGCAGCGACAGCCGCAGGCGACTTCTTCAGCATGGCTCGCGTCACATCGTCCTTGGTAACGTCCTGGGGAAGCTTGCCCTTGCGGTCGCGGCGGAACGGGTCGGCACCGTGCAGCAGCAGAACCTGGATGAGCTGCGAGTTTTTGCGGCGGGCCGCTTCGTGCAGAAGGGTGCCACCGGCCTGGCTGGTGACGGGGTCGGAGACGAATTCGGTGCTGTTGATGTCGAGCACGGTCTTGAGTCGCGGCTCCTCCAGCACCTGGGCGAGGGTGTGGTACTCGCCACGGGCAATCAAATCCTGAATCTCGTTGACCTTGCTTTCGGTGAAGAGCGACCGGGAGAGCTGCAGGAGCTGGAAGATTTCTGGGTTGCGGGCGAGATCGAGCGGCAGACGGCCCTGGCCGTTGGGCAGGGAGTCGTTGATGTCCTTCTGCTCGAGCAGTAGGCGCACGACCTGAGTGCGCCCCTGGGTCGCTGCGAGGTGCAGAGCCGTGTTGCCGTCCTTGTCGCGGGCGTTGATGTCGATAAGGCCTGCGCCGTCCGACAGCACGTACTCGACGACGGCGAACTCGGCGCACTGGATGGCCAGGTGCAACACAGTGGTGTCGTCAAGGCCACCGCCGGCCGCCGCACCAGCTGCGGACGCGGTAGCAAAGGAAGATATGCTCGCGCGGGCACCGGTAGTATCGGATGTTTCGCGGATGGCTTTGGTGATGTAGGCAGTGTCGCCGCTGCGGAGGGCCTCCACGATGCGGAACTTGCGTACGGACTGCTCAAGTGTGGACGACGGAGAGGATCCTGAGACGGGAGTGATTGCAGGAGGGGCATTTGAGCTGCTGGCGTTGGCAACACCGGGTCGTGAAGACGCACCATGGGTGGACGAAGGACTCCGGCCGGTCAGCGAGCCTCCGGCGCCCGAGGCACGCGAGACGTGGCCCTTGAAGGGCACGGGGGTAGAGGTAGAGGATTGACTCTGTTGCTGGTAGGCCATGGCGGGCAGGTCGCGGCCGGAGTTGGAGTGGGAGAGGGGCGCATTCACGGAGCCGTCCTCGGAGGTGGCATCCTCGTCGCCCGTGCCGGCGCCGCTGGCAGTGCTACCTGCGGTGTTTCGGTCCTTCCGCCGGAGGATAGAGAGGGCGGCGCTCTTAGTTCGCTTGTGTGTGCTATGGGACGGGGAAAAGGAGGAGATTAGCGGCGAGTCATGGGAAGTGAGCAATGGTGCTCCAACCAGTAAGCCATCCAGCATGCCGAGGAAATGCGGAGGCACGAGAAGAGACAGGGGATGGGTTGAGACAGGCAGGGCAAAAGAGTGTGGGATTTGGTGGCCTGTTGGCACACAAGGTAGGCTCACCTGTCACCGGCTTCCGACATGGTGACGGATACGGCGCGCGGTCGAAGACGGGCGAGGGGTCTTAAATAAGATGAGGAGGGATGCAGTCGAGCGACAGGGGTGGTTGGATGGGAGATATGTGACGGTGACGCCAATGGCTCAATGGCTGGAGGGCTTCAGAGTCCGAAGGCGAGGCCCGTCCGTTCCGAGCGGGCGAAGCAAGGCGTCGTCGAGCTGTGGCAATATCGATCGGGTGCTTGGACTTTGCAAAGTTGTCCGCAGATAAGACGGACGGCAGAGTGGCGAGCGAGACGTGTTCCGAGGGGAGGGAGGGGGGTGGGAGGAAAGGTGGTCATATATCCAGTACAAGCTCTCCTGGGCTGCGATGTGGATTAGTACACCGTAAGTGGGCTGGTGTTGTGGATATTCTGTCTTTGGTGTGCGGCGTTAGCGTTTTGCACCGAGTCGTTCTTTCCCCCCGCTTTATTCGACCACCAAGTCAGGGTAGCAGTGAGTATTCATACGGAGAAGGTGCGACGCCGTTGAAATCAGAGACGTTGGATACAGTCAAGCCAAAGCAAAAACGGGAAGGATAGCTTGACAGTTGGTGGGAAGTCGTCTGGTTGGTGAAACAGGGTAGGGTCAGAAGCAGCAGGTGCGTTGAGGCCACCAATGTCAAAAAATGGAGGCGGTAAGGGCAGGAGCGAGCACAAAACAAGTCGAAAAACAGCCCAGATGGGAAAGCACAGGTGGACAGTTATAGGGAGCGCCAGGGCAGGTGCAGGGGCCAAACAGAAAGGGCATGACGTCGTAAAGGTATTCCACACGCAAGGTTATTACAGCCCAGGGGCTGGTGTGGACTTTGTGGCTTAGGCCCAAGACACATACTTTGTAGTGTGCTCTGGTCGGCCGATTCCACCTGTCTATTCCGTCTGAGCTTGGTCCGGTCTTGTGGTCCCAGGCCACATTAGTTAGTTCTTGGTGGGACAGGACACAGTTAGATCCGGTACTGGTAAATAAGCTACGACATACAAGTTGCTTGCAAGGAACGCAAATCGTTTGTTCCTTGCTGCTCCCGACGTGCATACTCGAGCTTTTCCCTGGCTTGCAGAGGCTCCTTCAATGGGTCGCTGCTTCCTCGCTAGGTGCATTACAGATCCTCTCAACGGTCCTACACGTGTTGATCAGACGCTTGGCTGTACTAATAACGACCCCCCAAAAACTAGCGGTGAAGATGCAACTTGAGATGTTTTGGACGGAGAATGCAACTGACACGCGCAGAGTTAGGAGCTTTAGTGTTGAACGGCTGTCAGGGCAGCTGGCAGTTGAATGTCTTGGTTGTCCGGAATCTGTATCTGACGGTCCCAAACCTGCCCTCCAATAGCTCCAACAGCATCCTCTTAGTTTGGAGATCAGCGCTTGTTTCTGGATATCCTTGGATGTCCTTGGAACGGGGTGCGCCAATTGTCCACTTTTGGCTTCATTGTCGTGTCCACCAGTAATTACTCTTACTCTTGCATCTAATAGACAGTGATGGCCAAGGAAACTAAGCGGGGCAAAAGAGTAGAAAATGAGAAAGGTAGGCTCAGTAGGGTGAACAGTTGGTATGAAAATAGCTGGATCTGAAAGAAATCGCCAAATAGCAAACGAACCGGGACGATGGAAGGGTAAGAATAGTAAGCCACGGACAACTGAAACATGTCGTTCGCCACAGAAAAGACCAGTCTGTCGGCAAAGACGAATGGAAGCAAATGATATGATATGCACGCCATCAGACAAAGCCAAAATCCTCGCGGATAAGCACCCTTTTTGATCGCCTACCAGAACCCGACTGCAACGGGCAACCGCAGACAGTGGCCATCCCACCAGGTTAAAGCAATAATGTCACACATAATGCTGAACGAAAAGGAAATCTTGGCAACCCGATCAGGCAGCCGTGATTTAGCATCGCAAGGCTGCGTCAACAGCCTTGTGCATCCTGTCGCTCATGGCCGTTTCTTTGTGTGGAATCCCGTCATTCCGATTTGGGAAGCCGGCCCGGGGGACGGACATTGACATTTCGCCGTCGCTCCGTTGGCTGCTCCCGGAGTCTCATGACCGGCGGCATATTTAATCACGTGAAATGTGCAGACATGGGCCAAGACGGCAGAAACTCCGTCTCACGTTGTGTTGCCGACCGTGGCTGCCTAATTTGCCTAGTGGAGCAGTGTGCAGAAACGGGAAGGAGGCAATGGCGACATAACAGAGAAGTGAAGAGCGTCGCATATACGGCTCGTTCGCTCTTCTTTCTTCTTTCTTTTCCTTCGATGTCGTCCTCTTCTTCACACTCTCAATCATCTTCCTTTTCTCCCCGTCTCTCCCTTAGTACCGCAGAGCCATTGCCATCATGTCGATCAACGCCAATGCACTGGACGTTTGGTCCACGCTCGCGCCCGAGTGGGACGCCGGCATGGGTCGTGACGGAAACGTCTTCTGGCAACGGCTGGAGAAGCCGGTCCTGGAGCGGTTCCTCGCTGAAAAGAAGGCAACCAAGGACGGCGAAGCCGTTCGGGCGCTCGACATTTCGACCGGAAATGGTCTGACTGCGCGCTGGCTGGTGTCGTACTTGGGCGGGAGCGGAGAGTATGGAGGTGACATTGTTGCAGCCGAGGCCCATGGTCCTGTGGATGTCACGGGCACAGACGGCAGCGACGTGATGCTGTCGCGTGCACGGTCCTGGACCGCAGACAACGCCGACGTGACGCCGCAGCAGCGCAGCATCCGGTTCGAAAAGCTGGATGCGACGCAGCCCGACGATTTCAAGCCGTTTTACGCGTCACCGCCTACCAACAAGCCTTTTGACGTTATCCTGATGAACATGGCCATCATGGACGTACCTACGCTGGAGCCGCTAGCCGCTGCGCTGCCGCACATGCTTGCTGTTGGGGGCGTGTAAGTATACATCCTGGTGCATTTTTAGAAAAAAAAAAAAAAAAAAAAAAAAAAAAAAAGGGGGGGGTAAGGAGAGGGGAGCTGGAAGACTACGAGAGAAGACTACGAGAGAGGAGGCATCAAACCAAAATGATCTTTCGCTCATACTGTCCTTTCATCCTCGGTTGTGACCTAGCTTTGTCGGCTCGCTCCTGCACCCTGTGTTCATCACGCCGCGCACGCGCAGGCACATTGAGCTGGTGGACGACTACGACGACGACGGTGGCGATGGTCGAGGCGCCATGACGACGCGGGGCGTGCTTCGCAGCGTCAAGCTGGATCGCTACCTCCACGTGGCGCCCTGGCGTGGGTATGCCTGGCCCAACCAGTCGCGCGCCCAGTTCTACTTCCACCGCCCACTGCACGAGCTCTTCGGCACGTTCCTCAGGTCGGGCCATCTGGCGCTGGACGGCATTGAAGAGCCGGCCTTTACGCCCGAGGAGGTAGCAGCCGATCGCACACTAGGCGATAAGATCGAGTCGTCCAAGAACTTTACCGAGTTCCCCATCTTCATGTACTTCCGTCTTCGCCGCATTAAGTAGACGGATTGCATGCAACGGCCCCTTCTCGGCCTTTAGCCTTGGCCGCACCGGAAAGAGGGTTGGAGGATGTCTGAGTCGTATTCTAGTCGGTTTGTACGAGATGCATGTACAGTTTGGCTCTTGATTCGAGTACCTCACGACACAATGCCATGCATCATCTGTCGCTTGCTAGACTCGCGTGGTACAGGTGACAACGTAGATTTGCCGTGCTATCTCTAATGACGTAACGCTATGATTCAAGGAAAAAGGAAAAAAAAAACCCAATGCTCCATGTTTTGAGAACATGCATCGGTCGCTCGGTTACCCGTGAATGGACCGTTCACACCCATAACAGAGCCTCTCCACACGTAGTCTCGGGCCGCCCTCGGGGCCGTCAAGATGACCAATCTCGCCCCTCCACCGTTCGTTGCCGGCCTCATCGAGCGGCATGCCACAGACCCGACAGCCGGTTGGTGCTCCGTCGTCACTGTCGTGGGCATGATTATGGCTGTGCCCGTGGCGCTCAAGTTTGGCTGTCGTCCGCACGACGTTGGCGACAATCGACGGGTAGTTGGCCTCCACCTCAGTGAAATAGCGTGTCATGACCTCCTCAATGCTGAGGTCCTTGTGGGAGACAACCGCCCCCGCAGATGAAGCCGGTGCCGGCACGAGGACAAAGTCGCCCTCTGTCAGTGGCGGCTGGGCCACTGCGTTGAGGTAGAGAATCAGCTCGTTGCGGAACAGTTCCCGCACAGGGTAGTAGACGGCGATCCTGTGCTCCGCACCGTCTTCCACGGCGCCATCGTTGATCAGCCACGGCAACGAGAAGCCACGGCCCTTGGCCGTCTCAGCGAGCGTCCTCTCTGCCAGAGCCGTGGTGCTGCAACCGAGGAGCAGGGCATCATACGGTGCCGCCTCTGCTGTCGACGCAGCCTTTGATATCAACAGCCGCCGCACAAGAACCTCCAGCACGTCTCGCCGAGACGTCGCCGACGGAAGGTTGGAGAGACTTGCGCGTAGCTCTGCCGATGTCGACGGGTGGCGTGTCTGTGGCGTGTCTTGTTGTTCTGTTCTTGAGGGCGGTGGTGGCAGCAGTGCTGCCCAGTCGATTGTATCGAGCGCCAGAACGTCCGTCAGGGGTACGCGTTCAAAGGTGAAGCGGGGGTACCGCGCCCGCCACCGCTGAAGGCGCTGCTCGGCCGGGGATGGTGTGTCTGCATCTGTATTCACTCCGTCTACTTCTGCATCGACATGAACGACATGGAGGTTGAAGGCGGCATCCCTGCCCCGGGACAGCCGGCCGACAATGATCTGCTCACAAATGTCCACGAGCGCAGACGACGAGGGTCCAAACGACAGGCCCGCATAGAACTTCCGGACGTTGCTGTTGGGGGCACCACCGCCGGGCCGACCAGTGTGTGAGCTCTTTGTCTCGCGGTTCAGTACTTCAAGGCGCTTCACGGCTTTGGTTTTCACAAAGTGAGAGAAGCAAGCACTGCTTGAGTTAGTCATAGCTCACTTTCTCCCCTTTTTTTCTTGTTCATTTTTTCTTTTCAAAAAGAAACATTCAACATTCCACGAGCTGCATCTGAAGCAGCCACGCCGATATTGACTTACTTGCAAATAGGATCGGCTCGGATTGTGTGGACGGCCTCCTGCTCTCTGCACCGCCGACACTGATTGTCGGGCCCCGCTTGCGTCATGGTATCTTGAAAATAGAGGAGGAAAAGAACGAGGGGGTTCAAGAGCAGGGTTCTCTCCTGGCTGAGCCTGCGGGAGTACGTACATCAGCGCCACAAGATTCCGGGATGGCTGCAGTCTGTTTATTTTTGTTGATATTTATGCTCATGACATAAAGTTGCAATCGGTTGGTAAGTTCAATCGATGGTCATCTAGATTTTTTTTGGCTAAAAATTCGCAAAAGCAGTAAAAACGGCCACCGGTGTCAGTCACGTGACACTAACAAACTGGCCATTTCAAATATCACAATCATCGCGACTCCTGGTCTCATATAAATATCGTTATTAATGAGTTTTGATACTATTGTCGAAAATGAGATTCAAAATAGTACATGTCTGGAAAAGCTAACCAGGAAAAACACATATGAAGCCGACACATGTGTCCAGTCTGATTGCTTCTAAACTTAGAAATGTCCCATGACATATCAATATCATGGTCGCCAGACCGCCGGAAGAGGTGACAATAAGCAGCGTGACACTTTGTCTCTCTCTCCGGATGGCAGCTTGTGTTTCAAGTCTTGCCCAGCTCTTTAACTAGTCTCGACTGATATCCGGTTCTTGTTTTTGTTGGTGTGTCTTGCCTGTCTCGTCTGTCTCGCCTGTCTCGCCTGTCTCGCCTGTCTCGCCTTTCAAGCCCAACGAAAACCCCAAGCCTTCACAGGCTGCCTCTTCTCCAGTCAATGTATGTCTTTATTTTTATCCCAATGAATGGGACTTCGGGTTCCTCGTTCCGGCGAAGACTGTCCACTGGCTGTAGTATTCGCGAAGTGAGCAAGTCGTCAAGCTGCTGTGCCAGAGAGTGCCCCGCTCCTCAACAGTCTTCCCCATAGCTCCTCTTCCTTGCTGCTGCTGTGCCATCCAATAATGGGGAATGTTCATTCGCATGCGATATGTTTTGTGTGTCGTGTCTGACATACGGGAAGAGGCAAGCACAGCCACGCGGTGATGCCCCTTCCCTGTTTTGGCCCAGGTCTGACTGGCATGGGCACGCACCTGCTGGCAGCAACAGGTGCGTGGAGCACACGTACGCTGAAACAGCGGCCAGAAGCAGCTGGACTGGCGATACCCACCCATCAGCCCGGTTTGAGGTGTGAGGCAGCCTCTACCATTCATTCTTCATGATATCGTACCGGTCTACGGAGAAGCTGTCACTGGCCAGGATGAGGCCGCCGCGACTCTTCTTTTCTCGCGCCCAGCAATCCAGTAAGACAAAACTGCATTTCAAATGCATTTGCTACGGTCACATCGCGCTCTGCGGATGACTCGGAAAGAGGGAAAGTGCCGTCTTGAAGTCTTTCATACCGTTTCGTATTAGCGCCCTGCTTGTTGCCTTCGGGCGGCATCTTGTCCGATTTTAAGGCGTTCTTTCGGCTCTTCAGCAATTCTGGGCCCTTGGGAGTCACGGAACGTCTGCTCATGACCACCTTTAGGGTGGCAACTTCGTGGTGATGGCTACGTAAGAGATGACCAGGCCGGCAAGGTGTGATGCTAGTGCCCAAACTCACACCGCGGTTCGTTGCCAGTGGAGGTATAGCATTTGCGCCTGTCGAAACACGTCGCGCTGGTAGCGGCCGCGTAAAGACGGATTTCAATTAAAAAGCCGTACACGTCCTTTTGCGATATCATCCACGGTCCGTTGCCCCTTCCTTCCCATTTTCATCCCGACTGCCTTGCTCAGGAACAGAGTATACCAGTGTCAGTACAACGCCTGCCTTGCCTCGAAGATCCGTCCCTTCCCATCTCGGATCACGCTCTTTCCTCGCTTTCCTCGTCTCAAAGCACGAACAAGCTCGTCTTTCCCGCTTTATACTTCTAACATTCTGTTTGTGCCGTCTTTTCCTCGTTTCAACGACTTGCCTGCAAAAGATCTGCTGCAGAAGGGCTTCAGGTTCGTTTAGCCTTTGGTTCTAGGCGGCCGTTTAACGGAGCAGCTGCAGGGGTCCGTCCACTTTGAATGGCTGCTAGCCCTTGCCGTCACAACAGCCACCAGCTTTTTTTAGCTGGTGCCTGCCTCTTTTGTGTACTCTCCTGACGCTCTCTCGCTCTTTCTCCCCCACTTCCTTCGAACATAGGCACCGCGAAAAGGAAAGAGCGGAGCGGGACCCCACACTCGCAACGCTGGACGGCAACTTTGATCAGCTATTTTTCGCCCATCTCTATTTTACAGCGGGACCAGGGGGCAGGTCTGGCCCTTCTCCATCGGACTTGCCCTTTGCGACGTTGTATGGCTGGTGAAAGCAGTGCCGGGTGAACCTTCATATTTTGAAGGACTTAGGGAACTGCCGCCAATCGCAGGCCTGTCTGTACTCCGTACAGCCATCTGTATTTCACTATTATCAACCTCCTCATTTTAATGCAGTCGCGCCTCTGCGGAATCTTGGTTTCTGTCGAAATATTCCCTCGATCACTTTCTTCCCGCATCTTGGCTTCTTTTCTCCATGCTTTTCTGTTTACCTGTTCGTCTTGTTCTTTTTCATCTTTTCGTCTTCTCTTGTCCATTACAGCACCTGTTACGTCCTCGGCGCCTCCCTGCATGTCTTCTCCAGCAGATCGTCGTCGTCCTCAAGCCAGCGACACCACCTTGTGTTTTTCGACTTGTGGCCTGGTCCCCTTGGCGAGTGACCTGCATTCCGGTCTGTCTCAGAACGCCGACGAACGAAATTGCATCGGCACACGGTTTTGACTTTCACATATAATTGCCGAAACCCCTATTGTCGTCCTCTTTCAACCCGTTGGTAAACACGCCTACAACTTGTTCCGTACGTCGTTCTGCTGCTGTTTGACTTCCTTTCGTCGCATATCGTGGCATCATGGTCGAGATGCAAACACATGCGCCCGTGGCGCCACAAGCCAGCGCAAAACCCTCACTCCCACCGTTGTCAGAACCAGCACAGGCCATTCCATCCTCCTCGCAGGCCATACCTATTCCTCAAGCGCCCGCGCAACGATCACAACCGCTTACCCTCGATACATACGTCTCGCCCGTCAACCAAAACGGCTCCTTTGAGTTCGACCGTGTTATCAAGACTGGCTACGTTCAGCGCCGCACACAAAAGACCAAGGTGCGTAGGAATGCGACGCCGGTGACGTCGTGTCGATTTTTGTTTCTCGAGAGCTTGTGAACTAACACTCCTTGCCCAGACATGGAGGAGCATCTTTCTTGTTCTCCGGCCGAATATCCTATCCATTTACAAAACCGATAAGGAGGATAAACTCCGACACAAGATCTTTTTGTCCGAACTGACAGCCGTTTCCTTCCTCCGTGACCCAAAACACAAACGTGACCACCTGTTCGGCCTCTACTCGCCCTCCCGGAACTACTACTTCCAAGCCAGCTCTGCCAAAGACGCCCAAGAATGGGTCGAGGCAATTCGCAGCGAAGCACGCATTGAAGAGGAGGAGGAGGAGATGTTTCTGGCCAGCCCTCTTGTACGACGCCAGTCCTATGGCTTTACCAACCTCTTCCATGCCACCGGTAATGAGCTGAGTCCGTACAACCCGACGCACATGAACAACCACCCGGACGCCGTCGCTGAACACGAGCGTCGTATGGTGTCCAGCTCCCCCGAGCCACAAATGCCTCCACCACGGCGCCTCTCAGCCCAGCAAATACAGCAGCAGCAGCCGCGGCCACAGCAGCACCCGTACAACCAGCCCGAGTCCCTGGCCTGGTCCGGTAACGAGATGGGCCTTTCCGACTATTCGGATGGTGACGCACAAAACAAGCTGCCGGGCATGTCGTCCGAGAGTCTCACAGCACAGTCGCCGCCGTCCTCCATGCAACCCGTGCACCCCGTCAACGAACCCCGGCGGTCGCAGACCGAGATCCGCAATGCTAGCCAGTCAAGCGGCCTGGGCACGTTGGAGACTGACCCTGACCGTGTCATCTGGCAAGGCTGGCTGTGGCTGCTGCGCAGCAAAGGTGGCGTGCGTCAATGGAAGGACTCGTGGGCCGTGCTGCGGCCTCGGAATCTTATTCTGTACAAGGACGAGACGGAGTATGCTGCCCAGCTGATCCTCCCGCTGTCGTCGATTGTGAATGTGGTTGAGCGCGACCCCCTCAGCCGGACCAAGAAGCACTGCCTGGAAATCATCACGGAGGAAAAGAACTACCGGTTTTCGGCGCACGATGAGGACACTTTGGTGCGTTGTCTTGGTGCCTTCAAGAGCCTGCTAACCAAGCGGCGTGGACTGGAGATCCGTGCTGCAGCGGCGGCGGCGGCAGCTGTCTCTCCCTCGGGCCCGGTCGTCCTCCCTGCAGGCACCTTATCTTCCTCTCCCAGCGGTGCCGGGCCCTTTACTCCGACATCGCATATTCCGTCACTCACGACACCGGCGCCTGTGCCTATTTCAACATGACCACGAAACGACCTGCTTTGGATAATACCCGCATTTGCATCTCATTTTTTGTGGCGCCCCGTATTCTTTTCAGCGCGTGACGTTTCTTGCACAAGGGCATCTACCCCCCTAGAAACCAATTTATGGTTTAATGACGACAATTTTTATGAAGGCATGACTTATTACTTATTATTTTTATGAAACGAATTGGAGGGATGACAGTCGTTACGAGGGATATAAAGGGACACGGCTGTGGAACGAAGAAAGCTCAGACATACAAAGCAGAGGCTTATTTTATGTATTCAGCTATTTGACGAATCGTAAACATGAATGATCCGCGCGAGGCTCTCTTGTTATGCCAATGATCAAGCCCAACACAGAAAGGCGGCACGCTCTCCTTACCGTGACCAGCCATTGCAACACTATCCTTACGTGTCGCTCAACCTCTGTGCGCTCTTGCGCGACATGCCTTGCGTCTGCCAGCAAGGGCTGCCGCGATTGGGCAAGAGCTGGGGCGTGCTTGGTACTGTGGCCTTTTCGTTTTCGTTGTGCTTCGTACAGCTCGAAAATACTCGAGAAGAAGGCTTGCTGTGGACTATGTAACGTGTCGCCCAATATACAATTTCCCACAAAGAGAAGGTAGGACTCGTCCTCATTCTCGATTTCGTTGCTTGCGACTTCCCCGGATACAGCAGATTGTATTTTTGGTTTCTTGTTGTTCGCGCCTTCCGTAGGATTAGTCTGAGCCACGATGTACTACTATTTTGCCCCTATTTGGATCCCTTTTTTTGTTTACCTCCGTTCCATCTTTTTTTTGGCCCTTTGCAACAGTGCACGTCGCCAAAATCAAAATATCTCAATACCCCAACCCCAGCCTCGATTTCTGTGCCGTGTCCAGGGTCACTTGCCCGACAAAATGCCCTTGCTTCCCCATTCTGGCAATGGCTGCACAACGGAAATTGCTCCGCAAAAGAGTCCTCAAGCCCGGCGAATTGCTTAATTTGGACCGCAGCCATTCGAATGCTAGCAAGCAACTGGTTCCGTTTACCTGGGGTATTGATTTCGTCCAATCTTCGACCAGAAACCCATGGCGTATTTCGTCTGTCACCCGACTATCTCGAAACCCAAGAAACTGGACATCTTATTAATAACCGGAAAATTCGAGAACAATTCGAGACCTCAGAGGAGACGCCCAAATATGCCGGCAGACGGCGAGCAAAATGTCTGTGAGAGACCAATACGTGGATTCCAAGACTGCCAATGAAAATCTCGAGTGGCTGTTTGGCTCACCATCGAGGTGACCCTACGATCCATTTCCCATCCCTCTCGTCCTTTGACGAGGGGCGGAGTGAAGAGGTCAAGATGATCAGCATGTGCCTTTCCTGGTTCCTTGCCCATGTGCGCAAATTTCGGTCACCCGGCTTCCCCCTCATTCATGTCGATGCTACTTTTTAGATCGAATCGGCCTTCCATTCTTGGTCAATTGTCCGGCCCCTCTCGATGGCAGTCTCGTCGTGCATGTCTTTATGGAGTAGTATTTGCACTCCCTTTTGCATCGCCGGCATGCCTCCCTTGTATACTGCATCCATTCCGTTACATATGAACTTCGGTTATCTAACTAGTTCCGTCGTGTAAGTGCTGGCTTTTGGTACGGCCCCCGTCTTCTATTAACTCGTCTAAAAAGCGTATCGAGTTATTTCTTCTTATCCTTGTCGAAAAGGCGTCTTTATGTGACGTTTTCGACGCGCACCGGTGCCGCAAGCTTTAAAAGATGCGCAAGTATCAGCAATATTGTGGCGCCGAGCGACTTCTTGTTTGTGTCTCAGCCCCGGTTTCTTTTCCTTACTCAAGGATCTCCACTTGATCACGCACCTACTGAGATGCAGTCTTGACAATGGATTCCGAAGACACGTTGCCTGGCGTTTCCATATAGAGGTCGGCTTGACCCGTCCCTCCGTCGCCGAACGCTTTCCGTTACTTGTAGTTCGTTTATTTATACTTGGCCTGGATCCTTTTGTTCCAGTCATCAACATGACTATATCGCGCCGTCCAGTTTTTGAGACCAGTCTACCATTCGCTTCCTGCAGTTTTTCAAACTCATTTTCCCTTCCAGGGCATAGGCGGGCAAAATGAAATTGTTTCGGGTTCTCTTGACTGCTCTCAACCTTGCAGAGCTATCTGCAGCCCAAATCGTCATTCCACTTCACTCGTCCAGTCGGTGGATTCTCGACTCCAACAACAACCGTGTCAAGCTCCGCTGTATCAACTGGGCTGGTCATATGGAAGTTAACCTTCCAGAAGGCCTTCATAAGCAGCCGATCTCGTTTCTCGCAGACTGGACTCGCGACCAGGGCTTCAACTGCGTCCGCCTTACCTACTCCATCGAACATGCGCTGAACCCTAACACGTTGGTGTCGGATGCCTTTACAAATGCCGCTACGGCAGCCGGCGTGCCGCTGACAAACATGACGGCAATGTACAATGACGCCGTTGCGGTAAACCCGTTCATGGGGGAGGCCACAACGACAACACGAGACGTTTATGGTGCCATTATTGATGCCCTCTGGGAACGCGGCGTCGTGACGCTCCTAGACAACCATGTCAGCAAGGCCAGCTGGTGCTGCGATCTGACTGATGGCAACGGCTGGTGGGACACTGCCTTTGGTTATATTGCAGCCAACTCCCAGTATTTCCATACGGCCCAGTGGCTCCAGGGGCTGCAAGCTATGGCGTCGTGGGCCTACACAAACCACCCGGGCGTCGTCGCTATGTCGCTGCGCAACGAGCTGCGCCAGCTGCTCTTTCAGGATACCAACAACGGCGACGACTGGTATGACCTGGTATCCGAGGCCGGTTCGCTCGTCCACCAGGCCAACCCCAATGTGCTCGTGGTCGTCGGCGGTATTTCGTCAGCCACAGACTTGTCGAGCGTCCGCATCAGCCGCATGCTCAACACGACCGCGTGGCTGGGCAAGCACGTCTGGGAATGGCACTCGTACTCGTTTACAGTTACGTTCCCGCGCATCCTCCCATGTGCCCTCCTCAAAGACCTCTATGGCGGGTTTGCGGGATTTGTGTTGACGCAGGGCAAGGATTATACGGGCCCGTTGCTGCTGTCCGAGTTTGGTGTGGGCCAAACTGGCGGGACCATTGACGGCGGCCTGTCGTCGGACGACAGCACCTACCTGTCGTGCCTGACTGAGTACATGGAGAGTAACGACAGTGATTGGGTGGTATGGGCATTGCAGGGTAGCTACTATGTGCGAGGCGGTCAGACAGACTACGACGAGACGTGGGGTCTGCTCAACCACGACTGGTCGGCGTTGCGCAATCCGCAGTTCCCCGGTCTTCTGGGAGGCATGTGGAACATGACGCAGGGACCATAGACGATGGGACGTTTGTGGAACTTGATTATATGGCCTATTTGGACGATGGTTGTGTTACCATATATAATGTCCCTCTTTATGAATGTTTTAAATCGGTGTGTATATGTGACTGTCTGGCTAATGAAGTTACCAAACAGATACCACGGGGCAGTAGCCATTGCAAGACAATCCCCCCAGGATACCTTTCAGGTTTTGGGATGCCGGTGAGCCTCAAAATATATAAGGCATAAACAAAAAGATACAAAACGAGATGTAAAAGAAAAAGCCCCCAACGTAAGTTATAGAACACTACGCATTATGGCAATAAACCGATGCATCACATGCAAACTCCCACCCCCGAACTTTTCCATCGGTGCACTCTAGCTCTCAGTCACCAAAAATCACAAGCCGTTCTAGGCTGTATCAAAGTAGTCGTCAATATCAATCGAGTCGCCGCCACCCATGTACAGCTCATCAAAATTAGTCGTCGGATCATCCACGAGACCTTCCATTCCATCATTGATGAAGCTGAAGAGGTCGTCGCCGTTGTCCACCGCACCAGTAGCATCTGCCCCTGCCGCTCCGGAATCTGGCATGAGAATGTCACTGGGGTTTTGCTGCGGCGGTTGAGGTTGCTGCTGCTGCTGCTGCTGCTGTTGCTGCTGCTGTAGTTGAATCTTCTTCTGTAGTTGGAGTTGCTGCTGGGCGGGAGTTGCTGTCGAAAAGTCCGTGTCCATCATGAGGTTCTGGGCTGCGTCTGCAGCGAACTTTTCCACGTCAAATTCGGAGTCATCGACTTGTTGATGCTGGGGCGGTTGGGGCGCCTGGGAGGGTTGCGAGGGTTGGGGCGCAGTTGTAGGTAACTGGGGTACTGGTATAGTAGTTTGCGCCGCCGTTTGCTGCGCTGGTACTTGCGGGGTTGGCTGCGGCTGCGGAGGCGGCGGTTGCGCCGGCTTTGCCTCGTCTCCTGGTCCAGCAGGAACAAGGGAGAACTGCATATTTGTAAACCCAAGATCAGCGTTGGACGGATCGTCACCTGAAGGCCCCGTAAGATCGAAAAAGTCGTCCATATTGATGTCATTTGACGAAGACTCCATTGCAGGCACGGGAGCAGCTGGGGTGGCAACTGGTGGTGCAGTCGTCGCTGGAGTGGGCTTCACGGGCGGCGCAGTTATGGGGGTCGGAATCTGTGGCGCCGGTACGGGCGTCGTCGACTTTAAGGGAGGTGTCGACCTGGCAGCCGCAGCCGCAGCCGCAGCCGCAGCAGCTGATTTTTTAGTCAGGACAGGCGATGTAGCAGTAACAGACGGTGAGGACGACGACGACGAAAGCGAGATGGCCTTGTTGGCGCCGCCGGCCGTGACGCCAGCTGCCGGTGTTGGTGTTGGTGGTTGCGAAGTCGATGCCTTTGTGACGGCCGGCGATCCGGCCACCGACTTGACCAGAACAGGCGACGGCACCTTCGCCGCCGCAGGCGAGGCAGTCGATCGAGACGCAGCCGGCGATGGTACTCTCATAGCAGCGGGCGATACTGTCCGCTTCCTAGCCGGCGCCTTGCTTGCTGCTGTTACTGCTGTCGCGGAAGCGGTGGAAGTGGCGGCAGGAGAAGCACCCGCTGTGCTGCCTGGTGTTGAGCCTGCTTTACCAGAAAACTGTGCAGGCCGGACAAGGGTCTCTTTCTTGACGGCGGGCGATTTGTTGGACAGTGCCTGCGGTGTCGGTGCTGTCGATTTATTCGAGGTGGACGCCTGCATAGACACGGCCCCTAATGGTACCGTGGATGCGGTGACTACAGGCGAGTCCAAATCCATATTCGGGAACGGCGCCATGGTGGTGCTGGCAGGTGTGCCGCCATTGGCATTGGCATTGGCTCCGTCCGTGGCCGGCTCGGACTTTGTTTTGACGGCGGCCGGTGTTGGTTCCTCCAAGTCGACATCCATCGCAGCTGCTGGTGCTTGTTGAAGGGCGGGAGTTCCACTTGACGATGATTCCTTCTTCGGGTTGGCGGCGGCGGCGGCCGCAGCGCTCTTTTGTGCGCGGAGGAGGTCGAGATCGCGGCGCAGCGTGGCTTTTGCGCGGAGCTGGTACTCGGTTAGCAGCGCTCGCACGGAAGAGTCATGCAAGGGCATACCAGTCCGAATCTGTACGCACAATGTCTGTCTCTATGCTATCGAGAGTCGAATTGAACTGCGTGTTCGCATCGCTGATCTTCGTGGCGTTGAGCGCGCCCACTACCTTGCGCCCATTCTTAGCTTGTGCGCGGATGGCTTTGCCAGCGTGGATAAGCTGCAACCAGGTAAAATCAACAAAAAGAGTCAGCCACGTGTCGCATAAAAGGACGCAAGAAGAGAAAAGGACGCATTGCCGCACCACTTCGCCAATCGTGTGCTCCAGCATATCGAGCGCCCCCTGGCTACGCGGCCCTTGTTGGGCCGCCATTGCAGATGGCAATGCCGGCTACTGCAGTCGATGGTGTATCTAGACACCGAATCGAGGAAGATGGCGAATCAATTGGGGGTCGTGTTGTGCGGACGGGGCCGTCGTGTGTCGTCGGCGTTGGTACGAGGACGCCGCAATCGATAAACAGAGTCGTGATGCACAACGGATTTTGCGGCTGGTGCATTTGGCGCGCCAGTTGCAAGGAGCCGCCGGCAGCTCCTTCCCCCGTGCGGAGACCCAAGCGGCCCAGCAGTAGCGTGGGAGATCAGTGTGCATACAGTATAAATACAGTGTGATATGTCACGCACTATATTAACAGTGAGCTCAGATCCACCGGTAGCTTCCGTCGCCTAAAATGCTCGCTAGAGCCAGAGGCTCTAACACTTAGGACACCCGATCTCCTATTATATCACTATTGGCCAGGCCAACAATAATAACAACGAGGCCCACTCCACACCGTTCTCCAAGCCATTCAGCCTGCAATTTGCGTTTTATGATAAGACCTGAACACCGACAGCGGCACTCTTGTCTCGAGAAGTCCCGTTCTTGGCAATAAAGACGACCCCAGAGAAGTTGATAAATGGGGGTCAAGCGGCAAGTACCTCAGGGTGGGAGCGAGGTGGACACAATAAAATTCTTGCCCACAGCAAGATGCAGTCAAGCTTACTCGTGCCTTTCTACACAGTCGTCTCGCAATCGGAGCGTGCGTGGACGGGACTGATGACGAAAGGTGCCCATGACGTGACCAGCGTGTTTATCTGCCGGGATCATCCAGCGCATCAGACCAGATGAACATGGCCAGCCAAGGTGTCTCGGGGGTCCTGGGCCATACCATACCTAATCCCCGGAGTACTCTTCCTTTGTAAGATTTCATATGCCCTTTGTCCCCTTCCAGGGCTAGGAAGGCAAGGCCCGGCCGCCGACAATGCAAGTTGACTACTTTGGGCGCTAAAGGGACAGAAAACGGAGAGCGGCCGTTTGACCTCGTAGAGGATTGGACCCCTACGTTGGCAGTCAAGCTCTAATTAGCTACGAGTGAGACACAAAACAGTCACAGCCCAGTCTCTAAGAAAGTGGGGGCATATGCAGGCCGCTCCGTGGGAAAATAAGGGGAACAAAAGACCTCCCACCGCATATAGGGCCAAAAAAAACTCAAGAGGGGCGCAGGAAAGAAAGTAGAAAGAGGCGGCAACCATGGAACGAAGCACACGAGAGATTGACTAGACTAGACCGGGATTCGTTTGGCACGGCGCATAACAGGCTTGTCCTCCAAACCTCTTCCTGCTGTCTGCCTGTCTGTCGTTGCCTTGTTGCCTGACCTTTGACGTGTCTGTTAACGTGAATTTTGAAGCAAATGTGCTTAGATGCATAGATGCATACCCGCCGCCTGGGGAAGGCGCCAGCTTCGTTGCTCGAGTCGTCCCAGGTACAGCAACACTCCGTAATACCTCATGCAACCTTCTGCTGGCCCTATATGTTGCATATTATTTGCGTCTTTACGGCGGGTGCCCATGTGCATACGTCAAAACTAGGTGTCGTCAGGGCCAGCTGTCTTCAACGGTCGCCACAGCAAGTCAGCTTCCAGCGCCGCTAGAAGCTCCACAGACGTCCTGCCCCTACTAACTCCTCAGCTCCCCACCACTAGCACCAGCGCGAAGCACGCTAACTGCGTCCCGCCCGGCACCATTACAGGGGGCTTTCCCTTTTTCCCTTTTGCTAAGATACTTTTTGCCCCTGACACCAACACCTGCCAGCCAGAAAACCGTTAGACTAGGTAATCCTTAGGACCCTTTGCTCCTGCTCTCGTTTTGCGCACACACGTAATTAATTAATTACTCCCCGTAAGGAGTAAATACACTCTGGTAGGACCCCCTCGCCTTCCCTCTGCCCAGCATCATCCAAACCCAGTGCTTGCTGGCCCTTTTGCCCACCTCTTGTTGGGTCTTACACCTTTTATAAGGATTTCAGTCGAAAATCACTGTCCCTTGCTCCTACCTTTCTTTTCTCTCGCTCCCCACCCTCTGTCTCCTCTTGCATCTTCTTCGTTTCCCTCCTCCGCCTTTTCTTTCCTCCTTTCTAAGCAACGAAATCTACGTCTTTAATTTTGTTTTGTCCGGCCCTGCTGCTTCGGTTTCTTTTCCCGCGGACTCGCGCACCCCTTTTCATTTTGCTGTCCCATCCTTGTTTCGTCTTTGTTGTTCCCTTTTTTTCTTCCTCTGACGAATTCGAACTTGTCTGTCGCCGCTTGTCTTGTCTGACCTATTCTCCTATCAACCTCTTCGCACTGCTTCCAGGTTTTTCTGTCCTGGTCCACTCAGCTGCTCCTTGTCTTTACACATCGCCTGTCCCTTGTGTCTGTTGGCTCTGCAGTTGCCGTCTCCTCTCTCCCTTCCATTGCATCACTCTCCTTGCTTTGTCGGCGTCGGCGTTCTTCTTCTCGCACTAGCTCCCAAGTGCCCGTGATACCTCGACTTCAAGCTTCCGGCTCCAAGATACAAGCTTTCCTTTGTTGCTCGTCCCTTCATCCAGGCTGTTCGGTTCTCGTAAGTTTACGCTTGATGGTGACATAGACGTCAACATTGTCCGAGCCTTGCGCGCCTCAGCGCTTATCACATCCGACCTCTCTGTGTGGCCTACTCATCATTTCTCTCTTCTTTTGTTGTCTTGCATTCCCACGCGACCTCGAGTGCTTTTTTGGCTAACCAACGTCAGTTTGTTTCAGTTTCCTTGTCGGTCTCAGAAGCTTCGTGTCTTATACCCCAGCTCCTCTTTTCAGCCTTGTCGCTTTTTCGAACGGATCTTTTCATCTTTGCTTCCTTTACGATTTACGTCGACTGTCGAGCTTTTGTTCTCATCTACTATCTCACGAATTTTACGAACCCGTCCTTTAACGACTTGCATTTGTCAATTCATACCCGTTCACGATGGCCGACACCGCTCCGTCCCAGCAGAACAACGGCCAGAATGGCTCCAACCAAGGCCACATGGCCCCCGCGCCGCTCCACATTCCTCAGAACAACAACCCTATTCCGACTGCCATCACCTCGCCCATTGGCGGCGACAAAAGTGGCATGATGTCCCCCACCAGCGCCGGCGCGTTCTCCCGCCGCTCGGCCCCTGAACCCAACAAGCGGGCGCTCTATGTCGGCGGTCTCGACCAGCGGGTGACTGAGGATGTCCTCCGCCAGATCTTCGAGACAACTGGCCATGTCCAGAACGTCAAGATCATTCCCGACAAGAACGTGAGGCAACCCAATCTTCTTCGTGGGGCACGGGAGATATTCGTTTGCTAACAATAGCCAGGCCAAGGGCTTCAACTACGGCTTCATCGAGTACGACGACCCCGGCGCAGCTGAGCGCGCCATGCAGACCCTGAATGGCCGCAGAGTTCACCAGTCGGTACGTGCGACACGGCATATGGAAATGCGAAAAAAAAAAAGAAAAAAAAAGAAAATGGAAACGAGTGTGTTGGTGTGCTCGTGCGGAACTGACCTCGGTTTGATATAGGAGATCCGTGTGAACTGGGCCTACCAGGCCAACTCGACGGGCAAGGAGGATACCTCGAGCCACTTCCACATTTTTGTCGGCGACCTGTCCAACGAAGTCAACGACGAGATTCTTACGCAGGCTTTCGCCCAGTTCGGCTCTGTTTCGGAGGCACGTGTTATGTGGGACATGAAGACGGGCCGGTCGCGTGGCTACGGCTTTGTTGCCTTCCGCGATCGCCCGGAAGCCGAGAAGGCTCTGAGCAGCATGGACGGCGAGTGGCTCGGCTCTCGCGCCATCCGCTGCAACTGGGCCAACCAGAAGGGCCAGCCGTCCATGGCCCAACAACAGGCCATGCAACAGATGGGCATGACCCCCACCACGCCCTTCGGCCACCACCACTTCCCGACCCACGGTGTCAATAGCTATGACATGGTGGTGAACCAGACCCCGGCGTGGCAGACGACGTGCTATGTTGGCAACCTGACGCCTTACACGACCCAGAACGACCTGGTGCCACTGTTCCAGAACTTCGGCTATGTGGTGGAGTCCCGGTTCCAGTCCGACCGTGGTTTTGCTTTCATCAAGCTCGACACTCACGAGAATGCCGCCATGGCCATCTGCCAGCTGAGCGGCTACAATGTCAACGGTCGTCCTCTGAAGTGCAGCGTAAGTAGTACAGTTGGAAACTAAGACATTGACAAAGTGATGGACGGCTAACATGTGTCGAACAGTGGGGTAAAGACAAGACTCCCAACGCCCAGGGTGGATTTGATCCTTCGCAGGGCCAGCAGCAGCAGCAGGCGTACAGCCCCCAGAACGCCCAGGGCCCTGGTCCCTACCCCGGCACGCCGACGCAATACTTTCCCCAGTACGGCGGCATGAGACACAACGGTGGCGGCGGTCGCCAATAGAATTCGGCGAAGCGCTTGTAAAGTCCCGCAGTTGTGATGAAATCAAGCCTGCCCTCGGAACGCTCGATGTGGAGGGCATGCCAGCGAGGACGATCGATCTCAGTTAACAGTCCAGCGGCCAGGGCGCTCTTTTAAGTACCCTCTTTACTCTCGGGAAGAGCTATATGTTGACGCCAATGTTGCTTATTAAGAAAAAAAGTCCACTTGTTGTCAGTGTTTGACTTGACACCTTGCACTGCTTTCTGCCCTCTTCATTAGGACTGTCTTCTTTAGGAGTAGGGGTAAAATTCGGCTGTATTGTTGCGCCCCCTCTGCTTTCTCTCATGATGTCGTCTGTCTTCACATTATTTGTTTTTCGTTACATTGTCTTGCCAGGGCTTTTTTATCCACCTGCTACTTCCGTGTTCTTTCCTTGTTCAATCAAAAAAATGTTGTCGGATTCCCTTCTCGGCAGCTTTCCGCGGGCCGGCCCATGAAGCCACCATGGATCTCTTCTTATGCTTTTCTTTTCTATTTTTTCTTTTTTTTTTTTTTTTTTTTTTTTTTTTTTTCAACTTCTAGTCTTTTTTTCCATTGAGTTTTTGTCTCTGTCTCTGTCTTTCTTCCCACCAAGTTTCGCTATGAATTTTCAAAAATGATGTCTTCAAATCGTTTGCTTAGCATGTTGGACCCCATGATTAAAAGTATTAGGCCATGCTTTCTTCCTCCATTTCTCGCTCTTCCGTCATTTTGTCCGCTCTAGTTACCACGTCTTCTGTCATACTGTCATGATGTTACGATCTCTGTATCGTCACTTTCACGCCCCTTTAATTAACCGGCCATCTGATTAATTCGTCTTCTTCTCTGTGAGCTTTTACCGTCAACATGTTTTTGCCCCCGTCCGCCCGTTCTTCTCGAATGATAGACGAAATGCCAAGTACCAGCATCCTTCTTTCTGTATCATATCTCGAGCGTCCACCCTCTCTTTTTCTTCTCTTTGTGCGTACGGCCACTCTCCTTCTGTCGTTTCGCCTGTTTCCTTCTCGTGTTGTATAAATTCCGCATCGTCTTATTCCGCTGTGTCAACATTTTTAGATGGAGACGTGGGATGTGCGAATTGACTGGAGAGGGTATTCATGTGTGCTCGGAGACGGTCGAATATCTCGGTCGGGGTATTTGTGGTGTGGAGGAAGGTTCGTAGCCCGCGGTTCTGAAGGTACGAAACCAGTGCACTCTGTCTCGACATAATGTGAGCAGTGGGTTTCGCCTCACGAGGGAATGTCAGGACATCGCGTGACGGTTGGTGACTGGTTCATTTTGTATCTTGCAATCTTCAGCAAGCCTGTGTGTGCGAGGCTGAATGATCTGCAGTGGAGATGGGTCAGGTTCACTTACACGAGTTTGCTCCGCTCGTGAAGAGCCCGAATCCCGTTTGCTGCTGTTTGCTGTTACTTTCTCGCCAGTTTCATGCTTCGTTGCTCGGTTGCAGTTTCTATCATTTGGAAAAGAGTGATTTTCCGTGCAATTAATTTTCTTTCAGGTCTTTTCAAATATTGCCTGAAAAATGCCGTCTGTCAAAGAACTTCCTCGCTCCCCAAATGCTCGTCACTCATCATAAAAACATATCAACATCGTTGGTCCCCTTTGCGTCCTGCCAAAAAAGTATCATAAATCCCATCATCACAAATAAACCAATCCCAATGTTTGTTTTCCAACTTTTGTCTCTACAGCAGCCATCTATACAAACCTACGCTCATTCAACTCCCAACTCAATTCACAAGAAAAGCAAAAGAAACAATTATTTGCTGGTGTCGACGACGTAGCGGCCGACAACCTTGCCTGCGTGCATGAGCTCGTAGACCTTGGACAGCTCGCTGAGGCCAACGGTCTTGTAGGGAGCCTTGATCAGGCCACGGGCGAAAAAGTCAATGGCCTCGGCGGTGTCCTGGCGGTTTCCGACGTAGCTGCCCTTGATGGTGACCATACGGACGACGGTCTCGAAAACGGCGGCCTTGACGTAGGCATTGGCCGGCAAACCAATGCAGACGACGGTGCCGTGGGGGCGAACGTACTGGGTAGCCTGCTGGAAGGGCTTCTCAGCTACAGCCAGGACGATGACAGCCTGCGGACCGTGGCCGTCAGGGGTGGCGGCCTTGACGTCGGCGACGACGTCCTTGCTCTTGGTGAAGTCGACAAAGGTATGGGCGCCCAGAGACAGGGTGTTGTCGCGCTTCTCGTCGCCGCCGTCAATGGCAATGACGTGCAGGCCCATGGCCTTGGCGTACTGGATGGCCATGTTGCCGAGACCGCCACCGGCACCGACAACGGCGACATACTGGCCGGGGCGAGCGCCCGACTCCTTGAGGCCCTTGTAGACGGTGATACCGGCACACAGGACGGGAGCAACGGCCTCGAGGTCGACGTGCTTGGGGATGCGGGCAACGTGGTCGGCGTTGGCAACGGCGTACTGCTGAAACGAGCCGTCGACGGTGTAGCCGGAGAGCGTGGCCTTCTCGCAGAGGGGCTCGTCCATTTGGCGACAGAACGAGCACGACAGGCACGAGCCGTTGATCCACTTCACGCCGACGTGGTCGCCAATTTCGACATCCTTGACCATCTCGCCGCGGGCAACGACGACGCCGGCTCCCTCGTGACCACCGACCAAGGGCAGCTTGGTGGGCAGGGGCCAGTCGCCCAGCATGGCGTGCAGGTCGGTGTGGCACACGCCGGAGTACTTGATGTTGATCAGGACCTCATTGGGGCCGGGCTTGCCAACGGGGATCTTCTTGTAGACGGGGTCTGTCGACGTGGGTTAGTGACCAGGCCTCTTTTTGAAACTGAATTGGAGCTCCCTGTGGGAGGACAAGGCGCGGATGAGGTGCACAAAAGAAGCTGGACTCACTCTTGCCGGTTTTCTCGACGACCTGCGCCCACTGCTCAGTCGGGATAGACATTGTGGTGGTTTGGGTGGCAGAAGAATCGGTATTTTGAGGCGAGGAAGATGGTACGTGAAGCTAGCTTGGATTTGGTAGCTGGTTGATGGTAGTGCAGAGGTGGTGAGAGTGTTTAGGTCTGCATAATAAAGAAGCAGAACCTCCTTCAAGCGGCGGCGAGCTCGACTATATATACTTGGGAGCCGGAGCGTGTTTAAGACGCCTCTCCGTGTTTCCGTGCGAGCATGGGAAGCTACGACTACGACCATCCACTACGCAAAATAGAGGAGCTTCAGAGGGGCAACAAACTGAAGGAGCGACCATGACGGGCACCACTGTTCAAGGTCGTTTCCTAAACAGGGAGAGCCGGCAGGCATGGTTAACACAAGATGGGGGAGGAAGGCGCAAAGGAGAAACGGAGGTGAAAGTGGAGCGGAAAGAGCAAGCATCTCGTGATGAGGGGCAACCAGAAAAAAGGATAAATGAAAGGGGAAATAAAAAGAGTGTGCTCTCGCAGATGCAGCCTCCAATTGGGGAGAGGACGGTCGAACGGGCTGTAGAGCTCTAGGTGCGGAACGTATGACGGCGATGGACGTCGAGCTCCAATCTGCGGCGTGTTTGCAGGCGCCAAGGCGACGAGGTCAGGAAGATGTTCGGGCTGACATTTCTCAGGTCCGCAGTTAAGCGCACTCCTAAGCACCAATGCAGCATCGCCTGTATATCTGGTCGCAGGAAAGCACTTTGTTTTCTGGGGGGGAGAGCAATGCCGCCAGTTCCTTTACTGCGGCGGCCTTATCCATCGCTTTCTCCCTCTTGCCCGCCATGTGACGATATCACTCGATTTTCGCCGTTGTCGCATCGATAACATGAGCTCGGGTGCAGTATCGCCGCAGAGCCCCCGACAGCTCTGCAACACCATGATGCTTTTCCCTACGCACTGCTCCGACTTTCACAGGACTATGCCAGCAGACGTTGGCTCCAGAATGGAAGTACAGCCAACTCATAGCGTGGCATCTCTCCTTCTCCTTTGTTTCGAATTCTGCCCGGCAGTGCCAAGCGCTTGGAGAGGTGTGACGGGCTACATACGCGATCCCTTACTGAAAAAGAAAGCAAGAAAATGGCCAGGCCCGACTTGCAAATTGTGACACTGTAATTACCGTTGCTAATGCTACCTTTCCTGCACAACGCCACCCGCAGTCTCGGCTAACTAACAGCTGATTCAGGGCGTGGTGTGTTTTCTGATGCCTCAAATCTCCCCATTTTCCCTTCCTACTGCCATACCCCGTTTCCGGGGCCAGACTTTGCACATATGCCCTTTCATCAGCCCATCAGTCCAATCAACGGCCGGACTCCCCGTCAGCCCTCTTGCATGGCGGTCCCGCCACCACCAGGGCTGGACACGGGGAGCATGTACACTCAATGAGCAGGATCGATGGAAAGACTGACCATGTCGTGTTACGTCTTGGGATAGCATGCGAAAGGGGGACTATTAGGAGAGGAGCAGCTGCTTGTTTTCTCTCAACAGCCAACCCAACGAGTCGGTACCATGAGCTCTATCTAGTTTGTCGGCCTGTCTGATATGTCTTTTCGTGCGTCACTCGTTCGAGACCACTGCGCGGGAGACGGCCTTGTATTGCTGCGGCATGTCTTCTCCAACATTGCGGTTCCGCTCACACAACTCCTCTCCGGTCCAAACGGGACCCCGCAACTAACAAAACATCGGTAGCCGCTTCTGATCATCGCCTCAAAAAAATTGGAGATACGTTAACCCTTTCCTCAGGGACGAACGCACGAGGCCGCCACAAAGCCCTTCAGGCGCAGCGGGGAAGCTGCAAGTGACACAGCAGGTCAAGTGGAAAAAGAACTGACAATCACAAAGACGATACGTGAAAAGATGTGGCAAGATATTTTGGTGAGTGCTGTCTGTTCGCCAAAAGAGAACAAGAAAAATCCGACGTCTGGGGTAGAGGAACTGGCCAATAATTAAACCTCACAATCTATTGCCCTTCTAGACATTTTCCAGAAAATGCACAGCTTTCTCACTACACCGGGCGTCTGGCTTAGGGGCATGTAAAAGGAATAATACATCGTACGGAGAGCTAATGTACACCGTACTCCGCACTTTGTGCGGTCAATGGTGATGACGATTAATCCTTCGGGCTCCTTTCCCCGGACTACCTGCACCCTGTGTATATTGCTATGTTCGCTCTGACAATCTGATATGCGCTTCACCATGCGTGGTACCTCAGTGTGTTTTCCTCCGCGTTCTTTCCCCAATTGTTTCCTTGTCGTCGCCTCTTCCATCCTACCCGCAAATCTCTTGTTCCGCCCGACCCTGCGGATCCGTTCCACGCCAACGAAACATATAAACGCAGGAGGAAGCATACCGAAGCTATAAAATTAATTACGGGATGGGGCAAGGGAAGGAATAAAACAGGAAGCCGGGGATGAGGAGATTCGAGGAAAAGCGGAAACATATCTCGATGTATAAGTTTATTATCATTGATTTTTTAAATAAGTAACTGGATTGTGCACCAATACGGGGCAGACACATATCAATTATGCGGATACAAGATTCCGCAGCATAGCATGCTTGAAATCTGAAGAAGAAAAACGGGCATCTCCGTAAGCAACGGGAACTCGTTCCACAGCGACAACAGGGAAGTCTTGAGAACGAGGTTACTGCGTTCCCTGGACCTTTTCTCAGAGTAAAGTGGCGATGATTCTTTGCTGGGAAAGTGCGGTCCACAAGGGTTGGCCGACAAGCCGACTTACACCAGAATTTTGAACGACACAAACTAAGCACGTTACAAGTCTACACAAGGCTGCCATCAAAAGGTGGCTGCAGCAATCAACCGACGGCACACAGTCCCTATCGAGCATGCAAAGAGTAGCAAGAGTAGGGATAACTTGAAATGATATCACATCTGGTCTCCGAGCTGAGCACTGGCACGGAAAAGAGCACCTCCAGCCTTCTCCTTGTATCTTTTCTCTTTGCTGGTGCACTTTCCGTAATGTTTCTTCCACCTTTTCGCATTGTAGCTGTCGTTGTTTGCTATTCTACACGTCGCCTGGGCCGTTCCCCAACCAAGACCCCTTCGTATCCGTTTCGACATTCCCGCGGCCATATTTTGGGGACCCTGGATCTCCTCTGAGGTTCCTTTTCGCATCAACAAAAGCATCCCCTCTGTCTCCCATTTATGAGCCGCCGGGACCACCCAGAAGGGCAAACCTCCGGACAATGCTAGGTCCGTACTCTTCGTACTGTTGGTGAGGTTAGCTGAGACACGAGACGCAAGAAACAATCGACACGGCTGCGCGAGATCAAGACCGATGTCGAGCCGAAGCCGGAAAACGAAAGCCAGACGAGAAGCATATGCGACGGCCAGCAATGGGCCCGACACGAGACTATGAGATAAACTTACTTCAGCCTTCGTGTGGCAGTACGACCGGAACTCGGGCGTCTGGCCGAGCAGGCTGCCACCGAACCAGGGGCCGTGCCGCTGCCGCTTGTGCGTAATGACCTGGACCTCCAGACCACCGCTCTTGGCGCCGTGGCTGCGCACCTCACTTGCCCGGATGCGCGCGTCGACGAGCTGCTTGATGTCGCGCTGCAGCCGCCGACCAAAGTCCTTGTACAGCGTGCTGCCACCGGACAGCACAATGTTCTTGTACAGACCACGCCGCACGTCGATGGGCGACGACTGGATCACGCCGTCCACCACCACGGGCAGGGGGGTGAGGAAATCGGAGCTGTAGATCTCTGGATTGAAGAAAATCTCAGGCGCCAGGAAGCGCTCGTACCCAACGTCCACCGACACCTTGCGGCCGCCCGCGAGGACAGCGGCATGCTTGGCAAAGCGCGACGAGTCCCGGTCGTAGCGCGCAAACTCCTTGACAATGTCCGGGCACACGTAGCAGTACTCCTCCTTGATCTCCTGGGCCGTCTTGAGAGACGAGTCTGGCTCGCCGCGGTCGCGCAGCAGGGACTGCACAAAGTATGTAATGTCGCGACCGGCAATCGGAATCGACTTGATCGAGGAGCCGATGACGTAGCCCTCGGCGACGGGGATGACGTGCGTGACACCGTCACCGGAATCAATGACGGTACCCGTAAGCGAACGGTCGGTCACCTTGGACGACGTCCACGAGGCTGCCAGCGCAAGCACGGCCTGCACAGCAATGTAGAGACCGGCACAGTTGAACGACTCGAAGAAAATCTCGGCCGTGTTTTCGCGGTTCTCGGGCGGGTTCAAGGGCTGCGGGGGTCAGAAAATGGCACATCTACTGCGTGAAAAGAAAACTCATGGTGCGCATCGTCCATATATGGGACAGTCATATGTGCCATGGAGGCTGGAAGGTACATACCGGCTCGGTGAGAAGGAAGTAGTGGTCCTCAGGCTCGACGCGCAGGTACTTGAAAATGGAGTTGGACCAGAAGCGCTCCATGTGATCCTGTTCGGTTTCGTCAGCCCACGTTCTCCCTACAATCCCTCCACAGCGTGCAGCATCCGCCGCCCCCGTGCCTTACCCAGTTTTCTATCTGACCGTGCCGGATAGGGTAGTGCAGGCCATAGCCAGGTCCGGACGACGCCGAAATCGCCTCGTCGCCGATGAAGTAGTCCAGGTCCTCCGTACCCCGCTTCGCCTGCAGGTGACCGCCAGGGCCGGCGCCGCCGGTCAGGAAGGACGGCTTGTTCGCGACAGACGGCCGGCCAGCACCGGTACCTGCGCTGCCTGCACCGGACTTTGTTGCAATCGCCGTCGGGAACACGAAAGAGGGAGAGTCGTTACCGGCGAAACCTGAGCGGAGACATCGTCGTTAGCGGTTCATGGTCCGTAAACCCGCTGTTGATCGCTGCGCGAGGCAACTAGGCAGCAGCTCGAGGAGCATCGCGATGCATACTGGAACCTACCAAGCTTCGAGAAACCGGTGCCGCTGCAGATCAGAGAAGACGTGTTAGCAACGCAAACAATGAAAGAAGACGGTCACGCCTGGAATTGGAAGATTCTCGGAGCCAATGCGATAGAAGCCGGCCGCAAGCCGCTCAAGCCGTTGAGCTAAACGAGAGGACGACTGACCATGCCGGAGTCGCAGAGGGGGGGCAGGAGAGGGATTGGCGCATACTTGTCCATGACAACGGCCGGCGTTTGGTTTGCCATTGTTGCGGTTTGAAAGACGAACAGAAGGGCCGCGGATCAGCAGCTCTCCTTGCGACAACGTGCGGGTTTGTCGGGAAAAGAGGTGGAGAGGAGAGGTGATGACGATGTAGGAAGTTGGGAGCGTCTGCGGCGACCCGTCGACCGTGTGGCTGTGGTAGGTGGTTGGCGGGGGTGAGGGGCGCCCCTGCTCACTGGTGCCTCCTGCTTAAACGGGGCAGCTTACGCCTAGCATCGTGCCAAATGTCAAAGTGCGCTAATATGGTCACGTGCATATCGTTGGATACAGGCTTCTGTATTTTCTCGCCTTACATAATCTCACAACAACGACCTCGACGTCGGCGGCAACTTTCTCCAAAACAAACTCGACTAGAACATACATTGGGGCTCAGGGACAGGCCGGGGAGGAATACTTGAAAGAGAGACAGAAATGGCCTAGATGTCCATGGAGACATACGTTGTTAAATGAGGCCATTGTGGCAGGGGAGATCTATACGTTCGTTCCTTCCTCTATTTCCTCCCGTAGAGATTGCTCCAGGAAACCACATTGCTGAGCTCTATCTCAAATGCGACGAACGAAGCCCGCCATTCTCCGCCGTGACTTCTTTTCCTACCACGGACCTACACATAATCTACTGACCCCTCTTTCTTGCCCGCCCGTCGCGCCTTCTCTTTCCTCGCTCGTTGCAGCGTTTGGGTAGACAAGGCAATCACGCGTCAGCCGTGACCGGACTTCTGCATGACGAGAGGCAAGGCGTGCGTCTCAGTCACCATCCTCCTGCCAACGATACCTTGCACTCCTACTCCCCCTTCATCTTGTCCACTCCACGTCGTGCTTCGTCTCTTTGTGAGATTAGTATCTTCTCCCTGGCGACCTTTCGTCGTTTCGTCTGTCCACGCTTCCTTGGCTATTCGTTCATCCCTAGATCACATTGGATTGAGGTCTATCTACACCGCTCCCTCAGTCTTGGCTCAACTTTGTTGTTTTTGGAACAGCTTTATTGGTCATTTTTAAATTCTCTTTTCTTTTTCCCTAAGTCAACGCTACTCCTACGAGGTTCCTGTTTTGCTGGATACATCCCCAACGACCCACTAGTCACTCTTCATTGAGGGCCTTCTCGCAGCCAGCCCTCTGTCTACAGCGCCACACAAGATATTGCTCTACGTCACCTGCTAGGACTGCTACTCTGTTCCTCCTTGTCGACCGCTTGTGTAGATGAATCCGCAAGCAATTTCAATGGGACATGGCAAACTAGGGTCCCCCGTCGACAATCAACAGCCCCAGACCGACCACTCGGCCGAACACCACATCGACATCATGACTCCTTCTTCTAGTCCATTTCCAAGCCTCAGTCCTTCTCCGGAAAGCAGTTGTGACAGAGACGAACTCTTGTCAGTGCCGGGTTTTGACGTCGTTGGTGCAGCAGAGGACCGTCGTCACAACGCTGTGACGGCAAATCCAAGATTCGATCCTGGGCTTGCCTCCTCGTCTACAGATGGACCGCTGCCATCCAACAAATTGCCGAGTCCGGACGCAGCCGTCTTTGCTTCAGCAACAGACGGGCTCACGGAGCGTTTGTTCCGTTCCAAGACAAAGGGTCCCATTGCGGCTATTTTTATCCATGCCGGCGCCGGCTTCCACAGCACCACCAACGAGCACGTGCATCTAGAAGCGTGCAGCGAGTACGTTCATCTCCCCCCGATTTAATCCAGATATGCATTTTCATCAACCCTGTCTCCCTCACACTGACTGTCGTTAGAGCTGCCCGCCTGGCCATGAAATTTCTCAAAGCCGGAGGCACCGCTGTTGACGCGGTCGAGGCAGCAATCAAGTGCCTAGAAGACAAAGAGATCACCAATGCCGGCTACGGAAGCAATCTCTCCATTGACGGTGTTGTGGAGGGTGATGCAACTATTGTCGACCATCTTGGCCGCAGTGGTGCCTGTGGATCCGCCCAAAGTATGGTGTCTAGGACATGCTCTTTCGCAAGGCTCTCGTCATCTTGCTAACCCGTTCCCTTGCCGTCTCTAGTGATCAAGAATCCAATCTCGCTGGCCCGTCTGATCTATGACCGAAGCAATATCCCCTTGTCGCTGAGGCGTATACCGCCAAATATCCTCGTCGGCCATGGTGCGGCTCAGTTTGCACAGGAGCACGGCATGCGTCTTATTCCACACCAGCAGCTCATCTCCAAGGGCGCCCAGGACCGTTTCTATCGCTGGCGCCAAGATCTAATCAATGCCGAAGAGGCAGCTATCCGGTGCAGCCTGGCTTCTGGCGCTGCCTCAAAGTCCCGAGTCGATCCACAATCTGTTCCTGGCGGTCCTCCCGGTGCCTGTCCTGGCATGAAGTCAGTACAAAACGCACAACAAATCGCAGTGTCGGGGCCGACCGTTACGGCCTCGATTACGAGCGGTAGCTCTCAGCCACCTGACGACGGCCGGCCAGCTGGGCACCTACCAGCCTATGGCAAATATACCCAAGCGTCGCTGGGAACCACGACTGTCAAAACAGAAACCTCGTCGTCCACTGCGGCTGGGAAGGTAGAAGCCTGGCCTGCTAGGAACCCGAAGTCCAGTCACAAACGATTTCGCCTGGGTGATTATGACCTATTCAGCAATGATGAGGCAGCCACCCGCAGAAAAAGACGAAGCAGTAGCGGCGGAGACGGAAGCTTCGCGGACGAGCCAGTACACAAGCTCCCGTCGATCTCGGGCGCCATGTCCCATCCCCTTGACCATTTTGCCGAAGGTACCGCTGCGGACGAGTACGCGGCCGGCAACCCATTTCGATATGCCGAGATCGGACTCCACGACAACGACACGGACATCATCACTGACACTATCGGTGCTATTGCAATTGATCTCCGCGGCAACATCGCGGCTGGCTCGTCGTCGGGTGGCATCGGCATGAAACACTCGGGTCGCATCGGACCCGCGGCCCTAGTAGGCATTGGCACGGCCGTAATTCCCGCAGATCCCAAGGACAGCCGAGGTACCTCCGTGGCAGCCGTCACCAGCGGGACGGGTGAGCACATGGCCACCACGATGGCATCACACACCTGTGCCCAACGCCTCTACCACGGCAACCGCCGGACCGACGGCGGGTCGTTTGATACTGAATACGACGATGATGCGATCATGAAGTCGTTTGTGACAGACGACTTTATGAACCACCCGGGCGTTCGCAACCAAATCTCTGGCGGTGCCATTGGTGTCATGGCGGCAAAAAAGACCAACAGAGGCGTCTATTTCTACTTCGCCCACAACACAGACTCGTTTGCCTTGGCTTCTTTGTCGTCAAACGAGGACGACCCGCTGGTGGTCATCTCTCGGCTGGGTCCACGGGAAAGCGTTGCTAGGGGCGGTCGCAAGATCAAGCGCAACTGAGAGTCCGTCTGCCTACGACGTGGTGAGAATGAGCTGTGTATACTTGGCATTATATTGGCCCTTTGCGTTCGTGCGACGAAAGGCGAGTATGTGATTTGGCACAGGCCGAAAGGCCAGTAGGCTTCCCGGGACAATTGGTCTGTTGACCCCTTTTCTGTTTTGCTACATTCTGCTGTTTTATGTCCTCTTTCTCTTCACCTAGACCCTAGATATCCTCAAGTAACGTTGCGTTTTATTAGTTGGAATGAATAAGAATTATTGGTAAAGGACAAAGTCATTTTCAAACTCAAATCGTGACGTTCTATAAAATATAGTTTTTTTTTTTTAAAAAAAAACGTAAAAAAAAAGAGTAAAAACACAATCAGAACATAGTGAACGAAACCTAAACTTTGCAAATCCATACAACTCTGGATGCAATTTTGTATGACCAGTCCCCGCGCAATGCATTATAATTTAAAACTGAAATCCCAAACGCCAGATTGTATTTTCGTAGCCACCGGAGCCATCCGACCCATGGGAAGAATAAAAAGTAAACAGCAAGTCAGGCTATGCATACTAGGCGAAAGGCCCATCACGAGGTCATGGGTGTTCCGACTGTGCTGCCAGTCTCTTCGCGGCCACCAGCGGCGCCACCCAGCCGCTTCTTCTTCTTCTTCTTCGGACGCGGCACCACGGCCGGTTTTGCACCGTAGGCACCTAGTCGCAGCCGTGACCCACACGTTAGGCACTCGGTTGTCGGTGGACCGCCGGCTGTCTCGTCGCCGGCGGGTGCTTCGGGCACTTCGCAAAAGATGCTTAGGCAGATGCTGCACACGAACCCAGTGTCGACAACACGCCGGTGGCAGAAGCACGCGGCGCGGAAGTCGACCGCATCAGCACTCGGGGGCACGAGCGCGTTGGCCACGTCGCGCGCCGAGGCCGCGCTGAACCCCAGCATCAAGTACGCCAACAGGCCCTGCGTGTGGAGGCCGTGGCCGTCGGCGCTGTCGCTGGGCGCTGGCGGTGCCAGGAATGTGCCGCGAGTGATGAAGGCGGCCTGCTGTAGGAAGGTGGCTGCACCGCGCAGGGCCAGAACGTCAATGGCGACACCGGCGTGGGCGGCGGCAAAGACGGCGTTCATCGTCGGAATGTACTGCGCCGGGGACGAGTCCGACACAGAGATGACGAGGATGCGGGCATGCAGGCCAACATCGTCTGACGAGGCGCTGCCGTCGCCCTTTGTCTTTCCGTCGCTGCCGGGCGCACTTCCTGGCCCGCCTCCCACACCCTTGCCGGCACTGCCACTGCTGCTGCCCTGTTGGCCAGACGGCCTTCCCTTGCCGTCCGCCGCCGCCGCCGCTGCCGGGATCAGGATGGCGGTCTTGTTGATGTGTGCGAGGGCGAGTGTCAGGGCACCCGATAGCAGGGTTGTAGTCTCTTCGAGGTCGCGCTCGGTGGTGCTGGTGACGAGGTCGTGGACGGATTTGAGGACGGTGGTCTCGATCTCGCGGAACTGTGGGAACTTGTTGGCAGAGGAGGGCACGGTCTGTGGTATGTTGCTGCCGTTGCCGTTGCCGTTGCCGTTGCCGTTCCCGTTGCCATTAGAATGCGTGTTTCCATTGCTGTCGGAGTCGGTCATGGGTACATCGTCGCTGTCACCACCATTGGCGGCTGCCGCCGCTGCCCGTCGTGCTTTCGTGGCCGCCGTAGCTGCGGCCGCCGTTGCTGCCACTTCCTGGGGCGACGGATACAGCCATATAGCCCTGTTGCTATGCGAGGCAATGACGGCGACTTGGTTGGTGCTCCCAAGGGCCAAATGTGAGTTGGCAAAGACGAGGATGTTGGCGATGGCCTTGCTGAGTGGCAGAGTATTGGCCAGCGCGGCCCAGGCGCGCGGGTTCGTGTCGAGGACGATAGTCAGAAGGGCCGGGGTCTCGGCCGACGCAGAGACCTCGTAGTGGGCAGACGCATCGACGGCGTCCATGGCGGGCGGCTGGCCGCTCTGTGTGGCCTATTCGTAAAGGCTCAGAATATGTATTCTCATCATCTGGGGACACAACGAGTCGACGGCAGTCGCTTATGTGGCCCCTGGGGAAGAATATAACGTCAAAAAAGGTTTAGGAGTCCGACCAAGGGCCTCAAGCAGCTGCGATCTGAGATACAAGGGGCAGCTGAGAGACGCAGACGACGAGGCAAAAATGAACGTTGACTACTGTGATGATACTAAGCGATGCGCTCAAGCACTAAAAACGACAGAGCCAAGGGCTTCCAAGTTTCGCCAGGCGCAGGCAGCCTACTGTTGACCATCTATCCCCACGTGATTGCCCCACGCAGTTCTACTTCTTTGGGCTGTGAAGCTACTATGTAGCTTTGGCCCCTCCAACCTCCAATCCAGCTTCGTTTTTGTATCTCGATAAGAGACGCCACCAATGCACAGCATCAACACGCCAGTCCTGACGCGATTATGCGCCCCTGCTAACCGTTTGGCGTATGGGACATTGGAGGGGCGCTAGAGAAAGCTCTATCAGTCGTCGGCCCACACAAGCAGCGTCATTGGTGATATGACTGTATCGCCTCATCTCGACAGGCTTTTCTTCCGTTTTCTGTTGTCAATTTCTCAATATTTCTTGTTCTCAATTTGTCTCCTCTTTCATTTCGTCAGTCATCCTTAGTCTTCGTTTTGTTTTGATCTTGCTGTCAATCACATTGCCATTTTCGTTCGCATTGGGAACTACACTGTGTTGCTGGAGAGGTCTTACAAATCGGCCCAGGCCATCGCATTCTCCCCCGACTGAGACGAGCTCCAGCATCCACCAACCACAATGGCTGCCGCTCCCAGCACAGATGCGGCTGCTGCCACGGGCAGGGCTTCGTCGCCGACCCAGACGTCCGAGCTGTCCCGCGAGGACCAGACACTGCTCCTGTTTGCTGGGCTCATGGAGGGCGGCAAGGAGGACGACGAGACCGTCCGCGACCTCGACCGCCTGACCAAGGTGCTCAATGACGATGTGGAGGCCACCAAGAATGGCGAGGCATCCATTTGCAAGCTCATTGACTCCGACTGCGCCGACACGCTACTCAGCTACCTCGACATGCGCCAGCCTGATGTTGTGCGCGGTCACGCCACGCTGACCACGTCGTCCTATCTCAAAGCGGCTGGCGACGACGGTGCTCAGAAGCTGACCGAGTTCTTTTACGACCGGGTCAAGCGCGGCACCTATGACGACTACATTGTGGCCTTTTGCGTCGCCGCCGCCGTGTTCCCCATCGTGCCGGACCTGACGGCGCAGATGTTTTTGGGCGAGGGCTTTTTGCCCAGCCTCGGCCCACTGATGCGCCGCAAGTGGAAGAGCCGCAAGGTCGAGACAGCCTGCCTCGACATGCTCAATGTGGCGTGTATGAACGCCGCATGCCGCGAAGCAGTGCAAAAGTACTGCGTCGAATGGCTCGAGGAGATTGTCGACCAGGACCCCGACGATGTGGTTAAGGACATGTTCGCGGCCAATCCCGACGGCAGTCTCGGCGAGGGCTCGATTTCCATGCGCCGCCACTCGCGCCAGGTTCAGAATCTGGCGGCTGTGATTCTCGCGAAGCTCAAGGTATCATTTCGTTTTTTCTTCCATGATTAGTCTCATACGTTACCGCATGCTCCTTGGCTTCAAATCTAACTAACTCCAGACCTAAGGCAACGTTACCACCACAACCAACCGCCAGAGTCGAGGAACTGAAGGACGACGGCCGTATCGAGACGGCAACAACAAGTATCGAGGACTTGAGCAAGATGTTTACTGGCCTGCTGGCGAGCAATCCCGACCACGACAGCTCCCACGCCGTTGAAGGCTTGGCGTACGCGTCCTTGCAGCCCAAAGTCAAGCAAGCGCTGGCAGATGACAGCGCGTTCCTCTCCAACCTCGTCAAGACACTGAAAACCGCACCACCGCGATCGCCAATGACGTACGGTGCGTTGAGCATCTTCTCCAACCTGACGCGGTACCAGCCACCACAATCTGAGGAGCAGAGGCGGCTGGGTCAGCTCAAGGCGTACGCCAACGCGGCCGGTAAATCGGGCGCCAAGCCCGATCCGCTCAACGACGACGAGCATGTGTCGAAGCGGTGTCAAAAGGTCTTTGCCGCGGGCGTGACGCCGATTCTGGTCTCGCATAGCAAGAATGGCTCGGCCGCCTCACTATCTTTGATTGTCGGCATCATCCACGCGCTGTCCATGACGCAGAGCTTGCGTGGCCAGCTGGCACAACAGGGTGCCGTGCGGCTGCTCATTGACGCGTGGAATGCCCTGGGCGCCGTTGATGGTGCGAGCAGCAGCGCCGACATGTCTCTGGCGCGACGGACGGCTGCCCAAGCGCTGGCGCGCATTCTCATCTCGACCAATCCGGCACACGTCTTTGGCGGCACGCGCCCAGTGCCCATCCATGCCGCTATCCGCCCACTGGCATCTCTCCTCAAAAAGGACGACGACTCGTACGACCTGTTGCCTGCATTTGAATCGCTCATGGCGCTGACCAACCTCGCATCCACGGACGACGACACTCGCGGAGGGATCCTGCGCGCCGCCTGGCCCGACGTCGAGGAGCAGATCTTGTCCAACAACGAGCGCATCACGCGCGCCGCAGTTGAGCTCGTCTGCAACCTGGTGCAGGCGCCCGAGGGCATTCTCATGTACGCTGACGGCAGTCCTGCGGCCAGGAACCGGCTCAACATTTTGGTGGCCCTGGCCGATGCCGAGGACGCTGGCACGCGAAATGCCGCCGGTGGCGCGCTTGCGTCCCTGCTGGCATACGAGGCCGTTGTCGAGGGTGTCCTGGCGCGAGACCGTGGCGTCGCGATCATCCTGGGACTGTGCAATGCGTCCGAAAGCGAGGACCTGCGGCACCGTGGCGCTGTGGCCATTTACAGCATGGTTATGTGTGACGGCGAGACGGGGGAGAGGGCGAGGACAGCAGTCAAGGCGGCCAACGGCGTGTCCATCTTGACCGAGTGCGCCAAGGCCAGCCGTCGCGCCGAAGTGGTCGAGGTGACAGTGTTTGCATTGAAGGAGCTGGTAAAGGAGGAATAACGACTGGAATGGATGTTGTATTTCACCGGTACCATGAATTTGCACCGACAACTCGCGAGCACATAGGACATGGTCAATAAATTAGGGTCATTTTAGGTCTGGCGTCGCTATATATGCAAAGATGGTCCTTCTCGCTTTTTCTACACATTTTTTATCTACGCCAGATCAACACGGTTGAGAACCGCAATGCCCTCAACGTGTGCCGTCTGCGGGAAGAAATCGAAACCGCGCAGGCTCTCAATCTCGTAACGCGCCGGGGCCTTGCCGTCCCTGGTCTCGACTGGGGCCTTGTCGTTGGCGCCGTCGCCAAAGTCCACGTGGCCCTGCACCAGCATGCCCACATCGCGCGCCTGCGTGTGCACGTTGCAGCTGACATACACGATGCGTGCCGGCGCAAAGGCCAGCAGCTGCCGCAAAAACGGTCCGTCGCAGCCCTTGCGCGGAGGGTCCAGCACCACGACCGTCTCGTCCGGGTCGTACTCGATGACGCTCTGGAACAGCTGCGCCGCGTCGGCCGCCAAGAACTTGCAGCGCTCGGGCGGCAGGTGGTTGAGTTGCGCGTTGGTGCGCGCATACGAAATGGACTGTTCGGCAATGTCGATGCCGATGGAGCCACCGGGTAGCGTCGACGCCAGCGTGATGGTGAAGAGGCCCGAGCCGGAGTAGGCGTCGATGAGGTAGCGCAGCTCCTTGCCCTTGTGCGCATCCTTGGGACGCACCACGTTCTCGCGCACGTAGGCGGTCAGTGGCGGCAGGATCGAGTTGTTGTTCTGGAAGAAGCTGCCGGCCGGGTTCGTAAAGATGTAGTCGTCAATGTACTCGGTGGACGTGGCGTTGTTGTCGGTGATGCACGTCTTGAAGTCCGTGTGCGCCTCGGTCTCGACGGTCACGGTGTCGGCATCGTCTGCCACCTTTTTCTGCTCCTCGCTCATCTCGCTGCCCTTGGGACACCGCACGGTGTTTTCGCGCAGCAGGATCGTGGCGCCTTTGGAGTAGTTGGCAAAGTCGTGGGCCACGCGTGCGCGCTCCCGCGCCATGCCCTTGCCCACAGCCGGCGTGCCAATGGGGCAGCTCTCAATGTCCAGCGTCGCGCGCGCACCACCTGCACCCGCCTTCGCCATAAATCCAATCTCGGGGACCGCTGTCAGTCGGTGTGCGGCTTTGTTCTTCCGCCGGAATCCCGGCGGGCCGTCAAAGTGCGGCGTCAGTTTTGTGCGGTAGCCGTACTGGAGCGGGCTTGGCATGGTGTCGAGGACAGCAGGAACACGCTCGGGCGGCAGCTGGGAAAAGTGGCGGTAGGCACGCTCGACCACGCGGCGCTTGATGTGCAACTGCTCGCCGTAGTCGAGCATCTGGTACTGGCAGCCCGAGCAGCGGCCAAAGTATTGACAGCGCACCCGGTTGCTGTCGCCCTGTGGATCGCGCAGCTCGGGCGACGGCCTGATCACCTCTAGGAAATCGGCCACCGAGTATGTCGGTGGCAGCTCGTCCTCACCCGATCCGGCCCTGGGCTGTGGCAGGTGGCGGTACACCTTGGCACGCACAATGTCGCCCGGCACCGAAAAGGACACGACATAGATGCGCCTCCGCCGCCGCAGCAGAGGCCCGTCGCTGAGCTCGTGCAGTTTGCGCTGGACGGCCAGACCCTCACCCGTCGATGACAGGCCGACAATGTCGAGCTCGATCACCGAGCCGGGCTCGGGCAGCTCCTCTTCGGGAACTTCGCCGCCGTCCTCTTCCGTGATTTTGATTTCATCCGTGGTTTCAGCGGCTGTGGCCTTGACCTCTTCGCCGTGCGCTCCGTGGAAGAGAACTGGCTCGGCGTCCCTCTTCTCGCGGTCCTGCCGGTGTTTCAATGCCCTCTGCAAGTCCCGCACGTCCGCCAGAAGCACCTCCTCAGACGAGCCGTCTGTTACGGCCTTCAGCCGCTTGCTGCCCTTGAGCTTCTTCTTGGGTGGCCGCTGCTGTTGCTGCTTCCTGCTTTTGTTGGCACCACCGGCACCTCCATTGGCATTGTTTCCACTGTTGTCACCATTGCTACCGCTTTGCGCCGGGAGCTCACGACCAGCCTGGAGTGGGCTGCTGTCAGGGTGCGGCCGTTTTGCAGCGGTTGACTTTGCAGGGGTTGCCACATGTGGCTGCAAAGTGGGCGGTACCTGGATGCTGGCAGGTTCCGCCATTGTTGCAAACGATAGAGACGTCCGGAGTGCAGGATATGCTAGATATGCAGACGAGAATGTCGTGATCGGAGTTGAATGTTGCGTCAAATGAGACAATGGTTGTAAACTCAAGCTGCGGTGCAGCGACAGCGTTCGTATAGACAAGACCAGCCGTTTGCTGAAGGTGGACAACATGAAGACTTTTGTGGAAAGAAAAGACCAAGGTAGCCCAAAATTTGTGAGTATTTTCACCCGTTTTGGAGCTTGACGTTTGAAACCAGCGACATCAGTCTCAATTTTCATAGAAGCTCAAAAACGTGTACATGACTAAGCCGTGAAGGTCACTTTCTTTGGCAACACTGCGCTGATTGGCCCTGATGGCGACGCCAACCCCTCTGTAGTCCGGTCCCTACAGCGCTTGTAGTACACGGCACAGGTTGCTGCGTTCAGGCCATTTACAGTACGTAAGCGGCGAGACCGGGCCTGGCCCTTTTCCAGTGAAGCTGCTCGAGCGGCCGGCTATCTGCAAAAGACCGACAGCCGCTAATATCCACCACCGAAAGGCGCGCTTCTAGCCCCAACTTGCGGCACTTCGCAACTGCCGTTTTGGGAATAAGACAGTTGTAGCGAGAAAGTGCGCATGTGCTCCTTCCTGCCTGCCGCTGTTATCGGCGCCCGTCACGTTCGTTCCAGTGTGTGCCTGTCCCGCACCTTCTAAATGCTGGCAGAACAAGCGCCGTCTTTACCGTGGCGATGCCCCCGTTTTCGGCCTCCCTGACTTCTTAGTATTTTGCTTTTTTGTCTGGTCGTGGCATTATTCACACCTCGTATCTGCTTTCATTCCCGAGTCGTTTGCGATTTTCTTTTGGGCGCAGGTGTCGGTTTGGTTCCTTTAGGCGCGCTTGATGACTTATTCGAACCGCCAAAGGGTGACAGTTCCGTTACACCCCAGAAATGCGTAAGTACTATCTGTTCACCGTCGCATTTTCAAAAGGTTTTATGCATCATCGCTGACCGTTGTCTGTGCCGTCAAGATTGCCGCACGCTGCTCTCGGGATGGGTTCTGCTGGTGCTGGCCTCGAAAGGACAGCTGACGGCAGCACTTCCGCCGTTGCAAAAGCCACTGCATGACAGCCACTCCGATCACGATAGTGCTTCGTCCCAGTATGGAACGCACGGCGCTGTCGCTTGTGAGAGCGCTATCTGCTCCAAGATCGGTGTTGACCTGATGCGCAAGGGAGTATGTCAGCACTGATGTGTTATACTAATCTCTGCTTCATGAACGGAGAATATTCACTGACACCGGCAGGGTACCGCTGCAGACGCCTTGGTTGGTGCGACGCTCTGCGTGGGCGTCATCGGCATGTACCACTCGGGCATCGGGGGCGGCGGCTTCTTGCTAGTACGCGGATCCGACGGCAGCTACGAGGGTGTTGACTACCGAGAAACGGCGCCAGCAGCAGCGTTTGAGAACATGTACGACGGCAATGTTCTCGGTAGTGTATTTGGTGGCCTTGCTGTCGCCGTTCCCAGTGAACTACGCGGGTTGGAATACCTGCACAACAAATATGGGGTATGTTTATGCTGTCTTTTTTAAGTGTACATGGTAGATTTGATCATAACTAACCGATCGCAGGTTCTACCGTGGGAAACGGTGGTCATGCCGGCTGTGGAGGTGGCCAGAAACGGATTTCCAGGTAGGATACAAAGTCGGTGATCGCCTTTCTATGACGTGTCGGCTCTGGCTAATTTTGACAGTATCGCACGACCTTGTCCGCTACATGAAGTCGGCTACAGAGACGGGGGGGGCTTTTCTCACTGATGACCCGATCTGGGCAGAGGACTTTGCGCCCAACGGAACGCTCCTGCAGCTGGGCGATACCATCACGCGCAAGCGTTACGCCAACACGCTCGAGACTCTCGCCAAGGAGGGAATCGAGACCTTTTATACAGGTGCCATGGGTGAGTTGTGAAGGACAATGCCCTACAGGTTTACAGGCGCTAACAGAAACCATAGCCAAGGACATGGTCAAGCTGATCCGAGAAAACAACGGATCCTTGACGCTAGACGATTTTAAGAACTATGAGATCATCAGCAAACCTGCCGTGAGCACCTTGTTCCGCGGCCGTCGTCTGTTCTCGACGAGCGCTCCCTCTTCGGGTGCTGTCGCACTGTCCATCCTGAAGACGATGGAGCAATTCCCCGCGTCTGGTCCTCCGGGAAGCAGTGACAGCGAGCGGAACAACGTCAACCTGAGCACGCATCGCTTCGACGAGGCCATGCGTTTTGCCTATGGCGCGCGCTCGCATTTGGGTGACCCAGCTTACGTCGACGGCGTCGCTTCCCGCGAGGCCGACCTACTCTCGGACCAGCATGCCAAAACTCTGCGACACAAGATCCGTGACGACACGACACTACCCGTCAAGGACTACAATCCTGCGGGTAGCTATGCCCAACCCGGCCACGGCACAAGTCATGTTGTTGCGACTGACCGGTCGGGCATGGCCGTCAGCAGCACAACGACCATCAACACGCTCTTTGGCTCGTTGCTCATGACGCCCGACAGCGGCATTATCCTCAACAACCAGATGAACGACTTTTCGATTCCCCACTCTGACAATGAGTTTGGCTACCCGCCGAGCCCGGCCAACTTTATTCGTGGAGGCAAGCGTCCGCTGAGCTCGATCACGCCCATCATCGCCGAGGACGTGGATGTGGACGCCGCCGGCGTCGAGACGGGCAAACCGGGGCGTCTGTTCCTGGTGACGGGAGCGGCTGGCGGCAGCCGTATTATCTCTGCCACCGCGCAGGTGGCATGGCGTGTTCTTGACCAGGGGTTCACGATGCACGAGGCGTTGGCAGAACCGCGACTGCACGACCAGCTGGTGCCCAACCTGGTGGCGTTTGAGGCCCTCTTCGACAAGAGTACGATTGCGAGCATGGTGGAGCGTGGGCACAACGTGACGAGCATGAGCAACTATGTGAGCTCCGCGCAGGGGATTCGTGTGCTGCCGGACGGCGTGTTTGAAGCGGCGGGCGAGCCACGGCAGCTGAACAGCGGCGGTCACATTTTTTAAGATCCAAGGATAGGGACCGAGGGCCGCTGTATGCACAGCAATGAGTGGGGTGCGGCGTACGACGTTGTGTATACGGTATGTGTTCTTTATCTCTCGTCAAGCCATACATTGCATAGCCAGCATCTCTGAATTATCTTGATATTTTGTTCACCCACTTAGACCATATATGCTCTATGAAACGAATAACTGCGTGATGAAACAAGGAATGGGTATCCGTCAATAAGTAGTGTAAAAACGAAATATAAAGTGTGGCAAAGACCAAAGTTCTTTGTAGAAAGAAACGGTCTCATAGATAGAAAAGTGAGATGCGCCACACTATTAAAGAAGAGTAAATCCACGCGACGCCTACTTGAGCAGGGCCACCAGCTTGTCCATCTGCTCAAGCCATTTCCGCTCAAACTCCTCCTCGGTAAAGCGTTTGGCCGACTGCCGCGCCCGTTCACGCCAGGCCAGCGGGTCGGGCAGGGCAAGGGCCTGTTCAAATCCAGCGGCGAACTCGTCGGCCGTGGTAGCGTGGAAGCCCGTGGGTAGCCCGCCAATGTCGGTTACAATGTCCAACTTGGGGCCGCCGCTGTTATGGACGACGGAAATCAGGCCCGCTGCCTGGTACTCAACAACACCGATGCCGAAATGTTCATTCCACATACAGTTGACGCCGACGGACGCGCGGCGCAGCCACTCGAGGATCGCAGGCCAGGGTGCATCCAGCTGGAACTCGACATCGTCACGGATATTGAGCTCGTTGGTCAGCAGGCGCAACTGATAGACGCGCTTGGAATCGGAGTCGTCGCGGACGCTGCCGACGAGGACGAGCTTGGGAGTGTCTGCAGGTTTGGCGCCAGATTTCGTTGTTCGGTTCTGCTGCTGCCGCCGCTGCTTCTTCAAAAAGGCAGCAAAGGCCTGCAGGACCAGGTGGTGGTTCTTCTCCGGGCGGAACTGCGCAATATACAACAGAACCTTTTCGCGGGTCGCTTCACTCGCGGCGGACACATCGACCTCGTGCTCGAGCTCGCTGACGGCGACTGGCGGGTAGACGACGGCAATATCGGAGCCGCCGGTCGTTTGGGAGGACGAGGATTTGCCCTTCTTGGCACGCAGGGGGCCCCAGATGGCCTGAACGTGCCCCTGTGTCCAGCTCGAGTTGGTCATGACGACATCAATGGACGAGCCCACCGATGCATACAGCCACGCAAACGCCTTCCAGTAGGCGCGCTTGACACGGCCACGCATACCCACGCCCTGGCCAGCATTCACACCCTGGCTGCCCACGGTCGACTGCGGGTCCAGCGAGGCCAGCATATCGGTCGAGATGGTGGGGTAGTGGACGTAGGCACCGGTCGGGATGGTACGGAACAGCAGCTTGGAGAAACCAAGCGCAAAGGCATAGCCCATAGTGTCGACAAAGATGTCGGGAACGAGCAGTGACAGAGCATCCCAGGCCATAATGATGGAGCCAAAAGACTGACCAGCCAGCGTAAAATGTGGCCAGGTCGATGCGAGAACCCAGCGGCGCGTGGAGAGGTAGAGGAACGCGACGGTCGGCGGGTGGAGGTGGATGTTGAAGCGGTCCTTCGAAGAGGTTACGGTTAACAAGACTGACGCGAGGAAAGAGTAGAAGTACAGTCACTCACCCGCACACGCGCCAAGATGGCATCTTTGTGCACGTCATGGTCGCCGGTATAGACGACACACTTGGCCTTTGGCCAGCGTTGTTGTGTAGCGCGAATGGCAGCCCATAACACGCGTTCACCGCCGCCACCGGCGTTACTATTCAGTCAGTATTTTGGGCGTTTTGAGCATACGGCACCTTTTGAGCCCTTGAGTTCCATAGAGGACAAGACCCACCAGAATGGGTGGAAGAAGCCGACGATGCCGTCCCAGTCGGACGCGCCCTTCTCTCCGTTACCAGCTGACGCGGCCTTTTCCGCCTCAACGTTCTCCCAGTCATCGTCGCTGCTGTCGTTTTTCTTGGTCGTCTGCTGCCGCTGCTGCTGCTGCGTTTTCGCCTCTTGGAAACGCTTCTCATCGGCGGCCATCGTCTCCAACAAAAACTGCCGCTGGCTCTCGGTGCGCTTTCGCAGGTACCAGCCCAGCGTCGAGCCGGCGAGGCGCCAGATAGAAGGCAGCAAAGCGCCCGTCAGCACAACCGCTGTGATGAATGCGGCCACAGCATACGTGCTGCCGCCGCTACCGTGTCCGTTGCTGGCATTGCAGCGCGATTGCGCGGAACAGCTTCCACTATCCATCGGGGGCAAGACGTCGGGTCGAAGTGAATATCGTAGAGGCAGTTGGCGGAAAGGATAAAGGGGTGCAGAGTCGCCGTCGTCAAATCGGAGGCCCTCAGAGGCGTCGTGAAAGCGCAGCGGGAACCATGCTCTGGCCTCTGAGTTTGTGGGATGTCGCTGAACGGGAAATATCAGAGGGGGGGAACGAGGTCGACCGAAAGCGAATGAGGATGCTGTTGCTCCTTTTCAGGTTGAACAAGAGACGAGGATGAAACGCAGGAAGCTATTGGTGGCGTCGAAACAGCGATGCAAAACATCCCAAATAGCGAGCTGTCCCTTTCTAGGACCCACGCCACACCCAAAGTAATTACTCCGCACTCCCGCGCGCCCGCGTAAATTTAATACCATCAGTGCATCCACCGTGCGCTACAGCGCAATTAGAGCCTTAAACGCGCGACAGCCAAGCCTTCTAGCATGTGCCTACAGGGGGGGAGGTGTGCCGCCTGTGCCGCCCTAGCCCGACTGCTGGGAGGCCCTGTGGCCCGCTGCCCGAAACGGCAAGACCGTTTAGGCCTCTGGCGAATAAGAGTCGCAGAAAGTGCAGAGCTTCAACGTCGTTTGTATGGCCCACGCTCGGTTCTCACAGCCTTTTAGAGCTTCAGACAAGCGAACAGTCCACAACAAGACAGCAGACCGCACTGCATACCAACATGGCGCAGCCTTCTGCGCGCGGCTTGCGTGCCCTGCGGGCTGCCGCAGCGACATTACCGCCCTCGGCGCCCGTCTCGGGCCAGCAACTATCACAGACTCAACATCGGTCATTCTCATCAAGACCACTGCCACCAACGCCGGCACCACGCAGCCTCTCGGGCCAGCGGACACGGCCAAGACAGTCGTTGGTGTCTGGCGAGCCATTGTGCCGCCACCGCCAGCTGCAGCTCCAGACAGCGAGCGCGCGCAGGTCGTTTCACTTTGCGTCAATCGCGAATGCCACAGTCGACGCCGCCGAGGCTGCCATTGCTCAGCTGCACGCCGTCTCCCACACGCCGTGGTACGTCACCATCCCGCTCGTCGCGCTGGGTGTCAACCTCGTGTTCCGCCTGCCCTTCACACTGCACGCCCGCAATCTTGTGATCAGGCGCGAACGCCTTGCGCCGCTGCTTCAAGCCTGGACCACTCTACACGGCAAAGAGATTATCAACGAGCAGAAGTTGCGGTCACGACAGGGTCTGCCAATGCCGAAAACTCATGTGGAGGTTATGAAGCGGTACAGAAAAACCGCCAACCGTGTATTCGGAGCCTTTGGCTTGCAGCAGTGGAAATTGTATAGCAACATCCTGTCGCTGCCGCCATGGCTTGTCGTGATAGAGGCCATCCGGCGAATGTGCGGTGCACCAACGGGCCTGCTGGGCCTGCTGTTCCGTAGCGGTGGGGCTGGTGCTGCTGGTGCTGCAGAGACAAGCGCCTCCGCAACAGCTGCTGCGGCCGCTTCGGCGTCGGCAGAGTACGTGGACGTTGCGTCCATTGCAAGCGCAGCGCCACCGTCGTCGACCGCGACCGACAGCGTCTCGTCGCTAGTGGACCCTACTTTTGCTACGGGCGGCTGTTTGTGGTTCCCTGATCTCACCGTGGCCGATCCTTGCTATGTTCTTCCGTTTGCGCTGTCGGCTGCACTGGTTGTCAACATCCTTCCGAAGACGGACGCCGCTCGCCGGGCGCTCTTTGGACTTAAGCCGGCAGCAAGCTCGAGCGGTGCCGTTGCAATAGAATCCAAAGGCGCACAAACTATTCTGCGCGCCCTGCTCCTTTTGTCGCTCAGCGTTGGGCCCCTAACGCTGCACTTCCCGGCTGCCATCCATCTCTACTGGCTGTCGTCTGCCGTAGCCACACATATCATCACGCGCTGCATCCGTCTCCTCCGGCCATTGCGCAGCAGCACGAGCAAGCCGGCTCTCAGCCAAGACATGCCCTGGATCAGGCCTCGGGCACCGGGAGGCAGGCCTTCCGAGAAGCACTGAGATGCCATTTTACGATCAAGAACATCATATCTATTGGAGGCATGAAACACAGAATCTATGCAGAGACCTTCGCGTAAAGACAGACTATGCCATTATCTTGTCATATGCGATATGTACAACAAATACAGCAAACGAGAAAATGAGATTTGGAACGAATAAACAAATGATGGTACTGAGACAAGCTTGGCATGTGTTGTGAATAACAAAATCTTTGTGATGTCTGTAGAATGGGAAGAATCACGGTGTATCAGACGCAGAAAGGAAACTGAATAGAGGCTAGGAATATAATAGAAGCCAACAACGTCGGGGGTACAAGAGCAGAAGCAGAGAAGCAGTTGAAGCAGACCATAAAACGCCATGCCGGCCCAGGAAGTGCAAATGAGGGGACTGGAAGTCGAGAGGCAGGGACACGTGTTCGGGGTAGGGCCTCTCTCAGCCGAGGAACACGGCCAACAGAACAATAGTCAGGATGACCGATAGCACCAGCAGCAGGCAGCAGGCCTTGCTACGGGCGTTGCGCTGGTACCGCGCCGCCGACCGCAGCTCGTAGTCCGCACCACGTGTGTCCGACCGCACATTCTCAACGTTGTCCGCAATGTTGTCCAGTTGTTCGCCCTGCTCGTGCACCATCGTGGCCACCTGTGTAAACAGCACGTTGAGATCGCCCACACCCTGCTCGATGTTGCGGATCTCGTCCTCGCGCTCAATGATAAGAGCCTCCTGGAAGTCAACCTCGTCCTGAGGCGCCAGCCGTGCCAGCTCCTGCTGCTGTTCCAGCTGCTGCTGTTGAAGCGGCTGGCCGCCAGCGCCAGTTGTGCCGCCAGATGCATCGCCGCCCTCATCGGCAGCTGCCCGCGCTGCCGACACGGACGCCTTTTCCTTCTCAAGTGCCTGCCGCTGCAGGGTCTGGAACTCGGACAGGGCGCCCTGGAACTCACGGGACAGCTTCTGCTGCTGGTACCGTTGCGTGGGCTAAACTGTTAGCAGTTGGTTGTTGTCTATTGACGATTTCGTGTAAAGCACAGTGGTCGAACCTACCGTCACATCATCCCAGCCCTGCACCTTCTTGACGCCCTCGCCCACTTCCTTGAACATCTCGCGCGACTCTTCAAGAACGTCGTTGACACGCTCGCGCACGCGCGCGTTATCCTGCCGGGTGCCCAGATGGCCAATATCGCGGCTCAGGTTGGCAATGTTCCCCTGCAGCTTAAACAGCTTGTTGCTCAGCTGCTGCGCAAGTTTCTGGAAGTCTGGGTCGTCCGAGTACTGTCCGCCGCTGCCGCCACCGCCGCGCCGGCGGCCGGCCTCCATTGAAGAGAGCTGATCAAACGACATTTGGGAGATTGAAGCGAGATATTTGGCGTCGTTGCCAATTGCTGGATGTGGTCGTTGCGGAATAAACAATGCTCGAACACGTAATCAAAGGAAGAGCGGAGCGTTTGCGCTGCGCGAAAGATGGGCGGTCGTTGGGACGGGGTAAGCAGCAGACGGTGGATGTCGAACGTCGAACCGTCAACTTGTGGAATCTCGAGGCGATGACGTTTCGGAGGTGGGCGGCTGAACGCTCTTAGGCGTTGCCTGGAATTCATACGAGAAGAGGCGCACTGTCGATCACGTGTTGCAAGTGGGTCTGCACAATGCGTCACTCTGACATTTAGGCGTGCTATGGACTTGCCAAAGTGCTCTTCCTTCAACGTCGCGGCTCTTATTGCTCTCTAGCTTAGTAAATGAAAAGATCAATACATTATTTAAAGTCTTCTTAATGTACAACGCAAGAGATACTCAGAGTTGGGAGGTGCTGCTCAATTTTCTTGTAAAGTAGAAGTGACAATACTACAGTGCAAACTATTCACGTGACCCTTCCTGTCCAAAGAGGAAAGAGACAGCGTTGGAGCTGTCCCAAGCTCGACGCGTGATTGGCTGCGCGTCGCGTAAGTAAACACTACCCACAGTTTGCTTTCCTCTCGAGCTCTCCTTCTTTTCTTTCCTTTTCCTTTTCTTCCTTCCTCCCCATCACCAGACAAAACCTCGCCAGTCTACTACGACAGTCGAATCTCCTCCGATGCCCGGGCCCAGGGAGAGCAACGTGCCCTCGATAAGTACAAGGTCCTACGACCTGGACAACGTCTGCTCGTCAACACAGAACAAAAGCCATCACGACCGTTTTTCGCCCGCCCAAAGAGACCTGATCTGTCGCCCATCGTATTGCCACACCCAAAGTTTAGCGGGACGTACCGTTGCTTAACCCTAACTGAATACACGTGGAAAGGGTCTGCACCGAAAGGTGTTGGCCAGCTTTGCGTCCGTTTTGGCTCACTCTCGCAGTGCCGTTTTCTGACCCTTCTCCTCCTCCCCGTGCTTGCCAAAGCTTTCTAGCCAGTCGTGGTCTACCTTGCGTGAATGGTGGTCGTGGGGAACTCCGAGCCCAATCTTTTCTGAAAAGAATCGAAAACGGAACGGCACCCTGCTACCGCCATTTGCATTTCTGCCCGGTCCCGGCCTCGCCGCTGAAAAGTGGTTCAAGGGTGCTTGGTAGACAGGGTAGCCGCTTCGTGGTGACCGGTACGGCACACAGGGGCGACTTGAATGGGAGAGTGGCAGCCACTACCCCCAGGGGCAGAGAAATTTCCAGTTACTGGGATGTAATGTCCCGGTAGGCAAGGAACGTGGACCCATGAGCCAGTATGATAAGAACCTCTGGCCTGAGGTCGCTCGTCAGGCAGCGTGGCTGGAAAGATACCAAGATCCTTGGTCGACACAACAATCTTGTTTGGGTTGCCGCGTGGCGAATTGTCGAGAAGCACCATGACAATTTTTTAATATGGAGGCACAACAGACAACGGCAGCCTTACCGCGTGGTACTCTTTTTCCTTTCGCCATACCTCCCAGGGCGGAGTGGAACGCAACATTGGCTACAACGGCAACAGCACGAGTGTTTCATTTTCATTTTTTTGTCGGTCACTAGTAGTCGGCAACGAGCGGGAAACACCGTGCCGTTGAGCCTTCATATTCGCCTTTCGTTGTCACGCTCCCCGGTACTCCAAGTCTCTTGGGCTGCTCCGTGCAGGATCTGGAAAATATTATCACACTTTTGCGGTCGCTGCTGTCTCAGGCCCCGCCCCCGTCTCGCTCCGACCTCCACCGGCTCCGTCCTCTCCTCTTGTGCGGTTCTGCCTGTGCAAGAAGACGGCGGGTCGTTCGCCCATGTCGTCCCTTTCCGTTTTACCGCTGTCCATGGACACGTAGATGGAAAGACGATTGCATGTGGCAACGTGACCCCCTTCCGACCAGACGCATTAGCTTCACTACTGGCCCCGGCGCTGAAATATGTGCCTGGGTTGTGAAGGCGCCACAAATAAAGGATATTGATGTCGGCCCGCCTGTCGCGTCTCCTGCAAGAGTCGCAACACCGATCAGCCGCTCAAGATTCCTTTAGTCCTTTTATATCTCTGGGTCCCCTGGTTCGCATGACGGTCTCTCCCCACTTGCGCCAGGAGACTACCCCTTCACAGAGATGACAGCGCTTTTGCTTTTACGGGTGATTTTGGCTGCGCTCAACAAATACGGATTCTTTTCGGCTTTCTCTTCATTCTCTTGTTGCGTGCAACTTGAGGCCTGTTCCAGCTTCATCGCTGGGTGTTGGAGTCTCTTCAAAAGCATCAACGGAAAAGGAACCATCAAAATCTTATCCCTCGTGGCTAGATGTTTTACGGACAGATCAACCTTCTTTTGTGGCTCACATTGGATCGTGGCCTCCATGATCCCAAAGGGCGGGTAACTACGGTAGCGAATTCCTGCTTATGGTCTGACGATGCAAGCGTCCCTTATGCTTCTGGGGGTATGTTGGCTGATGTATCTCGCATGCTCGGTCGATGGGTCTTTCATTTCGGGCGACGAGGTTGCAGCTGTCGAGACAAGGCTGGTCTGAGGGGCAATCTGGCTGACCGAGAAGAAAAGAAGTGGCTTGCATGCGGTCAAGCGACCGAGAACGGTCCTCTTGCTAACGTCGACTCTTCTCCCATCACTCTACCCTTTCAAGCACCCTCATCTTTTCTCTTCTCTTTCATGAGGAGCATATCTTCCGTTGGAGACAGACAGGGAGACGAGCACCCGGGACCCATCGTTGAGTTGGAGTCAGAGTTTCGTACTCGTCTTGGTGTTCAATGTCTTTTTTGTCGAACCTAACAAGATCGTTTCGCGAGAGAGGGAGTGAGAAGGGATGAATGGAGTCGAAAGGGGAGAGGGGAGGACGGTTGAAGGTCGCATCGTCGTCTCTGAAATAGGAGAGGAGGGACAAGTTCTCTACTCGGCCGATGATGCAGCCATCTTCATTTTCTTCGCAACTTTGATGAAAAGGACGTGTGCTTTTTGTGGCAAGCCGGTCCTGGCTGCTCTTCTCGCCTGCAACATGGTGCGGAATGAGCAGCCCCTCTCAGCGGTAGAGGATACGTCTCCCCTTTCTCTTTCCACGTCGTTGTGTTGTTTTGATATTTAACGGCTAACATACCATGCAGGTCCTCGACGTGTCAGTATCTTCTCCACCCCGCACGCCAACACCGTTACAAGCATCACTCCCCTCTGATCAAGCCCACTTGAGAATCACTTGAACACTGTAAAATTGTGCGAAGCGCTTCTAATACGACTTGCCCATTGTAGTTTGAGGACGACTGCCTCATTCACCCATCTACGGCTGCATCAAGAAAAATCGCGGAGGGGCCTGTCTATCTTAACAAACTTGGTTAAGTAGTTGCATATGCAAAACGTTTGGTTTAGACAGCCGTTGTATTTTATTGCCGTTGCTTCTCTGCAACCATGGTCCACTCACGTCGTAGCAACGACCAAAGTACGGAGTAAAAGAGACGTGTATTATTTTTCCTTTCACTGACCACATTACAATGTGGAGTGTGCAGTGGTATTGGAACACCTCTGCACCCAATAAAGGCCTCAGTCTGATTTCCTCGAAGGGTTCTTCGGAAGTTTCGGCCCAGACGAACGTACTTTCAGAATGACCCCCAAAAAGCAGGTTGTGGACATTGGATGCTGACGGTCGTAGGCAGCAGGATCCAATGTTTCCTCTATACCTTTTGTCCAAATTCCCTTTTTTAAAATATTGAGGGATATGGCAATTACATTATAACTTTCCTTATTTACCTATTTTAGGCTTTCTGAACGCGAACCCCTGATAGATTGCATTCCCAAACTAGGCGGCTGCAACCCTACTGTGGAGGATAGGCCATTGGCGAGGCATCCTTGTACTCTGCCACGAATAAACTTTGAATAAAACAAGGAAGCAGGAAATCAAACGGAAAAGCAAAATCTTTAAAGGAAAATTCATAATAATAACGACGTTGAATGGAAGTAACTACCAGAAGGTCATATCGCGGATTGATTAGGATGCAATCGATGTCGTCTTAATGTAGGTAGATGATGGTATGATTACAGAAAAAAAAATCAAAAAAAAACTCAAAACATAATAAGGCACTGACAAAAACTAGAATAAAAATAGAAGTATCCATTGAGACAGAGAAAGCTGCAGAAGACAGAGCCAAAATATCAACGAAAGACAAATGGTCCAACATATTTGTCCATGTTCCCTCGAGGGACAAACTCCTGCGGTAGAAGCTATCCTCTCCTTTCCTTCCAAAATACAGTAAGGCCGTGTGATTTCAATATTACAAAATATACAAAATAAGCAAACTGGGATGACTGAAGGGTAGAAACCAATTAAATAGAAGACAAAAGAAACGCCAAATGAGTGCCAGACTTTTTCGAGGCACTTTTCTCTGGGACCACTTTAGTACAGAAGCAGACCCGGAGCGGCGCCGGTCGGCATCACATCGTCAATACCTCCCGCGGCCGTGGCCGTGGCCGCGGGGAAGGCTCTGCTGGCAGCATGGGGTGGCAGCTGCATCTTTATCTCTGCCGCCTGCCTGCCTGGGCTGCTACCCTGGAGCTTGATCAGTTGTGGTGGTGGATGTGGCTGATGGGGGAACTGGGGTGTTTGACGCAGTTGGTGATAACCATGGGACTGCTGATCGTTTCTGAAAGGTGCGTGCTGACGGTGCTGGCCGCTGTGAAGGTGTTGAAAGTCCTGCCCCTGCGGTGTGTCCTGAGACGGATTGGACGACGAGAGGCCGGCGGACATCGGCGGCTGGTGGGTCGTCCACGAGGCAAAGTCGGAGCCTGGCTCGAGGCTCGAAGTGAGGCGGGCCAGCGAGTAGCTCAGGATACCATCCTGGAAGAGGGGCACGCCAATCTCGAACTCGGGTGCCGCTGCGTACAGTGCGTGGTGGCTGTTGTAAAAGCCGGAAGACTGACCATCGTCGCGCATATCGTCGGCGTCCCGTCCAGCAGCCTATTGAGTAGGGTCAGATGTGAGATCATCATAGGGGGGACACAAGACGGTGGCTACTCACACAGCAATCGGCACAAGGTGCATAGTTCACAAACACCCAGTTAGGGCAGTCGTGTGTCATAAAGTACTTGCATCGATACTTGTAGAATCCGCCGCTGCCGCTCATGATGGGCAAAGTATGATGTAAAGGCGAGAAGAGTTTGGGATGTAGTAACGGAGACAGAGAGAAAAGACAGTTCTGAAACAGGAGTGGAAGGTGCGAAGGGTGTATAAATAGCAGACTGGATATGAGAAGGTGCCACTGGCAAACGGTGAGGTCGATGGGGAAGGAACGTCGTTGTGCTGATGACAGTTGACAGCTATTACTGCAACACGTGAGACAATATCTGTGCAACAACCACACCACAAAAAAAAAAAAAAAAAAAAAAAAAAAGAACAAACGGAGACGCGGCCGAGACGGAGCCAAACAACCAGATATTATTTTCCGCAAGTTGCGAGGCAAACAAGCGACATTACAGCAACACGATAGATTGCTGTCCCAACAGATGTTGGCCCTGAGGCATAGCCTTCACCTTTATATGCCGAGATGAAGCGTCTAATAAGAACGAAATAATAATTAAAAAAAAAAAAAAAAAAAAAAAACTAACTGATGAGGTGAACAGGTGAGTAGGCTGGCTGGTACGCCGGATCAAACTACAGACAGCCTTGTCGTATTCGAATGCGTCGATACGTTGAGCGCGGACCAGGCGGACGCTGCTTTTGTTCTTCTAGGAGGCTCGAGTTGGTATTCGTTGATAATGAGCAAGATTGAGCTTGACGGTTAAATATGGAAAAGGTAGTGAAGGTGCGCAGAGGTGAAATAAAATGATGACCAGGAGGCACATCTGGCATTCATATGTTTACAGGAATTTCTACAAGACGGCAAAATGATACGACTTCATAGTACGAAGTACGACGTACATAATATCAAATTCGACAATAAGTTAGTAGCCAGGCTCCTTCACCTTTGACGTCCCAGGCCACCATCCACGACATGCGTCTACGAACAGTTTCGAGGTCGGGGCGCTTGGCCATGATATTGCTCTCAGCTCTCCACCCTTCTTCGTCTCCTCCCCACAGCCGGACGACGCAAAGCTTGTCCGCGCCTATGGAGCCAAACCCAAAGAAGCACAACGCTCTTTGTTAATTCGACGGGCCCCCTCTGTCATTTATTCAACAAAAGCATCGTCACTTTATTTTCCCCTATTTTTAGGACTGTACCTTCTACCTATTGTTACTGAGCACCTCGTTCACAAGTATTCTGTACGTTCCGTAATATTAGCCCCATCCCATACCCACAGACCAATCCTTCCTACCCACTTACATGGCCGTCCGAGCAATCCTCCAAGAGCTGCAGGAAGCTCGGATGGGGGAGCTTCCACACCCTTGGCAGAACCCATGCTCACTTTTGGCACCTTAAAGGGCAAGGGTCAATAAAAGTGAATCCCGACGAGGACAATAATAAGACTCCGCAGTTTGTATTTTATTTCAGGTACGGCGTACAGACAGAGATCACACTCCGTACGAAGTAAAGAACAAGTTGCGAATCGAGTCCAATTTGGGCTACACACCACTCCCGAAATCCTTCTTCCCAGACAAGACGTAGAAAGACAGGGAGTTGGTTTCTTTTCTCATGGGTCGACCAAGGGCGCGTCCCAGCCGGCACTCGACACGAAATGAGATTGTACACAGTAAAGGGACGGGAGTAATACTTAGTGGCTTGTATCGACGGGGTATTGCAGGTGCATCTTTTGCGCCACCTTTATTTCGAATGTTGTTTCTCGACATGTCTTTCCTTTGGAGTCCGTGTAAGACACCTGTCATCCGACCCTATCTTCAAGAACATCTTGGGTGGGCACAAGAACAGCTCACAGCTTATAACGACATGCTCCGTGGAAAGACTCATTTCTCGTCCCTCTTCCATGTGATTGCAAAGGTTCGAAACAAGAGCTACAACCCCCTCAAGGGCCTCGCCTTAGACCTACTACTACTGGCGCGACTAGTTTGAATCGGGTACTGCGTAATTTACGGATGTATCTCGCCGCGAATGGTTGCTTCGATGTCGGAGGAGACAAGCGTGGGAGCATTGGAAGCTGTCAGCCGAGATGGAGCCCGAGGAGAGTGGGTGGAAACATACGGAGGCCGGAAAGTACGAAAGCCAACACGAAAGTAACGAGAAGATGTTCGGAACAGTAAACAGAAAAGTACATGATACGCGACGAAGATGCCTCCCACCTTAGTTTTCGTTGCAGATTTCTGCATGGCCACCTCCTTGCCGCGCAATTACTACTCTGGTCTTGACAGATAAAACCGTTCTACGACATACAACACGACCGGTTGTGTGGATGAGATATGACACGTCGTAGATGGCAGGGCACGCAGAGTAGAGTGGAAGGCCGTTAAACTGCTCAACTGTTCATCTGGTGAACCGTGACATGCTGTCTTGCCCCGGATCTCCGTAAATTTACTATTGTACGATGTAATACTCCGTTCGTCGTGACGAAAAAGATGTGCCTACCAGCTTTACAAACGAATGGAACGTGCGTTGCGCCGTGCGTAGCGTCCGTGTGTCCTTGCTCCTGTGATCCTTGCTTCCCTCATCCCGTCCCTTGCTTCCGTTGCTTCCTTTGTTTCTCTCTCCGTCTTCCTTCTTTTCTTTTCACGTCTGTGGTTTGTCTCGCTCACTACATTCGTACACTTCCCTCGCTTGAAAACCCACTTTCAGCATGGCCTGGCGGGAGAATCAGGGTTCGTTAAAGTGGCCTGGGCCTAACTTGGCAAGGTGCATGTGCAGGGGTTGAAGGAGGGCAGAGCTAATGAACTATCCGTCCGTCCTCTGCCAACCGCAGCTGTTCCCTGGTCGTTTACTATTCCCTTTTCAGTGAGAGTAATCAGACGAAAGCCAATTCAACCAGGCCAAGGTCCACCAAGCTCCTGTGCTTCTCGTCTTCTTTTCCCTCGACACCACATATACGTATGTATGTCGTATTCCAAAGTACACGATTCTTCACAGGGGGGCCTTGTCCACCCGGCCATGCAGTCCGGCCGTTCAGCTCATGCCTGTCTGATCGAGATCGGCATGCATCTTTTCTTTTCTTCGGTTGTTCTTTACTACAGGAAGGAACCCTTGCCCATCAAGAACTCACAGAACAAATAGGAAAATAAGAAAGGCATAAGTAGAAAACAAAATGAAAAAGAGTAAAAATCTCCGTATAACACATGGCGAAGACAAGACAAATAAAAGTGCGGCTCCCATCTCGACAACCCCGTGGCGAGCACATGACGTTGTGCGTCGCGTGCACCACATGCAGGTGCTTAACGCGGGATAAAAAAAAAGACGTATTAGAGTTTAATTTGGCTTACCCATATTTCTTTCTCGTCACTTTTCTTATTCGACGCGTTCTTGGTTATCATTGCTGTGCCAATGGTCAGCTGGTGCAAGTCACTGAGGTGCATCTCTTTTTTCTTTTCTTTTTTCCTTCATCTTCTGGTATTGTCACATGTTTTCCTCGGCGAGGCACGTTCAAATACTCAGTAACTAAGTACGGGATGCATATATGGCGCGGCGTAGAACAAAGAGTTCATGATGCAACACATTATGCCATATCGTTCGAGTTTCTCAACGGCGGAAGCCTCCACTACCTGTACGTCCGTGTACTAGGTTGTGCGTTGTATGTACTGTTTGCTCAAACGGTATATGTACATATGTAATCTCATTAAATGCTCGCGTTGCATTTACTGCCAGTAGACTCCACATCGAGGCTGGGTCGACGAGGACGTAGCACTCGGTTCGGGCATCTCATCTCTTCTTTCATCGCGCTCGTTTTCGTGAGCACATGAATTTCGGCGAGCAATATTAAATAAGATGTCTATTGTTTGGTTGCACTCGCTGTGCTCCCACCCCGATGTGTCCTTACTTCTTTTTCCTGGGCCAATGGACGAACAAGACACAAGACATGCAAATAAAAAACCTTAATAAAATGAACCCTGTTTAACACGCCGATACAAACATTCAACAAACATAAATCCAGTTCAAAAAAATATGCCGAATCATGCAGACCGCACGGCCTCTCTCCGCTTGATCTTGTCGGCCACGCGCTTGAGCGCAATCTTGGCCTCGCCCTCTTCAAACGACGACAGATCGTAGTAGTTGGGCGCAATGTCCAGCAGCCACTCCGGTTTGATGCCCGTAACCGTCCGGATGTACTGCTTGCTCGTAAGCACAAACTCGTTGTACACCACCCACTCGAAATCTGTCGCCAAGCCCGTGCTCGGGTGGATGATCACCGGCTGGTTGTCCTTGATCGTGCGATAGATCTTGCCCGTCGCCTGCCGGTGCGCCACCTGCATGAAAAAGCCCGACACCAGCGCCCGCCGGATGTTGGTGTAGTAGTCCTTGTCACCCCACGGCGTGCTCACCAGCTCGATGCCGTGCGACTCCATGTACGACTTGAGCTGCGTCCGCACGTCGTCCGCGGTCGACAGGTGCCGGTACGACAAGAACCACTCGTGGCACCACTTGCGCATGTCCGTCGTGCCCTTGAGTTCCTCGCCCTTGAAGGCGTGGTACACGTTGAGGAGCGTCAGGTGGTCGCTGTCCGGATGTGTGAACTGCGCCTTGGCGTCGTCTGCCCGCTTACGCGCCGCCGGCGGTCGCAAAAATAGCTGCGGCACCGACAGCAACGATACAATCGACAGGATCTCGTTGGAGCAGTAGAACTCGGGCGATGTGATCAGCATCACGGCCAGCGACGGGTCCAGCGGGAAGTCGCTCGCCAAGTTGCCGAGCTGCGTCAGCTCGCCGTCGTCGTCCAGGCACGCCAGGTAGTTGAGTTCCTCGAGCGCGCGCATCATGGTCTCTGGCGGTGGCGGGTCCATAAAGTCAAAGTGCACCAGGTCGTCCACGCCCAGCTTCTTCAGCTCCAGAATGGTGTTGCTCAGGTTCGACCGCAGCACCTCGGGGTATGTCTGCTCAATCAGGTCCTGCTTGAACGCCTTCTCCGTGTACAGCCGGAAGCACTTGCCAGGCCGCGTACGTCCGGCACGACCCGCACGCTGCTTGGCCGATGCGCGTGAGATAGGGGTCACGAGCAGCGACTCGACGCGGATCCGCGGGTTGTAGATTTTTTGTTTGCTAAAGCCCGGATCCACCACGTACACAATGCCGTCAATCGTCAAACTCGTCTCGGCAATGTTGGTCGACACGATGCACTTGCGGCCCGGCCGGCCGCCCTTTTTGAACGCATCGGGTGCCTTGTCAAATATCTTTTGCTGCTGGTGCGGTGGAAGCGAGCCATACAAGGGGTACACCGTCATAGGACCCGCGTCCGACTCGCGGATCATCTCGTCTGTCTCGAGGTTGATGCGTCGGCACGCGTCCTCAATCTCGTCCTCGCCTGTGAGGAAGAGCAAGATGTCACCCTCGGGCTCGGTCGCGTGGATCTGCAGCACCGTGCGCACAGCCGCCTCGACGTAGTCCTTCTCGGGCTCGGGCGTGTAGAAGATCTCGACCGGGTGAGTACGACCGGGCACGGCCAGGAGTGGTGCGTTGTGGAAGTAGCGCTGGAACTTTTGCGCGTCGAGGGTCGCGGACATGATGACAATCTTGAGGTCCGACCGGCGGAGCGCCAGACCCTTGAGCAGCGCCATCAGAATGTCGGTGGCAAGCGTGCGCTCGTGCGCCTCGTCGATCATGATGCAGCTGTAGCGCGACAGGTCCGGGTCGTTCATGGACTCGCGCAGCAGCTGACCATCGGTCATGTACTTGAGCAGCGTCTTGGGTCCTGTGCAGTTCTCGAAACGGATGCTGTAGCCGACTTCTTCGCCGAGCTTGACGTCCAGCTCATCGGCCACACGCTGTGCGACGGACATGGCGGCGACTCGCCGCGGCTGCGTGCACGCAACCATCTTGCGGCTCAGCTGCGGCATATCATCGTAGAGAATGTACTGGGGAATCTGTGTCGTCTTGCCCGAACCCGTCTCGCCGACAAACACGAGAATCTGCGTGCTGTGATACATGTCCAAAAACTCCTGGCGCTGCTTGTGCACCGGCAGGCCCTTGCGCGTCTCGAGGATGCGGAAGTACTGCTGCGTGTGCGGGCGGCCCGTGAAGGCGTTGTACTCCTCGTGCTCAACCCGCGAGACCTGCTCGGCCGTCGTCTGGTGGCGCGTCATGCCGGCGAAGCCGTTATCGTCGCTGCTGTACAGAGGCTGCTTGCCCTTGCCCTGGCCAAAGACGCCGCCATCGTTGCCGTTGCTGCCGTCGTCCTCGAGGTGCGCGAGGTACGGATTCTTGGCGGACTTCTTCGTGGATGAGGCATCGCTGTCGGAGTCGACTTTGGGCGTCTTGCTCTTCTCCGGCAGCTCGCCGTTCTCGCCCTTGTTGCGCTTCATTGAGGGCAGGCCGGCGGTGTTGGAGTCGGTGTCGGAGTCAGGGGCGTACCGCTTTTTGCTGAGTGAAGAGGAGAAAGGTTTGTCGAGGCTGGACATTATGGAGAGGAAGAGAGAGAAAGAAAGACAGGAAAGAGCGGGCGGCAGAATCTGCTAAGTAAATAAACGAAACCAGATGCAAGAAAACTGGGGTCGCTTTTGAGGCCTGGCTGGTGCAAATAACCAAAAAAAAAAAAAAAAAAAAAAAAAAAAAAAAGTTAAAAAGTCCGTCTAGGCTGTCGTAGTTCGTTGTAAAAGGCAGCCGCGCAGGGTCGGTGTTTCCAAGTGCGATTACCACTAAAAACTTTTTTCTGGGCCAATGCGATAAGGCCGATAAGAGGTTTGTGCCTGTGGAGGGCGGCGAGGTACTGGTACTTTATGGTGCAGGAACCCGAGTTAAATTACGGTGCAGCACCGCCGTGGACATGTAGAGAGACTTGTACAGGCCTGTTAGCCTCCCAACCCCTACCTTTCCTCCGCTGCTCAATTTTCGGGATGTTTTCATCACAGCGATGTACAGTTTTCTGTGTCGTCAATCACCAAGGGTAGCAGAATCAGTTTATAATAAAAGACATCCGTCACCGGAAAGCGATTTGTTTCAACGGTTACTTAGTAACACCTATAATTTAGGGTGTAGCGGGCGAAGTTACTGTACGTCGTAGTGGCTCGTTATCGACTTTTTTTTTTTTTAACAGATTACCACGACAGCACCTATCGGACAAATTTGTTACTTCATACTTTGCTCCCGTCGCATTGGCCAACCGCGCTGTACCGCAGAGGGGCTCCTTGAGTTTTCAGTTCGTGTGACCAAAGACAGACAAGACGATACGGGAACCAGCTGGTTGAATCGGCAAAAGAGAAAAGCGAAAATCCATTTCTATATCTTATTATTTTTTCCCTCTTTGCCTCTTGGGGGCTGACAATGGATTGTTGCTGCAACGACAGTTCCAAGGCATAGAAAGCCTTGTCGCCAAAGCGGGCCGCGACCAGAAACGATTCCATTCACCAGCACGTCCTCCTTCCGGTGTATCTCGTCGCCTATCGCATCACACACGTTGTTCGCGATGTCTCGCCAGTCGTCCCACAGTGGCTACGAGAGCTACCAAGCCTCGCGGCCTTCCTTCTATGTCGGCCAGCATGACTCGCGCCGCATCGAAGGGCTGACCGACAACCAGTACAGACGCCTGCTGGACTATGGTGTAAGGCATATGTTTGGGGCCCCTTCTTTCCACGCAGCTAACTGTATTAGTTCTCCTTTGCCACGGCCCCAATTACCACCAAGCACTTTCGCGACCGTGTGATTGCGCTGCAGAAGAGCTACCTCGCTAACGTCGCCGCTCGCGATTTGACCGCCGACGAGCGCGCCAACCCGTCGTTGCCCGGCCCGACAATACCGACGCTGACGGACGAAGACACGACTCTCTTCCCCGGTCCCAACATCACCTCCATCGTCGCCTACTGCAGCCCGTGGATCGACCTCTACTCGGCTCATCCGCTGGTGGCTAACCTCTCGCGCCAGGCGCTGAACCTTGAGGTGTCGTATGCCAGCTTCTGCGGCGTGCGGAGCATCGTCATTCCCGGCCCACGTGCCGACGCCGACCCGAAACGTGTGGCGCAGTATGGCCGCGCCATCAAGGAGGCTCTGCGGCTGGCGGCGCAGATCGGCATCGTAATCCACCTGCCCATGTACCGCGAGCCTGGCTTGGAAGAAACGGGCGACTCGCTGTCCGGGCCGGATGCCTACCCTGCTGGCAGCGAGGAGATTGACATCTACAGCGCATGGGACACATGGCATTCGATTCGGACCATGTGTGACTACGAGCCGCGGCTGTTTGTAGCGGTTCGCGTGCCGAAGCGGCTCCCCGAAATTGAGCTGCAGACGCGCTGGTTCGCCGAGCCGTTGCACTTCCTCACATTCTCGGCATCCATCTTCCAGCAGAACCGCGCGGGATTTCCGAGCCTCAGCCGGAACCACCAGTCGCTGGTCAACAAGTACATGAGGCTCAAAAATGCACCGTGGATCCTCCTGGCAGATTCCGGCCCCAGTGAGGAGGAGCTGACCGGCGGTGACCTTTCCCTGCCCTCGTCGCCTTCACCGTCCGGGTCCAGCGGCGCCGACTTCCCGAGCCTGGCCGATGCGCACAACAGCACTGCCCACCAGAATGACAGGAAGCGCAAGTCTATACAGAACGCACAGCTGTCGTACATCAAGCACCTCGAGCGCGAGCAGGAGCCGTACTCGGCGACGGAGACGTCGACGCTGGCCAATTTCCAAGACTGGCTGCAGTCGCCGCTCCAGCCGCTTGCAGACAACCTTGAGTCGGCCACGTACGAGGTGTTTGAGGGCGACCCGGTCAAGTATGACCAGTACGAAAAGGCCATTGCGGCGGCTATGGTTGACTGGAAGACGCTGAACCGGCCGTCATCGGCCATCCCCCGCCCCGGTGCGGCGGCTGTGGCACATGGCACACCCACGATCCCCGAGCTGGTCGTTGCTGTGGCTGGCGCCGGCCGTGGTCCGCTTGTGACTCGTGTGATCCGTGCCAGCAAGGCCACGGGCGTGCCCATCCAACTGTGGGCGCTCGAGAAGAACCAGAACGCCTACGTGTACCTGCTGCGCATGAACAAGCAGGTCTGGGGCGGCAAGGTGCATCTGATTAAGACGGACATGCGCGAATGGGCAGGACCCGTCGCCGAGGGCCACGAGGCCAACAACACGCTGACCAAGGTCGACATTCTGGTTACGGAGCTGCTCGGTTCGTTTGGCGACAACGAGCTGTCGCCCGAGTGCCTCGACGGCATCCAGCGCCACATTGCGCGCCCACACGGCATCTCGATTCCGCAGTCCTACACCGCCCATCTCAGCCCCATCTCGTACCCCAAGGTGTACGCGGAGCTGTCGGGCCGCTCGCCGAGCAATGAAAACGCCTTTGAGACGCCGTACGTGGTACACCTGTTTGCGATTGACCTCGTGTCGCAAAAGGTGCCGGGCCGTCCACGCTTCCAACAGGCGTGGGAGTTTGTGCATCCCGTGCGTCTGCCGTTCGTTGAGGACTGGACGGCGAAGCATGGCCACAGGAAGGTGCAGACTGGCGGTGGCGGTGCCATGAACCTGGCCACGGGCCTCAACGAGCACAACATGCGCCACTGCCACCTGACGTTTGTGTGCCGGCCGCGCGGTGTCATTCATGGCCTGGCTGGCTATTTCGAGTCGGTGCTGTACCAGCCAGCGCCGACGGCAAACGGCAGTACGCCTGAACCCATTGAAATCAGCACACGGCCGGACCAGATCGACCACAAGAGCAAGGACATGATTTCGTGGTTCCCCATTTTCTTCCCTCTCAAGGTGAGTTGCAGTCCCAACCGCTCACAATGTCGCAGGTTACATTGGTCGCTAACATGATGCAGAAACCCCTTTATCTGCCCCAGGATTCCGAGATCGAAGTCAGCATGTGGCGCCAGACAGACGACACAAGAGTGTGGTACGAATGGCTGGTCGAGGTGTTTGTCTGGGCCGGCCCGAGCTCGCGCGTCAAGGTTGCCGCGTCGGAACTGCACAGCAGCCGCAATGTGGCCTGCTTGATGTAAGAAATCTACAATATATGTGGTCAAGCTTGGTGTAAAAGCATTTTTTTTAAAAAAAAATAAGAGGGGGGGGTTCATGTGTTATGATCTAGCCTCAAAAAGGAGAATGTTGTGTATTGCATGTTGCTTTGAATTTATTACTCAAACCCACAGCTTAGCATTTAGCTGCATCCAATATCATCAAAACATACTATGACGAATGAAAAGACTATGACGAATGCCAACATTTCAACGCTGTGTGTTTTGGTCTTTGGGGGGGTCATAAAATAGTTCTCAGGCGGCGTTGATGATAGTTGTTTATTCTGGAAGCCTGAAGAAGAAGCCACAGATATCGGTACTTATGAGACACTGAGAGGTACATAGGTCTACAGAGATGGAGCACAATTCTAGCGTGTAAATGAGCTGCCTAATGTACAGTCCGCTTAAAAAATGTACAGATAAGTAGCCCCTATTCTTAGGCCAGCGTCACCGTGGCTAGTGAGCCGCGCTAACTGGCCTTTTGAGATAATGAGGGGCAACGTCAGCATTACAGAGAAGGCGCAGCTTTCACCAATCCACCAGCTCCTGCCTCCCGGGCCTCCCTAGAAACGTACTCCAGCTCCCTGAAACGGCACCTGAAGCAACCCAGCTCCTTCCTGATCATCAACTCCCAACGAAACGGCTCTTTCCATTCTGCAGCTGTTTCCCTCTACAACTACAATTGACGAACATAAAGGCTACTGTTTTCTTTCCTTTACGATCCATTCGGCCGACAGGTAACACTTAACTCAGTTTGTTTCTTGCTTGTTGTCAGCTTCGCCAGCGCTGACCACATCTCTCGTATAGATAGCCTTCTTGCGGACACACGTCTTTCCAGGCAGGACCTGCTCACCATTCCCAAACTATAGAGACGGCTGGAAGCTGTACTTTCTACCGAAATACACAAACTCAGAACACATCAGACACCATCATGGATTTGCGGAACAATCTATTCGGCAAGACCGGTCGTGGCGGTTTGCCCGGTCGCCCCGGCAGCGGCGCCGGTGGCGGCGCTCCTCCCCCCAACTATGACCACCCACGCGGCTACGGCGGCGCACCTCCTCAGTCCGCTGGCTATCAGGGTGGCGGTGGCCAGCCACAGTACGGCCAGGGCGGCGGCGGCGGCGGTTATGGGTCACCCCCGCCCAACTACGGTGGAGGTGGTGGTGGCGGCCGCTCGGTCCGGTTACGCCTCGCCAAGGTCGACGACAAGACCTTACAGCAGATGTACATCTTCACCAATATCTGCGCCGTCTCGCCGCGCGATTTTCCACCCTCCCGCGATGGTTCCGACCTCTACCTGCGCCTCACTGGCAACATGATTGATGGCGACTATGTTATCACGGCGCGGCCGACGCCCGGCTTCCCTGACGGCTGCATCTCTCTTTCGGACCCCCAGCGCACATGGCTGCGTGTCGGCATGATGGACGAGCTTGTTGCTGAGATCTACAACCCCTTCTCCAGCAGCACGGGTGGCCAGAGCTATCTGGGCTCCATGGACGTCGAGGTCGGTTTCGCGTCCACCAAGAAGGTTACCGACATCACCTACGACCAGGATGCGCTCGCCCAGCAGATGGTCCAGACCTTTGCCAACCACATCTTCGCACCCGGACAGCGTCTGCTGATTGACGTGCGCAACACGCCGCTGTCGCTCGTTGTCAAGACTGTGCAGCTGGCTGACCTGAGCATGGAGAAGGCTGGCGCCGCAGGAAGCGAAGGCGCCGTGCGTACGGACCCGGCTGCGCGCGGTATCATGGTGCCGCAGACCAACATTGCCTTTTACAAGAACGCGGGCTCGCCGATGAAACTGTCCGGCTCGACGAAGCGCGCCGCCGCCAACTCGATTATTGCGCCCGACTTCAAGTTTGAGGACATGGGCATCGGCGGTCTCGACAACGAGTTCTCGACCATTTTCCGTCGTGCTTTTGCGTCGCGCATTTTCCCGCCAGGCCTGATTGAAAAGCTGGGCGTGCTGCACGTCAAGGGTATCTTGCTCTACGGCCCACCCGGTACCGGCAAAACGCTTATTGCTAGACAAATCGGCAAGATGCTCAACGCAAGAGGTATGACAAGACCCCCTCCTCCTCCCTCTGTCAATATGATACAGAATTTATACTAACAACGTCCCACAGAACCCAAGGTCATCAATGGCCCGGAAGTGCTCAACAAATACGTCGGTCAGAGTGAAGAGAACATCCGGAAGCTCTTTGTAAGTCGTTGCTCGCCATGTTAAACTGTCCATTTGCAACGCAGCGTACTAACAAACGTGCCAGGCCGATGCCGAGAAGGAGTACAAGGAGAAGGGCGACGAGTCGCAGCTGCATGTCATCATCTTCGACGAGTTGGATGCAGTATGCAAGCAGAGAGGCTCCGGAGCCGGTGGCGGAACCGGAGTTGGCGACAGTGTTGTCAACCAGCTTCTGAGTAAGCTCGATGGCGTCGACCAGCTCAACAACATTCTGTTGGTCGGCATGACCAACCGCAAGGACATGATTGATGATGCCCTGCTGCGTCCTGTAAGTTGCTCTGTCTCGACGTACACTATATGCAGAATAACGGTCACTAACAAATCCAGGGTCGTCTTGAAGTCCAAATTGAAATCTCGCTGCCCGACGAGCAAGGTCGTGTCCAAATGTACGTCCATCATTTTTGCGCCTTTTGTTCCTTTGTTCTTTTGTTCTTGCTACTGTCATGTGAGTACGAATGCTAACCTCTTCCTTAGTCTCAAGATCCATACCGCGAAGATGCTGCAAAACAACATCCTAGATCGCGATGTCGACGTCGGCAGGCTGGCCGCACGTACCAAGAACTTCAGCGGTGCTGAGCTGTCGGGTCTCGTGAAGAGTGCCACATCGTTTGCCTTCAACCGCCACATCAAAGTGGACACCATGGCCGGCATCAGCGACGACGTTTCGCAGATGAAGGTCAACATGAGCGACTTTGAGAACGCGCTGACGGAGGTCAAGGCCGCGTTTGGTGTCTCGGACGAGGAGCTCGAGCAGGCACTGACCTACGGCATCCTTGACTACTCGGTCAACATCCAGAGCATCGTCAAGGAATGCATGGTCTACGCCAACAACGTTCGCCAGCTCGACCGTCTACGGACACTGTCGGTGCTTCTGCACGGTCCGGCTGGCAGCGGCAAGACGGCACTGGCGACTCATGTCGCCATCAAGAGTGCTTTTCCGTTTATCAAAGCCAGTAGGTGTTGCATCTACCACTACCCCCATACACGCGTTGAGACGTCATACTAACTACTCTGTCCAGTTACACCCGAGAACCTCGTCGGCTACTTCAACGAGGCCGGCAAGAAGGACTACCTGCACAAGGTCTTTACGGACGCCTACAAATCGCCGCTTAGTCTGCTGATTCTGGACAACATCGAGCGCCTTATCGAGTGGAACCCAGTTGGCCCGAGGATGTCCAACATCATGGTCCAGGCACTCATGACCTTGCTCAAGGCACACCCCCCAAAGGCCACCGCTTGCTCATCCTGGCCACCACCTCGCGCCGCTCCGTCCTCGACCAGATCGACATGACGGAGTCCTTTGACCGCCAGATTGCAGTCCCCGCCGTTGCCGATGTGCGCGAGCTCGCGACTGCTCTCCAGCAGTTTGGCGCCTTCCCAGACCCGGCCGACATCAACCAGGCCATCAACACTGTGCGCCAGTTCAACGGCGGTAGCGACCAGGTCGGCGTCGGCATCAAGACGGTGCTGACCATGGCCGAGTCGGCCGCCATGGTTGACGACTCGGCCTCGTGGTTTGCTGAGCAGATTAGCCGATCCATTGCCGCCAACAGCCCGGAGTTGTAAGAGACGGATATGAAAATGATGAACAAGAAAAGATTGGAACTCTGCACTTCATGAACCTTGGATAGGGATGTACAGATAGGTCCAAGATTCGACATATCATATAGCTTTTAACAAACTTTGTGATCAACTGCCAATAATGAAGTTTCGTAAGATTAGATAAAAACTAATATATCACATTCGTATGAATCAAAATAATGCAGTATATGTACTGGCTTTTACTTCGGCGGGAAGGCTTGTATCCCGTTGTTTTACGTTGTTTTTGCCTACGTCGTTTTGACTCGAGAGCCGCACAGGCATACGATTTTGAGCACGCAAACACGCAACTATTTATTTCCCGACCTCCCCCCTTATGCTGGCATACTTTCCGCCGTTTTCCTCCCTCTCTCTGTTATTTATATATTTATTTATTATTTATTTTTTTGGGGGAGAGAGAGGAGGGGGGCTTGTTTTGACTTGTTTAGCTTCATGTGATGTGTCACAAACCGATTTTGAGTCAATGGATGGTCACTCGCACCGTGAAGAGGTGTCTTTTGCTATATTTCTTTTTTTTCCCTCTATTTATGCGTCGCCATTTAGTGAAGTTCTGCGTGTTTCCTCCTCTTCGACACTTCCTAATTTCTGGAACAACCCTTTTTCTTTCATGAAACGTAGGATACTATCCGGAGAGTATTTCGTAAAAGTACTCGTATTGATGTATGCATCTTTAATGAGCCCACTTGGCAGGCTCTTATCACGATTATTGGCTTTCTTGTTGCTCCACTTGCCTTATAACCCGACAACTTGGCTCCTGGGACAGCCTCTTTCTTTCTTAATATGCTCTTGCTGGGGCTATGCCTCTTCTGCTCACCTTGCGAGAGTTTTTTACACATATATTTTTTTGGCCTGACCACGTCTGACTTTCGCTCTTTTGCCCCTACGTGGCCGTCTGCTCTTACTGCTTTTTATATTTTGCTACCCCTTGCCCCCTGAGTAGGACCTTTCCCGCTGGGATATAAGCACTGCAACTTGCAGAGCATTCCGAAACGGACTTGTAGCTAACCACGCCGGGGTTTCATGTGCCCCATCTAGTCTTCCTTTCAGCGCTGGCCGTAGCCTAGTCCTCGCGAGCCTAGATTGGCGAATAAGTCTCAAGCTGTGCTTGATTTGGCATACTTCCCAAGAGGTGGATGGA